TGAAGAAGACGAAGAAGAAGAAGACGCAAGAAAGTAACATCGTGAGAGAAAATTATGTGAATGCAGATAAGGGAGTTCTTTGTTTTTATTTTTCATTCTGGGAGGAAAGAAAAGAGGCCTTGGGTGTGTCACCAAACGCATTGTTGAAAAACGCCTTTTTTTCCTGTCCGTTGCGATAAATTGAATAATGAACATGTTGGACGTGTCGATCTAAGTGAATGCGGTGATGGTGTGTGCGAGGCAAGTGGTGTGCCTGGCAAGTCAATGCGATGTAAAGTTGGTCCATTAACCATCAAGACGAACAAAGTTATCAGTCGTGCCTGTATTGGTCATTGATGAGTGACGAGTGATGAATGATGAATGAATGATTGAAGGATATGGGATAAACGGATGAATCGTCATGAAGACGGCATGGGCGATGAGAGGAAGGAAAAGCACATGGATTTAGGATAGAGGCGGACAAGGGTTATGATGGCAACTGAATGAATGGACTGAATAGTGAAAGTGAAATGAACACAAGAAAAGGGAACTAAGGAACATGCAACGGAAAGAGAGGACAAAGAGAGAAAGTGAAAGAGTAATGCAATGATGTAGCCTCCAACGAAAGAAAAACCCCACCAACAACGTATTAAACAGCCAGCCAAGGGTAAAAAAAAGAAAATCAAAGACGTAGTTCAGAGAGTGGTGCTGAACGAAGATCTCTTTTGTTCTTTGAATGGTCAATTGGAGGATGAGAAGGGGTTGATATTAGGGTCAATGGGTCCATTTTTATACCTTGTAGCAAGCAATTGACTGTGGTATGCTCGATGGGATGGTGGTTCATGAAGAAGAAAGACAAGAGAGATAATCGATTTCTATTGTTCATTGCGTAATGAATAAGGATATAAAGTAAAGGGAAAATGAATAAAAAAGAGAGAAAAGAAAGAAACTCTCTTATTACTCGTCTCTCACTCAGTCTCTCTTGTTGTGAATGCTCACTGTGCTGTTACTCTATAAGCGATGATTCAATCGTCGTTGCTTTTTGTATGTGTGTTGTTGTTGACATTTGCTCACCCTTTTCTCTGCCACTCTCTGCCCTCAATTATGATATTATTGTTTTTTTTTGTTTACACTGGCTGAGAGTCTCTTTTTTCTTAGATAGAGTGGGTGCCTGACTGTGTCCCTCTTCCCTTTTCTCTCTTTATTCTTCTCTCCCTCTGCCTTCCCACTTCTTCTCTTTCCTTCCTTCCTTCCTTGCTTCCCTTCCCCTCCTCCTTACCCCCTTTTCCTTCCCTCTCTCTATTAACTCACTCTCTCAACTCACTCTCTCAACTCACTCTCTCACTCGTACACACTCACAATCGCTTTCACTCGTACGACCTACTACTACTTCACTCATTCGCACAGTTCACTTCTATACCAACAACTACGCCATCGACAACACTCACTCACCACCACCATTACCCTTCCCACGTACATATTCATAGAAAGCAGCACTTTTGGATTCACTCACTTACTCACACCCACCACCACCAGTAAACACAAACTAGGTAGGAACAACTTCACCCCTCTCTCTCTACACACCAACAACCACTACCATTTTTTACTCGCCGTACCTGAAAAATATACCTGCACACACACGCTCAATACTCCCTCTCGTCGGTACAGTAGCCACAACGTGAATCCCTCACTCCATTCCACTTCCACACTCCCCACCTCAACCTTCCAAACGCTGGAATCACAACTTCGCCCCGGGCGGTATACAAGTGCGTGTATATGAGGTTCTAAAAACAACCTACCGGCCTCCACCAGCGACCAATCGTCCTTTTTACATCCGATGCGCCATCGCACAGCCTGGAACATCATAGAAAAAAAAATAGCAGGGTCCAACAGAAACACGCTACACACGTCCCTTGCACTAGCACCAATTCACTCTCCCTTGCACCCCTCGACTCTCTCCTCCGTTTCTACGTCTCTTCTCCTCTTTCTCATGCAATCACCCTCTTTTCCTCGCTGGACCGACACTTCCCTTTTCGCTCCTTACACACAACGAACCGTAGCCTTGTTCTTTCCATTGGTCACTTTTGCCACCAAAAAAAGTCAGCGTACTTTTTATTTCTTCAGCAAGATCTCCACTGATGAAGAGAGTGAGAAAGAAGCTCTCCACTGAGTTGACCACAATCGACAACGACGATCAACAACACTTCGCACGATGCTCTAGAATGGAATCACTCCTTTCTGTTCAGCTGGACCCCGCTGCCCTGCCTTATTCTGAGCAAAAGAAGTGTGAAAAATGATTGGCGTGGCGTCATAGAGTTATATGGATTACAAAGGATCAATACTCTATGCGTGTTCATCGCGAAGACGAACTCTTGGAGAGATTGCATTTGGGTAGACCGACGGGACAGACACAAGAAAGGAAGGAGAGGGAGGTGGGCAAAGTGTCAGAGCGAAGGGGAAGAGGGGAGGCAAGGGTAGTGAGGGGTATGTGGCAATATAAACAACAATGGCAACAGTCGACTTCTACAGCCAAGACCCACAACAACACCCAAGCAACGAAACAATGACAAACATCATCGGACTAAAAATCAAAAAAAATGTCTACGGGCACTGCTTTGTTTTATTTTTGAACAAAAAACATACACTGTGGGTCAGTCAGGTCGGACATGCCTAGTGTTGGTGTTGGTTTTGGTGTTGGTGTTGGTTGTGGGGGCACATTGGTCTCTCTGACACAGACAGAAACACGCACACAGACATGATCGGGACACAAAGGGGAGAACGAACAGATGTGTTCGACTTCCATTTATAAATTATATATTTATCCCTCAACACACCGGTCAAGTAGTGCGCGGGTTGCCAGACTTGGGCTTTTGACTTGGCCAACTGGCGGGCGAATAGTAATTATAACTAATCCTTCTCTCTCCTCTTCTTGTTTCGTTTTATATTTGCTGATTCATCGAACAAACCAGACAAGGACAAAAAGAAGGGAATCCTCTTTTCATTTTCGTGTATCGGGCTCCTTGTTCGTGTCAACCTGACTGCCTCGTCAGAGCGTGAACAATCCCACCACCACCAACAACAACAACAGCAACCTTTTCTCAATCACTCCAAACAGGACATCAACCTCCTTCCGCATTGACTCCTCGTCTATCTGCTCGGTAGAGATCCTTGAGATCCAAAACGCATTCAAGCAAGCACATCATCAAGGTACGGTATTGAGTATTTCTTTTTCTGCCCTCTTGTACATCTTGTACCTCTTGTAGTTCTCCCCTTATACACTGTCCTTCAACGTTCACACGGCCCTTTCTTGCTGGATGGCATTTGTGAGGAGGGAGACCAAAAACCATCAAGGAGCGGACAAGGAACTCGGAGGATTCTCATATGGTGGAATAGCTGTGTGGTCTTTTTGGATCTTTGGATCAGCCTCCTCGATGCACTCTGCCACCTACTTTTCATACTTTTGACTTTTCTTGTTTTTTGCGACAATGGTTCATCCCTAATGCTTTGATGCAGTGCAGTTGGCTTCTCGGACCTATCATTGTTTTCCTGAGGGGACAGTCTCTTAACATTCCAAGGTGCCCTACAACCCATTTGCTCTGCCATGAGAGCTTTTTGTATCTGTTGGGCGGAAACATTTCCTCTTTTTCTTTTTTGAATGTTGTTGTTTTCTTTTTTGTATGTCGTTGTTTTCTTTTTTGTATGTCGTTGTTTTCTTTTTGGTTGCCCCTGCGGATTGGAGATGGAAGGAGTCATGTTGAGACGGGAGCTGCTATGTAGGAAAAATGTATGTTGGGACATGCAATGCTCTCCTTTGTGTCCTTGTGCCCTTGTGTCGAGATAGATATTGGAAGAAAGACAAAGTGAGAGAGAGAGAGAGAGAGAGAGGGAGCGCAAACGTTAATGAAAAGGTGAGGGATGGATGGGTGTGAAGGCAGGGAGAGGAGGAATAAGGACAGGGAGAATAGAGAGAGAGAGAGAGAGAGAGAGAGAGAGATTGGATGGATGGTCGGAAGGCCAAAGCAAGCAAGAGGCAATGAAAGCAAGGAGGAAAAATGAGGAGGAAGAAGAGGGGGGGAAGGAGAAACGCGAGCGAGGCTCAAACAGAACCCAGGACGCAGTCATCCCATTCAAACCACATTTTTCAGATTCTCCTCCCTGGTTATTTATGCTGGGAAGGAGGAAAAGAGGGCATGGTGGTTGGGATTTCGCTCTACGTTCTGCTCACACCTGCATATTGAACGAGATGTTGTGGGTTAGAGAAGGAATACAGTGTTTGGGCACGCATGGTCTTTTTTCTTTATATGGATTGGTGGATGGGTTCAATCGCCACGTTTTATGTTGGTGTGTGTTTGAGACGCGCCGGGAAAAAAAATAGCAATAGTGCTATGGAGAAAGGAGAGTGTTGTATGAGTTGTTTGATTGTTTAGGAGCGTTCGTGAGATCAGTAGCGAATAAGAATGGTGGCGTACCTTTATTTTCCCTTCAAACACAAACCCGATCACAGACTGCGACAAGCGATTCGTTCGCCACAAACAAAAAAAAAGGCAAAAGTCAAAAGTAGCCCTCTTAGACTCTCTCTTTCAGCTGGACCAATGGGGACACTCGCTGGCCCCCCTTTTTTTTTACTGTCGTCCATTTTCTTGTTCGGGCTTTTTTGTTTTGCTCTCTATTCAATGCACTCTGTCCTTTCCTTTTCCTTTTCTTTTGTCGTTCCTCTTTACTCTTTTACTCTTTGCTCTCTTATTTTCATCATTCCTTCCTCCTCCCCCTCCTCCTCCTCCTCCTCCCTTTCATATAATTCTTTACTCTTGTTTCCCACTTTCATTCGTCTTCTCATTCCCATCGCCTTGAAGCTGAAGCCCTTTCGCCAAGACAAAAAACAACAACCTGTCTAACCACCACATACCTTTTCTTCTTTTGTCCTCTGTGTCCTTGGTCACCTCCCGCTGGTCGCGTGAACCTTCTTCTCCTGAACACAAACGCAGGTCTGACCGCCCGTTCGCGTAACCTCCTGTTCCAACATGAGTGACCCTCTTGCCCACCTCGCAGGATATACCTCCCCGCCCCCTAATGACCCATCCATCACCCTCAAAGACAACGACCTCCTCCTCCACAACGCCAACAATACCAGCAACATCATCACCACTACCACCAGCAATACAACCTCAACCACCGCCAGCAGTAATAGCGCCAACAGTGGCCTGATCCCCAGCCATACCCTCCTCCCTCGGGAGGGATTCGCTCCCATGAACGAATCTCATGACCAACTCCAGCAGCAACACCAACAGCAACACCAACACCAGCAAATGAACAACCAACAATCCATCTTAATGACCACAGGACCCCTTCAACACGCCAGTCATGTCTTTGGCACCGAAGGTCAGATCCTTGCAACATCCTATGCCATGGAAGGCGTTGTCCTTTCAAGTACAGCCATTCATCCTGGCCAGCACTTTGTCGCCGTTCCAACCAGTCAGCAACAGGAGCAGCAGCAACAACAACAACAACAACATCAACAACAGCAGCAGCAACAACAACAACAGCAAGCTGCGGCCCTTCATCACGCTATGCAACAACAACAGCAACAGCAGATACTTCAGCAACAACAGATCCAGCAACAGCAAATCCAGCAGCAACAGCAGATTCAACAGCACCAGCAAATCCAACAGCAGATCCAACAGCAGCAGTACGAGCAGCAACAATTTGAACAGCAACAGCAACAACAACAGCAGCATATCCAACAACAACAGCAGCAGCAGCAGCAGCAGCAAATGATGATGGAGCAACCTCATATGTCGATCCAGACCAATGCTGCAATGTCGCCCCAGGAGTACCAAGCCAGTCAAGCAGCTCACCATCAACAACAATTGCTTACGTCGTTGCCTATGAATCCCCCGACGACGCAGCACCAGCAGCAACAGCAGCAGCAGCATGTGCTGCTTGTAAGCCCACCATTGCTTCCAGCTGATGCGCCGGCGATGTCAATGATGCCCCCGATGACCTTTCAACAGGCCGTAGAAGCACAAAAGGTGCACATTCAAATCATGGAGTCTGAGCATCTTCACCAGCAACAACAGCAACAGCACCATCATCACCAGGAGCAGATCCAACTCCAACAGCAACAACAGGCACAGCATATCCAGCAACAGCATCAGCAACAACATCACATGCATCAGCTTCAAATTCAACAGCAGCAGCAGCAACAACAACAACAACAGCAACAACAGCAACAACAACAACAACAACAGCAGCAACAGCAGCAACAGCAGCAGCAGCAGCAGCAGCAGCAACAACAGCAACAACAGCACATGCTCCCTAACGGTATGCCTGCACCGGATCTGTCGATGCATCCAAACGCTTTGATGATGCAGGAACACCTAGTCTCTCGCTCCCATACACCCGTCATTCCTTCTCAACCACCAAGTCACGCGCCTCGCGGAATGCACCGTCACCACCCATCTTTTGACGGCCAGCCCACACTGGATATGCAGGTGCTCAACGTACAGATGCAACAACAGGCGCAGGTCCAGGCGCAAGTACAAGCACAAGCACAGGCGCATCACCAACAGCAACATCAGCAACAGCAAGTCCAGGAAATGATGCATCATGCCGCGGCAATTGTGTCATCACAACAGGGACTTGTTAGCCCTATTGAGGCCAGTATGCCACCACTTATGATGCCGATGGGCCCGAACATGTTGGTGATGTCCGCCGCCCAGATCATGACATCGACCGCCCAGGCAATTGATTCCATGGCATCGGCAGGAGTGGGCTTGAGTCAGGAAAATCAGGGATCACAACTTCCCACGATGATTCAGCAGCAACAGCAGCAACATGGACTAGACCCTTCAGGATTCTCGGTGCAGCCCATCCCTCACACCATCGGACAAGTTCCTTCAGCTGGTATGGCCTATCCAACGCCTCTTGCAACATCAGAGTCCATGTCGTCCTTCACACCTATGGTACCGTCCATGCAACCAACCGCGTCACACCCTTCCAGTTCCAACTCATCTCCTGCATTCACCCCACCTGAACCCACTATGGCGACCATTACGGAAACCAACGCCACTCGACACCGTCGTCACCCATCTTCAGGACACCATTCGCCCGAATTGCGTATCATGCTCCAGAAACAGGACTTTTTGCAGCAGCAGAACCAAAAGATGGCAGCCAAGGAGCAGGCCATCTTTGACAAATCGCACCGAGTGGAACCCCACCAGAGTCGATCACCCCGCGCACCTGGACTCAAGATCAACGTGTCCGACATGCAAGTACGGGAAATGCCTCTCTCAGCTCTTGGATCGCCTACGGAGAGTGGCCACATTTACTCTCCCGGTCCTCTTTCTGCTGCTTCGCCATCCGTCGGTCCTGTCAGCAGCTTTTTTGGCGAAACGCTCATGGAGGTATCATCGACATTCCGTCGCCATAATCTGAACGACCCCGCCCTCACAACCCCTTCATTGATGGATGTGAAGATTGAACCTTTGGAACTCGAACCGCCCTCGACGCGTTCAGAGCTGGCAGAATTGACTAAGCAGGAGCTGATTGAGAAGGTGATGCAGTACGAGCGCCAGATGGAGGGCTCGATTCCTTTGCGCCGCATGAGCATCGTCAAGCAGGAGCCCTGCGACAAGGAGCCTGCACGAGAGTCTCAAGGTAAGATATAAAAAAGGCGCAAATGGGTGCATGATGTTTGAATTTCATTTCAGCTAGAATTGAAAATTAACAATGCAATTTTAGTTGTGTCGCCCACTCCATCGGCCCCTATTGCACAACCTCCAGCGCTACAGCAGCATTCGATCCAGCAGGATGAAACTCCTCAGAGGACGACACTTTCGTCACCTCCACCTCCAACACTTTCACCTCCACCCCAAGCACACAAGCATCACAGTGCTCAGGAAGACGTGATCAAGGAGGAGCCAAAGTTGACCTCGCCGGTGCTGTCGCCCTATGCAGTCAAGTCCCCTACCAACCTTCACGCTGTCCTGGCATCCTCTCAAAATGAAGAGGAGGACGACGGCGAAGACGAGGACGAGGAGAACGAGGAAGAGCTGGAGGATGATGAGGGCGATGACCATGATGAACCCCCCACCAAGTCACGCAAGAGATCGGCGGATGGACCTGCCGAGGAAGAGGAGTCGGAGGCGCCACTGCAGCTGGTCTGCTTGTGGAGGGACTGCAACTTGACCTTTGACGCTATGATGGCGCTGAACGAGCACGTTGCCGATGTGCACATTGGAAGCGGCAAGGCTTGCTACACCTGCGACTGGAAAAACTGTCCTAGAATGATGAAGCCCTTCACCAAGCGACACAAGATGTACAACCATTTGCGGACTCACACTGGCGAGCGACCCTTCCGATGCCTTGTGCCTGGTAAAATAACATGATCGTTGATGCGCCATATCTGTAAGTCCGTTATATTCCCGAAGCACCTTGAGAACTAAAGGTCTATTTTTTTCCTTGGACAATTAGGATGTGACAAAAAGTTTTCTCGACCAGACTCTTTGACGACGCACACCAAGACCCACTCCAATATTCGTCCCTACATCTGCCCTGTCGACGGCTGCACCAAGGCGTACTACCATGCTCGATCCCTTAAGAAGCATGAGCTCGCGCATGACGTCAAGAGCGTCTCCCATTCGAATTTGCGTGGAGCAGGAGCAGCCCACGGTTCCAGCAGCACCACAGCTCAGGACCAATCTGCATCGACCTCCAACCACTCGAATTCCCAGCAGAGCCACCCCCACTTTAGTCACCCCTACCACCCCGACTACACTGGAGGTACTGGACGGAAACATCGTCGTCAACAGAGTCAAAACGCCAACCTTACTGTGACTTCGGAGGTGACTCTCACATCGGCTGCCGCTCCTATCAGCTCGATTGCCCCGACGACCATGTCGATTTCTAATGGAATCGGTAAGGATTTTAATGGAACTTCGATGATGGGCTTCAACTCTGCGCTCTTGTCCCCCGCTTTGTCAACCCACTCTTCGTCGTCATCGGTGCCCACCTTGTCGATGGTGATGAACAACGACCACAGCAGACATGAGGGTGGTATGGTGGCACTCGATCCAATGTATCAGACCGCCAACAATGCAGCTGTATCGCCAGAGGCCACCAACCCTCATTTGAGTCCTTCCGGATCGCCAGGATTCCAGAATGCCATCATTCCATCATCTGCCGCCGCCTCTATGGCGATGGGTATGCCCATGACATCTGGAATTTCCCATGCCAACCTTGTGGCGCATTCAACAATGCAACCTGCAGTATCGGGAATCAACTTGGCCATGATCCAAAACGATGGCAAGGGTTACATGATGTCGACCGACCAGCACGGAGCCATCGTCACGTCGTCGGATCTCGGTACCTCCCATCTCACGACCAATCAAGCAGGGGCTGATCTCGGATATGGTCTCATGCCCGTGGATCCGCATCCCATGCAACAGTGATCGTTCTATCCGTCTTTTTTTTTTTTATTTTCATTGCTCACCCTAGCGTTTGACATCTTTCCTCTTGCATTTTCATTGTTCGTTTCATACCCCATCACTCCTTCTCAGCTTCAATACCCACCCTTCTTCTTCCATCATTCTGTTGCTCCCTCAATCTTCACCCTCGCTTTCCTTTTTCATCATTCATTCAGCTACGAACATTGTCTTTTGTCTGGCAGCTTGTCAGCTTGTTTTTGTCAATCGCTGTATACCCCCCACATCGTCACACGCGTTTTTTTTCTTTTTCTCAGTTACAACACATGTACTTTTTCTCTTTTCTCTTGTTCTTTCTCATTTTCATTTTGTTTTCGTTTCTTTATCCATCGTAAGGAACGGAAGACATCCCCGACACATTTCATTTCACAAAAAATAGGGTTTTCACATCCATCTCCTCTCTTTCGATTATGTGTTGACCTGGCTGGGCTTTCTCGGTCAGCATAGTTCGCATATCTTCTCCCCCATGCACTTCCCATCCCCGTCCCGCACATCATATCCATCTCGTAATAAAATCAAAAAAACCAAAAAATTGGTCAAAAAAAATACTTTATTGTGTCTTTCCATCCATGTGTTTTCCGTACGTGTGTCCCTAGAACCGTAATATCTACCACCAGAACATATCGCATTGAAACTGCTCCTTGGTCTTGGGGAACAAGGTCTCGAGCAACAGCTTGGCATCATCCCCACCACCGACAGAAGTCTCAGTATAGAAATAAATCATCTCGTCAACCGACAAGTCCCCGACCAACAATCTCGTGAACGTCAATGGCGCAAACTGGATCGTGAAAACCGTCGGCTTCTTGTTATCCGGACGACCCTCGGCCTTGGCGAGAGCCTTGCGTTCACGAGCGGCCAGCATCAGCTCCTCGGGCGTTGGGGGCACAAAGTCGTCGCGCGCAGAGATGATCAGACCGTCCTTGATGACGACTTCGAGACCCTTTCCTGCGGAACCGACGACTTTTCGGTAGAAATCGAATTGCAAGGTGGCGGTGATGCCCGCGAGACAGGATTGGGCCAGGCGATGTTCGAGAGAAGGGGCGACTTTGAGGATAAAGTTTGCGTAGGAGGGGATACGGGTGTAGAGACGGATGTGCTTGTGGTCGTCGGCGGTCGAGTTGGACTCGAGGAGCTTTGTGATCGGGTGGTCGGGGTCCAAGACCAGACGGAGGGGTTTGGGTGCGGAAGGCTTTTCGGCAGATGTGGGAGCGGTAGAGTCGGTGGTTGTGGTGGCATGGGTTTGGCCATCCTTGGGAGCGGGACCGTCCTTATCGTCGTTCTTGGTATCCTCGTTGTCCTTCTTGGCGGCCTCGCCATCCTTCTTGGACTGCTCATCACCATCTTTCTCTTCCTTGGACTCCTCCTTGGCCTTCTTCTCAGCTTCCTGCTTAATCTCCCACAGAGAAGGCTCCTCGCCCGCAAGGGCAAACTGCCTCAAAACCGGGTACAAAGCCTCTCTATACAAATACCCCTCTTCCAACGTAAACATATACAGCCCCAAAAACGGCAAGCTGGCCCCCATAACCAACCCACAATCCCTCCCGGACTTGGCGTCCACAATAATCCTCGTCAACCGACGTGCATCAAACTCCGATTCCTGGGTCTCAATCGCATCGTGGATCGTGTACCGCCAGTAGGATTCCCTATACTCCAAGCCGACTTGAGCATAAGACTTTTGGGCTTCGCGGGTGCTGAGTTTGCAGAGGTAGGGAACATCAGCAAGGGTAGGGATGCGGAGGGTGAAGGGTTCGGCGGCGAGGGCGGAAGCGGTGAGGGCGTCTTTGGAGAGGAGGGTGGGAAGTTTTTTGTTGAGGTCGTCGATTGAGCGGGAGGAGCGGATACCGATGGCGTATTCGTAACCGAATTGGCGGTAAAAGTGGTTGATGCCTGGGATGATCTGGATGACGTCTCCTCTGGCGTCTGAGGCGGGGTGGATGAGTTCGTGGAAGAGTCTGCGGACTAGGCCCTGGTTCCTGTACTCTGTTTTGATGGGAGGAGGGTGGAGGAGGTGTGAGCGTTAATTGAAGGTGAACAACTGGTAGGAGGGCTAAGCTGTGGTTTCCAGAAAAGGAATCCTTGCACCTCGACAATATTGTCCAAAGTAAGAAACAACCGTGAACACACAAACAAAGCAATGCCGACAAGCAAATATTAGGCTGTGTCAACAGTCACCCATCGTTCAGCATTGGCGACCAAGTTTGGTATCATTCTCTCTCTCTTTTTTTTTTCTCGTTCTTGCTGTTGTGAGTTGTGAGTTTGTTACTATACTTGGGTTGGAACAGACGGCCTCGGGTTTGCCATAGAGCATCGAAACCTTCTCGCCATAGAACCCAGGGACGCTTTGGAGGCAGATACCGGCAACAATGGGGTTCTGGCCGTCCTTGGCCAGTGTGTTTTCGACGACCGCGTAGTCATACTCGGTCATGACAGCACTGTTTCCGCGCATCAGGCGTCTCTGTTCAAAACAAGAAAAAAAAGGGGGTTGGTCTTGTTAGAGCAATATGGTCTCAATGCTTGTGTGAAGTTATTAGGTGATTATAGCAACAGATGTGTTTATAGGGAAAACTTACGACGCCAGCTTTGACCCAGGCGTTGGGGGCAGGCTCCTCATCCTCGGCGACAGTGACAGCAATGCCAGACCACTAAAAGTAAGAATTGAACCAGCACGTAACGCTACAATTAGTCTCTCGGTATATTAAAAAGAGTCCGCTTTTCATAACAAGGTTTCTACTTGCTACATAAAGTAACGCGTCGTGTCGCGCATAGAAAAAAAAAGCAGACACGGTACCTTGAAGGCGTCGGCCATGCAGTCAGCGATGTTGTCGCGATCCTTGATGGTTGACCAACGCATCACCAGACCGTCGCCAATATCGATCCTCTCGGGTCTTTGAGTGTTTTGAAAAATGGAAGTTTCAACGGTCATTTTTATAGTAATGGTAGAAAGTGGAGGCGTGTGTGTGAGTGAGTAATTGCTTGGTTGAATACAAGAAGATACTTTTTTTTTTTATGAGAAGATGGGCAGGTATTTGAATGAAAATGATTTCTTACTGCGGACTAAACTCAAGATCTGATTCGTTCCTGAAATGGGTGCGATCCTGTCTTGGGACACAGAGAAAAAAAGAGAGCAATCGAAAAAACTGTGGCGTACAAAACTAAGGCGCGCTTGTTCTCAGGAAGGAATAAGATTCAGAGGATGCCAAGCAGTGGATCTTGGCAAGAGGAAAATCCGCAATTGGATGTTTTGTACGAATTCTTGGAAGTTGAACAAGGACACGTACTTTTTTCTGACTTGGGTTGCTTGGGCGATGCTGGGCATGGTCAATGGCGTACAGAGAGGGTTTTGCTACGCGTCGATAATAGTAAGGACAGGTTGATTGAACAAAGCGGGGTTTGATATCCCAGGCGTGAAAGAGTGCTAGGCGTGAGATAACAATTGATAGAACGCGGGCGGCGTGTGTGTGCTGGACCTGTGTGGGTGAGCATGTAAGCCAAGAGCGCGTTCCTTCCCACTTTCCTTACAACCATGTGTCCGGACCGTGTCCTACCTTCGTTCCGTGGCAGCAAACAATAGATCCATCCGTTCGACGTGTCGGGCGGAGCATAGTAGCTGGCCAACAAACAGGTCACGTTTCCACTTGAACAATGGCTTGGAGACAAAACAACAACACGCAGTCACATTAGAACTCCCAGGCACTCTCTCACACTAACACACTCTAGCCTTGACCTTCGGACCTTTTTTTTGTCTCCCTTCTTTCCCCTCTCCTCTCTCCTCTCTCCTTCTCCCTTCCCTCTTTCCTCTTCCCTCTTCTCATGCTGATCCCTTAATCCTCCCTTTCTTCTTGATCTCCCTCCAGCTACCCTTTTCATTCATTCATTCACACCTAAAAACAATATACACCCATGAGTGCTACGACTGCTGCTGCCGCCACTAGAGGAAACTCAATGATCCTCCCCTCCATGCTCCCCACCACCACCGCAACCACCGGCACCCTCTCCCAACTCCAACAAAAACAATCCGCCTACGGCCGCTCTAACTCGTCCCAGGACTCGGAAAGTTTCAACTCTAGGGCTGCCGCGTCGACGTTGTCTTCGACCGTCTCTTCCACAACTTCGGCAACTGTCGCTCAGCCTGCTCAGAAAAAAATGGCAGGACTCCAGTTCTCCTGGGTTCACTTCTTGGCCGGAGGGTAAGCCTTTTGTTTTCTTGTTCCTTGTCGACAAGTAACTGACGACGAAGGGAGAGGTGTTCGTTTAGTTTACTGCCGTCTCAAGTTTGTTTTGCAAGCGGACACGAGAAGGGGATCGATCCTTACTGTTCCTGAGGTTGGTGTCACTAACATTATTTTTTTTGCCGTCTCCGTTATATTCCCTTTTCTGGCCTCCCTACTTCCTTCTTCCTTCCTCCTCCTTTCGGACTTTGCTTTTCGGTGTGGCTCATAACTTTTAGAACTGGAGGAATGGCTGGTGCTCTTGTCACCTCGCCTCTGGATGTGGTCAAGACTCGCCTCCAGGTATGCTTGAACATACTTATGTCGCCCCCCCTCTCATCGTAACTACAGGATGAAGGAAAAGACATGTGCTTGAAACAAAACAACAGCACCGGCAAAACGAAAAAAGAAGAAAGAGTTAACCCAACAAAACAAAGGACAACAAATAGCAAATCACAAAGGACTAACAATGGCTATTACTTGTTCTTTGTCGCCTCCTTTTCTCTCTCTCCCTGTTTGTGTTGTTTGCGTTTCCTATTGGCCATTCCCGCCCCCGTCTAGTCCTCCCTTTATCAATCGTCCAAAAATGTGTCTGCGGCTGTCCTTCCCCGGTCAGGAATCGCCTCTGTCGCTGGTCACATCAAGGACACCTGCCTCCTACTTGGGTACGAACAAAACTAAAAACAACATTTTTTTTTAGCAGTGATCGTAATCAACATGACCCCACCGCAAGGACAAAAAAAGCACCACCCGATGGATGATTATGATCTCATAGCTGACAGTACAACCCCTTTCGGCAATTTATTGTTGTTTGCCTTTGCCTTCTATCCTACTATCCTACCCAACTAGTCACATCTACTCCAAGGAAGGTCCACGAGCTCTTTACAAAGGATTGGGACCCAACCTGGTCGGTGTCATTCCCGCAAGGTAACACAGCCAACCTACTCAGGATTATGATCACTCAGGGCAACAGTGTTGCTATGGAGAAACCAGGATACTAATAGCTGTAACTTGTCATCATTGTTCTTGTAGGGCTATCAACTTTGCGACATATGGAAACGGCAAAAAGTTCTACACTGACCTGAACGGAGGCAAGGAGACGGCACTTGTCCACCTTTCTTCCGCGGCGACTGCTGGAGTTGTGACCGCCACCGTGACCAACCCTATCTGGCTAGTCAAGACCAGGATGCAGCTTCAGGTAGAGGGCGTCAGACAGTACAAGAACAGCTTTGACTGTATGGTCAAGATTATCAGATCCGAGGGCATCCGTGGAATGTACCGAGGATTGAGCGCTTCCTACTTGGGTGTCGCCGAGGGGACTATTCAGTGGGTGATCTACGAACAGCTCAAGACGACCTTGGCCGAGAGGCGCAAGTTGAACAACTCGACCAAGGGATACGCTGTGGGCGGAAAGGATATCGAAGAGTGGGCTCACTTCATTGGAGCAGCTGGAACAGCCAAATTCATTGCTTCGGCCATCACATATCCCCACGAGGTGCTCAGGACACGACTTCGCCAGGTCCCCGTTGGAAACCAGCCCGTCAAGTACACAGGACTTAAGCAGACCTTCCAACTGGTCCTCAAGGAGGAGGGCGTTGCAGCTCTGTACGGTGGACTGACGGCTCACATGATGCGTGTCGTCCCCAACGCTGCCATCATGTTCTTCTGCTACGAGGCCATTATGCACCACTTCTCATAAGCTGCTGGTATCTCTTTTGGCCCCGTCTTCACTTTCACACCTTGCATTTTTATTTTCACTTGTCTTTTTGGTTTGTTTTTCGCTCTCCATTTCATTCACCTTTTTCCTTGGATTAGATAGTTACCTTTGTCTCGTTCTGCTTTTTCTTTTTTCTCTTTGTACTCCATTTACCTTGTAAACTAGTCCATGCCTCTCATCGTTTCACTGCTGTAGGCGGCCTTTGCTCCTACACACACATACATCATACATAATGTATCTCGCATTCCTGCATCTTTCAATAAGTTTATGTTTTTTGTGTTTTAATTATTGGATATAGTGTACATGATGTTTGTTGCTGCACAAGTATCGGAGAGAGGAATGTGATCCTATGAGTCCTTCTTGGCGGCAGCAGCGGCAGCCTTTCTGGCCAAGTAACGGGCCTTGGCATCCATGACTTGGTCGTCCTGGTTCTTGCGCTTAAGGGCCTCTCGGATAGACTCTTGTCGTTCCTTTTCTTCTTCCTCTTGCTTCTTCTCCTGCTCTAACAGTTGCCGTTCGATCTGCTCTGTCATCCTGGAACGCTGGTCGGCTGAAGGGTCCTCTTCCTCCTGGCCACGTCTACCTCCCCGAGATTTGGAGTTCTTATAATCGGCATATGCTCTGTCGCGGTCGTATCTCGAACGGTCGTCTCTTGAACGTGATGATGAGGATGACGATCTGTAGTTGTCGTTGGCGGAAGTTGGTTTCTTCCTCACGTTGAGTCCACCATAAAGTAACTCGTCCTTGTCGACGATTTGGCCCTCCTCGTTCACAGCAACTCTAAGTCCACGTTCCTGGGCGTCCTTTAGCAACTCTTGATCCGCCTTTTCTTTCTGTCGCTTCTCCTCCTCCAACAACTCCAGCTCCTTGGTCGCCGCAGCCAGTTGTTGAGGTGTCAACGAACCGGCACCCTCTGGTCTCATCCTTGACCGCTCATCCAAAAGGTTCCTATAAAATCCTTGCATCAACGACCCATCTTTATCCTTTGCCAACGCCTCCTCCTTCTTTCGATCCTCCTCCTCTGCAACCCGCATTGCCTCCTTCTGAGCCTTATAAGCGGGTGTAATAAACTGTTCCTTGTCCTTGAACTCCTCCCCCTCGCGTTCACGTTCACGTTCGATCCGCTTCTCGTCAGCAATCTGGCGGTCTCGTTTCCGGGTCTCGGCGGCCTCGAGGAGGGCATGGATGTATTTGGGTTTGCGTTCGGCGGATTCCTGTTTGCGGGCGAGTTCTCGCGCACGGTCTCCGGCCTTGAGTTGGTCGTAGATGCCATCGTAGTCAAAGACGGTTGCGTCCTGAGCGAGGGCGGCGTTCTGTAGTTCGATGACTGAGGTCGATTCGAGGGTTGCCGTTGCGTAGGAGCGGAGGGATTTGTTGACGGCCGAGGTTGAGTTTGTGGTTGCTGATGATGTTGTCGCTGATGTTGTTGTTGCTGAAGAAGGATGTGGTGGTGAGTCTGACATGGAGGGAGGAGGGAGGCGGGCTGTGGTTTTCCCCTTGGTTGGAAGTGGTGGTTGGTCGTCGAGGTTGTCTTCGTCTGAGCTGTGGTCTCCGAATGCGGCGAGTCCTCCCATGGGCCGAGAGGGTGCTGGTCGGGGCTTTGCGAGCACTGGGCCGCCCTTCTTCTTCATGTTGAGTCCGAACTGGAATCCTGACATGTCTGTCCTCTGCTTGTTTTGTTTGTCGGATGCGGCGAGTTTTGAAGAGTGATGGGAGAAGGCGAAGCAAAGGAGGTTGAGTAGCGAGTGTGAAATATCAAAAGAACAAGGCAGATGGGTGGCTTGTGTTTGTTCCCACTCCTACTCTCCGCCTGCAACTGGCCGTTCCTCCGCACGCGTCCATAACTTTACTTTTACTTTTTCCCCTCTCTTTCATTCACATATACACACACACATTCCTTTCATTCCTCTCACACCTCACCCTTCCCCCTTTCCATAATGTCGGCAATGCGTCATTTGCTGGACCTCTGCAAACGCAGAGGCTTCCTCTTCCAGTCCGCCGAGATTCATGGCGGCCTACGTGGCGCGTACGACTATGGTCCCCTGGGTGTCGAACTGAAACGCAACGTCTCCCAGGAGTGGTGGAACTCGATGGTCTACCAACGGTCAGATGTCGTCGGCATCGATACCGCCATCATCACCCCACCTGCCGTCCTCAAGACCTCGGGCCACGTCGACCAGTTCACAGACGAGATGGTCGATTCGCGGCTATCCAAGGAACGGTTTCGACCTGATAAGGCCCCTGCCCTGAAGCTGGTGGATCAGGATAAGGTGCTTCCGATCTCGGCGCCGGATAAGGTTACGGCCAAGGTGTGGGAACAGGATATCCGGACACAGTTTGCTAAGGGGGCGTTGATCACTCGTAAGGGCAAGGAGATCTTGCTCCAGGTCGAGAGGATGGAGAAGGACAAGATTGTCCTCAAGAAGGACACCGCCGCAGGGACAACAACATCAGGAGAACCCACGGACCTTCACATCCCCTATCACGGCTACGTCGACCCCAACTCCAATTCCCCCTTCCTCACAGAGTCACGTCCCTTCAACCTGATGTTTAAGACCTACCTCGATCCCATCGACCCCATCGACAAGGTCATCACCACCACCCTCGATGCTCAAAAGTCCCCCTCGACCTCCGATCTGGCCAGCACTCGCCAATTGGTCGACAAGACCCTCCTCCCTTCGCTCACCTACCTCCGACCCGAAACTGCTCAAGGTGTCTTTATCAACTACGCAACCGTCCAACGATCCCACCCGCACCTCAAGATCCCCTTCGGAATTGCCCAAATCGGAAAGTCGTTCAGGAACGAGATCCGACTGGAACATGCCATCTTCCGCACGCCCGAATTCGAACAGATGGAGCTCGAGTTCTTTGTCGCGCCCTGGCAGGCCGAGGAACAGTTTGTGGCCTGGAGGAAGTTTAGGATGGACTGGTGGAGGTATTATGGACGGAACCATGATCGGATCCGGGAGAGACCTCATGCACAGGACGAGTTAGCACATTATTCGAGCGGTTGTGTTGATGTTGAGTACTTGTTCCCCTGGGGTTGGGGTGAGGTTGAGGGAATTGCAAACAGAGGTGATTTCGATTTGAGCAAACATTCAGAGGCGACGGGGATCAAATTGCAATACACGGACGCGATCTTGATGCAGGAGAGGCAGGTGAGGGAGAAGGCTACGGGTGTCAAGGAGACGAGTGTCGAGGTCTTGGCCAAGGAGAGATTTACACCCCATGTGGTCGAGTCGTCGTGTGGATTGAACCGGGCCATGTTGGCGTTGATGCTGGATGCGATGGAGGTTGTTGACGAGCAGGGCAAGGTTATCCCCTTCCCCGGCGAGAGCGACAACAATTCAAGTAACGACAACGCGATTGTGAGCAAGGGAGTCCGGACGATCATGAGGCTGCACCCTCGTTTGGCGCCTGTGAAGGTGGGTATTATGCCCCTGATCTCGAACAACAAGGACTTGGTCGAGCTGTGCACAGGAATCAGCCAGTCGCTGCGTCAGGAGCTGCAGGTCAATGTGTCGTTGGAGACGCAGAGCACTACGATCGGGAAGCGGTATTACAGAATGGACGAAATTGGTACGCCTTGGTGTGTGACGGTGGACTATGAGTCGTTGCAGGATCGGATGGTGACTATCCGTGAACGCGATACAGGCGAGCAGAGGCGTGTCTCTACTGAGGAGGTTGTTGAGATTGTGAGGGACGGGTTGAGATTACATCCTCGTGGTTCTAAGCAGAAGACGATATATTAAAAGCTGCATACGAACAGATTAAGGGCTTTGAAGTCAGGAACTAAGCGCCACTAAAATTGCTTGGAGAGCAAAACCTAATGAAAGGCGGATGCTTGAACCTCCTTCTTGACAACGGATGAAGGACTTCAGACATGTGGGATGGAAGAATTTCATCCGAGCTGATGGCCTCAAACGATTCACCGACCTCGGTTACATTAGACGGATGTTCGTTTCCAAGGGTGTTGTGATCCACAATGTCGATGACCTCCCGTCGCCTTACCCACCAAGATGGACGCATGTTGCATAGGCAAAGAAGCTTGAGGGGCATACAGCCGTTGACTGTTTGTCAAGAAGGATTACCATAGTGATGTTTGTGAAGAGAAAGATCGGACAAAGGTTATCCCAAACAGCACCACTTCAGTGGGCCGTGTTTAGCCAATGGCTGGGTCGCACTAGAATTGAACTGACGGGCATAGAAAGGGTGGACATGCACGCTTTTTTTATTCCCGCCTGGACATGCATTCTGCCTATCATTATGGGTTGACGGTACGCACTCCATGTCTATGTGCGTAAATATACCCATAGCCATAAAAGTCGTCTTTAACATGCTTAGCATGTACCCTCACTCCCTTGTCGCTCACGACTCTTGAACGTTCATTCATTCCTTGACCCTTTATTCCTTTTCATTTTTCTTATTATTCCTTTCCTCGTCTTCCCTCTTCCCTCATTTTTCATCCTTCTTCCTTTTTCCTTCTTCTTTCTTTCTTCTTTCTTCTTCACTCTTATCTCTTTCCACACCCTCTTCTTCCATCTTTACCCCCCCCATCCCTCGCTCCCTAACCTTATTGCTCCTATTTATCTCCGGTCTCGTTTCCTGCCCCTTCGATCGGCGATTCCACAATTGCCAAAGAGCACCATTCACTTCAACATTTGACCACCAACCATTGTTTTTTTCCGCTTCTTCGTTTTTTATTTTCCTACTCCTTTCGTCTCGTGTCTTTCCTTGTGTTCTCATTAACGACATCATTCGCTCTTTTCCTGCAACCGTGTTCTTGTTTATCTACATACATTCCATCCCATCGATTGCTTAAAAGGAAGACTATTCGCCCTCCATTCTTCTTCTGTCTTTCCCCTTTTATTTTTTGTTCTGTGCTTTCTCTCTCATTTCACCATTGCACATCTATATCTAAATTATGAAACCTTTTGGATCTCTCATTCTCATTGCTGCATTCTTTCTAACTGTTGTCATCCCGGGCACCGCAGGTATCTACCTCTCTCCTCCTTGCCTATGCATTGCATAGTCGATGGGTGCACCCTGAGCACGGACGCTTTTAATTAATCAACGCCATCTCATCACTTTCACTCATCGCCTCCTTTGTATTACCACTAACGCACGTATACTTCCACAAACCTTGCATGCCACATCCCCCCCCCCCCTCCTCCTCCTCCTCCTCCTCCTCCTTCTTTCCTGTCACTCCATCAACACTCTTCTTTCCTCTCTTCCATCGCCAACCAAATTGACTAATTCGTGTCATCATCAGCCACAAGACCCCGCCGCCCACCACCACCGCCAACACCTCCCTGCCAATCAGCCTGCAACAGCGATTTCTACAAATGTCTGACTTCGCCTGAAAAATGCAATGAAGAGCGTGCCCGTTGCATGCGTGGATGCGACGGCAACTGAGCAGGATAAACCTCTTGTGCATCACTCCCCTCCTCAACTGGCAACAGGATGATACTGACTGTAGACTGATACCATTCGCCTTGGTTGAACACACTGAGGGTACACTTCCTCCTCCTCCTCCCCTGGCCCTTCCTTCTTCTCCCCCTCATTCTCCTCCCAATTCCTTGATCACCTCTCTCCTTCACTAATTCTGACAAAACTGATGCGCACACCTTCAACAACCACCACAGAAGAATAAACAATTTTGCAGACCAACAAGTTGGTCTGATTTGGAAGCAACAAAGCCGTATCTATTTGTCTGTCTTCTATCTATGAGGTGGACATTTTGTTCCTTACCCCAGCACGGTCTACATATACATGCAACAGTCAAAACGAAAATGAGGCTTCACGAAAGCGAAGGAAGAAGGGATACGGAAGAACTTACAAGCGGTTGGATCATTTGCAGTGCAGCACTCTGGTATTCTGACATAACCCTTCCTTTTTTTTCAGTTTGTCACCTTTTTTTTTCATCGTCTGGCTTCTTGGGGTTCTCTCTCTCTCTTTTTCTGTGGGTTCGCAGGAACACCATATAATAAGATAAGGACACCACATCACGCTAGCGTTCTCCTTCTTTCACCACCACCCTTTTTCTATGTTGTTCTGAGTTTGTAATTTATTTGTGTTCGAAGGGTTGGAATGCATCTGGACGCTTGGGTGTGTTCTTCTCCATCGAATCGCTCTGTCCAAGATTGTCTCTCCGTCTCTGCTTTCTAGCTCGCTCCTTCTTTTTCAAGAGAGAAAGTAATATATGTTCAAGAAGCGTGCGACGGTTCGCGAACACTGTCAAAGGTAAGCTCGCATTGCTTGATGTCCTAACATGTTCATTTTATTTTGTTTTACTATCTAGAACTATCCACCTCGATGCAACATTAGAACCACGGCTCACACAACACCCTTTGTCCACCGCGCTTCTCGTTCTAGAAACCGTGACTCTTTTCTTCAGTCCTTGTCCACCGCTTCGCCATTCTCTTGATCCACTAGATTGTCCGCCACGTTTGTCGACCTAGAGCTAAGACGCTTCAGATTAACTCCCTTGTCGATCCACTAGTCCCTAGACCTTGTCCACTGCGCTTGTCGACCTAGAAATCATGACTCTCTTAGTTTGTCCATACCCACCACGTTGTTCCACTAGAACCACGGCTCACATTATACGTACTCCAGGGAAAACACGAAATAACGCGTCTTGAGCAACAAGCAAAGCTACTTCCACCGTTCAAGGCTTTCACTGACATCATGGCAACCACAAATGTGAGCAAAAGAAGAAGGGAAGGAAAGGAAGGCAACAAAAAGAGTGTGGCAACCACCAGTGAGTCGAGCCTTGAAGGGAGTAATATCAGTTGTCTAATATCCCTGAGAAAAGGCACTGTCTCTGTCGTGGCGGCGGTGTTGTTGGAGGGGGTATTAAGTTGTGGAGGGGTGTGGAGAAAAAGAAATAAGGAAAAAGCGTAGCGCGCCTTTTGAACGGTTCGCGATTTGCGTGATCTTAGAAGAGAGCAGTCACGCGATCATAGCGCTGGTGGCTGAACTCACCTTCAGCACAAGACGACGAATCGCTTTTCTTTCAGAAGTGATGGCACTCCCCTTCTAACGTTCCCCTTTTCAACGCTCAAACGACAAACCCCATAAAACAACAACGACAATCACATGGCACCAGGAGCAAAAGTGCAGGTGCGTACAGGAGAGATGAGCAACAGCGAATCGACATCCTCATCCTCAATTTCATTCTCCTAACAACCGGGAATCAAAGACAAATAACAGGCTAACCGCTTTACCCATTTTTGCTTTTGTTAACATCCATAGGCGTCAAAACTGTCGCCAAAGGTGACAGAGGCGATGATCAGGGCGCTGTTCGAACACATCGGACCCCTCGACAATATTATCCTTATCCCCAGGTACGCATCCCGGAAAAGAAAAGACAAACAAAAGGGCGCGATTGAGACTCTCGCGCTTTTCTTGTCGTGGAAACGCTCAACACTGACCATTACGCAAACAAAAAGAACATGAACTGATCAACTCTACTCTTTTTTTTGGAAACACCGTGCGCGAATCTAGTCCCCTTGGAGCAGGCTACGAGGCAATCATCGAGTTTCAGGAAAAGGATGCAGCACTCACAGCAACCCATCTCACAGGAACGATCTTTGGTGGACGAGCCCTGGCCATCACCCAAATGGATATCACCCTGCCTGCAACCACTGCCAACGCCAACGCGCCACGCCCCTTTAACAATATGACTATGCAACAGCAACAGGCACAAAATGCCATCAACGGATCATCGGGATTGACACAACACCAACAACAACAACCAGGGAACCCCATAATCCGAATGGGCGCAACTATCCACCACCCACAGTTCGGCCACTCAATGGGCGGTATGGGCAGCCAGTACCCACCCATGTATCCCAACCCACACATGACCCTCTATAACCCTAACATCATGCCGCCACAGTACCATCAACAACAGCAATTGCACCAGCAACGACTCTTGGAGCAGGCCAACGACCCCTCCAAGTCGGAGTCCAAGACTGTTTATGTCGGTAATTTGCCCTTAACTGTGACCAAGGAGCAACTGGAAGAGGTCTTCCGCGACTGTGGTGTCGTCACTCGCGTCAACATCACCGGCAAGGCTACCCACCCGACCCGTTTCGCATTCATGGACTTTGATACCGTCGAGGCTGCCAGGAAGGCTCTTGCCAGCACCGACAAGGTTATTGGTGACCGCACCCTCAGGTACTTTTTCTCTCTTTGCTTTATCCTAGACTCGTTAGAACATATGCTTGCGTTTCGCCGTAAGCTGACCTTTAAGTTGTTCTGATCGATATATAGGATTAATCCACCAAAGCACAGTGGACCACTGCCATACATGATCCAGCACGCTCAGATGATGCAGTCTCCCAGCATGATGCAACCACAACCGTCTCAACCAACTGCCATGGACGCTACCAGGACTCGCTACAAGAACATTCTGATTAAACTTATCAACCGTGGGGGCGACCCTTCTCTGTTGAAGAAACTGGAAGAACTCGAAGCAGGAGGACCCCTGCCGGATATGAGCGGTATTACAGGACTCTCGCCAGATCTGGCTGCACTAAACAACGAAACTGCCTCGCCTTCCGCGGAGCAGCCAGCTGCAGCGGCTGCCGCAGGACCTCCCCAGACAGCTGCAGCGGCTGCCGCAGGACCTCCCCAGACAGCCGCCAGTCTGTTGGAGAAGCTGGTTTCCTCCTCCAGGAGACGATCGCGATCTCCAAGCCGGTCCAGGAGTAGTGCGCTGACGTCTTCTCGGAGAAGGAGTCGCTCGCGCTCGGCAGAGAGGGACGATTACTATAAGCGCAGTGGATCGAGTTCTAGGCGGTCCAGAAGACGGTCGCATTCGCGGTCCAGATCCCCTTCGCGGTCAAGGTACACTTCCTCGTCGCACCGGAGCTCGCGCGCACATGATGTCGATGATCGTGAACGCGACCGTGAGCGCGAGCGCGGTGACCGTGAGCGCGAGCGCGGTGACCGTGAACGTTACGAGTCCTCGTCGTCGTCTTCGCGGAGACGGGAGAGGGATGAGCCAAGCCGGAGCAGTCGTAGCTCACGGGGACATGCAGAGTCGAGTCGTCCTCGAGACAGGGATCGTGAGCGTGAGCGGGAGCGCGACCGTGATCGGGAACGACACCGCGAATAACGTCTCCTCCTTTTTTGGAGCGAGCTTGGCGTATGGTTCACGAATTGTGGTCGGTGATGAAGAATAATAAACCTGTGCGCCCTGTGCACTCTGCAAAATATCTTGACTTGTATGTATGTGATGTGTTTGTGTTTGTATTGAGATGCTGGATGCTAAAGATGCAGAATGTAAAAAGAAAAAGGGGAAAAGGAAGAACTAAAATACAAGAGAAGGAGGATATGTGTTGAGTTTACTTCTTCTTGGAAGAAGAGGTCTTGATTTTACGCTTCTTGTCGGCCTTAGGGATCTTGTTCTTGCGCTTCTCACGGGCCTCCTCCTTGGACTTGAGTTTCCTATCCTTCTTGGCGTCCTTGTCTTCATTCCGCTTGCCGCGCGATTGTTTCTTGAAGTCGTCGTCGTTCGAGTCGTATTCGTATTCCTCATCGTCCTCATCCTCGTCCTCGTCGTCTTCGTCAGTGTTGTCGTCATCCTCGACCTCGGCTTCGTCGTTATGTTCCTCTGCGGCAACGGGTTCGGGAACCTGCTCTTCCTCTTCCTCGACTGACTCGGGCTCGGCCTCAACCTCGACCTCGGCGACGACCTTCTTGGATTTTTTCTTCTTCTTCTTCTCCTCACCCTCAACCTCACCGCCCTCCTCGACAACATCGGCCTCGGCCTCGACGTCAGCAGACTTGGACTTCTTTTTCTTCTTCTTCTTCTCGCCCTCCTCCACCTCCGCACCTTCAGTCTCGGGATCGACAGTCTTGGACTTTTTCTTCTTCTTCTTCTTCTCCTCGCCCTCGGCCTCGCCACCTTCCTCCTGAACATCAGCCTCGGCTTCGGGATCCACAGACTTGGACTTCTTCTTCTTCTTCTTCTTCTCCTCGCCCTCGACGGCTGGGGCCTCCTCTCCCTCCTCCGCATCATCATCCTCCTCAAAGGCAACGGACTTCTTGGACGACTTCTTCTTCTTCTTCTTCTCCTCCTCCACAGGCGCAACGGCAGAAGGTCGGTCATCAACATTCTTGATACCGGTCATCTTGGTATACAACAGCTCCTCAGTATCGCCCTCCAAGACCTTGCGGACATCTCTCTCGACATCAATGACCTCCTGCAAATGGCGAGGGATATACGACTGTGAAAAGACGGCATCATCAACCTTCCTCTTCTCGGCCTCAGCCTCAGTCTCGTTGACGGGCATGGCGGTCATGATCCGCTCCAGCTCTGCATCCATCGATTCGTCCGCCATATCGATCGAGACATCGGTAATGAAATCAAACAACTCCTTCTGGCCCATGACGGCCACGCGCTTCTTTCGGAAGTAGTCCGAGACGTTGGTGATGTCCATTCGCAAGAAGTTGAACGCGTGCGGGTGGTCGTGCTCGACGGACTGCGAGACGTCGATGATGTAGAGCGTCTTGGAGTGGTAGAGGATGTTGTACTCGGACAGATCGGCGTGGACCAAGTGGCAGGTCTGGTACATGATCCTCATATACTTGACCAGCTGGAAGTACAACGATGGGTACCGGTCTGTATCAATCTGGGCATCCTTGAGTCGAGGGTACGCCCATCCGTTCTTGTCTCCCAAGAAACCCATCACCAACACATGCATCCTCAAGACCAAAGGCTCAGGGGACGGGATACCGGCCTGGTGGATACGCTTCAAGTTACGCATCTCCTTCTCGGCCCAGATCTTGACCATCTTACGCGGGTTGCTCTTATTGTATCCATGTCGGAACCGGTACTCTCCTGAGACGTAACGATCACGATCCTTAAAGACCAAAATCGAGGTCTTGTAGATCTTGATAGCCCGATGTTCTCCGGTTTCTGTCCTGGCGTGGTAGACGTTGGCTTCCTTGCCGGTACTGATACAGCCGTTGACCTCGTAGATGATGTTGCGGTTCAGCATCTTGAATAGGATGATACGTGTGCGCGGATCCAAAACTTGATCCGATGTTGCTCTGTCCGACTTGTCCGTGTTCTTCGCCCTATTTTATGTATCACAAATTATGTCAAGACTTTGTTAGTTTCTCCCCCATTCTGTGAACCTTTTTTGTTTGTACCTTTGATCCCGACATGAGCCATGAAAGTAAAAAAGTAAGCTTTCTGGTCATTACCTGTCTCCAGATCCTTTCTTACTACCAACATTCCCACGCTCCTGTGGTGCAGCAACACTAGTTGCACCCAAATGCAAACGTCCCTCGAATTTAGAACTAAGCGCATCAATCTGGTCGCCCAACATGGTCGAATCCTCGCTCTTCTCCTGAATTACATCCGAAGCCTGTGCTGCTGCCTGTGCTGCCTTCTTGGACGCCTTGGCGGCGGCAGAGGTGGCTTTGCGGGGCTGGTTTGCGGCGGGTGCGGAGACGACGCCGGTGAGGTTTGTGGATTTGTTGGGTTGGAGTTGTTGGCGAAGGCGGTTGTACTGCTTTGTGAAATCTGTGAGCAAAAAAAAAAAAAAAAAAAAAATAGAAAAAAGATATGCATGATGAAGTTAGGGGAGCTGAATGGTATAGGAAAAAAAAAACAATGGGCGTGTCCGTTGGGTTGGTGGGGTTTTGTATATTTACCTCCGGTAGCGTTATCCCAGCCATCGAAATCGTTCAATTCATCCTCGAGGTCGTTCAGGTAGTCGCTATCAAAGTTCTCCTCGTCTTCCTCGGCCTCGTTATTATCAGAGTATTGAGCGTCAATGACTTCAGTCTCCTGCTGCTGCTGCTGCTGCTGGTGCTGCTGGGAGTGCTCCGCCTCTTCGGGCGCGTGCTCGGTGATAGTTGCCATTAGGTATGAATGAATGAATGTAAGGTGAACTCCTGATGGACAAAGCAAAGCAGAAGAGAATGAGGTTCGCCGCAGTTCTTCAATAGAAAGGGAAAAAAAAAGTGCCTTGATATTTGTGTGGCTTGGATGTTTTCAAACCAAGCAGACAGCGGTTGCTCAGTAACGACTGGTAATTGACGATTGCAATTGCACGATGTGTAATTGCATAATTGACTATCTCACGTGATGGATTTCGGATGACATCACTCGGACAAAAAAGGTGGTAATTAATTAGTCGAGAGACACTTAGGAGACGTCAAAATAAACATGGTTCTTCGGAACCGGCAACAATACACATTTCAAAGGCATGGTGACAAGAGAGATGAATGGTCATAATACGTATTTTATACATTAGAATAGGCATGTTGGTCGTCTAGTATGATACAGGTGGTGGTGGAGTAAGTGAATATTGCGGTTGTGGTTGTGATTGTGGGAGAGGATCAAGGATTCGTCGAGACCGCTTCCGTTGAAAGACGCGGACATTATCCTCGGGTTTCAGCATCGGGTTCTCTACCCACTCTGTCGGATCCAGTACCGCGTCCTCTGTCAAAGAAAATGTCGAAGAAGAGGAGGCTGGTGACAGGTACACTCCCTTCTTCTCTCCGCTGGTTCCATTGGAGAGCATACCCATCTCGCCTAGGGATGCACGGCGTTGTGCCTGTTGTGCTTGGAGGAGGTCAACGTGTTTTGTGCACCGCTCTTGGACGAGGGTAAATCTGCCGACTTTTGTGCCCGGAGTGAATGTTCGTCCGGAGGAGCTGGGATTGGGTGAGTTTGAGCGGGAGCTTGATGCGGGGGTTGAGGATGCTGAGGATGATGGTGGTGGCGGTGGGGTGCAAGCTTGTGGTGGGCGGCGATGCTGGGTGTTGTTGGTCAGCTGTTGGTCGGAAAGCGAGAGCGGCATTGATTTTCCTCGTTGGTGATGATGAGCCGCTGGTCCAATGGAAGTTGGAATAGCAGTTTCTGTCAGATGCATGTTCGCAGACCCGAGACCCTTTGTCGTCGTCGAGGGTTTGGTGGCATTCTTTCCAGACCTCCCATGCGCAAGATTCTGCCGTGAACTCTTAGAAGCCGCAGGAGGAGGAGTCACCAAAGGCGGAGGCGACAACTGCGCTAGACTATCATCAGTTCTCTCCTGTTTCCACTGCATATCGAGAGGATCACATCTTTCCTCCTGGGGCGACTCCATGCTATTGAGATCGATTTGTCGCGATAAAGGTGATGGTGAAGGCGAGCGGGTCCTTGAAACACCACTCCGCGAAGAATGGCCGCCGCCTGATCCTGCAGGGACGCTACCTCGGGACCTGGGCGTGTGGAGGGCGTGCATTGCCAGGGTATGACTCATGGATGGAGGGGCTGGAGGGACAGTGAGCTGTGGGTTCTTTGTTGGCGTTATTGGTGTTGAGGGCTCAAGGAAGAGGCGAGGCGTCGATGTTGTCGCTGCTGGATCTCCTCCTACTGCTGCTCCTCCTGCTTGCAAAACATCCTGCACATCACTCGCCTCTCCACTCTCACCAGAACCACCCTCCAACTCCAAAGCAATAGCAGTCAAAGAAGTGAAAGACGGTCTACGCCCGAGATCCTGCGAAAGCTGAATAGCATCCTTGTTACCCGGTCGTGGCAACTGCTGCTGCTGCTGCTGGTCAGCACGCTTCAAAGAAAGAACCCCAGACGAAGTCAGGTGTCGCGCTCGGTCAATCTCAGATCCTGCTGTTGCTGTTGCTCTTGATCCTGCGGCGGGCATTAGAACTGCGGGGGAGCAAGAGTTCCTACGGCGCTGTTCATGAGTCGGTACTGGAGGCGATAATGTCAAAGGAGTTGATGCAGGTCCTAACCTGGACGAGGACGAGGGTGGTGATGCTCCATAGGAAAGACCAGAAGAAGGCAGAGACGACTGAGGTTTGAGCCTGGGCGAGTTTGGCGCACTGCTGCCAACAGGCGCCGGAGCCCGCGGCCGAGTCAGAAAAGATCCAGAAGTAATCGGGAGAGACAACGTCGAAGCAGAGGGGAGAAACATGTTGTTGTTGGACACCATCGCATTCGTGCTCGTCATCGCTGCTCCATCCCGCACAGGGTCAGACCAGAACTGCGGATCCCAAATTTGCGTCCTTCTCAAAGACCCACCACCAAAGCTCCCATTGCTACCCACTGTCAGGTTCCCCTCCGAGTTGAGCGTATTCCCCGCAGACCCCAAAGTCACATACTCTGGTCCAAGCAACCCTCCAGATGGCGGTGGTGTCAACTCTGTAGTACTGCTCCCGCGCCGGCAGTTTTCATGGATCTCGTTCCCAATAAACTGCGAGTCGTATGTCGTCGGGTCATCCTCATCCTGCACAATCGTGATCCCTGCAAGTTTGGCAAACTCGGTAACCGACAAGTCCTCCGAGTGCAACATGTACATCCCGCCCGTCCCGGCTATCGGAGAAGTGGCTGCTGCGGCTCCGCCCACTGGAAGAGAGAGGTAATGACTCTGGAGGGGTAACGAGGGCTTCCGCTTGGAATACAAGAAGGCCATCTTACCCACCCAACCCTTGGAGGCGAGTTTCGAGGTCGAAGGTGATGATGATGGCGAGTCGTCCCTTCTACTTCTGTCCTTGTCCTTGCCGAAGAACCCTTGTCCAGACATCCGGCGTTGTTTAGGAGAAGAGGGAGGTGTTGTTGTGGAAAGCGTAGGTGAATGAAGGAGTGAGAAAGGCGACCTTGGTTGAGTCGGTGTTGTGGTTGCAGTGGGTGGTGGGCTGGGCGATGATGATGATGATGATGATGATGTAACTGGTCCAAGGATGCCTAACGACCTAAGGGACGCCCTAAACCCTCCCCCACCACCGCAGCCGATGGTGTCGGGGATGGGTGGAGGGGTCATCGGTGGAGTGGCAACAGCAAAATCGCGGTTCTTGCAACTACCCCGTCGTTCAAAGACCACATCGGTGACTTTTGTCGGTAGGTTCTCTGAACGTGTCGAGGCGATCGTGGCATGGGCTCTAAAGTCGGATATAGTCTTCTACGTTCAAGACCACCATTGTGTCCAAAAACACACAGACACACAGACATACAAAGCATGCGCAGACAAAGTGGGGAGGCAAGTTGCAGGATAAGAGAAAGGGGGCAGAGGAGAAGGAGGACAAAAAAGAGGAGGGGAGCAAGGAGGTAACAAAAAAGATAAGAAAAGAAGGCAAGGGGAAAGAGGAGTAGGATGCAAGGTGTAAGTGTCTTTTTTTCATTCAATTGTTGTTGTTATTCGCATTATCGCATTCATTATCCCGTTGTGGTCAGACTATAACTGACCCACATACACCCACACACCATTGTTATGAATGGATAGATGGACATGGTCGTACACGAAATGCATCAATTCATGCAAAACAAACTAGCATACAATAAAATAAACAAAAAAGAACAGAGAGAAAAACTTACATTATATCCGGAATGCACTGTGCCTGCTGAAGTGCTGATGTTGAAGTTGTTACTGCTACCACTAGCACAGTTATTTCCCGAGTACATGTTCGACATAAAAGGCATCCCACGACCCTCGGGAGGAGGTGAGACCACGGTTATTACCCTCCTTCGTCTCTGCTGCTCCCTTTCCCTCTCGACCGCTGCGTTGTCCCTTTTGTCGACATTGCTCGTACTACCACCACTCACGCCTGTTCTCCCAGCTGATTCTTGTTGTTGCTGGTCCTGTGACCGATGAAATACATGGTAATGCGACTGCAAGAACCCAAAAAACCCTCCCCCTCCGCCTCGGCGGAAACAGGATGCAGGGTTGGCATGTTTAGAGGAAAATAATCGATGACTGTGGTTGTGGGCAGGACGATGATGGTGAGGCGCCTGTTGGTGATGCTGGGGCTGTTGCTGGGGCGACAAGGGTGACTGTAGCTGTTGTTGGTCTTGTTCAGAACGGGATTGCAGATGATGGGTCTGAAGTGGTGACAGTAGCTTGGATAATCGGAACCGTGGAGATTCCTTTCCGCCTGTACTCGTTTGCTGTTGTTGTTCTAGAGGAGATGGTGGTGTGGCAGCGGGTGTTGCGATTGGGTTACCATGCTGCGAAGTAGAAGTACGACCAGCCGATGAGGGTGGAGAGAATGGTTGTTGTTTTTGTTGCTGTTGATATTGCTGAATGCTCCTTGTCTTTCGGTGGAGTGTCGAAGAGGACGAGGCAGGGGGGCTGATGATAGGAGTAGTTACCATAGCCATGGCCATCAATTCATTTTTCTCTCTTTTGCCCTCTCGTCTTTTATGTGTTGTAATGACCTTTGTCGCTTGCCTGTTGTTTTGGTGTCTGTTGCAGTCGTGCTTGTCGTGGTGCCTTTGTCGGTTGGTTGTATTTTCAGGGGAAGATAAGGCGAGGAGGTGCGGAATGGATGTGGATATCAATGCGTGGGAGAAGTTAGGCCTCTTTGTCCTTGGTTCAATGAATGTGGAGAAGGAAAACGGAGGGGGAAAGAGGATATGTGTAAAGTAGAAGTAGAGGAGGATGAAGGGGGAGTTGGAAGTGAAGATGTGGTAGAAGTGAGGAAGGTGAGGAAGGTGAAGAAGGTGAAGAAGGTGGAGTCCAAAGAGACTGGAAAGAATGGGCGTGAGAGAAGTGGACAGGTGACGATGAACCTTATTACGTTTGGCGTTTTGTCTCACACTTCGGGTAGGTAGTCGTAAAGTCGTAACGAGGGTGGAGCGCAATAAGTGAGTACAAAAGGACAATGGTGGAAGAGAAAAGAGAAGGTAGATATAAAAGCAAAGCGAAGGATAGAAGTAACGATAATTAGAAAGTAACGAAGGGGAGAAGTATTAAAAAAATGAAAAGCAAGGAAAGAAAGAAGGAAAACGAGGAAAGAAAAAAGGTCATTAAATAGGCGAACCACTGCTGCTATTACTTGGTACTATGTGATGACCATGCATTGACACCCACTTTTTTCTCAGCCCATTGCAAGCTACATACTCTTTAGTGAGTTTACACACACCCTGCCAATGGAAATTGGTCAGTGACAGTTGGTTGACAAGGGAAAGAAATGACCGCATCAACAACAACAACAATCTCCATCTACCCTCCCCTTTCTTTTTCCTTCCTTTTCATCCTTGGCCAATTGCCAATTGTCCCTACAGTCCCCCACCAAAACCTTCCCTAGATGAGGCGGGAAAGGGGGTTGGAGACAAGGCAAAGGGAAGACAGATGATAAAACGGTGTCTATTGTGTCCAACTAACCAACCTTCGTGATCCAGATATCCTCCAACCTGCATCCTACCCATCTCCATACATGCCCAAACTACTTCTCTCCTCGCTTTTTTGGTTTCTTTTGTCTTTGTTGTTTCTCTTTAGCTTCGTCGACGTCCTTTGTTGAATGTCCAACAATGTACCGGTACGTACATCTATCCACCCGCCCATCTTGTCGCAACTTTGCCGAAGTCCTTACTACCTTCCCGTCCTTATTTTCTTGTACTTTCTTTACAACGCCTTTCCGCGTGTTTACAATCACCTTCCACACCCCTCTTCGATCTATCTACAGCTAGACATCGCCGTGTCTCCGTTCTTCCGTTTTTTTTTCTAGTCCTTTTCATTTCTATTTCGTTTATTTTTAATGCTCTCACATGGATGGACTCCTTGCAATAATTAGATGGCCAGAACAAATCCCGGGATCGATCATCCCTTCGCCTTCTCACTTTATTTACACCACAGTTGCACAAAATGATGGGGCTGACTGCTGACTGGTTTCGATGGGCTCTCGAGGAGGAACATTGTTCACTGTCAATGGAACAAAGAAAGGAATGCGACTGCCGACAGTGAAAGCGATGGAGGACAGTGACAGTGATAGAGATCGAAAATGTATGCACACACCATGCGTAACTCTCTCTCTCTCTCTCTCTCTCTCTCTCTCTTACATCCTCCATTCATCGCCTCTTCGAAATAAGCAAACATAGAATGGGATTAAAAGGGACCAATTGGCTTCCTTTTCATATGTTTATCCCCCTGTTCCGATAGTTCATTCTTTTTTCTTTTTTATTTTTCTACGTCGAATTCTGTGAATGCGATTGCATTTGCGATGCGACGTGCATTACTGCTCCCCCTGCTTCAAATGCTCAAATGCTCTGTACTTCATGCACCTAGGGTAAGGGCAGATGGACAGGGAGCGTGACAATACAATAGGTAGAATAGGGCCATGCACGGCTCTTCCTTCCCTAGCCTCCTTTTCTTTTTTGAGCCCTTCCATTTTTGTTTTTTTTCGCCCTTTTTTTTGTTAATGGTATTTACTATCTATACGTTGCCTTCTATTTATTCTTGGTGAAAGCAACGCATTCTTTGAAGGCTCTAAGAACAGCTTAAAACTTTGTCGCGAAAAGAGTTTTTTTTTGGGCCTCACAATGGAACATCGACTGGAAAGAAGCGGTAACGATCACTCCATCTCTATCCCCACTCCTCCTACGGCGCTTCCTAATTGGCTCCCAAAGAAACGCGTGTATGCTAGTAACTCGAGGCTATCAACCCGCAGAAAGGCGAAAAAAAAAAAAAAAAAAGCCCCTTCTTAATCTCGACCTTACTTGAAAACCGCCCGCCACCTTCGTTCAACTTAATTCCGGTGGGGGGTGTGTTTGCTGACCCTCATTCGACTTGCCTTCCTCCTCCTACTCCTCCTCTTCCTCCTCCTTCTCCGATCATCAAATTACTGGAAATCCAGGATTTCTTTTCCTGGTAAATACCAAACGCCAACCCAGCAACAATAGCCTCCTTAGCTAACTCGACATGGCATGACATGACCCTTGACAATCAAACCCCCTTAGCCATTTTGTGCTTACAGGCTCTCAAATAAGAAATCAAGCAACTCCTTTGTCTTCCTCCATATAATTCGATCACTCCTGTTACCGGGGACAGTACAGCTCACCCAGTCATCCATCCTTTCTTTTTCTTCCTTATCATATCCTTGATTGTTGGCAAGCGAAACGTTCGTGATATATCTTTTTAATTTTTTGTTTTTTTACAATGGTTAAAGAAAAAAATGGTAATGGTAGATGGTTGGTTAAAAAAAAAATGCAATGCTCAAAAATCTTCTCCTTCTTCCTCTCTTTGCTCCTCTCGGCGCTACTACTCGTCCTCGTCCTTGCTTTAGAAAACGTTCTGGAGCTGCAGGCGAGGAATGACGTTCATGGACTGCAACTCCTGGAAGAGAAGCTTGCAGGCATAGGGGATCTGCATCTTGGCCATACCCTTCGAACTCTTGCAGTGCTGGCACCAACCTGCATATCCCAACAGTCCACACATCTCACACACATGAATCTCAAAGATATCTGATGAGATCATCAATCTCTCCAGCAATAACATACTCGCTCCGTAACCAATCAAACAATCTATTTAAAGGAGGTGAGGCAATGACATGAAGTTAGTTTCAATTGCAAAGCATCATGAGCATACGACATAATAAACACGGCAAGGATATTTACCGCGCTCCATCTCTCCGAGACGAAGACCTCCGTCCCTGGAACGACCCTCAGTGGGCTGACGGGTCAAGACAGCACGAGGACCACGCGAACGCGAATGCATCTTGTCCATAACCATATGCTTCAGCTTCTGGTAATAGACTGGTCCGAAATAGATATACGCCGACAAGGGCTCTCCTGTCACTCCGCTCGTCACATAATCCTTGCCCGAGTACGAGAATCCATTCTCAATCAAGATTCGACTCATGTCCTCGACCTTGGATCCTCCGAAAGCAGTACCGTACTGCAACTCACCCTTCAATACTCCTGCCTTGCCCGCCAACAACTCAATCATCTTTCCGACCGTCATACGAGATGGGAAACCGTGGGGGTTCATGATCACGTCGGGGCAGACTCCCAGATCTGAGAAGGGCATGTCCTCCTGTTGAATAATAATACCGCAGACTCCTTTCTGTCCGTGACGAGACGAGAACTTGTCTCCCAACTCGGGGCGACGCGTCTGTCGAATCAACGCCTTGATCAGCGTCTGGTCGTTATCCGTCGTCGTCATCAGAACCTTATCGACATAACCCTCCATACCACTCTTGTATGACATGGGCGCGTTCTTGTAGGCGTTGGCGGTGGGGTCCCGAGAGTTGACACCGATATCTGAGCTGGTGTTGGTCGGCATCTGCTTGTTGATGTAGACCTGGCCGGGCTTGATCCTCTCTCCAACCGACGCAATACCGTCCTTATCCAGAACCTCGTACTTCTCCTGCACAGTGTTGGGATCGTCAGGGTGGACTGGGGGATCCGCCAGACGATCGTAGCTTCCGTTGGGGTATTGACGGAGAAGGGTGGCGTACTTGCGGAGGACCTGGCAACGACCATATCCGCGATCGAGCGAAGCCTTGTTAAGTACCAGGGCATCCTCAATATCGTATCCAGAGTTGGACATGACAGCAACGGTAGCGTTCTGTCCGGCAGGCAGCTTGTCGTAGCCAATCATCTCGATGGTCTTGGTCTTAACCATGGGTTGCTGAGGGTAGACCATCAGGTAGAGCAGAGTGTCGATACGGTTCAGCTGGTTGTAGGCAATGGCTCCAATGGCTTGTTTACCCATAGCACACTGGTAAGTGTTACGGGGCGACTGGTTGTGATGGGGGTAGGGAATCAATCCTGCGACGGCTCCCAAAATGGTGAAGGGTTCGATTTCAACGTGCGTCGACTCAGGAATAATCTCGCGCTCGTAAAGGGCAATGTTGGAATCGCTCTCCTCGTTGACATCCAGATACTCGATCAATCCCATTCTCAAAAAGTCGTCGAACGCCAACTTGCCGGCAGACAGCTGCTCAATGTGTTCCGTCCTGACGCGGGGCTTGCCGTTCTCGACAATAATCAAAGGTCTGCAAATACGACCACCATCGCAAGAGATATGGACAGAGTTGTGATGGTCGCTGATAAAGATGCTGACGAACTCCGAGATCCTGCCAGCTCTGCGCATACGGCGGAAAGCAGACACAAACTGTGCGCTGTGGCGAGTGATTCCCAAAATGTTACCGTTCAGGAACACGAGGAAAGTATCCGGCAAGTATACCTCGGGACCCGTCAACAACGACACATCTATCACATATATAGTTAATTAAGGATTAGTTCGTTGATGTCCAGATGTTGAAAGTAGGAATAGCAAGGTCGCGCAGGCAGAAAAGTTACCTTCACATCCAAGGATGTAGGAAAGCTTCACGAGAGGAGCTTCTTCGTCGTCGACTGTAATATGTGTCATCAAGGCCAAGTTCTTGACAAGACCGCAGGCCTCTCCTTCAGGTGTATCGGATGGACACAACATTCCCCACTGAGAAGGCTGCAGTGCTCTTGGTCCGGAAACCTTTCTCGTCTTTTCGAACTGGGACGAGATACGGGTCATCATTCCGAGGGCGGCAATGAAACTCAGGCGACTCAGCACCTGTGTGACACCAGCTCTCTCCATCCTGAAACGCTTCAAACTCCAGTTTCCTGATGAAATGGCGCGAACAAAACCAGATGTGATGTGATCTCCATGGAAAAGAAGCTGACTGTACACGTCGAATTCCTGCGTCCTGTTTGGCTTCTTAAGCACCTTGTCGATGTTCATCTTCAAATCCGAGTTGAACTTTTTGAACAAATCCTCAAACAACAGCGACAGCAACTGTCCAGCCCTATTATCGTTGAGCATCAAGTTACAGAGATTATTAGAGAACTTGTTCCGAATGTGACAAGCAAACATGAGAGCACACGAAGATTAGGAACTTACAACTCGAGACGCTTGTTTCCGACATAATCACGGTCATCGACCAAATCTCCACGAAGCATGGCCATCACAACACGGCGTGTCATAACAGCGACGTAAATGCACTTGGGTCTGAAGTTGTTGTCAAAGACCTCCACGTGTGCCAAAACAACAGAGCCAAGAATCTCCAGTGCCTCCTCCGACTATTTTCACAAGGAAATAATGAATGTCAGTAATGGGTCAAAATACATTTCACAATACAATAATAAAAATAAACATCCAAGAGAGGTCAACTTACGGCGGGTCTGCGGAGGCCGGGTCCGAAGGAGCGCTTGCGCGCGTCAATCTTTGATCCGATATAGTCCAATGCCTGCTGCTGGGTGAAAATCTTCATGCTGGAACACTCTTCGAGGTTGGGCGAGAACTTGTCGATGTATTTTGAATCCTGTCCGCAGACAAGCTGTGTGATCTCCTTGTCCGACTGCATGCCCATAGCCTTGAGAGCAACAACGATAGGGATATCTTCCGAGATAGAGTTGTGCTTGAGATAAATCTTGCCGTGCTTGGTGCCAACATATGTCTTGGACTTGCGCTCCATTGTAGAACTATCATCAAGTCACGTACAGTCAAACGAAATTGTTAGAATTGTTGCGTCCATGTCACTTTTCACACTGATATCAAGAGATTGCGCCTGTAAAGGTACCTGGTAACTCCGGCCTGGACGAATCCCTTGCGATCGACATCAACAATGATACGATTCTTTGACATCTGCTCCTGAACTAAAATGACCTTCTCAACACCCTTGACAACAAAGTATCCACCTGGGTCCAATGGGCACTCGTTCATCTTTGCCAACTCCAACTCATTCCTGCCAGTAAGAACGCAGTGTGAACTCCTGAGCATGATGGGCATTCTTCCGATGGGAACTCCCTTGCGCCTCACAATCTGGCGACCACGGACGTATTCAATGTCGACATAGATGTTAGCAGAATAGGTGAGATCGCGAAGACGACATTCGTGTGGTGTGTATGATCGGTTCATGGCCTCCTGGTCAGGTCTCTCGGGTGCGCCCACTCTGATTCCGGTATATCTATTGCGATTGAAGGAACGCGCTATGGTTAATTACAATTTGGTTATACACCCTCCGCAGCGACAAGAGCTATCATCATGAATGCTCTCCATGGAAGCTTTACAGCGAGCCACGACGATGCTTACTTGAGGTAAAAGTGAGGATCGACATCAGATTTGACACGCTCGTTAGCCTTGATGATGTTTTCCAAGTCGACGTTAATAAAGTAGTTGAACGAATCGATATGCTGCTTGACCAGACCCTTGACCTTCAAGAACGCTGGCAACAACTTCCACTTGTCCTAATATTCCCCATTTCAATGGCAAGAAAACACATGAAAAGATGGTTTAGTCTCACTCTCACTGTTTAGAACAAAGAAGCTACCGCAGTTGGTGGCACGAAATTTTCGAGGATGGCACAGGGTGACTCACCTCGACGGTGGGGATGGGGTCTGTGAGTCCCTTGCCACCAAAGAAGGCCTCAGCTTGGTCCTGAGCCTCCTTGATACTCCTCTTGACGTCAGCCTGTGCGTCTTCCATGTTCTTTGAGATCATGCCAGACTCTGGTACGGTATTGTGGTGGTGTGAAGTGAGTCGAGAGAGTCGAGTGAGTCGAGGAGAGTAAGAGGAAAGAGGGGTGGTGAGAGAGAGTGAAAGTGAATGCGTGCGAGTCCTTGTTCAAGTGTCCTATTGAGTGTCGGTGAAAGGGAGTCGAGGTAGTGTTTATCCTTGAGTGAGAAAAGGCAGGATGTCGGCACGAGTGAACAGAAACGAACAATGAAGAAAGACGAGAAGAAGCACAAGAACAAAAGGCGCGCAAGAGGCTCAATAAGAAGGGTTCAAGCTGTGATTTTTTTATTTTGTTTTGTTTGTCACTCCCGTGACCGCCTTTTTCTTGTGTTTGTCAGCGTGCCTTTGGAAAGGAAGCGCTGGACGGACATGTTCAAGGGGAACCAGGAAGGTACCTTATTCACTGTCAAGTGGTCACTCAGGGCCAGCTTAACATAGGCCCTGCATAGCCACCTTCACACACCACACTACACTGCTACCCATGATACCTCATTGTTATCACATTTGTTGTGCTTGTTTGAAAGAAGTAACTGCCATCCACTCAAAAAAGTGGATGCCAAAGAAAGGAATAGAGGTTCCAAAAATTAGCACAATCCTCAATAAAGAGGAAAGAGCTACAGTGTTTATCTGATGGTGTCAGCAGTATGCTTCGTCAGTGCAACCCTCATTAAAGCATACGTGATCCCAACCGGATAGGAATGGTGAAGAAGAAACTGATGGATGGGACGACCTCTTGCTTTTGTATCTTTCGAACAAGGGACATGTCACATGATCAGGGCTGTATGTCGAGGCTTCTTCACGAAGAAAGCAAGCGTGATATGAGCACTTGTCAACGGCAACGTTCAACTGCCTAGGAGCTACTACCACTAGGTCCCTACATGTCCGAGAACATGGCGAAGATATTCGCGTTTATAGGCTCAAAGAATAAGGGTAGCTACTTCAAAGACGCGCACCTAGAGTCGCCGCCGAATACCGTAGAACGGCATAGAAGTAACAGTTGTCTTTTTTATTCGAAATTATCTCGCCTTGATGGTGGTCTTGATCAGCTCTTTTTTTTTTTTTTTGTCTTACCTCCTCTCTTTCACCACATGCTTCCACACATTCGCATCCTCGGCACCCTCGCACCACGACACATCACATCCTCTTACCTTATCCTTCAAAGACCTCTCTCCTTGCATTCAACCTTCTTCCACAGAATGTCGTCTTCTTCATCACAACAACCACCAGCAGAACCAACCGCCACCAACAACAGCAATGACCAGACCGAAGAACAAAATGAAGACTCCTCCTCAAAACCCGTCTTGGCCCTCCCTGCACCCGGCGACTTCTCTTCCATGACCAGCGGTGCTCCCTCACTCGAAGTCAATGGCCAAGATATCAAACTCGACCTCATTGGACCCGTTGGTAATTCTCGCCCTCCCTTCCCCTCCTGCCACGTTTCTTAAATCACATGTGTACATGTTCACCGTAAACCGATCCTTCATATCATCTCACCATGGAAACTTCTTTCTTTTCAATTGAACAATTCTTAGTCGTGAACGAGGACGGAACGATGTCGAGGATCGACAACTGGCACGAAATGACAGATATCGAAAAGGCAAATGTCCGGAGGATTCTCTTGAAGAGGAACAACACCCGTCTTACACGTCTTCGTGCGGAACGCGATCAAGCCAATGCTGACGAAGAGGCCGCCGCCGCATCTTCTAAGGACAAGTAGCTTTTGCATTTGTGGGAATATGCAAAAAAATAAATAGACGAACAATAGATGCCTTTATTCCAACACATTGTATCTCGGGTAATGATGGTTGCACATGTGCACACACTCGCTCCTAATTGCCCCTTTCATATGCGTTGTTACCGATTGTTCAATGTACGATGGAATGTAGTGTACTATTGTCTGCAAGAACTGCGTGTATGTATGTATGTATGTACAAATATGGTGTTGAGCTATGAACTGCTTCTCAATCCATTCGAAAAAGAAACCGCAGCGAAGAAGAGAATCAGCCGCCGCCATTATTTTTTCTCTCTCGCCTTTGTATCCTTCTCCTGACGACCATTTCTAGGAGCGAGGGGGCAAGATTTGATCCGTCTCCTCCTGGTCAAGGAGAATCTCATGCACCCGAATGCCACCTCCGGTATTGCTGGTACTCGTGCTACTGCTAGAGCTGTTGCTGGAGGCTGTTGAATTGCTGCTTCTCGACCGGACGATACCTCCGATGCTGGCATTGAACGCACTGTGGAGCTCGTCCACCCCCAGATTCCGGCGCTGGTGGGGCTTCAGGAAGTGGTCCTGGTTCCAGTTGAATCCTTTGCTGGAGTGTGGGAAGATGTGCAGCTCTGATGAGATTGGTACTGCAGAGTAGACTGCGTCCGTTGTCACGATCATCGAGGGGTCTATTACGTAGGATGGTTCTTCGTGAGATGCATGTACAGGATAGCAATGGTCAACTACTTTGATAAGAGAATGGTCCATTGTGTATGTACCTTCGTCCAATCCATGTGAATCGTCGTTATCATCATCACTATCGTCATCCTCATCGTCATCTTGCTCTTCCACCTCAAGGTTGGTTTGATCAGTGTCCACATTCTGACTGAGTGGTGGTGTGATAGCCTCGGTGTTTCCATCAGTGTCCTTCATCAATTCACTCTGCTCTGTCTGCACTGTGGTTGTTGTCGTTGCTGTTGCTGATGTCGATGTGGGTGTTGTTACCGTCACACCCACAGGTGGCAATGCTTGTTCCCCCAGCAATTCTGTCTCCACACCCCTACCAGCAGCACCAGCAGCAACAAGCGATGACTCAGACGGGAAGAAAGTCGAGGTTGATGCCACCGCCAGGACATCATTTGTCGTCGTCTGTTCTACCAGTTGTGGAACCATACCAGTCGCCGTTGTGCTCTGGACAGCCAGCGAGGCAACCTCCAGTTCCACACCCTCCATAGCCATATCCACATCACAGTCCTCTGTGCTATTGCTGTTGTTGCTGCTGTCAGATATCATGACTTTGGCCTTGAAGGACGGTGAGAGTGAGCCCCCGATATAGGAGGTCAGGTCATCATCGCCAGTGTCCTTGCCAAGACTGACTACCGCGGGCGATGAAGCGGCGTCGTTGGTTGTGTCCTTGTGGTGTTCACCCATGGTTGTTGGTCGTGAGGGGCTGTGAAAGTGAAGCAGATGTTGATATGTTGTGCGATGGTGTAGTGTGTGACAAAAAAGAACGGAAAAGTATGTCTGCCAAATAAAGATAAGGTACAAAGGCGTGTTGGAGAGGAAGAAGGGGGGTGTTTTGAGTTGACGCTGCGGTTGGCTGAGTTTAGACTGGAGTGAATGGCGGTGGCGAGGTTAAGTGAGTAAGGTTCTGTAAATGTAGCGTTGGGATGAGTGTTTGGTTTCGAATGATTTGAGCAATGGGCACAGCGGTGAGAGGTGAGAGGTGAATGCAGTAGATGGTGGGTTAGAGTGAATGTGAACGGGAATGGATAGGTGCAGGGGTGAGTGGCAATAGGGAGGACAAGGAGAAGAAGAAGAAAGAGAATAAAGAAGAGAAGCAAAAAGAAAGAGGGGAAAGGACCCTTTTTATCTCGCTTTGGGTTTGTGAATCAATGGTCTGTGACAGCGAGAGCATGACCGCAGCTATCACCTATGACCAGCGGGAAGGGGCGAAGGAGCACGACACTCGGGAGACACACCAGTTGATAACAGAGTGCTTCGCCAAGTAGACAACCTTGTCCTTTGCCACTCTCTGTCGACACCCACTCAGAAACAGGGCATTGTAACAGAACTACCAGTGACAGTCTTTTTTTTTTACTATCAAGTCCGCAGGGGTTACAAGGGAAGGCGCAGTGGGAAAACGGACACTTCCTCTGTCGACTACGAATTATTTCCTCTTCCACCTTCCTTCGATCGTGTTCTGTATCCGACAGGGTCACCCTCCTTTTCATATTCAACAGTCGAAAATACCGACAAGAAATGGTCAACCTGACTCCCACTCCTTCCCTATCTTCGTTTGCTTCCGATATACCCTCTGCAAATAGACATCCTTTCTGACGTGTCGTTTCCACTCCGTGTCGACTCCTCCAAACGACACAGTATCAACCTATGCCAATGCTGCGCCATCATCTAGGTAATGAAGTAGCTGTCCTATCCTATAGAGGAGACACAGTCTTGTAAGAGGAAGAGTGGGAGGCCAGGGGGTAATACAGGGATTATATCTGTTCCAATGGACCAACTGTCACGTCGCCTTTCCTACTTACCAACTATTTAGTTCATAGTACAGACAGCTAAATCCGGATTAGAGATACGAACACGCCTTGCAATGAATTCCCGACAAAAGCCTGACCTTTTTTCCTAGGAAAAGTATCCCTAACAAACGTGTTTTGTATTCCTGCTCGTAAACCCGACACACTGTCCTACGGCCGAATTTCAGGGACAGACAACTTTCGAAGCTGACACTCAATTAGACAGCGACAAGGACGCACCAGGTCTCACCACAAAGACTCTAGGACTCTTTTTTTTTATTGTCCAAGGGCTACTTAGCGCTCTGTACCGAGGAAACGACCAATTGACAATGAATGGGGCAAAGATACCCTGGGTTGGTCTTGGATGCAAAAGTCCTGCCAAGGCAAGAAAGGGCTCATTTTGATTAATACCACCCAGTAGTCGTGGCTATTTTGAGAGTGAAATGCAGGTGGACAGCCAAGATTGGCAAGAAAGGGCACACACACACTTGGACAAGGCACACACTTAGCCAGGGCACACCCTTAGACACAAGTAACATACATTTCGAAACTCATTCGTTTGGACGTCTCGTTGATTTCGACTGGATGCCTCTTTGTTGACAGCCCCTGATTCATCTTGACGTCAACAGAAGAGAAAAAGGGCTTTCTTGTTTCTTGGCGTACATCCCATGGCTGACCTTGTCTCCTTTCCGTGTACCTCTAGCCATCGTCATTGCAACTGCGCTGAGTATCATTGGGCTTTAGAACAAGACGAGCCGTTTATCTTTTTGTGAATAAATACATACCTCTTTCTTCTTCACAACCCGTTTCGTTTCACCTCAGACACACACACACACACCCTTTCTCCGTCCACGTTTTATCGCTCATACATTGTTCTCAGGCACCGATTGCTGATTATTCATTCATCAAGGCACCATCAGTGGCAAATCGCTCTTTGAACCTTACTTTCTCTCAACAGGGCAACTAATCGCCATTTTCTTTTGGCCCTGAACAGAACAGCCTGCGGTTGCTCACTGGTTCCCTTTCTCTTCTCGTTGTTGTTGTTATTGTTGTTGTTCATTCCACTTGCTCATCTCTCATTCCTTTCTTTTCCATAAAACCCCCCTGTTCCTCTCTTTCTTCTCCTCTTCTCCTCTCCTTCCCTTCTTCGTCTCTTCTCTATTTTGTTTGTTACCTCACATTCCTGTCTTGCATCCCCTTGTCTTCCAAATACCCCGAGAACCAGACAGACCGTTCAGACCCCTTCCCTTCCTCCCTTCTGCATTAGCATAGATTATCCGACCCCACCCTAATTAATTGCACTTTCCCCTCACCTTCTCCTCTCATATTCATCACACACATGGTTACTCTTCTCTCAAGGAAGAACCACCTCTCTTCCTCACCTTTATCTTCCTTCACACTCGTCCTCTTCCTCACATCATGTCTACTCGGCACCTCCTACACCTCCCATAACAACAACCGCAACCTCGTCGCAGCAGAGACACCCCTATCCCACGACCAACTCTACTCTCAATACGGTTTTGTCAAGAACTGGGCCGCCCCCATGCCCGGCACCCCCATCGCCGCTTCGGGTGTCAACACCACCCAACCAGGAGTCGACACCGGTGCCGGGTACATCCTTCATAACTGGTCGACCAACTATAAGACCATCACTGTTGGCGCCAACGATATCTCCTTTGTCGCCGACCCCTACCCCTCTACTTCTCCCTCCCCAGCACCAGCAAGTAGCAGCAACTCGACAGTGAATGCGGTCAGCCAGGTGATGCAGATAAACTATCCAAAGGGATCTTATGCACCCAAGGCCGGACCCGTTACGGGCGGAACGTCCTTCTATGCCATACCCTTTGGCGATGACACGCCCTTTGAGAAAATGATGATCAGCTACGACGTTGCATTCCCTACTGGATTCGACTGGGTCCTGGGTGAGTAAATTCATGCTTCTCTTTGCTCATGCACAATTCGAAAACAGAAAAAAAGAACACAACGTGATGTCAGCTCCTATTTTTTGCCACTCGTGCCCGCTAAAATTTCGCTCGCGCCTCTAACACCCTCTACGTTTTTTTTTTTTTTTTGGTGAAACAGGAGGCAAGCTGCCAGGGATCTATGGAGGACACCCCCACGAATGTTCGGGAGGTAACCAGTCGGTAGGGAATAACTGCCTGACCATGCGGTTGATGTGGCGCCAGGACGGAGGCGGAGAAGGTATTTTTTTTATTCTTGAACCGACTCTGTTGATTGACCTGAAGCGGGGCATACAATGAACAAACAAGATGGATGTCTGCTTTGACACCAACAGTTTACATTCTCTTAATGAACGATTTTCTAACGTCGCTTCTTTTCGTTGTCTCTTTCTTCGTCATTCTTCTCTCCTGCTCCTTGTGGAAAACAGTATACGCATATATCCCAGTGGCGGACAACTCGAACTTTTGCAAGAACCCAAATGTCCAATGCAACGACCAATACGGGAAATCCATCGGCCGGGGACTCCTCTACTTCCCTCCAGGGACCTGGACTCGCATCGACATGGTCATGCAACTCAACGAACCCGCAGGTTACAACAATGGAATCCTCGACGTCTACATCAATGGCCTCAAATTCACCTCCATGAACACAATCCCTTACAGGACAACGGGGATGGTGGGTTTCCAGGGACTGATGTTCTCGACATTCTTTGGTGGCAGCACGCCTAGTTATGGGACTCCCGTCGATACGAGTGTTTTCTTTCGGAATGTGCAGTTGAGTGTTGGGGAGCCCGCGACGTTGTATGAGGGCAATGGCGGGACTCCAGCTGCTGGTGGCAAAATTGTTGGATCGAGAGCCACTCTTGAGAGTTTGGTGTTTTCTGTCTTTGCTATCCTTCTCGGCGTCTTCTTTGCGTAAGCAAAACAACTTTCAAACCTTGCGAAGTATCTAGACACTTTGCACCATCATTTATTCCTTTTTCCATTTACTCTTCTCTTCTGTCCCTCTTGCTTCACACCTCATCCTCATCGTCATTGGCATTTGACCTTGTAAAATAAAATAGAACATTGTGCCTCTCTTTCAATTGAATATGATAGTAGCGAGTTTGCTTCTACGCGTGCTTTCAGGTGACTAGCGCTGTTATGCGCCTTTTGTTGGTTTCTCAGGCACAAAAAGGGACTTTTGTCACTCGGGCTGAGCGAGTCGATTGATTTTTTTTTCTAGCGCCTCACAAAGCCACTCACTCCTCTCCCTCTCAGTTTGCCACGACCCACTCTTTCTCCCTCTCTTCACACTTCACCACCATCAACCATCAACTACACACTCCAACTGTACAGGAACACCATCGACCACAACCACCATTCATTCAACGGAAAGCTTCAACCAAGGAAACCACACATTCAATAACTTCACATAGTACAGAGCAAAAAAAAAAGAACATGATCAAGTCCGTCCTCATCTTCAATAACCATGGCAACCCACGCCTGACAAAATTCTACCAACCTATCGTAAGAGTTTGGCGCTTCTAGTTTCGATGCAAATGCGACTAAACCAGCAACAACACCCACCCACCCCCCTCCCCACCGCTCTCCTTACTCACTCTTCTTCCTCCCCCTCCCTTGTGCAATGTAGGACATTGCAACACAACAAGCGCTCATCAAAGAGATCTTCCAGCTCATCTCAAAACGACCCGACACCGTCTGTAATTTCCTCGAGGGCTCGCAGATGTTGGGTGGCCGGGATACCCGTGTCATCTACCGCCACTATGCGACTTTGTACTTCGTCTTTGTTGTGGATGAATCTGAGAGTGAACTCGGGATCCTGGACCTTATCCAAGTAAACGGTTTTGGGCAGCTTTGGAGGAGGGGGGGGGATCGTTCGCGTTTTGAAAAAACCCAGCCCTGGCGATGATAAGGAGTGGGGATCTTCCATGCTCCCACTGACACCTTTTTTTCATTTTTATTTTTTGACGTGAATACTTTTATAGGTCTTTGTGGAGAGTTTGGATAGGTGCTTTGAGAACGTCTGCGAATTGGACTTGGTAACGTTGAGAATCCCATTATGGACATACGTTCAGCACGCCCGTTTTTACTTGACATCAGCTTATTCGAACCAGGACACGAGCAAGGATACACAGGAGGACAGGGCGACCATCGAAGGACCATTTGACTACCAGATTCAGATCGAGGACATTCAGGAGCAAACCCCACTTGCAGCTTTGAAAATAACAGCCTAGAGAAACAAAATGGAAGAACTAACCCCATATCTACGCGTTTTTCGTCGTTATAGATCTTCCACTTCAAAGAGGTACACGATATCTTGGCCGAGGTCATCACAGGCGGCATGGTAAGTGACTGACAATAATTACTCTAGAATTTCCGTCAATGAACCTGAAACACGTTCTCATACCCTGTCCTTTTTCTCTTACGTCCCACATTTCTTAGGTGCTGGAGACGGATATTGGCGATATTGTGGCGGCAGTACAGGAGGCAGGGAGACTTGCCAAAAAGCCTACAGGACTCTTGGCCCAAAAGTCGCCCTTCTAGACAGTTCCCCCTTCCGTCACACCCTGTAGATCAACATTAAACGACCCACCATTACCATCGACAAAACCATTTTCCTTGTGCGATCGGAAAAAGAATGACACATTGGATGTTGGAGAGAGGAGGATTTTACAAAATAACAAAAAATGAGAGGGCTAATGGATAGGATATGTGAAGGCTCTGGGGGAAGAGAGATGTAAAGAGGACGAGAGCGTGATCAACTGTTTCTAAGGGTTGCTGATCAATGGGATGCCGGGTCCTTGTGTCGATGAAATGTAAACGTTCTTGACCCAGTCTATTATACAAACACGGAATGGGGAAAAGCGGATGTTAGTTCACGCACAAGTACCAAGTTGAAGATAGAAATGATCCAGCGAAAAGGTAGGAAGCGAAAACATACCCTTCTTGACGAAGCGCTCTGCGGCGAGGACCTTCATCTGGTCCAAAATGATCTGGTAGTTTCCTTCGATATCCTTCTGATCCCAGTCGACCTTTCCAATGACTAGTTGAAAGGAAAAGCAACAAAAAAAAAAGCCGAGGTCAGCGAATGTCAAATACAAACGAAGACGCCACCAAAAAAAATTCCACAAGCATCAAAAAAAGAATACGTACTGGTGTGCACAACGCCATTCTTGTCGCCACGGATATCGAAAGCTGCCGTCTGGGCCTTAATCACTCCGGCAATATCCTCTGTAACCGTGCCCTTCTTGGTCGTGGGCATCAGACCCTTAGGTCCCAAGATACGTGCCAACCTCGTAACACCAGGGTACATGCCCGGTGTCGAAATACACTTGTCAAACTTATGCTTGCCCTCCTCAACCTCCTTGACCAATTCGGGGCCTCCAACAATTTGAGCACCAGAGGCGCGCGCTTCCTCGGCGAGTTTGCCCTCGGCAAAGACAAGGATGATGGAGTCCTGTTTGATAGCCTTCTGGAGGAGGACGGAGGTGCGGATCGGTTGGGAATGCTTCTCGGCTTTGGTGTTTGTCTGAATGTGGACTTCAACCAGGTGGTTGGGTTTGCTGACCTCCTTTGCCTATTTGGTGTTGTGAGGAGCAGTTTAGTCGCAAAAAACTTCTGTTGAGTGAACTGCGACAAACGGCACTTTTGCTTCCTTGTTCCTGAGATCATATTTCTCATGCCCTTGATCCGTGTAGCTCCTCTACATGCTTCCTGTTTTCCCGTAAACCACCACAATTGACTCGATCCACATTAGTGATTAATACCACGCCGTGCTCTACTGTTCCATTCTCCCAAAGCAAAAGAAAATGTCTTTGTAGCTGATAGAAAGCTTGTTCCTGGATCTGTCCATAGGCGCGACATCTCGGATATCCCTTGTCTTTCCTTCCTTTTCCATGACCCTCAACTCCATTCCTCCCCTTGCTTGCTTGGCAATCCTTGCCAAGTTTGTTACCTTAAGGACGGCAAGAGCGTCAGTAAAGGTCATGGCGCCAGGGAGAGAGTTGGGCGCCTTCTTTGCCGAAGCATATCCTCTCTGTCCTCCTGTGAGAATGTGAGTCGTTCCAATGATGCCGACGGCAATTGTCCTTGATGGAGCAGCAAGAGCTGCTGCCCGTGTGATGAGAGTGCTGGACATGGCTGATGTGTAAAGAGGAAGGGCGATGTGGGGGTTGACACTCAGGAACAGGCTGGTAAGGCGACTGGGGGAATGCCGATGTCGGACAGCAATTGCAGGGTAAACAATAAATGTGGCTTAATGTCGATCCGTCACGTGCGCCTAGACTCAAACCACGATCTCCCCCATTCGCGCCCCACCACAAAAATATTATACCCTCCCCTTACCACGCCAGGCGTTCGTTCTTCGTCGATCCAGCTGTCCCATGTTGTTTGGCGATAACTAAGGATATCAAAGGGCATTGTTACTCGAGAAATGGGTCGATTACGCTGCTGTTGGTTTTTTTGGTGGTTAGTGAGCTTTTTTTATTTTTCTTTTAGATCCTTGGTTTTTTTTTTTTTTCCCTCAGTCTTCGTTCTTTTCTTTGTTACCAAGAATGAAATGGGCTTCTAGAATGAAGAAAATCGTAGCGGTTGTTTTTTATCAAAGTCCTCAATATTGCGCGATTTTTTTTCAGTATCTTGTCCAGACCATCAACAAAATATCCCCTCAGCCTTGTACCTTTCTCAGCCATGCCTTTTCTGTCCTGAATGAACCATAGCCAGAGCATAGACAACAAAACAAAAAGGTGCTAATAAACGAGAGGTTTTTCTTAATGGGGTATTATAATTTTTTATTATGGATATTGTTACAAGAGGGGGGTGAATGTATGTTTGTGAGAATGAGCACACTACTTAAGCAAGGATATGAATGATCTTCTTCCACCAAGGGGAGTTCTTCTTCTCGGCCTGAGAAGCGGTCTCATCGACATTCATCGCCGTATCAATGAAAGACCGACCAGTGTCCAGATCAACATCAACCAACTTCAAGATCTTGGTCTTGCACCAGAACTTGTTTCCGAGATAGAGGAGAACAATAAATGGCAGAGTAATATAAGCAGACAGGAAAGCTTTGATGCTGAAGGGCGAGAAGGCGGTGTATCCCTGGCCAAAGAGGATGATCACACAGATAAGAATCGTGTAGATGGGGCCGTAGGGGTAGAGGTGAGAGATGAAGGGGAGGTCCTGGATGTTGCGACCCTGGGCCTTGAAGGCCATGCGGAAGCGAATGTGGTTGACGGCGATACCGACCCAGGCGACGAAACCGGTGGTGGAGGAGAGGGAGAGGAGCCAGTTGTAGGCTTCACCCTGACCGATCTGGGGGAGGGAGACGATGAAGGCCAAGCAGCCGACGAGAGAGGTTGCGAGGACGCAGTAGACGGGGACACCCCAACGGTTGACATACCCAAAGAACCTGGGGGCGGAACCTTCCTTGGCGAGGGTGTGGAGGGCACGGGAGGAGGCGTAGAGACCAGAGTTTCCAGCGGAGAGAATGGCGACCAGGATGACGGCGTTCATGATATCACCTCCGACCTTGATACCGGCACGAACAAAGACACGGGTAAAAGGGGAAGACTTGATATCGCCGTCATCGTTACCGAGGACAGGGTCGGTGTAGGGGATGCAGACTCCGATGATGGTGATGGTGAGGATATAGAAAAGGAGAATACGCCAGAAGACTTGACGAATCGCACGGGGGACGTTCTTGCGAGGGTTCTTGGTCTCTCCAGCAGCAATACCGACCAACTCGGCGCCCTGGAACGAGAATCCGGCGTTCAAGAAGATCGAGGCCAAACCGGTAAACCCACCATGGAAGGGTCCCATGTTGAAGACTGCGGAACCGGGCTGAGGTGCGACAGTACCATCTTCCTCGATGAAACCCTTGCCGACAGCGCCACCAATGTAGAGGAAACCGACAATGATGAAGACGGCAACAGCGAGGACCTTGATCAAACTGAGCCAGTACTCGGTCTCTCCGTAGGCCTTGACCGTGGTGAGGTTGAGCGAGGTGAGGACGACGATAAAGACCACGGCCCAGACCCAGGACGGACATTGTGTTGGAGGGATCCAATACGAGATAACCAAGCCGGCGGCAACCAGTTCAGCAGCAAGGGTAATCGACCAGGAGAACCAGTACACCCATCCTATTAGGACAATGAGATAACAATAAAATAGACTTAGGAGCCAGATCGGGGATTTGGAAAGAGCGAAAGATGGGACCAGAGGTAGGAGTATGTACCCCAAAAGAGATACAAGGACCCTGCGACAAAATGCGCAACAGGCGACTTACCGAGCATGAATCCAAAGGCGGGGTCAACAAAGCGGGTACCATAGGCGTTAATAGATCCTGTGATGGGCATGTAAGTCGTCATCTCTCCAAGAGAGCTCATGAAGCAGTAGACCATGGTTCCGATGAGACCATAGGCAATAAGGGCATAACCAGGTCCGGCAATCTTGATGGACGATCCCGAGGCCAAGAAGAGACCGGTACCGATGGTGCCTCCGAGCGAGATCATGGTCAAGTGGCGGGCCTGCAGGTTGCGCTGGAGGCCACCCTCGCCGGCGGTGGTGATGTCGTTGTTGTGGGACTCGACCTCAGTGGTCTCGAGCTTGTCGCCAAAGCCGGGCTGTACGTCGTAGGAGTCCATTTGTTCGCCGTATTCAGTTTTTGACATGGCGGCTGTGTTGGTGTGTGTGTGTGAAGGAGAGTGTGATGATAGAATGTACAAAGGGATGGAGGAAGAGGAGGATGGTGATCGTGATGCAAAAAGGGGGGAGGAGGAAAGGAGACCCTTTTGGAGGTAAAAAGTGAGAGAGCGAAGGACGGGGTGAGGATGGGATGGAAGGCAAGTGAGAGGAAACAGAAAAAGAAAGGGGACGATCAGTCTCTTTTATATCGTTTGTGCAGAATGCCGGTTGGCCTCCTCATGGTGACATGACGGTGATTAGCTATTGAATAACCAAGGCCGATGGATTGAATTAAAAATACAGAACAGTCAGAAACGGTTATTGTTCCTGATACATACTCTGCTGCTGATATATCAGTGACGACAGATGAGCCTATCTCGCTTTTCTGTCTTTTCTTCTGTGCTGTAGCTCTTTCTTGCGTCAAGGAGAATTATACACAGGTACCAACAACTTGTATGACTTGACCTGGATCCGGTTTATAGGCTCTACTGTCGCCCGCAGCTCGTTTCCCTCCCTTTTCTTCAGGTGAGATTCATGAGAGAGCTTATTGGCCAAGAAAACTGGGACCTAGGGAGAAGATCCCCCGGAAGAAACCCATTGGACAAGTCAAGTCAAGTACCGGTAATATCACCTGTCGATGAGATTACTGTATTGTTGTAAGGGACAACGTGTTTGTCTCAGTTTCCAACCTCTTTCTTCTCTTCCATGGGACACTTACTTTCAGACAAGAATAAGAACACGCCAAACTGAGGAAAGAGAGAGACTAGAAACCACACCAACAATGAGAACGGGATAAGACGTACGAATGAAAAGTGGGAAGGCAGGGGCAGGAAGGTCAACAAGTTGCAATTTGGGTTTCGTCGTTTTCGTTGGCAGTGTCCCGGGCAAGACGCCCACTCTCTCCTCTCTCTTCTTCTCCAGTTGCGTGTGCGTCCTTCTGTCGTCGTCGAAATGAGAGAGAGGAAAAGAAGAGGAGAAACCATGGAAGCCCAGGACGTTTCGATTGCTTTTTGTGTGTAAAGGTGGTTGTCTGTATTTGGTGTTCTCTGGTTACTTTCGCACACTAAACATAAATTGAATGAAAAGAGACATGCAACTCTATCTCTCTTTTGCACCAACGGAAGGTTTATCTCATGGGTTTGTTCCTACGCCTTCCGAAAATGGTGTACAACTAAATAACCTCAGTTCGCGGGCATGAGAAGGACGGAGCAGGAAGGAGAGTGACGAGTGAGGGTGAGGGTGAGGGTGAGGGTGAGGGTGAGGGTGAGGGTGAGGGTGAGGGTGAGGGTGAGAGCAAAAAAAAATAAGAAAGGATGCAGCGTGGTTGTCGATGTTTTTGTTTGTTCGTCTTCCATGACCGATATGCGTTCCTCACTCCTCCGTCCATTTGTTTGTTTCTTGTCTCTATCGACACATTGGAGAAGAAATGAGGACTCGTCTTGACCATGCCAAGAACAACTCTTTTGGAGCAATTGTTTGAAAAATGAAAGATCGAGCTGACTAACAATCGCTCCTTCTCCACCGTACCCTTTGGTAGATTCTCCGTGAACTCTCTCCCACTGTAGTCCGTAGCAAAGTAAGCGAACCACTCGCAAATCAACCCGGGAAATTTTGTACAAAACGGCCTTTTCTTGTTCTTCGTCTTTGCTCATCGCCCATCTCCATGCATGCTATGTCGTACCGTACCCTTTTCTTTATCATTCTCCGCCCACCCAAAGCCCACCTCTCTCACGCTCTTGCCCACTCATACTTTCCTTCCTTATCGAATCTCGTGACAACCTTGCATGCCGAAACCCAATGATACCTCTTCCTTCACTTGAAGAAAACTCAGACACAGGGTAATAAGTGCTAGATCTGACCCACTCTATGATTTCTATTACCTGAAGGAAGAACAGTCTTGGATTAGAGTTTCCATTACGCCGTTTACTCGACTCGTTTTCTTTGCACTCTTACTCGTTCTTTTGATACTCTCCTCCCCCTTCCATCCACCTTCCTTTTTTTGATTTACCCACCCTTTATCTCTCACGCTCACACTTGTTCTTAGTCTAGTCGGAGAATCGCAAACAAGTTCTGCTACAAGCGTGATCTTAGCGAGCGGAGGTGGATGTATCGTCCATGGGTTGGAAGACGTCCTCGATATCCAAAAGACCAAGTTTCTTTCAGGGTTCACAGCTGAGATGGAAATGAGGATAGCAGTCATAACTGATTATCCGATTACCCCATCTTTCGACTACCGCTCAGCAGTGGACGTCGATATGGGGAGTGAGAAGTGGAGGTTGGTGCTTTTGGCATGCGAATGGAGGGCGTATAGAGGCGGAATAGGTGAAATGTCAACAGAGAGGGGGATAAGAAAAAACAAGGTAGAAGGGTTGGTTGGTCGTTTTATTTAGCTTTTTTTAGGTGGGTATGTAAATAAATAAGACACAGAGACATCATTCATAACTCTCGTTCCACCTTTTTTTTTTTTTTTGAAGTGTCCATGGTGGTAAATGGTCTAGACACAGACTCTTATCCTCGGCGGTGACATGCACATAGCCGTGAACATTGATACCCACAACTCACAAGCAACAAACACGCACGAAAAGAAAAGAAAAAAAAACAGCAAGCAGAAGTAAACAATGCACAAACGAAGGACATTCTAGTTGCGCCTCCGGAAAGATATCCAAACACTTGCAAAAAGAGTCAAAAATGTAAAGAAAAAAAAGTCAACAACAACAAAGCGTGCGAAACTGCCAAACATGGAAGCGAACTCGCCCCTGATTCATGTGCTTGCCTGTTGCTCTCCTCGGTAAACAACAGAGTGAGAGAGAGAGAGAGAGCGAGAGGAAGAGATGAGAGGAGTGGAGTGAAAGGAGTAAACAAACAAAATCCTTTTTGATTTCGGCGTAATTGTTTGTGTCAATTAGCGTTGTTGTTGTGTGGTGTGAAGCGGAAAAAGGTTACTGCTTGTTTTGTTTTTGTGTTTGTGATCGTAGGTGAATGGGCTATGAGAGAGAGAGAGAGAGAGTAGAGAAGGAGGTCAACGAGACAGCCAGTGGGAGAGAGTGCACAAAGATGGAAGTACGTGGCACACCTCTTCTTGCATGTGTGTGTCTATTTCATACAACACACGACACACGCAGGATCATCAAAACAAAAGGCTCTCTCAAAGGCACAAAGTATGAGATACTTTTTCTTCTTTTATGCTTCGTACATGCAATTGTACTCTAAACAAGAAGGTAATAAACAGCCCCACCTCTCCACAACTCTCTCCCTCTCTCTCTCTCTCTCTAAATACCAAGTCTGCGTTTCCGCATGGGGGTCATGGGCGTTTTGAATCCAGGAGTAGCAATCCTAAATCGGGCCTCGGCCGTTGAGCCTCCTCCGGCATTGGCCACCGCTTCTGCTGCCGCCGCTGCGCTCTCTTGCTCTTCCTTCTCCCGCGTCTGCTTCAGATCCATCTCCAACGCCATGCGCGCCTCCTCAGCCTTGGTCGCAATCCTCTTCTCCCTGTGCGTGTACGACTTCTCTTTAACAGAGTAAAACATCGGCCCCAGCTCGGCCAGCCAGTGTGGATCCACCGATGTCACACACTGCATATACTCCTTCGAGGTCATCACCAGCTCGTGGTAGACAATGTAATCAGGGTTGTATCCAAGACCATACAGCGCCGACGTTGGGTGCAAGTGACAGGGCATGCCCGTACGACAGTTGACATACTCTCCCAGAGCTTTGATCCGTCCAGCCTGGTGGAAATACGCCGAACAAATGCACTTGCGGATAATGTCCCAGTCGGTGTTGCAAGAGACATACGGCATCTTCTCAGACTTCATCATATCCATCAGCTGCGACCGCACCTCTCGAGCCTTCCGCATCGCCTTGGGCTGCACAAAGTGCTTCAGACACCAGTCATCGCGGTATCCATTCGACCTCCACTGCGTGTACACATTCAACAACGTCAAATGGTCACTCTCGGGCACAAAGAACTTTTCACGGGCAGCATCCGACTCCTCCAACCGCTCCTTGGGGCGGTAAAACACCGTCGGAACAGACAGCATCGACACCACCGTCACAATCTCGGCTGTGCAACCCATCTTCTCTGCCACGATCAACATCTTGGCAAGCGAAGGCTCGGTCGGGAACACGGCCATCTTCTGGCCCATCGGTGTTAACTCGCCCGTGTTGTCCAATGCGCCCTGGATCCAGAGCTGGTACATCGAGTTGAGCAAGTTGTCCTGTGGTGGTGGGTCCATGAAATCAAACTCGAGAAGGTTCTTGACATTCAACGACTTGAGTTGCAAGACGACCGTCGACAGGTTGGTTCTCTGGATCTCGGGAATCGGATTGACAAACATCTCGTACACAAACGCCTGTTCCGTGTACAATCTCCACGACGTTCCTGGTCCAGTTCGTCCGGCACGACCCGACCGCTGGTTGGCGTTGGCCTGGGAGATCGGCGTGATCTGCAGCGAATCCATACCGATCTTGGGGTTGAACACCTTGAGCTTGACATACCCCGCATCGACCACATACAGGATACCGTCGATCGTCAGCGACGTCTCTCCGATATTGGTGGCAACGACACACTTGCGGGCATTGTTCTCACCGGGCTCAAAGATCTTGGCTTGCAAGTCCGCCGGCATCTGGGAATAAATCGGCAGCACAGCCAGTGGTGGTGCATTATCGATCTGCGCCAGTCGTTCTGTGACGACTGAACAGGTAATCTCGATGTCCTCCTGGCCAGTCATGAACACTAGGATATCTCCCGCTGGCTGTCCTAGATGGATAGCCAAGACCTGCTTGACTGCGCTATCGACATAGTCCTCGCACGGCACCTTGCTGAACATAATGTCGACTGGGAAGGTACGTCCTGGGATCGTAAAAGTCGCCGCATTGCCATAAAATGACGAGAACTATGTACAAAAATATACATGAAAAGTTAGTAACTTCGCAGAAAATACATTACATTTCCGAAAATAAAACGCGATACATATTCAGCACAAGTAGTAGGTACGTACCTTGTCGGCGTTCATGGTGGCAGAGGTGACAATGAGCTTGAGATCGCGTCGCCTGGCTAGGATCTTCTTCATCAAACCCATCAGCACGTCGGTGTTCAAAGAACGCTCGTGGGCCTCGTCCATAATAATCGCGCTGTAGTGGTCCAGATCGCCCTCTCGAATCGACTCGCGCAAAAGCACACCGTCCGTCATGTACTTGATCACCGTCTCTGGCGAGGTCACATCCTCGAAACGAATGGCATATCCTACAGTCGATCCCAGCTTACATCCCATTTCCTCAGAGACACGGCGGGCGACAGACATGGCAGCAACACGGCGGGGCTGGGTGCATCCAATCATTCCGAACGTGCTGTATCCATCCTCGTGCAAGAACTGTGTCAACTGAGTCGTCTTTCCTGATCCTGTCTCTCCAACGACAATAATGACTTGGTTGTCCCGGATGACACGCATAAGCTCCTCCCTGACCGCAAACGCTGGCAAGTACTCTCGCTGCTCCTTCATCGTCTTGGTTTTGGAGAACGCACTGGCAGCCTCGGATGTCTTGAGGTGAGACGCAAACTGAGAGTCGCCCTTGCCATCCATATCGTCGTCCTCGTCGCCCGCCTGCTTCGCCTTGGCCATTGCTGCTGCTGCTTCCTCGTTGGCTTGCTCTTCTGGGTTTTCCAATCCCATGACATTACCAAGTGCCGTTCCTGCAACTTGAAACTTGGGTGCCGCCTTCACACGCTCTGCCTGCTCACGTTTCTCCCGAACAAGTGCACTTCCCTTGCGCGAAAAGATGGCCATGTCCGACGTGGGATCCTTGACCGACTGCACCGCTTCCACCTGTTTTGTAAACACAACTCGGCCGTCCAGGAATGGCGGCTTGATGTCATGAACAAGTAAATGAACTCGAGCCTCCGATTCATCGTCAAAGTCTGTGTCGACCTCCTTGCGCTGGAAGACACCACTGGTCAACATCCGATTGGTCTCCCACATCTCATTGTCCTTGTTGTACTGGGCCTGGCGCGCAGAGATCTTCTTCATTTGCTTCTTTTCGATCTCCTCCTCCTTCTTGGTGTCGTGCTCCTCATAGTCGGCGAAGGGGTTGTGGATGTCGTCCATGGCGCCTCCAGACTCCTCCATATTGTACCACTCGCGATCGACTTGACGCTGCTCAGTCTCCCACTCGCCTCTGTCAGGAACCTTGTCAAAGTCCTCGTTGGGGTATGTGTCGACGCGATCATCATATGCTGATGAAGACACGCGTGGCGTAACCATGTCCCAATCCGACGTTCCTCTGCCCTGAGTAGGCGGTCTGTAATCTATTGATGTAAGCATTGACACCTAGTGTCAGTAATAAAACTCTAAAATAAAAACGAACAATCTTGACAAAGCAAAACAAAACAATACAAAAAGTAAAAGTTACCTCGTCGCGGGGTTAACCCGCCTTGCAGAATGGCATCAGTGTTGCTTCCAGTCCTAGAGGGCGTGGCATCCCATTCGCCTCGGCTGGGGCGAGAACTCCTGGGCTCTACAAAGTCTGTCCTCCTTGGTGTGAAGCTCTCTCGAGGTCGGTCGTCCCGTCTGTCAGTAGGTCTCCTGTCGCGCTCATCCCGTCTATCAGTAGGTCTCCTCTCCCTATCATCTCTCCTATCTCTGTCGTCTCTCCTGTCCCTGTCATCCCTCCTATCGTCACTTCTGTCTCGACTATCTCGTCCAGAGTCGCTAGATCGGTACCGGTCACGTCCAGAGTCGTTCCTAGTCCGATCACTATCACGCTCATAATCCCGGCCCCTATTCGACCGAGAGTCGCCACGGCCATATCTGCTATCACGATCCCGGTCCCGGTCATCATTTCGATCCCGATCCTGATCTCGACTGCCATGCAAGCCTCCTCTAGCACGATCACGCTGCCTCCGTTCCTCAGCACGACGCAACGCTTCCTGACTGACACCACCAGGGTGAGAGGGAGTCTCCATGCGCTTGCTACGGTACTGAGGCTGCGCTGGTCTCAAATTGGCCGATGATTTGTCGTCCTTCGATTTGCTATTCTCGCCTCGGGTATAACTATCGTCCTGCTGATCCTGCATCCCCGAGTCCTGATCGCCCTCATCTCTCCACTCATCCTCAACCTGCAACTTGATCTTCTTCTGTTGCTGCGTCGATAATGATGATGGCTCTACACGTTCCTTCTCCTCCCTCTTCTCCTTGGCAAGTCTGTCGAGGCCTAGACGAGAGACACCAGCAGGGAGTGTGGGTGCCTTGAACACATGACGGTCATCTCCTGCTGCTGCGACCTTCTTGGGCTTTATCACCAACCCTCCTTGCATGATCTGCTCTGGCTCCTCATCATCGTCTTCATAGGAACGAGCAAATTTGGAGCCCATGGCAATAGAGGATTCCTGGATTGAGGATCCTTTGTCGTTGGAGCTCTGCCTCCCGTTTGATGATGCTGCTGCTGGGCCGTCGACGCCATGCTCGCTGTCGTGAGTATGGATCTTTGTGTAAATATCGAACAGTGCCTCATCCTTGAACCTCCCGAATCCCGCGCACGCTATATATATTATTTTTTTCAATTGCGCATAATATCTCTTTGTCAGTGCAAAGATATCGTAACGAAAAAAAGAGAAGGCAAGCAAGCATACGTTGCACAATGGTTGCTAGGTTGTAGTTGATTGCTGATGGTGCGTGTTGCCAATTCAATTTTACCTTTGACGAATCCGTTGGCTTGCTTGTGGTTGCGTGCGATCTGGATGACCTGTCTGGCGAGAAGGTCGTTTGGGTTGACGAGATTGAGTGCCCGCGAGATGTCAATGGCGATCTCGTGCTCCAGTCCTGACATGGTTGGCTTTGTTGGTTGGTTTTGTGGTCTGTGTTTTTTGTGAACAAAAGAGAAGAAAAAAAGGGAGCGAGCTATCTGCTTGGCCTCATTGGTAATGTCACGTGTGGCGATGGCATTTCCACCAACTTGGGTAAAAAAAAGAAAGGACAACATCATAGACAACAGGAGCAACTGCGCTAGCATGAGTAATACATCCATCCGTTGAGTTCAGCAACCATTTTCACCGTAGATGCCCTTGTCTACGCTTTTTTCTCTCCACCACAGTAAATACAATCTCCTGAGACTTCCAACAATCATGATGTTGAGTCGCGTTGAGACCTCATACGTTAATAGTTTTTTTTTCTTTTTTCTTTTACCTTGTTGCCTCCTATTCGACTCACTTCACAACCCCATCAATTGTGTGCAGGGACTCTGAATAATCAAGGATCCTGTTCTCCAAGTTCCGAGTGCGATTAAGCGGATGCAATTTGTCAGTTGTATCTTCAAAAATAGGGAAGGATAGACCACACTTGAAAATGTCGTCCAGCCCACAAAGAGAATTTCATTTTTCAACAACGAGGTACCTCGTCCCTCAAACCAAACTTCCTTCGTACCCACCATTGACAGCTCTATTTTTCCTTAACAACTACAAGACGCCGCGTCCGGTAGCGCAAGTGATAGTACAAAGCGATGGCTGGACTCAGTCGTGCGCTGTCTCGAGCTCGAGAAGCTCGACGGACCATAATTCACAGGAAAATCGTCTTTTTTTTTTGTTCAAGAGAATCGTTCAAGTAAACCGCATCACCCTTCCTAAAAAAAACCCTTATTCCAGTTCCTCAAGAGCTTGCACTGCACCTGGTGCACGTCCGAAACTCAACCCCGGCGCCAAAACCGGCCCGATCCCCTCAATCCACAATCTCAACGGATACAAACCTAAATTCTTCTAATATAAAGACCGCCAACTGAAAATTGAAATCATCTGAATAACTGAACAAGTTCAGGGGCTGTAGCTCATTTGGTAGAGCGCTCCCTTCGCATGGGAGAGGCACTGGTTTCGACTACCAGCTGCTCCACAATTTTTTTTGTTTTTTTTCTTTGAAACTTGACAGGGTGTCTTCATCGCCTTTTCTGCCTCCCCCCTTTTCGATGAAGATATTCATGTCAGAATATCTTTTTGCACAAGAGCTTCCCAATAGTCGCACGTATTCACAGACCGCTACCCTCTTTACTACTCTCTCTCTGTTGCCGCCTTTGCTACCTTTTGCTACCCTCTACTCTACCACTGTATTTATAAAGGCAAGGGCTGTTGAGAGAATGGTAGCTCTTTACGGGTACCGGCCTAAAATTTAGAATCAATAGGACTGGAAGAAAGGAATATATTAAGTCGTGTCAAGTTGGTAGTGAAGGTCGCGTGACGAACCCCGGAGATCCGCTACGCGTTCAATGACACATAGGCAGAAAACAAGTCTTCGCGAAACCTGGGGACCGAGGCCAAGACGTGGCTCTGGAGGGGTAAAACGTGGCACCATATTTTAAATTAAAGGGAAGCAAAACGATAAGAGCAAGGATCGAAAAACTGTTAAAAACATGTTTCCTACAACTTCGACTATTATGAAGCCATCTTTGTCTTTTGATCTACCGACGAACTTTCACCAAATTCTTCGGCAACGCATTCAGTATACCTTTGGCCCTCGCAATTTCAAAGGGATTTCGCGACTCGGGAGACTCTGAAATAGAAGCACAGGCTTGGAGACAAGGAGACGGACCAAATCCTCGAGAATACGCCCTACCGCTCATATGCCGATCTTATTCGCCTACAATGGGCTCCAAAAAACTCGAGATTTTTGCCATAAGCCTGAAAAATGGTGCCAGGTTAATAGTTAACCGGCTAATCGGTCAATCAGATATTGGTCAATTGGCCGATTGGTTATCTTTTTACTCTGTTAACCGGTTACATCGGTCAAAAAACTTTGGTCACAACACTGTCGCCAATGGTTGACTTTGTCTAGGGGTTGCTTTGGATGCAAGGAAATGCCTGGACAACATTACCGACCATTGATCTCATCAAACGGTCGTATATTTTTATCAGTCCGTACCTGAATCAATTTATGAGAATGCGAAACTAGCTCACTAAGGTGACTCTCGTTCTGACCGGGTGCACGGGGTGTCGCAAGGATGCGCGAAAGCGCTTGATAGTGGATGGGGTCCCCCCTTTTCCTGTCCTTCCAATGACATCATGTCTGGACTAGCGACAAGCTACTACCCACTCGCGCTACTCACCCTTTCTCCCCTCTCGAAGAAACTAGAAACGTGTAGCTATCACCTCAGCGATCTCCCTCTCTCTCTTCCTTGTCGCTCCATTTCTTATAAACCAGATCGGGGTTAGGCAGACACAGATCTGATGCCTCTTAGTCCATTGCATCAAAAGACGAGGAAAGGCAGCAACGCCAAGGTTCCTCTCTCTTTTTTTTTTCGAAGGGTTCTCTTGGAAGAATTTGGGAAATTGGCGCTAGAAAACCGCACTAATCAAACTCAAAGCAAAGCAGGAAAAGGACAACAAACTGGTTGTGTGAAACGCGCAGACACAATTGCAGTGGGCACTCTTCGGATCTTTGTTTCTTGTTCTTCCGCTACCGTGTGAGGAGTTATGTGCCCTTATTGTTGTCGTGTTACCTCAGCGACCTTCTTTTCTTATTTTTCTTTTCTATATACACCTTGTCTTCCACCATAGCGCAACCATCTCGCATCCTCGCTTTTGACTGTGCGCATTGTAAATGTTATTGTTTTTGTCTCGGGTGAGTCTCTGCACTTCTTTAAACAAGTGGGGTCATTAGTAAAGTGTACAAACCGCAATCCAGGGGTATTCTCTCCCCAGTTCAGCTCGAAACATGCAAGGTTGCATGGAAGGTGTGCGTGAAATAACAACGCCTAGGACGCACAAGGTTCGAGGACAAAAAGTGGGTGGTGTGCACCCGTACCAAAGTTTAAAGGAATGATGATGACATTCAACAACGATGATGCAGTTAGCCCATTGTGAGCACAGAAAAATAAAAGAGAGAGGAGCATCGGAGAACAACACACACATATTCATATGCAGTACTGTAATGCAGATGCGAATGCCAGGAAGCAGAAGAGAGTTCAAAGCTAGTAAGCGCATCTAGGGGCTCATGCTATCAGTTACTGTTCCTTGTACTGGACATGTACGTTTTCTAACCTCCGGGGTCCTTGATTTCAGAGTGGAGGGTAGGGAGAGGCATTTAAAGCATTGCATCCACCATTACCAGCTATTTAGTAGCTTTGGTTATCAGCTCTTCCTTTCTTTCTTCTCTCCCATCCTCACCCTCTCCGCCTTCTTTTCATTATTTTTTGTTTCTTGTTTGTTGTTTGTTGTTTGTTTTTTGTTCATTCACCCATTCTCTTCCAGAGAATCTACTCTCATTCACTTTTCCTCGCATTTCCCCGGATCCATTCAACCTGATCAATGATCTCCTTCCTACTATTTTAACGACACCCATACTCCAATTATCCCGTACAGAGGATCGCTCAACTTGCATTAATTCCTCCGTCTGTGCCCCCCCTTTTCTCCACGCTTTCCCCCACCTCCACTTGACAAAGGCTCATCATGATGAAGTTCAAGCGCCAGAAAGGTAATAAGCCCTCACGCACAATGAGAACACAACCATGCCACGTTCTCCTCTCCTTCTACCTCGAGTGAGGTTCAATTGATCGCCAGGCACCGCCCTGCGAAGAGACATCTTACTCGTATTTCGTTGCCGTCAGTGCGTCGCCTTTCGTCATGGAAACAACGCTAAAATGGTGCCCCGGTTCAAAAACAAAAGACTTTCCTCCTATGACAAACAGCAACAACAACAACAACAAGCAACCACGCCAAAGGAAGATGGCAACAGCTACGCCGATCAAACAATAACGACAACGCGTCCCTCCTTGCTGTTGCGAATGGATGATTATCGACCATCAATAGCCCTCACTTCTACTCGACTTGAAGGGTGTAGCTCCCTCTCTTTCTCCGTCTCTCTCCCTCTCCCCCTCTCTCCCCCTCTCTCTCCCCCTCTCTCTCTCCTCTCTCCTTCTCTCTCGCTCTCTCTTCCCATGGAACCATTTTTTTCTTTTCGCTTGTGGTATTGGGCTCAATCCACAAGGCTCACTTCATCCCACGTCTCCGCCCCCTACTCCCCTATCCCTTTTGGCGCTAAGACGATCTATCTCAATCTGTCACACTTGCACTAAAAAAAAAGCGAACGCCGACCACACCGACCGACAGACAGACAAACAAATAAGCCGACAAGTAAAATGAGGGTCTCGACTGAGGAAGGGTTTTTAAACTAAAGACAAGGAGACAGCTAACGAGTGTCGTCTGAACAGTGGCCGTGAGGAAGACATCTAACTGTTCTCCTTTCTTCAACCACTCCATCTTCATCTCCACCCTCTCGACGAGTAGATATCCCAATGGCAGCGACGAGTGCCCCACCGGTGGCCCCATCAGACCCATCCAGAGTCCCTCTCCCCCCTGTCTCCGAGAACGCGACCCTCCAGACCGAGCCCAGACCCTCGAACGCATCCTCCCGTCCACCATCTGTCCAGAACGTCCCCCAATTCGCCTTTTCCAACACCCCAGCTCCACACAGCGGCATGCCCTATAACATGCCCTTCATGTCACCTTCAAACATCAGCACCTCTCCACCACTCATATCTACAAACAACAGTAACAGTGCAGCAACCAAAATTGACATTGACCGGATTATGCGACAGGATGAGGCGGCCATGAACGACTTTGTCCCACCTCGTCAGGCCATGAACAGCGACGAGTCTGACTTTGATTGGGACGAGGACATCAACATTGTCGAGAGCGGACAGGCCCACAAGAAGCGGAGCAAGGACAATGGGTCCTGCTGGCGAAAACTGTCTCCCTTCCTCCGGATGGTCATCTTAGTCCTTGTGGGTTCACCCATTATTGCCCTGCCTGCGATTCTCGTATCTGTCTTCAGGGACGATGACCAGGAGGGGGAATACCCGACCAAGGCGACTGTGATGCTGATATTTGTTTGGCTCTCGTTCATGTGGGGCATTATCTTCGTTACCAACTGGGGCATTGACATGGTTCCCGTTATCGTCGTTCGTCTGACCGGCTTTGTCACCGGCTCCCGATCTGAGGACCTGAAGTCCAAGCTCTTGGTATGTTGCGACACACACTCAAACTGGCATTGGTAGCTACAAGCTGGCTGGCGCCTATCTTGTTCAAAAAGAGGGCACTTGGTTTTATTTTACATTTCTTTTTTTTTCAACTAATATGACCCCATCGGACTTTTCTTCATGGTTTTGCCTAACATACGATGTCATCGATTTCTTTCTACGATCCCCGATCGATCTTCCCCTTCCCCCTCCTCAACCTATCTAGATGTTCGTGGCATGCAAAAAATACCTCAAGTGGCTCATCGCCTCCTGCTGGGCCATCGGCTCCTTCACCTTCCTCTCCAAATCGCCCTACAATACCACCAACGACCAAATGGTGACCATCTTCATCGAGGTCCTCGGTTGTCTCGTCGCCGGATCTGCACTTGTTTTTATTGAGAAGATTCTTTTACATCTCATCTCGACAAACTTCCACCAGACCGCCTATGCGGACCGGATTGCGGAAAACAAGTATGCGCTTACTGTTTTGGATCGCCTTTCGACCTCCAAGAAGGTGAATGTTAAGCAAGCCAAGGGTGCGAGACCGGGCCATAGTCGCCATAATACCGCAGATAATGTCAACCTGCAGAACAGCAACTTTGTCAACATGAACAACAATACTGCGTCCGAGTATGCCTTCCCGACGGGGTACCTTTCTACACAACCATCGCGGTCCAACAGCATTGAGGTCCACGGAAACAACAACGGAGCCGTCAAGACCAGCAACAATGGGAGCCCTGGTCGAATTGGTGGATCATTGGACGGAAGAGAAATCCTGCACGAGATCCACGGCGATGCTACCACGCCTCCCAAGACCACAGAAGCCATGATCCTCAACTCGACTCCCCTGACCACCCCAAACGACATGATGAAGACCAACAGCCGCCAATCGACCCTCGTCCCCTCCATTCGCCACCAACACCGTGGTCAGCGCGACAGCAAGATCAAGATCGGAGACAACAACATCTTCAAGGGCATCAACCGTCGTCTCCACGGGATCGCCCTCGCCAACAAGAGCTCGCCCTCCAAGGACATCGGTTCCACCGCCAACGCCAAGCGACTCGCCAAGACTTTGTTCTATAACCTCCAAACCAACGGCGAGGACCTGGTCGTCGAGAACTTTTATCCGTACTTTTCGACCCAGGAAGAGGCCCTCGCCGCATTTAACATTTTTGACAAGGACGGGAATGGAGATATTTCCAAGAGTGAGATGAAGGAGAAGATCTTTTATGTCTACAAGGAGCGAAAGGATCTGCATACCTCTTTGAGGGATTTGTCCCAGGCCGTGGGCAAGTTGAATGCGATCTTTTTGACGATTGTGGCGATCATTTGGTTGCTTATTATCCTTTCGATCTTTGGCAAGGATATTGTCAAGAACATGTTGTCGATTGGTTCTTTCCTCGTCGCGCTCAGTTTTGTCTTTGGCAACTCGGTCAAGACCCTCTTTGAGAACATCGTCTTTCTCTTCATCACTGTAAGTCATCCATTTTTTTTATTTATTTCACGAAAAGTATAATAATGCAAATTATCTAACCGTTCTTTTCTCTTCATTGCCCCTACATCCAAATTAGCACCCATACGACTCTGGCGACCTAGTAAGCATCGAAGGATCAGACATGTACGTCCGGGAAGTGGGTCTCAACTCCACCACATTCGTCACCTGGGACGGCAAACGGATGTACTACCCCAACAACCTCATCTCCCAAAAACCCATCCACAACGTCCGTCGTTCCCCCAACATGACCGACAAGATCGTCCTCAACATCGACTGCTACACACCCCAATCCAAGATCTTTGAACTCCGTGCCCGCATGCGCGATTATCTCATTCGCGAATCGAAGGACTTTTTGCCGGATTTGGAGATTCAGATCCAGGAGATGGATGCAAAGTTGAAGATTAGTATGTGTATTGAACACAAGGGTAATTGGCAGGATTCCGGGAGGAGGTGGGCGAGAAGGACGGCGTTTAATTACGCGCTCAAGGAGGCTGTGGAGGAGATTGGGATTCAGTATTATGCGCTGCCGCAGAGGGTTGAGGTTTATGATAAAGGCGATGTGGCGATGCGGGACCTTTCTTTGGACCCGTTGCAGGGCGGTTCCAGTCCTGGTGGTCTTGGACGTGAGAGAGTCGGAGGTGAGACGGCGGCGACGTTGGGACCGAATTCGCCCTTGCGCCAGTACTCGCCTGAGCATGTTGCGCGTCTTTATCGTCGCACGACTATCAAAAAGCCCCAAGGCGAAGGCGGCGGCGGCGAGTAGACCTACACCCTTTTTTCTTTTGCCATTCTTTCTTCTCTCTCTTTCTTCTTGAACATACTCGTTCTGTATATACATCACTTTTCCACCCTTTTCCACTCTTTTTTTTTTTTTTTTCTTAGTAGTCCTTTCGGTACATACACAAACAATAATAGAAAACATGCTTCCTTCTTTCACAATCCATGCCATTAAGAACACTTTGTTCCATTCATACTGTCAAAGTAAACATGTCTATCGTTTATCAAAAACACAAGTATCATTAAAAAAACATAAAATAACTAGTCTCGTCGGACCATACCCTTCATCCCATCAGAAGGGATGCTCCTTCCGGATCTCACGCGAGATAATCCACCGAACAGCATCCTCTACATCGTCAACAACCGCAGTCGCAGGATGGGTATGATGGTTTTCGTCCCCCTCCGGCTGAAACACCCCCGTCTTGACCAGCACCGATTGCCATCCATACCCGTTCGCCCCCGCGATGTCCGCATACGGGTTATCTCCAATCGCTATTAACATTTGCCGCCAAACGAAGAAAAAAAAAACACACACACACAAACGTGAAGGGAGAAAAAATAAAATAAGATCTGTCAGCTCGAGAATACTTCACTCTCATGAAAGCCCCATCTTTTCTCCTTTGACAAGAACCAAAACAACTCTCCAGAAAGCAATAAAGTACTAACCATAGACAGTCCTTCGCTTAGGCATGCCATCAGGTCCCAAATGGATAGGCGCGATCCGGTTAAGAACCGCCTCAGCATACTGATAAGTTGTCGTCATAGGTTTCCCATACAACGTGTACTGCAGTTTGTGTCCTGTCTTGTCTTCGAATATCCGTTCCAGACATGTCCTGAATGTCCCCTGTGCGAACCTTGGTGTTGGGAACTCATTGCTCCATACCTAGGTATTATTTTTGTATAGTACGTGGAGAGGGATATATGAGAGGGGTAGGTTAGGTGGAAGCAGGCGTGAGAAAAAAGTTTTTTCCCTGTCAAGAAAAGGTTCAGACATATAAGAGGGAGGAGATACGCAGAATATGTAGGAGGTGTCAAGGAACTTACGAGGTCAGAGTTGGAAAAGTAGAGAGGGACAGTTTGAGGAGTTGTGTGGAGCTCCTTTTGTGTCTTCGTCGTGTTCAGATAACCATCTATCCTCATGTTTGTACCAAGGGAGGAATGTCAGTTTTTTTCATTTCCTTTATGCGAGTGTGGGACAAGGGAGATCGAACAAACAGGATGACAGCATAGCAGGTGTAATAGTTTACCTTGAGAAGTCAGGGCGTCGATGATGACTTGAAGATCGCGACCCCAATCCACAGAGTCGTGAAAGACCATGATGGCGTCCACTGGACGACGCACATTCTGTAGATACTTCTATTCTCGATCAGAAAAAAAGATAACCATGATAGCAACACGTCCTCCGTTTTAGCGACCATTTGAAAGATCGTTCTAAAGATCGTGCACTTTCAACCCCACAAAAGTGGAGCTGGATCAAAATGAATTCAAGTCGAGAAGGGCCAATTACCTCAGCCAAAGGAACAGAACGTGCTTCACACGCAGAGCTTGGACAAACAGAAGGGAAGACGGCATGGACCTCCTCTGGTGTGACGACATGTTTGAATCCATAATGCTCCGCCACATGCCGACACTCGGATCCGTTGCCTCCGACGATGAGGACGTTCGAATCCTCGTACTTTTGAGCCAGTTCCCGCATCGGTGAGTGTGATAGAATGAGTTGCTTTGGCGATATCTAATAATCATACGGGGAGTGGGCGAGGGAAGAGAAGAGACAGTAATGGAGATGAGAAGAACACAGTCGTCGAAGGTAAGGAACGTTAGTCATTGTTACTGTTGTTATGTCTATCAGCAGATTAGCCCAATAGTCAATAAAATCACCAACTACACCATATCGCCACCACTCTCAAGAGAACTTACGTGAACACCTATCTTCCTACTGAGCTGCTCGGCCTTGTCCGCTTCCTTGAGTCCACCTCCATTCGTCAAGAAGATGTACGGCACATTGTTCCTATTCAACAAGTGTTTCAATTAGCGACTTTCCTCAAAAACGTAGTTTCTTCTGTGCGCAACAAAATTACAAGCGAATCATTCCCCGCCCGTGTAACATACGACTGTAACAGTCCAAGAGCACGATGGGTCTGTGGAAGGACTTGCCTGCCCTACAAAACAGTTAAAAAAAGGTAGCAGCAAGTTTCAATCGAAACCCGTTAGTCCCTTCCTCTGACTTGTTCTGTCCATTCTGCTTGCTGAGGTGTATGCATGTGGTTGGTGTGAAATGGCAATGGCACCCACTTTGATGAGGACTCCGTCAATGTCAAAGACGACATTGTAATGAGCTTGAGGGACGATCTGGGTGCTGGAACTAGAGTTGTGCCTGCGGGTGTGAAAGCCTGCTGTTGTACTTGTCCTTGAGACACCGGTGACGGTGAGGAGGGTGCGAAAAGGGATCCTTGTTATCATTGGCTGTCTGTTGCTGTTGGATTCTATCGTCTTGGTTGGTTGTAGTTCTGAGGGTGGTGTAGTTGTAGTTGCAAGAGAAGAAAGAAGAGAAATCACAAATTGCTCTTGGGGAACATTTTATACATAGGACGTCGTCCTCCTTTCCCTTTCACCCAAAAGGACAAGCAAAGTCAACACGGAGAATGAATGCTCCTCACATATTCAACATAACCATGGGATGACGCGGGTTGAGCTTGCAAATTATTTAATACTCAAAAATACTTATTGTGCTATGTTACAAGGTTGGGTCCGCCAGTGTGGAATAAAAGAGTGCTAGAAAAGGGTGGGAACGTATTTACAGCTCATCGTGCTCAATGTCCTCGGCCACGACAGGCTTATCCTCAGAGACCTTGACCTCAAACTTGTCGGTGGCGTTCTCGTTAAGGAACTCAATGAAATCCTCCTTGGAGCGGTTGCCGTTGTAGTCAATGTACTCGTCAACAGCGGCACCGGCCTTGCGGAACTTGATGGTGGGGAAGCCCTGGATACCGAAGGGAACGGACGAAGGGAGGTCGTTGGCAGTGGCATCGAGCTTGGCAATGACAATGTTCGATCCCTTGTAGGCCTCTCCAAGTTCCTCGTAGATGGGGGCCAAGTTCTTGCAGTGGCCGCACCAGGGGGCGTAGAACTCAATCAAAACGTCCTTGTCCTTGTTGTTCTCGACAATCTCGGCATAGGTGGTGGCGACAACGACCTTGACGGGGCCGTCGTTAGACTCGGGGGCAGCCTCGGACTTGACCGAGGGCTCGACAGTGCCGGCCAAGACATCATCAGCCAACTTCTGCATCCTCTCAATAGTGAGCTCACCCTCCTGGTCCAAGGGGAACTTGGCGCCGGTGACGACGTTCTGGACACCGAAAGCGGGCCACTGCTCCTTCAAGTTGATGTTGGCGGCGTGGGCGCCGAACTTGGAGGCGTCAATGTAGGCAAAGTTCATCTTGCCCTTGAAGGACTTGGCGACCGCCTCGATCTCGGCGCTGTACTGGGTCTTTTGCTCGGGGGTGGCGAAGAAGAAGTAGGCGAGGGGGAGACCCGAATCCATGTAGCGGGCATAGTTGTTGGGTCCGATCTCATCCATGGTGGGGACAGAGTTCTCCTTAATGAACTCAACCAAGGACTCGGCATCGAAGGCACCGTCCAAGACGTTCTTGCCCTCATCGAACTGCTTGTAAAGAATAACACCGGATCCGGAGGCGACCTCGTCGCTGGACTCGATGACACCAAAGACGTAGTCGTCGCGGTAGACCTTGGCGATGCGCTCGAGCTCCTCGCGTCTTTCATCGTCCTTGGGGAGGACACCGACGATGACGACCTTGTCGGACTTGGAGAAAGCCTCGAGAGTCTCGGCGGTAAGGTTAGAGACTGGGGGGAGGTTCTGCTTCTTGAGGTAGGAGACGATGGCATCGGCCTTGCGGGCACCCTGGTAATCGCTGGGGGTTCCCTCTCTGTTCAAAGGAAAAAAAAATTAGGGGTAAAGGAAAAACTTGTTAGTTTCTTTACATGACCCCCTGAAAACCAGACATGCTGTATTGGATTGGTGTACAAGGCGAACCATAGACAGCAAACTGCTCCTGCTTGTGTGAGAAAACACAGAAAGGCAAGGAGCATGCATTCCTGTTGCTGTTGATGCTTCTTTGTTGGTGTGCCTAGTGTGTGTGAGTGCTTGCTTGTATCTTTCCATGGACGAAGTGTTCTTACCTGAAAACCTTCAAGGTGGGGTAGCCCTGAACACCCTGCTCCTGGCAAAGATCGGTCTCGACAGTGCAATCAACCTTGGCAATTGGGATGCCGTGCTCCTTGAGCTGGGTGGCAGCAATCTCGTACTCGGGGGCTATCGTTGTTCATATCAAGTGGGCAATGTACTCATTAGGATGGGAATATTACGACAATCAAGCTTCTTTTCGTGTTCGCCATCAACTTTGTGCATTCTGATGAACAAAACGCGCAGTTGGAACGACTTTTTTTTGTCCTGTATAGTCGGTTTGTTTCGTTGCTATCCTGGAAAGGCGAACAAGGTGACTACGAAGGAAAAAGAAGAGGAGACATACCAAGGGCCTTGCAGTGTCCGCACCAGGGGGCAAAGAACTCGACGAGCATGATCTTCTCGTCACCGACGGAGGCGGCAAAGTTCTTGGCGGTGAGGTCGAGAACGTCAGACTCGGCACGGACACCGGCCATCAAGGTGGTGGCGGCGATACCGACGAGGGCGATAGCAGAGGAGATACGCATGTTTTGTATATGGAGTTGTGTTGAGGAGGGAAGGGTGAGGGATGAGGGATGGAGATGAAGAAGAACAAAAATAAGTAGGGAAGTGTAGCGTATTAATATTCACACAGGGGAATGCACACGTACACTGTGACAGAGTGTTCTGTGGCAATGTCGATCTCACGTACACAGCCGGGCTATTTCTAATAATCAAGAGCAAGGAGCTCATTTCCCTGTGGTCCACTGTTGTCCGCCTCCCATTGGCTAGCTGCAAGCGAAGTACTAACGAAACCTTCAAATTCATTCAAACCTTTCGTTCCTTTCTCTCCCAACTTCCCACCCTGTGTGCTGGCACTTCGTTTGTGGAACCACTCCCTTCATTGGAAGGGAAGAACAAATGCCCACCTTGTCCAATTGCTCTCGTCCCTTCCTCCACACACCTTTCACGCCGTACTCATACCCGCTTACTGCTTATTATTTTCTCTAGACTGAACACCATGTCTTGTCATTTCATTTCGCGACTATAGTCGGATGGTAGCAGGGTATTTTCTTTCTCTCCGGTTTCTTTCACATCCCCATCGGGGACATTCTCCTACTTCTATCGTAGTTGCTTTTCTTTCCTCAACTCTTACCCTTTGAGAAACTGACAAGCAAATGAAGAACCAGGCGGCAGAACCAACCAGAAGCAAATCAAATGAACATTCCTGTACGCGTGTGTGTGTGGCGTGTGTTTAATTAAATGGGGAAGATGGGCTATTGGTCCTTGATCAGTGATCAGAACTTTATTTCTTTTCTCTCTTTGATTCTGCGGTGGCGCATTTATCTTTGACACTCAAAGAAAAAAGAGGACTGGTGGCGTCAAGGGTGAATATCAGTAACCGACCGTTGGATACTTGTTTCAAATCATAATAGGGTTAATCAGTGTGTAGACTATCAACGTCTCTTTCTTTGCCAGAAGAGGGTTCCCTCTGGTGAGGCGATATGATGGATCTGATCTGATTGTCAGGACCATTGAGGTGGTGGAAGACTGAGGGAGAGAAAGATGGAAGATAAAAAAAACGACGCCTTCTTTTGACTGTTTGTAGTCTCCCCCAGTTGGCATTGTTTGTATTTCACAGATAAAAAAGAGGTGCAGCTTCGTGTTTAATGTTTCTTTGTTACTTATATTCGTTCTCTCGACTCCTCCCTTAACATATAACATCCAAGATTCTTATCACCGTTGTCATTGCCCTGCGATCTCGGTTACGCGTCCGCAGGAGCGAATACCGCCGTTATGACAGCGTGCTTTGACAAGGTAGAGGTCCCGAACGCAGGGACCGCAACCATTGATTATGCTAGCAGTCAGTTCGCTCGATTCGTACCACCAGCCCCAAAGATGTGTTTCCCTGCCAACACGTCAACTTTGACGCTTCACAGACATCTTCAACTTGCTCTCGAGAATGTTGCACAAAAGTATATCGATGAGTGCTCGGCAGCACACTGAGACATATACCTAACCTTGTTTGAGGACTGATTGGGAGGAGGCTCAGGGAAGAATAAAGTAATGTTCATTAGAAGTAATAATCATCCAACACTTCGTATTTTTTGCCTCTTCAATTTGGACAGGACGCCCGCTTACGTGACCTGGACGCGGCCTGGATGTCCAGTTTCCTAAAATGTTAAGTCTGTTTCCTTTTTGTTTTTCGACTACCAGGTGGGAGATACATATTCTAAGAGTCACCAACTGCCACGGAAGGAAGCTATGGTTCACTGCTACCCAGAGAGACCAACTTCACGCCGCTAGAGTGCCTATAGACCGAGCAATTGACAAACGCGAATCAACATGCCCCAATTATGTGCCTGGACACCTATTTCTGCCTTATATAGCAGGTGAGTGGACACCGAGTTAACATTTTAGGAAACTGGCTGTCCAGGCCGAGTCCAGGTCACGTGAGCGGGCGTCCTGTCCATCTTTAAGTCCATGGTTCCTTAATTTTTTCTTTCTTTGTCTATTTTTCTAGCATCAGGATCATTTTTCCCTGTGAGCCTTTCCATACCCACCCAAACAACTCAGCCCTCACCAGATGAAGTTCTTAGCCGCCATCGTCGTTGCCCTGGGTGTTCTTTCTGTTTGTGAATCTGCTGAAGAAGGCAGCATTAAATACACGCACCAAAAAAAACGGACGCATATACATCTGTCCTCCCACTCACTTTACCACAAAGCCAGCAGCGTGCAACTTACCTAAACCACCACGCTTCCTCCCCCCTCTCTCCCTCTTCCCCTCTTCGCTTAATAATGGTATCAGTTCGAAGTTCGTCCTGTGAACGAGCCACAAAGGCTCTGGAATGGACTCTCCAATATTTGAACGCAAAGAATACAGGCAGAGTAAAAGGGCATACCGTTCGAGAACGATGAGATTGCGCTCATTGACTGCGTCTGTAAGTTCCACGAGAAGAGATCAGAAAACCAGAGCTTGTTCTCTGAATACTGTGGATCCAGACAAGTCTCAGAAGGTTATGGAGCCTGATGTGGCCAGGTGCCTCAGCGGGAGCGTTGGCTCCAAATGTTATGGATAGGTGTGAATCCTACCTGCTCAAGCTGCTCAGATACAATGGCGTCGGGTAGTATTATTTTTTTACCCCATTTTCAGATAGTGTTGTAAGCCGATAGAATAAATACAATTAAGTGGTAATAAAGAAAAGAAACGGTAAGAGTGTGTTTGTGAGTGAGTGCAACATGGTCCTTTGGCATGTATGCATGCGAAGCCCCCCCAAAAAAAGCAATTAGGAAGAAAATGTTTCCTAACCATTCACAGCAGACATTGGGCTGCTAGCAGCATCAAGAAAATAAAACAGACGTAAGCGCGAGGGGAGAGTGAAAGGTCTCTTTGTTCGTGTCTAAAACAGATGACAGATAATCTACGCCTGGAGGAAGGAGACAATGGCACCAGCCTTGCGGTTGCCAGCATAGTTTTGAGACCGACTATTCCTATCGATCACACCAGCGAAGAACAAAATAAAGGCACAGGCAAGTCAATTTGCATTATCATTTGTGAGAAGGACGTGTGTTTTGTTAGACATCACTAGGGGTAGACACATTCACACACACACACACACGGGCTTATGCATAATAAAATAAACAACAACAATAGCAACTGTTTGTTATAATGCCTATAGACCTTGAGGGTAGGGTACGCCTGGACATCCTGTCCATCACAAAGCGCATCCTCAGCAACACAGTCGACTTTTGCTAGCACCGTTTCTGACGACAATATCTTCAACCTCGCCGCCGCCATTTCGTACTCGGGAGCTATGGATCCATCATTGCCATGGATCGAAAAGGCGGCATTTCACAGTCAGTGCTTGTTTTCTCTGTTGATCCGCTTCAGCAATCAGCCTTGAAAGACAGCGCGCTCTTCACAGTAGGGCTACTTGCCAAGTTCTTTACAGTGCTTGCGCCAGGGTGCATAGAACTGAACCATCACCACCTCGTTACTATGGATGGCCGGGTAAAAGGTTCCTGCAGCGAGCTGGAGGACATTGGATGGGGCAGCTGCAAGGACTTGGAGGTTGGCGGTCCATGCTGCCATCATCACGACCATCGCCACGAGACTGATCGCTCCAATTGGTCTGGCGTTATGAATTTGCATTTTGAGAGAAAGATAAAAAAAGAAAAACAGAAGGACGAGATTGTGGAAAACGGGAGAGAGAGCTCTGCAAACTTTCTTGCAGGTAAGCTTGTGAAGAGGATGGAGAAAGAAGCTGGGCGAAAGGGAAAGGGAAAGAGTGCAGCAGCTTATGTCCCCCAAAACACTCAACAGCAGAAAACGTTTTTGAAGGTCAGCGTCCATGCTCATGATTACCCACTATATCCTTTGGTCAGATAGCCATTGGGCATGTGTGGGCATTCTATCATCGTAAGTGTTGTCGGCGAATTCTTTGCATTTCTCTCCTATTTATTCACCGTCAGGATTCTCTCATGGTGTTGTCTTTTGCTCATCTCGGATAATCACCCTGGTGAATGCATCTATCTCTTTTATTAGTTTTACGCCACATTGCATGTCTCAGTAGCCTCCTCATCCCTCCTTTATCCCTCTTTGAGTTCGTTTCTTGTTTGTGCAGCTGGCATATTTTTTCCAGGCAAAAAAAGCCTTATCAGATCGAAAGTACACAACAGGAAAAATAAACTTGCAAGTGTTGACGGTGATGGTGCTCAAAAAAGAGAGAAGAGCCGCTTGTTTCTTATCAGATGCAAAGAGGGGGACACCTTTCCACACCCAAACAGCGCCAACAATAGTAAACATGGCAAGGTCCTCCCCCTCCCTTACACGCTCCTCACCCACACATATACGTCCCTATCCCTAAAAGGGAACGATCCATACACTTGTCCCTGCGGTGGTACTTCCCCAAAATATTCGAACTAGCAGGCCAACACCATGTTCTCTTCCCCTCTTCCGACTCTTCTCCCATTTCGCATTTCCACCTCCTCATACGCCTTTTCTCGCCTCTTGACCTTACCCATTTGCTACATTTGGTTGCTGAGGGCAAAGTGACAAAGCAAGTATCTTCATTAGGGGTTTCTCTTGTAATCATATTTCCATTTGGTTGCTGAGGGCGAAGTGACAAAGCAAGTATCCTCATTTGGGTTTTCTCATGTCATCATATTTCCATTTCAGAAGCTGGCACCTCAACCCGGCAAGAAATTTAGTCGCCAGCCGGGCGAAAACAAAAAAAAGGGGTGAAGAAAGGATTCATTGAAGGCTCCAATCGAACCATTGCACAAAGAGATGCGCAAGGAGAGAGGGATGGATGGGTATTTGATGATCCTTTGTTGGACTTTCATGGGGCGAAGGTAAGGTGTTTAGTAATTGAGTGTTATGTCACACTCATTCTTGCTCTCTCTCTATCAATTGCGTCGAAACTTTGATCGATGCTGTCAACGCAGCTATTGTTTTCTGTCGATGGAAGCATATTTGTCAAGAAGAGAAAGGCTACATGGCAATTGATTTACCTTTTGCTTTGCTTGGTTATCTCTTAGGAATGACGTTCTTTGCCATGGCTATTCGATCTTCCGTCAGTCCCTTTCTTCTCTCTTACTCATCTCTAACTAGGCTTGCGAAACTAGGACCCCATTTGTCATGGATGTCATTGTTGTTGACGCGCGTATATGCTTCTTGGCAATGACATGTTCTATTTTTCTTACCGTTGTTTATGCCTTCCTCTCATCCGCCGTTTCCTCTCTCTTTCTCTTCCTTTCTTGTAACTGAATATAAATTATCCCCTGTACATGTACCTACAGTCCAACCACCCAGTCTTGCCTTCCTTCTCCTCGCATTTTAACTCCCGATCGCATTTTCTACTTTCTCCAACTCAGCACATACGGGAAGGGACAAAGCGCAGTCAAATCTGGCTGGGCAAAAACAAATGTCATCGTTCGCTTAACCCGCTTAGGGTTCCACTTGCAGGTTCTGTTGTACTCCATCTCCTCACCTGCTCATCTCATCCGGCAATGGATTCCTCCGGTTTGACTTGAACTCAGCTCTCATACAAGCACGCTAAAATAATCAGTTTTCTGCTGTAAGGAGGGAGGAGGAGCAGGCCTTTGGGGTTTGTTCCACGGATCAATTCCTTTCTAGTTCTTTCGATATTTTTCAGGGGTGACAACACAAAGAAGGGTACCAACAACAACCAAGGCTGCGGTGATAAATGCCCCTAGCTTATCTCTCTGCTTGCGACAGCCTCTTCTTTGCAGTCGGGTGGGGTTTATGGCAAAATTGGCAATTTTTGAATGTCGATTTGAGGCAAAATTGGAAAATTTTGATTTTCGCTATGTTTCGCCGCTCTTCCTTTGCTAGCGTGGTCGACTGTGTATATCCAATTGGAAAGGCAGGGATGATCGCATCGAATGAAAAACTAAACAGGGAGGCATCGAAAACACGAGAAGCAAACAAAAAAAAAAGGTCGATCGCGATTTTCGTTTCTGTTTCTGTGTAGGGTGTTGCGTTGCTCCCTTGATCGATCAATTGGAAGTTGATTGTGCTGAGTTCGAGTTCAAGTCAAGTGCAGTGCACCTCACTAGCTTACATTTGTTTTGGTGTTCAGTTTACGCTTTTTAGTTGATGGGTACCTCGACAGAGGTACTTTCCCTCTACATGGGCTTTTGTTTACTCACTTTGTTGCTTTTATGTTGCTTGTCTGATGCTGAGATCTAGCCGTATGCCTCCCAAAACCCCTCATGACTACCAACATACAAACGCCCACTCCTCCCAATTTTTTCTACTTGAAAAATAATAAATACTGCCATCTCCACCTGCCAATATCCATCTTTTTTTTATTTTATCTTCATCCTCCTTCGACAACAACTTCATAGCAGAACCACTCTCATAGAGCGACATTGCAGCTATTCAGGCCGCCACTCCACTCTCACACTTTTTACCTCCCAAGACACTCATCTCTGACGTCTACCCCTGCGCCCTCACATTCATAATTCACCCTACACACACACCCTTCAACCACCCATCATGTCTTCAACACACATCGATGGCAAGACATCGGCTGCAGCCGCTATAGTACCCTCTCAAAAGCAACAACAATTCGACGTCTCATCCTCAAACACATCCCTCTCCGAAAAGACCCAACAAGGCGAGGGCGGCACCGGTCAAGACCAAGGCTCCCAAGAACCCGAAGAAACCATCGATGTCAAGGGAGAACCCATCCATGACTTGGACCACCCAGAGGCGGACTCGGCGACCCCTCCTCCAATGTTCCACAAACCCCCGCCTCGACAGTTTTTATTGATCATGATCGCGTACGTGTGTTCCTTTTTTCTTTGCCAAGGCTGTCTGTTGAGTGTTTGATTGTTTTGTTTGGTCGTTGGATTTTTTGCATGGGTTTTTTGTTTATATGGGTTGAGTTGGCACAGCGCGGCGCGGGCACAGATTGAAATGAAGAATCTTGGCTCATCAGCTTCTAAAACATTTACACACAAGCTTTGCCCGTATACACACCACTGTGCTTAATTTACATGTACTCACATTCATCCATATCTTACTCTCTCACTTCTCCCTCCATCCCATCCCTTCTTTCATCCTTGCCATTCTCTTCTTTCTACTTTCCCCTGACATTCCCTACACAGCCTGGCACTATGTGTGTTCCTCGCCTCGCTCGACCAGATCATCGTCTCGACCTCGATCCCAGCCATCACCCGCGAATACAACTCCCTCAACGATATCGCCTGGCTCGGCACCTCCTACATGATGACCTCCACCGCCTTCCAACCTCTCTACGGCAAGGTCTCAGATATCTTTGGACGCAAGCTGACAGTTCTGTTTGCTAATACTGTATTTCTTTTGGGGAGTGCTATTTCAGGATGGGCTACTTCTATGATCATGCTCATCGTTGGACGGTAAGCTTCTTTTTCGAGTCACGCGTTGATTTCTGTTTTTGTATAAGAGATGATTCGCGACGCGTCGAAGTGTTGTACTAATCATGGAAATACTTTTTTTACATGTAACTTTCGAAAAAAAAATTAGAGCGGTAGCCGGTATTGGAGCGGGTGGGCTAATGGCGATGGTGTTCATCATCATGTCGGACATGCTTGACATGCGCGAGCGTGGGAAATACATCGGAATGGTCAGTGGAATCTTTTCCCTCTCCTCCGTCATCGGTCCTCTCCTCGGTGGCGCATTTGCTGACCATGCCACCTGGCGATGGTCCTTCTGGATCAACCTCCCCGTCGGCGCCATCTCTACCGCCTTTATTGCATTCAATTTGGATCTCCCCACACCCGAGGGTTCCTTTTCAGAAAAGATCCAACGAGTGGATTTCTATGGATCGTTCTTGCTCCTTGCGAGTGTCATGTTGTTGTTGTTGCCGTTGAGTTGGGGTGGAAACAAGTATGCCTGGAACTCGGGGATTATCATCGGCCTGCTCATCGCTGGCTTTGCCGTCGCCATAATCTTTGTCCTCGTCGAATGGAAGATCCCCAATGAACCTATCCTCCCAATCCACCTCTTCAAGATCCGAAACATCAAGGCCACCTACTCATCGGTCTTCTTCAGCGGCATGGCCTTCTTTGGAATTATTTTCTACCTCCCAATTTACTTCCAGGTCATTTTGGACGAATCCGCCACCATCGGAGGTCTCGAGACCGTCCCCTTTGTCTTTGGCATCGTCATCTCGTCTGTCGGATCTGGGATCTGGGTGATGAAGAAGGGGACATTTGCATTCTTCCCAGCCGTGGGGAACTTCATCTTCATGGGCGCAACGGCCCTCTGTATCCTCTTCAAAGAAAACACCCCCCGGGTCGTCACAATCTTTGTCCTCATGCTCTGCGGTCTCGGCGTCGGTCTCACCTACCAAGCCTACACCGTCGCTGTCCAATCCGCCGTAAAACCCAAATACATGGCCACAGTCACCGCCTCCATCCAATTCGTCCGCTCCCTCGGCCAAGTCTTTGGTATCGCCATCGTCGGGTCGGTATTCAACAACAAACTCGAAGAGTCCCTCCTCTCGTCCTTCCCACTCTCCCCCGGCCGGGAGATTCTCCGTGTGATGCAGGATTACAGCTTCATCAAGACGTACTCGGAACTGGATCAGGCGGCGATTTATGGGAGCTTTGTGCATGGGATCCATTACGCCTTTTATTGTAGTGTTGCATTTTGTACATTATCGTTCTCGGCGGCTTGTTTTATTGAGCATAAGGAGTTGAAGACTAGGAAGGATATGGATAAGCCCGAGATTACTATTGACATGGCCTAAAGCTCCTTCCTTTCATTTCCCTTTTTTTTTTACTTGTCTCTTTTCTTTCTGTTTCTCTTCCTCATTCTCTTCCTTCTCACTTCATATCATCATCTAATGAACAATATATAACATCGTTGAGTAATAAAATACATAATAGCGCGCATGGACAATGTTTTGATCAATGGACGATCACCTTGAAGAAATGAGGAACTCTGGGCTCTTGTCCTTCCCATCGCATCAAGCAAAAAAATAATATGGAAAAAAGAATAGTTTTTATTCGCAACGCTCTTAAAAAGTAACGATGCATAGAGTGTATGTGCATGTACAAGGTAGGCACGTGCAGATGAAGAAAGGGGGGAAAGGAAGACGCCCCCCTTCCCCCAAACACAGCGAGCACTAAAGAAAGACAAAGGTTGGGGTGGGTGGGGGGTGAAGGAGAGAAGCGAAAAACGCGACGAATAAGAAAGCAGCGTCGAAAGGAGCAAGACATCCCATTCCCCCAATGCGTGAAAAAATAATCCCTTAGTGGTTGGAGCCAGACATTTGACTGCCATTATACTTGGACTGGATGGTCTCGACAGACTCGCGCTGGAGCTCGTGCAAGTCCGAAGGGAGGGGCTCCCTGTCGGCTTTTACATCCGCCTCGCTCTCTGTTGCGTTCTCGTCCCTCCACAGCGGTGCACTCTTGATCGTGTCATTCTTTCCGTGGTCTACTTGGAAGGAAGGGAGAAGGGGGAGGGGAGAGATGGAAGTGACGAGAGAGAGAGAGAATATCATCAGTCAGTCGGTCAGGTAGCAACAGACTCAAAACAAGAAAACAAGAGTACTTGTTTCAAAAAAAATATGCACGCTCCTGCACTGGACTGTAAGCCTCCCGCATGCGCTGCTGCCTGTCAATCTCTTTCTTTACCTTGGTTGGTGCTATGCGCGGACAACAAAAGATGAAAGTAAAGAAAAGTTATGTAAGTTCGGGGTGCACAGAAGGATCGTTTCATAAGAGCAGCATGTCGTTCTTCTTCAGAAAAAAAAGCAGGCCATGATACCTCCAGAAGGATCGGTTGAGGTGCGAGAGAGGGGCTGCAGGGAGAACGAGGGCTCTACCCATATGGGCGAAGGTCAAGGAGCGGCGTGAGGCAGTAGAGAGAGCAGACATGGTTGTTGTATTGTTGTGTTGTTGTATTGTTGTGGTGTTGTATTGTTGTGTTGTGTTGTGTTTTGTTGGCGAAAGTGAAGAAGAAAGAGAGGGTGGGAAAAAGTTCGAGGTGATGAAAAAAAAGTGAGGGCCCAATGAGGCTGATCCGTGGCTTGGATGCGAGGTGCGAGTTGGAAGTGCAAGGCCTAATTTGCTCAAGTCTCAGAATGTCACTTTTGCAAAGGTCAAAGCAATAACCACATGGGTATCATGAAAGTATCCGAGCTGGACACTGTGAGGTGTATTTGCTATGGTAAAGGTGAATTTGTCTATGGGAAATAATAATAATAACAATAATGCATTTGTGCTAAGCCAACCCTCTCATCTCATCGCCCAAACTTAACGGAGCATGCCGCCAAGCAAGAAGGGGTTCTCAACAACAGACTTCCAAGCCTCGCTGAAGCGGGCGACCGTCGCTCCGTCAACCACACGGTGATCAGCGCTCCAGCTGACATTGACAATCGACTGTGCAACAACACGCTCAACCATCTTGCCGTTCTCCTCCACCATCTTGAACCGGGGCAGACGCTGCATCTTGCCAACAGCAGCAATCGCAACCTCGGATGTAACAACAACAGGGTTCAAGTATGTGCCACCAATCATGCCAACATTCGACAACGACAACGTGCCGTCCTTCAAGTCAGCCAGAGGGATCGCATTCTTCTTTCCTGCCTCCTGTAACCTGGCAAGCTCAGATGCAATCTCGAGCACAGACAAGTTCTGAACGTTCTTGATGTTAGGCACCAACAGTCCGTTGGGGGTATCCATGGCAACGCCAATGTTGTGCGACGCACGGTACTTGAGCTTTGCGGACGAAGCCTCCTCACCATCAACCACACAGGCGTTCAGGATGGGGTAGTCCTCCAGAGCAAGCGAGAGGGCCTTGATAAAGATGGGCATGTACGACACCTTCTTAAAGTTGTACTTCTCGGGCGTCTTGGCAACATGGACGTTCAAGGCCGAGCGGAAGGCAGTCGCGTTGTCGAGGACAATCTCGTCGGCGAATCCAAAGTGGGGGATCGACAACGACTTTGTCATCTGCTTGAACATGGCCTTCTGGATCATCGACAATGGAACAACCTTGTCCTCGCCTCTAGGGATCGAGGCCTTGGCAGAGGTAGGTGTGGCAGCAGCAGGAGCTTTGGGAGTAGCTATTATACCATTCATATTAATTTTGTTAGTATCACTTTCTCGGATGCATCTTAAATAGTATGGACAAGTAATGCAGTACGAAAGTAGAAGCATGAGGAGATATCTTACCAGTGGCCTGTCTGCCGTTGGCGAGGTAGGACACGACGTCCTCCTTCATGACACGACCACCCTTTCCAGATCCCTTGATGTTGGCAATGTCAACATTGTTCTCCTTGGCAACACGACGGACAGCAGGGGTGGCGAAGGTCAAGATGTGATCGGCAGTGGGGACCTCGGGCTTTCCACCAGCATCAGCGGCGTTATCCATCATGGCAGCAACGGCGTTCATGTCCTGAACAACATGCGAGCGTCCCGTCAAGCCGTCCTCGGGAACGGGGGTCGAGGCAGAGGCAGCATCCGGAGCAGCGACGACAGGCTCCTCAGAACCAACAGCATCGCCAGTCTCGATCTCCACAAGGGGTGATCCGACCTTGGCCATATCTCCGACCTTGTACTTGAGCGTGGCGATCGTTCCTGTGAAGCGGGAAGTAATCTCCACTGAAGCCTTGTCCGACTGAACCTCGCACAGTCTGTCAAACTCTTCGACCTTGTCGCCCGTCTTCACAAACCTATTTGTTTTTGTTGTTGTGTGTTTTCATGTTGTCAGTTAACCATGGAGTAATAACAATGAAAATTCAAACATACGCACAAATAACAAAAGAAGAAATAAAGGAGAACTAACCATTGGATGACCTCGCACTCGGTGATACCCTCTCCGATATCGGCCAAGAGGAAGGGGACCTTGGCGTTGGCCATGGCGGAGGCGTGGAAACGCTGGACACGGTTGGCGCCATAGACGGTTTGGTGACGGATGGCCTTTGAGCAAAGGGCGGTAGTCGTCTAAACAGGCAAGGAAAATATAAACATTAAAAATAATGAGCAAATTTGCGCTTCTGGCCAACACACCCACAGATCAATTACCCCATTATTTTTTTCTTCTTTTTGTTTCTTTCCTTTACCTTGGTGCTAATAGAGTATCTGAGTCTCTGGCCAGAGATCATGCGGGCCGTGGAGATGTATGTGGATTGACCGACCTAATTCGGGGCAGAGACGGACATATCAAACGGTTAGTTAGTGGCTGTTCTTGTTTCGCTTGTTTCGTTCCTATTACTTTGACATGTCATTTCAAGTACAAACAAACGATAAGTACCTTTGTCCTGAGGACGTTCAAAGAAGACCGAGAAGCAGAGAACATGGCTGTAATTGTATATATACTAATTTGCCAATAAAACGAAGGAGAAGAGTACAAGGGTTAGTTGGCAACTCGGATCGATACTTTGTTTATTGCGTTACTTTTAGCTTGGTAGAAAGGCAAAAGATGAAGTGTGAGAAGCATGGTGCTTCTCACCCTCTCCTTCTCCTTCCTTCCCATCCCCTTAGGCGTTATCATTCCTTTTATAGCCCGTGTGACAAAGGTAGCCCCGTTCTTATTCTGTTGTTATGGGTTTGTGATGGAGTGTGAAGATGGGGTGATGGAAGTGGGTCTGTTCATCAAGTGAGAGTGTGAGTTGATCTGAATCTGATGACTCGCAAGAAGGTCATCGTGTGTGTGTGTGTATGCTTACATATGAGGAGTGTGTGAGAGAGAGAAAGAGAGTGGGGAGTGTGTTGAGGTATAAGGGAGGAGGACAAAGGGGGGTTGGTGGAGAAAGGGGGAGGGAGTACAGAAAGGAGAGGAGAGTGGAGTGGAGAGAAAGAGAAAGAGAGAAAGAGAGAAAGAGTGGAGAAGAGAGAAAAAGGAAGAGAGAAAGCGAGTAAAAGTAGAGGAACGTGAGAAAAAAACGAGGGTTGGGGGAGCAGAAAGTGAAATGATGACTGAGGGAGGAGGGAGGGGACGGAGAAAAAGAAGACGAAAGAGTCTGCCTGGGGATGTGAGAGAGCGAGTGCGAAGAACATGAAAAAAAAATTGTCCCACGCAAATTTCCCACGCTGTGGTAGGAAATAACTGATGAGAAACTCAAAATCGAACTCAAAGTTGACGTCGCATCTACTTTATTTCCTTCCATTTGATATCTCATCTCTCCGTGTCCGGTTTGCTATGGTGGCGTTTCATTTTCATTTTTATTTTTATTCAAAAGTTCTAAGCTAAGGGGAAGGAATGTAGGGACAGGTGAAGTGGGATATATAGTGTCTAGGGGGGTGGACAAAGGCGTTGAATGGATTTACACCTTCAACTTGGAGGCAAGATCGGCCAACTCATCATCGTCCTCCTTGTCAGAGTCAGAGCTTGAATCGGATCCTGATCCAGACTCATCCTCAGACTCGACGTCCTCCATATCGTCCAACTCTCCAAGAGCATCGCCGTGGTCGTGTTTGGCCAAAGCATCGCGAATGGCGTCAATGGCGGCACTATCCTCCTCAACTTGGTTTCCGTTCAACTCCAATGAAGTCAGGTTGGGGAGGTGCTCCGAGATAGCAGCAGCAAGCTCCAAGACACCGTCCTCCTTCATTTCGCCGTAGGTGAAATCGAGCGACTCAATCTTGGGGTTTTTGCCGAGAGCAAGAGCATGCGAGAGCAAGATGGTGCCCTTGTTGGATAACAAGCACTCGCCAAAGTTGAGGCGCTTCAGCTCAGGCCAGGTGGGGAGGGCAGTAGCAAAGGCGCGGCATCCACGAGCAGTAAAAGTGTTGTCCTGAAGGTCCAGAATCTCGAGTCCAGGGCAGTTGGTCAATCCAGCAGCCAAAGCCTCAATGCCCTCCATGCGGATTCCGTTCTGGGGCATGGCGACGTGGGTCAAAGTGCCGTGGGCAGCAAAGGCCTTGGCCAAATCAGGGGCCGATCCGTTCTCGAGGCGGTTACGACCGGCAATGACGACCCTGAGCGACGACTTTTTACCTTCGGCAACGTTCTTCTCGTGGGCAGTCATCAAGGCCTCGGCCAAGACCTTGCCTCCTGTGATGCCCAATCCGTTGTTGTTGAGCTTCAAGACCTGCAAGTTCCTGTTGGTGGTTAAAAACTCGACCAGGGGAATGACACCGGCAGCTCCAAAGGCGTTGTCACTGAGGTTGAGTTCGACGAGGTGCTCCTTGTCCTTCAAAGCGTCTCCAAAAGCGACCAAGCAGTCGGGAATCTCGGATTTGAGGCGTCCAGTGAAGATGTCAGAGAAGTTGGCGACCTATTGTTGGCAATGTAGAATGGCAGTAGTTGAGTAAAAAAAGAGAATTGAGAACCAAGCATAGAATGAAGTGACTGAGCGTGTCACGAGTCTCTTTTATTTTCTAACAAACAAGGCTTCGTTTAGCTTCGTTTGCTTCGCTGCAAACAAGCTCCTTGCGTTAAGGAAATAGTCTTCTGACTCTTTTCTTTCCTTTTTCTGCTCTCCTTGTCAAATACCAGTGAGCCTTTGCCGTTGTTATCGTTGTCGTGGTTGTCCAGGTCAGTCTAGTCTCAAGACATCCTGATTTTTCCCCTTTTCCCACACATGTACCCCTTTCCTCGAAAGACGTTGAAATATTTTTCTTTCTCGTATTTTGTTTTGTGTGGTATGGTTACCTTAAGAAGAGGCTTCTTGGCCAAAGCAGCAGCAAGCGCGCGGCAGGCCTCGACACCAAATGTGTTTCCGCTGAGGATAACGTTCTCCAAAGCATCCATGCCCAAGATGGTCTCGATAAACTCCTTGACGTCGTCGGCAGTCTGGAGCTTGAGGCCGCGGCCCTCGATAGTGAAGGTTGTGGTCGACATCTGCTATGAATCTAGGTCTGGAAACAATAAGCATGGAGAATCGATTAGTCGCTGTTTCTTTGGACTTGGTTGGCGTTAGGTGACTGCAAGTGATTTGTTGTAGGGTTCGACTCCTGCTCCTGTGGTTTTCTTGTTGATGATGACGAATGACTTACAAAGGAAGGTGGAGGCGAGAGGGTGGTGATGGAGAAGGAGAAGAAAGAGACTCAACCCAACCGCCTCACCCTTCACCACTAGAAAAAAAAAATAGTGGCTGAGCTTGCCCTGTTCTCCGCCAGTGGACACATTTTTTTTCTTTAGTGCAAGTCTGCCTCACAGTCCTTTTCCTCCTTTCATTCTTCCTCTTTCAGAACACAACACCCATCTACCTCCCCATCGACACTCGGACTGCACACACCCGTTTCACATCACTCCTGCATCACCCTTGTTGTCCTCACTCCTTCCTCCCTCCCTCCCTCATCGCCTCAAGTAATGACCGACCTTGAGAGCAGAGAAAAGGTAATCCTCTTTCTCTCACTCACGCTCACATTCATCTCTCTCACATACACGCGTGTTGACGCTTTGGTGGCGGAGAACAGAAAAACAAACAAAACAAACACAAACGACAAAACAACTCGCAAACTAGCACGACACTTGCCATGTAAACACCAGCTAACATACATTCTCCCACCCAACCTCACACTAATAGAAACGAGGTCCTCCGCCAAAGCTGCAGCCGATCAATATCGGACAGCCAAAGGACAAGGAAGCCCACCTCGCAGACTACTTTGGGGAAGGGAGTCTTCCGTTCGCCACCACACCGTCCCTCAACATACGCCCTCCAAAACGAACCATCTTCTCCAAAGTCACCACAAACACCAATACCAACACTAACATCAGCAGCCATTCTGTCGCAATTGGCACTGCTACCTCAAACACTAATACCCGCGACACCTCTGGCTCCAACTCCAGTAACACAGGTGTCAGTTTCGATTCAAAGGACCCTTCGTCAATACAACAACCCTCAACAGCAACAATCCCTCGATCTGTCCATCACATCGTCACTACTTCCTCTGACCGGGAGTCAGGAACAGAAGCTGTCAAGTCTTCGCAGTCTCTTGGGAATGCCAATGTAGCAGACACGGCTTCGGAACCTATGATCCTCCACAGAGTTCGGTCCTCATCGAGGTTGAGTCGTCAGGAACCTTTTCAGAAGAAAGAATTTACATCCCCACCTGAATCGGACAAGCCAGCTTTGACGGAGGTCGTGAGTACCATTTCCGAGCCCAAGGTAAAGCGAGATTCTGCTCGACCGACTTGCATGTGTTTTCATTCATCTTTGCAGCATTAATGAAACGGTATTCTTTTAACATACATACAGGTCGCATTTGCGCCACCTCCAAGCAGGATATCCAGGAACCCGGAAGGAAAGGAGAACCTCACACCGCGGACATCATTAACTTCTCGATCGTATCTCAGAAAGTCCATCCCGTCCAAATCAACAGCACCCCGGAAATCGTTCAATTGGGGTAAAGGAATCGACGACTTTTGGCCTCAATTTGTTTGCATTCATCATAATTATCAAGGACGAGACAGCAAGAAAAAAACGTCAAAGAATTAACCAAGTTGCCACTTTTGTTTTGTTCTGGTGCCCTATAGGTCCTGCACAGAGAGAAGTTGGGGAGTCTGCCGACAAGGAAGAGTCAAAAGGATCTACGCCTAACGACGATGGTACTGAGGCGTGGATTACTTGATAGTCGCGATGAAAGAAAAAGGAAAAAAGGACATGGCTGTACGATTCTATATAATACTAAACACCCCTTTGCGCCACCTTGGAATTCAATAGAACATGCTATACCCCCAACAGTCGAACAGAACACGGACACGGCAGCAGCAACAGTAGCGGTGGCATCGGGAGCGACAGTACCAAGCACGCCAGACGACTCTGGAACTTCATCAGTGGATTTGGCTCTTCAGGATCTGCAAGTGGACGATGCGGCGGCAGGGTCAGGAACGAACTCAGAACTGGCTCGTGGCCGTCAGGGTGTTAAGCGCGACATGGATGAGGCTGGTTCCTCAGCCAAACGGCGGAAAGAATTTCATCCGCAGGTATTTCTCGAGGTCCCTGGTATCGTTGATTTAATGCAATTGAAAAGCGAGACCACATCGAACTCACAATGCGTTGTTTGTATTTATATAGGAGGATTCATCGCGTCTGGCCATCAAAAGGACTAGTTTCGGGACCTTGCCAAGCCCTCCATCACCTCGCCTAAGTACGACAGTACCATCACATGCATCTGAGCAGTTCGCTTTCACAAACGAGAAACCCAAGTCGAGCGATGAAGCAACACCTGTACAGAGGAGAGAAGAGCGCGAATCGATCGAGCGGAAACACGCAGCACCAAAATCACCCCAGGCTATCAAGGCGGCGTTTCACTTTCCTCCTCTCGGATCGTCTCAACCTTCCTCAAACCCGGCTGCCCAACAACAACAGCACCAACAACAGCAGCACCAACAACAGCAGCACCAACAACAGCAACAGCAGCAGCAGCAGCCACAGCCATCTCAACCACCACAACAGCAGCGTCCGCAGCATGGAGACGGGATTGCATCGATCGTGCAGAATCTGGTTGTGGGCGCTCCCAAGACAAATCCACGGCCTTCCGTCAACCAACCCGAGACCCAGGGGCGTTCAGGAAGCGGAACGATGTCGCCTCCATTTACTACTGCGTCGCTGTCCGTCAATACAAGCAGCAGTCGAGGAGATCTAGGCTATCGAACCGTCATGATGGTCAACAACAGACCTTACACAAAGCTGGCGCAGGTCGGCAAAGGAGGCAGTTCCAAGGTGTACAAAGTCCTGGCAAGCAACTCTAGAGTCCTTGCGTTGAAAAAAGTTTCCTTTGAGAACGCGGATCAATCGACTATCAACGGCTATGTGAACGAGATCAGGCTGCTAAGGAGAATGGTCAATTCTTCGCGGATCATTCGACTCTGGGACGCCGAAGTCAATAACGCCAAAGGATACCTTTCTCTGGTAAATTCTCATCTCTTTTTTTTTGTTTGCCCTATGGAATGTACCTTGATGTGGTATCTAATATTTCTACAATTTGATCTGCACGTCTTAGGTTATGGAGTTTGGTGAGATCGATTTGGCGCATATGCTTCAGCACCAACAAACCCAGTCCTTCGACCTTCACTTCATCGGACTTTATTGGCGCCAGGTAACAATTCGATACTGAGAGAAGTGAACGGTTGTTGCTTTTCTAATATTTCGTGCTGATCGAGTTTTCATTTATCATGGTTTATTGAAATAGATGCTTGAGGCGGTACAGGTGGTGCATGATTTGAAGATTGTGCACTCGGATCTAAAACCGGCCAACTTCTTGCTAGTGGGAGGATCGCTGAAGCTGATTGATTTTGGAATCGCCAATGCGATCGCGAACGACACGACCAACATCCATCGGGAGGGGCAATTCGGAACAGCAAACTACATGTCGCCTGAGGCAATCTCGTCCAACCCGCAAGCAGGAGGGTGTCGGAAACTGGGTAAACCGTCAGATGTCTGGTCGTTGGGCTGTATCCTCTACCAGATGGTCTATGGCAAATCACCCTTCTCGGATGTCATCAATGTGTTCCAGAAGTTGAACGTTATTACTAACCCGGACTACCAGATCAAGTTCGCGCCGACCGTTCGATCGCCACTTCGCCTCGGTGAGCCACAATCCAGCCCGCTTCCTCCGGCACCACCGTCTGCACCAGGAGCAACAGGATGGGATGGATCCAATACAGGATCGACTTCCCTGGGATCAGATACGTCTTCGTCACTACCAGATTCAACACCGACGGCTCCTACTATCGTCGACATTGACCCTAATTTAATCCGCGTCATGAAAGGTTGTCTCGCCTACAATGTCACCGACCGCTTGACTATCCCCGATCTCCTCGCCGACCCCTTCCTGCACCCTTACATTTCTGCACCCCCTGACTCTTCTTCGCCCTTGCCGTCCTCCTCGGGAGCGGGAACTGGAACAGGGACAGGAGAATCGGTGATGATGGATGTTGACACGCTTCATCAAGTCATGCAAGCGTCTATGGTCTTTGCCGCCAACCATGTCACATCCCAAGGCAACGGTAGTAGTAGTAATACCAGTGCAGCAATAGCGATTGACAAAGTGGTTGTCCAATCTGCAACGGAACAAGTCTGGCGCCAGCTTCAGGCCAAGAAGAAGGCTGGCTCTACTACTGGTGGTGGTAACAGATTCTTTATCTCGGACTAGCACTTTTGCGAGTCGCATATCTTCCTTAATATTCCCCCCCCCCCCCCCCCCCACACACACACACACCTTCCTTCCTCCTTTTTATCTTTCTTAAAACACAAACAAAAACCCTCCGTCGACAACTTCCAACTTCCAACTTCCAACCACCAATCCCCCACACCTTCCCATGTAGAAAACCCTTTTACCAATAATGTACAACAAACAGACTCGAGCAATAACCCTAAGCGACACAGAAGTGACAAAGTGCCTTTTTTGATATTCTTACTCAATTTTTTATTTTTGGTTTGGAGAAAAAAGAAGAGTATGATATGCAATGGGAGGAAGGAAGTCGGGGGGGAAGTGCAACGAGAGAAGAGGTAAAGGAAGAGAGAAAAAAAAGACGATTGTAGAAGTTTGTCGGTATGTACAGTACAGAATGAAAAAAAAGTAAGCGTGTTGGTTGAATGTGCAAGTTATTTTCTCTCTCAATTGCCTCCTGTTCGCCGTCGCAATGACCAACTTAGGCAGCCTGGGCCTGGAGAACCTTGAGGGCATTAGCGGTGGCAGCGAGCGCAAGAACACCCCACGAGATATAGGTTCCAACGTCCCGGCTCGAAGCATGAACACCGTCAACAATGCCCATCGCCTTCAACGCATCGTTGAAAAGTCCACCCTGCATCGCTTGAGCCGTGATCAAGCCCACGAACAAGGTATGCAATGCTGCTCGGGAGAAGCCGCTGAGTTCTAGGAGGACTAGGAGGATTAGAGTCACGGGGACAACGGATGTGAATTGGATAAGAACGGTGCCAAAGGCGTCGCGCTCCTGGGCGAGGGATTCTTCTGCGCTGGGCTTTGTGCGGTGTTTTTCGATCGTTCCTGAGTGTTCTCCTGTTCCTATTTGAGCGAAATGTAAAATCAAAGAGAAGAAAGTCAGTGTGCTGCGTTGAATGGAGGAGTAAAATAAGATTATTTACAAGATGAATAAAAAAGAGCTCAAAGGTGTTTACCGTCGTGGCGATCGGTGTTCTTGACGACGGAAAAGGTCTTTTGCTTGGGATCAGCCATGCGAGCAAGTCTCTTGGAGCGCCAGATGCGGAAAGCAAGGTAGATGAAGTAGACCGCCAAGACCGATCCATACACAGAGCTAGCGTTCAACTCGCGAGTCTCCTCGGTATCTGCAAACCAATGACGATGAACTCCATCTAAAGTCTTGTGGTAACCCGCCTTGACCTTTTGGACAGGGGACAGAGGTGTACCAGTGGCAGAATCCCACTTCGAATTGATGGAGGCTGTGACATGCTCGTAGCCCTGACGGGCCTTGTCGGTCGCAGAGTGGTACTTGCTCTCAGCGTCGTCAGCCAGGCTCTTGGCGTCGCCTGTGACGCGGTGGGCGGCGGATGAGGCGGACTTTGAGGCGTGGTTGGACAGCGATGAGGCTGACTTGGAGGCCTTGTGGAGTGCAGAGGTGCCGGACTTGGACGCGTGGTGGATGGCCGAAGAGCCAGACTTGGAAGCATGGTGGGAGATGGAGGATCCAGACTTGGACGCGGCATGGGCAGCATGCTCGAGCTTGGCCTTGAGGTGAGCCGTGTCGCGGTTGAAGGCGTCGATGGCATTGTCGTAGGCGTTGCGGGGGGCGGCCTTGATCTTTGCCTCGGCGTCCTTGAGGGTTGTCGTAAAGGCATCGTTGGCGTCCTGGATGGCCTTGTGGACACGGGACTTGTCGGCCGAGTTCTTGGTGGCGCGGACGGCCTCGTTGATGTTGTTGCGGGCGACGTTGATAGAACGCTGGAGGTTGTTGAGGAGAGAGTTGTAGATCTCTGTACGGGTGTTCTTGACGCTCTTGAGCGTGTTCTTGAAGACGCGCTGGTAGTGGTCCTTATGGTCGCCGGCATTGTCGACGACGGCGTTCCACTGGGAGGTCAACCAGGAGTCGGTCTGCTCCTCATAGAACTTGAGCTCGTTCAGCTTGGCCTTGATGTTGTCGACCATCTCGTCCAACTCGTCGATAGCCTTCTCGTCCGCACGACCGACACGGTCCAGGAGATTATGGTACTGATCTCGGACGGGCTTGAGACCGGCCTCAAAGGAACTCGCCGACGGAGCATGCTTGGCCTTGAGTCCAGCCTGGGGGAAGAGCCCCGTCAGGGTATCATGGACCTTCTCGAGGGGGAGATGCTTCTTGGGCAAAGTCTTGATCGATTGATGACTGTGGTCATTCCGACGGGGATGATCCCAGATCTCCCTACAATCCCAGCTATTCGCAACGGGAGGACCAGTCGAGAACCAGTACTGCGATCCAGAAGGGTAGCATGCATACTTGGGAGGGTTATACGCAAGCGAGTTGACCGCGCTCTTGAACTGATCCCACTTGCGATGCGTAACCTCTGAAGCCTGATCCTTGATCTCCTCAACCTCCTTCTCAGTCGAATCAACAGTCTTGAACCATTTGTGCTTGGCCTTCTCGTGGGCTTCTTCATGGACCCGCTCAGCAGCCGCGAGCGCATCCTTATACTTCTTTTCCGCAGCCTCATAGACCTCTCTCGCCTCCGCCTTGTAGCCCAGAATGGCCCATCGGGCCTCGGCAGCGGCTTCATCACGAGCCTTCTTGGCCTCGTTCACCAGCTCCTTGGCGGCCTCATCCGCGTCCTGGGTGAGCGTCTTCCAGTAGTCGTACGCCCTGCGCATCACCCCGTTGACCTTCCACCGTGCCGGATCACGGTACTCCGTCTCGTTATCCCCATCGTCATCCTCCTCCTCCTCCTCTTCCTCCTCTGCTTCGTTATGGTGGTGATGGGAAGGGAACCAGTAGTCGCGGAAGGTGCGACGGACGTTCTCGACGACTCCTGGAGAAGAGTCCTTGGGTTCGGCGAGGATTTCTTGGTGCTCGGAGACGATTGTTGTAGTGCGGGTAACGATAGTGGTTGTTGCGTCGTTCTTGACGGTGTGGGTGCTCACTGTTTCAGCTTCGTGCGCCATCTTTTTGTTAATGCTGCGTGTTGTTTTGTGCGAAGGCAAAGAATATGTGCGTTGTGTGTAAAAAAGGACTTGTGTGTTTTCCTGTTGAGGAAAGTGGCGGCAAAGAGAGAGATATAGTGCGTGTGAGTATGAGTGTGGGAAAGGGAAAGAAGGGAAGGGTGAAGTGGAATAAAAAAGAAGAAAGAAGTGAAAAGGGGTGAGGTGAAAAAGAAAGCAAAAGGTAAAGGGGGTGGGTGGTCAACGCCTTTCTGTCCAGTGGCCTGCATCGTACATCGTAAGCAATGCAAATTGGCAGTCACCACTACAGTGAACGCGTATGATCTCATAGTTACAACACTGATACGGTTATGATCCACATGGTCATCATTCACTGGCGTATCCCTGGCGCTGTAGATGATGTCACTACCCTCTCGCTTATCCCTACCCCTGGTTATCCATTTGCTATACTCTCCAGCCCTGGGGCCTTCATCGCTATCTTGTCTTGCTTCCTATCATTCCTATTGTTTGTCTCTCAAGCCTTGAAGATAAAATACCGAGGACCCTCCTCGTTTGACCCTAGGATGTGCCGTCATCATGATCAACAGCAAATAATATCAACCAAACCGCTTGGGCGGCAAACGCTAATTTCCTTTTCGCGTTTCTTTCGGCCCTCCCTCTTAGTTCTAATCGGCGCGTCATCGATATCTTACACTGGGCTCCTGCCTTCCCTTCTTTTTTTCCCCTCTATCTCTAATGGGCTCGCATTACCGTGGCTTGGTGCCGTCATTTGAATTCTGTGGTGCGTCCTCCTTTTTAGAACCCAGCTCCTAAATCTGAGATCCATTATTTGTGTGTTGCTGTGTGGACCAAGGGAAAAGGAGAAAGGGTGTTCTACCATAATACACGACACGTAGCATTCAAATGACAACTCGTCCATTAACTGCTATGGGCTATACGATAAATCATATGTTTCATTTGCTTTTTGTGTGAATGATTGGTGTCTGACGGTGGTATAGAAAGAAAAAAAGCTCAATTGCCTCCAATGTGAAGGAGACAAAGAAGAGAGAAGAAACATGGCAAGCATATTCAAAGAAGGGACGAGAAAAAGGCCAGACAGGCAACAGCCAACACCGCATAGTATCCCAATTCCAACTGCCCACCCTTGATCAGCGATATGGCAGAACTGGGTCGAGTAGGCGAGGTGGTAGGCTCGCCCGTAACAGTCGTCGTCTTGGTCACCGTAATCGTCGCCGACGCACTCCCACCACCACCTTGAACGGTCACACTTGTGGGCATGGCCTTGCAGTAGTCCTCGAGGCTGGATTGGGCAGGGGCTTGGGAACTTCCAAAGACGAGACTGACCTGGTTGGTCTCGGTGAAGCACTTGACACAGCTAGAGTAGAGCAAGAGGAAGGAACCGCTGCATTGGCAGGCGGCCAGGGTCGAGTTTGAGAGCGAGCTCGAGGAGGAAGAGGAGATTGAGCTGAGGATCGTTTTGCAGGCTGGGCTGGAGAATGCGGGTTGGCAGGCGGCGCAGGAGAGGGAGTTGGCTGGGAATTGGACTTGGTTTCTTCCGCTGCTGTTGCTGGTTTCGGCGGCGCGGGAGGGGATTGGGAGGAAGGTGAGGAGGGAGGTGAGGAGGAGTGTGGTCAGCATTGCTGGGCGTTTAAGAAAGTGGGTCAGCATTTTTGCGCTTTGGTGCGAAGGTGTAAGTGAGTGGGTTGGCGGCGTAATTGAGGAAGAAGTGGGTCGTGAGCGAAGGTACAGGGAGCTTTTTAAATACTCGAGTGGGAGAGCCAAGCAATTGAAGAGATTTCGGAAGAGAGAACCAAGTGATGGATGGGCTATGCGATCAGTCGCGGAAATGGTGATGGCTGAAGGTAGTTGGTACATGGTCCCGACTCGCTTGCATACGGTAGGTATTGAGAGCAAATGAACGAGAGATAGAGAGGGGCAAACGCGTTGAGGAGATGGGCGAATTGGGCTAAGTCATCATTAGGGCAGGTAGAGGGGCGATATAGTGGTTCTGAAGAGGACGGATATCGATAGCCTAATTGATGGGATAGTGGGCACAGACATACGGACTCAGCCGTGAAGGGGTATTTTGTATCTGGTTTGAGAGTGCTCTTGCTCTTGTAATGTTCTCGGCCCTTGGGGAATGGGGTAGGGTAGAGGGGCTGTACCTACAGTGGCTACCAACGTCTTTTTCATTTCTTTACAGCGTTAGCGTGATTTGTGAGTGGGAAATGATGAAAAAGTAATTTATCTGTTGTTGGATGAGAGCCCAGAGTGAACGTGTACTGTAGTACTGTTGTAGGGGTATATACAAAACGAAGGGGGTGTCCTCTTCCATTGTTGTTGAATGAGATTGACACGAACGAAAATAGATGCGGTATTGAGGCATGTCCACACGTATTCCCCTTCCCTTCCTTCCTCTGTCTGTGTTGCAGAATGTTGTGACACTAGCATGGATTTAGTGAATCGGAGAGAAAAAGACCAGTCTGTGGACCTTTAATTATTCAGACACAATACCCAGGGGCATCGCTGTCTGTCCTCCCCTCGGCACCACACGCCGCTTCCATTCCTTTTTGCTCTCTCTTTGTTGGTTTTTTTTTTTTTTTTTTTTTTTGGAGTTTTACCCGTCTGTTGTTCTTGTCTCGTATTTGTACTGTTGTGCAAACAAATATGCCTCGTCCTTTCTCTCTTCGCTTCAATTGCTGTTTGTTTCTTCACCCGTCCTTGCTTTAACGCCTTCCCTCCAGTTGTTATTTTCGTCAAATTCAATTTACGGTTCAGGAACCTCCACCTTCTATCATTATTGTTCCGAAACCTGTTCCTTTTTTTTTTTTTTTTCTATTCTCGACCGGGGCATCCATCTCTCTTTCTTTCTCTCCCTTCCATCGTCATCTGTAATCCTTCATCCTCTCCCTTCCTTTCCATCTTGCTCATTCATCTTTTCTCTTCTTTCACGACCACTGTCATCACTCCCATCCGAACAAGGATATACCCGCACTAGAACTACTAAATCCATTTCTTAACGACCCCTTCCTACCTTACTCCCTCCTTCCAACCACCCTCTCTCTCTTCACTCTTCCACACACAACAACTACCCCTTTCTCCCCTCAATTCCTCCTCCCCTTCAACACTCGACAAAAAGGAGAGATTGTCTATTGCTGTTCAGTAACACACCCCTCGCCGTCATCAACAATAACTCTTACCAGGAACACTACAACGCAACATAACAACAGATGAAGTCCGCACAGTTGTCAAAACGAGCTGGGTTCCTCCTGGCCACTGCTCTGACAATATCGATAGTCCTGGTTGTGGGGCCTGCCCCCGTCACATCCCTCCCCGTCTCCTCCTCCTCCTCTGTGCATGGATCCGACTATTCTTATCCCGATCGTCATGCACCTCTACCACAACAACAGCAACAACGCAAAGCTGCCCCTGACGCCCATGCCTCTGCTCCACCTTCAAAGTCAGACACCCTTGCATCTTCTCCGTTTTCCTCTATATTGATTTCTCCCGACCTTCGTCATCCCAGGATGTTGGAGCCTGTTGCCCAAGGCGTGGACCATGAACCGCCAGCAGTACCGACAACACACGAGGCAGCACACGATGGTATCGAAACATCACCATTGCCAACACCTACAACACCTAAACATCCACCACAACCACCAAAACCTATCAATAAGAACGCCTTTCGGATCGTCAACCCTGAGCCTAATGACGTCTGGACTTCAGGCAAGGCTGAGACCATGAGCTGGGAAGACTTGGATCTCCCCGACCAGGTCACCTTCGATATCACCTTAATCCCCGAGGACCCCATCTCCAACCCCAAGGCACTCCTTTTCACCCGCCGACCCACCCTCCGCTATGTCGTCGCAGAGGATCGGTTCCTGGACATGATTATCCCTTACGACTTGATCTCCCAGGAGCAGTTGCTTAAAGTACAGGAGACCAATGCCAACTTTACATGGACCCAACCCGATCCTACGCCTTCGCCCATACCGACTCCTGTAGAAGAACTTGCAGAAGAATTAACGCCATCGCCATCGCCATCGCCATCGCCAGCACCTGCACTGGAGGCGATTGATTCTCGAGCTCGTCTGTATATCACCGCCTATGTCGGCAGGACCAACAAGATGATTGCCCAAAAAAGCGTCTACCCTGTCGTGATACGCAAGGACCCAGAGTGGGACAGACGGGTACCTCGGCCCGATGCTCTTGTAGCGCCACCAACGTCGTTTTCGGATGATACGGACGATGATATGGACGAGGATCTGGACGAGGATCTGGACGCAGGACACCCAGAGGATATGTTGGAGAAGAAGGACTCTGAACTGGCTCATCTGGATGATCATGCGGCGGCTGCTGAGGGCGGCCATGAACATGCTGATGGTGATTCTGATATGGAGGAAGGTGAGGAGGAGGATGAAGAAGAAGGAGAGGAGCATCATCACCATACTTTTGGCAGCTGGGTGACGGAGACCTTTGATGATTGGAAAGGGCAAGGAGACGATGAGGGAGAAGAGTCGGCTGTGGGAGAAGGGTCGGCTGAGGGAGAAGGGTCGGCTGAGGGAGAAGAGTCGGCTGAGGGAGGAGTGGATGAGATTGAGGAGGAGAATGCGCTCAACGCCCATACGCCTACTTCCGATGAAACTGGCGAAAACGCTGATTCTTCCAACACTACCCAACCCGAAGACGACTCTACGCACATGCATTCACATACGGAAGAAGGAGGTGAGTCCAAGTCTGAGGAGGAGGGCGAAGGAGACGGAGGGCATCACCACGAGCACACGCACGTCATCGACCCCAACCACTTCCAAAACGACGCCGACGTTGCAATCTGGGAGGAGCACGCCGACGAGCCCGGATACAACCCACCCATCACCATCGAGGACGCAGGAACCATAAACATCTCTCGTTGGATCGACAACAAGGAACGCTTCTTTGTCGGGGCCCCCTACGTCATGGCCTGGACCTTCCCCTCAGAATCCGAGGGCCTGACAGGAACAACCAACGTCTATATCGAGGATGCAAAGACGGCGCAGCGGTACGATATTGCGGCGGGTGACTTGCCGAGCGATGTACGGTTTATTTATCTGCGACCAAGTGCGTTGTTGGTGAGCGCGATCCCGAAGAAAAAGATCTTTGTCCGGGCCAGGGTCGAGATGGACTTGTTCTGGGCTGGGACTATTCAGCGGTATACTGGGTTCTCCAAGACTTTCTATGTCGAGCGCGGTGCCCTCTAGAGATCTCGTCGTTTTTTTTTTCACTCTGCATTCGATGGAGAAAATAAACCAATTAAGAACAGTCATTTCTCTAGGAACCAGGCACACACATTTTCGATTTTTCTTTCCGAGACCTTCCTTTGTTCAACGAACGAATGAACGATCGACGATTGCGTAGTCTTACCCTCCCTCCCTACAACGATTTGGAACGCGTTACGCGTGTATGTGTCTAGGCAGCGGGTTGAGCGAGATATGTTCCGTGTTTGAATGGGCAAACTGTTGTTTTCTTTGTGATAAGTGTGGACTATTTCACAGCCAGAGAAAAACAGAGGATAGGCAACTCTTCCTTTTTACTCACACTCTTTCGAGTTGAGATGAAAAAAAAATGATGGTCATCTCTGCTTCCTCTAGTCATTCTTCTTTTCGAGCCTCCGAAGGGCATACAACGACATTCCATCCATTGTTGGTCAAGTGGTGTGCTAAAGAACTGCGGGACTCCTGAGACCAGTAGAATGCGGCTCTGATGTTCCTGAAAAGTTTGTTGAAGTCGCGTTTCTGTACTTTTCGCTGGTTTCCAACTCGCGCCTCCATGTCACCGAGGTGATGGCTCGACGGTTTGACAAGCCGCACTAAAAGTTCTGCCTTATCCACTTTGGATACCTGGGGATGAACAGGCACGGTTCAAACCCGATCCGTGCAACCTTCATTAGCTGAGTAAGGATGTGTAGCACTAGGGCGATAATGTGCATCTTGCAATCTCTGTAATCTATTTTTTTTGTAAAAATCTCAGGGTCATATTTTTCTTCTCTCATTCCTTTTGTCCCTTTGTGCTTCCCTCATCCCCACTCTCTCGTGTGTGTCTTGCTGTCATTACTCATTCATGCGTTGTTATCTGTTCTCTGCATAGCATCTCTCTCTCTCTCTCTCTCTCTCAATTTCCCATTCACCATCTCCCCTCACCCTTCTTCCTCCTCATTTGTCTTTGTGCCATCTATGGTATGATGCAGAAAACAACATCAAGAAAAAGCAATATCGCGACTTTGATGAATCCTCTCAAACCAAACGCTTCCCCAAGGCGTCCATGTCCGCTCGCTTCCCTTTTCTCTCGCTTCACCCTCCTTGTCCCTTTGTCCTCTACCACAGCCTTCATTTTTTTTTCTGTTACTGCTCAGGAACTGATTGCACCTCCGCCTACCCAGGACTCCCACGGACCACCATCGTCCTTTCTTGTTCTCACCGCACAAGCATACGCTCACATTGCTTCGCCCAAGAGACCCTGAGCGGCCGATGTAGCCTGTTTGCTTATTTTGATCTGATGTATCAGATTGTCCAGTCCAGGTCCAGTGCAGTCGGTCTAACGGATCATACCATTCAACAACCTCGACTGAACTAAGGCACAGAAGACATGCCAGGGCTCGCTAGCCACCAGTCGTAATGAGTGTATATATTTAAGCGATGTGCGGCTCTACCTTCGTTAGAGAGGGCGGGAAATTTGGTCGTGGTAGATGGACGAGGCCCGGCTGGGCTTTCAAAAAAAAAGTGCTTGTGATTAAGTTGGACAACCTGTGGTGACGCAACCTCTAATGCCAAACATGGACGCAAATCCAGGATATGGTGCAGCACAAAGCATTCACTTTCTGCATTTGCTCTCTCGCTATCTTTTTTACTTTTTTTTTTTTTTTTTCGCTTGTAACTAGCTCACTCTGGTTGACAACACCACCATGTCCAATTCAAAACAAGAACCCCTTCAGTCATTCTTACATTTATCGGCAAGTGAAAGTGAGAGGCTCAAAGTCAATTGCCAACAGCCAGGAAAATAAATGTAAAAATAGAAAGACGTGAAACAGTCGCGACAAACAAAAGTCGTGACAAACCATCCAGAGCATATCATCACCTCTATTCCAATCCTACGGAGATCACGACGCGTTTAGCTAGTCGTATAAGAAAGACGGAGATGCTATTTCCCCCCTTCCTTGCATTAATACCACGAAAACACGATGGTTGCCACGTTCGCCGTTTAAACAGCAGCAAGAGCAGACTGACAATGATGGCAACTGTTGCATCTCAGAGTGTCTCCACTATCCTCATTCTTCATTAAGTGTAGTAGTTGTCAGTCCCCCTGTACATATTCTTATAGGGATCAATAAAGACCCCCCCTCCCCCTCCCAGCTTCTCTCTCACCCTTTTTCCTCTCTCCAGTTGTTCATATCACAGATCGATTTCAATAATCCCGCGCGATATCCGCTTGCTAAGTTAGATCCACCACCAAGGGCACCGTACCACTTTGTGTTACCACCTTTGCCGCCTGCTCCGCCTGCTCATTTCCATGGACGTTGGTTTGTCCTTTAACCCACATCACCTCGACCCTGCCTGGCTGAGATTCCACAACCTGCCAAAGCACCGAATATATCTTTTTTTTTTTTTTTTTTTTTTCGTACACAATTTTATTTCTCTAACAAACAGCATAGAGAAGTTATTTGGAAGTAAAAGGGGACTACAGACCAAACTCTTCAGTGCACCATCCACCAGTCGCAGTCCGGTCCAGAACCTGGCTCTGCGCAACAATTGTCGCTGCTCTTCACAGCTTAAACGGAAGAAAATAAAACTAGATACGAATGAAGGGGATTCTTCCCATCCTCTCCATCATTGACAACCTCCTCCTTCCTAACAAACTCTCCAACAACCGCTCGTCAGCAGCGCGTGGGTCCTTGATCGCCCCAGGGCACCTTCCTTCACAATGTGTGGCTAGCGAAGCGCCACACGGACAGAAACCATCGTGCGTGATGTAACCGTATCCTTGACTCCAGTCACCTCGGGGGCCTGTGTACTTGGATGTCTTGTCCTTGGCAGAGATGCCCTGGCTTTGTTCCCACGCGATCGTCGCGGAGCACCGAGGTTTCCAGATCAGCTCCGAGGCCTGCGCCTCCAGGTAGCCAACAAACTTGTGAAGGACTGTCTTGGCGATGGACATTGGGGTCCGGAAGACCGCGGACCATTCAGTCAACATGCTCAAGGGGGTGATGCCGCGGAGGAGATCCGACACATTCCACATCGGTTTCTCGTCTCGATCGGGAGCTGGACTACCGCTGTGCACGGCTCGAGCTCCACCGATGGAGGAAAATCCTCGCACATGATCCGCATCCGAAGGGGGCCACCAGTGTATGGGTACTGGCCTCGGTACCTGACGACCTCTGTCCACCGCGCGTTTGTATTCCCGCTTCCTGGCTGCGTTGTAGCTGTTTGTCGCCTGCACACCCCACTCATTAATCTTGCCCATGGCCTCCTTCCAGATCTCAGTGGTGGTCTCAGCTGCCGAAGGGCATTTCCAGACGTGATCGTTATCCTCCTTCTCGAGCTCGCATCGTCGGCACACGCATGTTGGGTACAGGTTGGGCTTGCGAGCCTGCATGGAGTTCAGAGTGGGCAGCATTCCATGCAGCTTTTTGATATGATGTGTGCGTTGGTGAGAGTCCTTGCTGTTGCTGTAAAAGGTGAAGACTGCGTGCCTGTCGTGGACATAAGCCAAGGTCGAGTTCCATTCCACGTCATCGATGTCAGGGATCGCCCTCTTGACCCGCCTCTGTGACGTCCAGGCCTGATGGTGACGGATTGTCGATTGTTGTTTGAGGAGCTGACGTAGATCGATTTCAACAATCCCGCCGTAACAATGTGCAAAGGTCGTGATATCCGTCTGTTGAGTGAGATCCACCATCCAGGGCACTGAACCACTCTGTGCTGCCACCTTCGCCGCCTGATCCGCAAGTTCGTTTCCGTGGATGTTGCTGTGACCTTTGATCCACACCACTTCGACCCTGCCTGGCCGAGATTCCACAGCCTGCCAAAGCACCGCCCAGATACCCGCATATGTACTCCTGAATCGCTTCCTCGGTAACCGTCATTGACAACCTCCTCCTTGAAAAAAAAAAAAAAAATCTGCGTAAAAAAAACTTATTAAGGGTGGTTAAGTTGGTGGCGTGGATGTTGTTGCTGTGTGAATAAAGGGGCGATAATTTACTACAATTTTAAGCCTGCGTGGTGTAGTGGTTATCACATGTCTCTCACTAAGACAAGGTCCCAGGTTCGAACCCTGGTGCAGGCAAGTTTCTCAAAAGGAGCTTTCGTTTTTTACTTACCTTCAGAGCATGGACTTGTTGTGTTCGTGCAGCTCTTGGTTCCATTTTTGCTCGAAAATATCTGGGAGTTAATCTACTGGATTAATCTATTTGACAACCCGGGTTGTTCGTTTTATTCAACAACCTAACGTGTTTTGCATGCTAAGTCCATGGACAACCTATTTTTCTTTAAAGTCAATACATCGATGTTTTTTGTTGCAGCGTCTTCGTTTTTTGTCATCCACATCATTATTAAAGCCCTTTCAACCATCGAATGCCATCACCAGCCAAAATTATGTCTTCATCACCACCACACGCGTAAAAAAAACGGTATTTTCGTATAAAAAGCATCTTAACAACCGCTTTGAACAACGTGGGAGTCGTGCTCCATAAAGAAGTGGGGAAAACAAGCGCTACTGCAAGTGCTTGGTGTCATCTTCCATGGTATCATCAAAAAAAGATGAAAAAGTGCTTACATGGACTTAGCACGCAAACGTGTTCGGTTGTTGAATAATACGAACAACCCGGGTTGTTCGAATTTTTTAGCTTTCCGCACTAAGTCCATGTAGCGCACTTTTTCTGTTTTTGAGAAAAAAACATGAGAAACTCTTTGGGACGACTTGTTCTCCTCCGCTCTCCCTTTAAGCACTATTGGTATTTCCTTGAAGGCGATCATTGAATCAATAGTGTTGAATATTCCTCAGGTTGGATGCTAGGACCAATGTGTTCTGAATACTTCATATTTTTTATTCGACGATGTTGAAAACGTAGACAGGATATGGTGAGAAAAAAATACAGAAGGAAAAGAAGGATATAGGGTTGCTATAAAAGGGATGTAGAGAACAAAATGATGGACTGTGGGGGTTATCTGATATTGAAGGCATCTGCACTGAATCCGCCTTCGCCCTTCCCCTGCCCCTGAGCACCGCTCTATGACGCATCGTTTGTCGACTGTAAGAGCTTAGGCTAACCCTTGTAATGGATGACCGCGCCGACAAGGTCACACACCTTCCTGCGCGACAGAAATCATCTTCGATGAGTGCCGGCCATAAGCCAAGACGTACGGACAAGGGATCGTTCTGGACTCGATGAGCACATTCCATTGCTCAGCTGACTCCTGGGACTCAGGGTGGCCAATGGCTTTTATACGTATCTAAACTAAAAGAGATAAAATTGGAAGCATTAGCGAATATATATATACACACACATAAACAGAAGTGAAAGAGGGAGAGAGAGGCATGGCCACATGCAATTGCACTACAGTTCAGCTTTACTTAACATGTCTGTTCTGTTCTCACATCGACAATACTTTGCTGCATCTCGCTCCTGTTCAGACCGAGACCAGCGGTGTGCAAGCGTTGAGCTTGTGTTGAATGCACTTGCGCCATTTTAGCTTTCGCTCTGTTCAACAACGTCCCAATATCCTTCTGGTTGATTAATTTCACGACATCGTGGATGACACTAAAAATGAACTTTTTGATAGGTTCATCTGGATTCTTCGGCAGATGGGTTTCCAAAGTGGACATGGTGATGACGTACGCAACTCTTGAAACCAGCATGATGCGACTGTACGAAAGGCGAACCTTGAGCGATTTGAATGCATAGCCTGGATCGTAATCGAGGATAACAATGGCCCAGTAGTCTTTGCCTGGTCCATAGCATGCCACAATTGTATTTAAAAAACTTGGTTTCATTCTTGCCTTTACGCTAATATTGTTTAATGCTCTCGGTATTTTTGTAGTTCATGAACTCATCCGCGGCGTTTTCGTTCAGAAAGCTAAGTTTGAGCCGAGTTGATGAGAATAGTACAGGGCTTTGTGATGCGGAGATATCACGACGTCAACATCACTGCGACTACCCCCCATGTATGTTTTTGTTGACATTGCCCATATGTCCATGCGTGAAAGGCGATCGGCTCTTTGTTGAACTGTGAGCTCTGAGGAGGTCTCTTACCAATTCAGACATGTGTTCGTGTGAGGTTGCAGCTTTTCCTGCTTCTGATAATTCATAGGAGACTCCCTTCAAGATCCACTCTGTTGTGATGTACTTCGTTAGCAAAACAGAAAGCATATGACCACCCACGATCCTCTTCACCTTAAGTGCCGACATGATGTCTGCCAGTCCCAGGAGATCAACTGTTACAACTTGCTCATTGGGATTTTTCAGTTGTTCGACGGTGTAGAAATCATGCATAGTAAAAAGATGGTTTCCATTGCAGTCTGCATATCTTTGATCGTCCTTTCATCAACTTTTTTTAAGTACTCACACTCCTTTTTGCGAAAAGGAGTGTAGAGTGAGTGGAGGGGTTGTCAAATTAGCCGTGTAACTTGCCTAATAAGGAAAAGGTTGTCAAATAAATGAGCAGGCTGTCAAATGAGATCTGTATCTGGTATGTGGTATCTGGTATCTGGTATCTGGTATCTGGTATCTGGTATCTGAACTTGTCCGGTTTTCGTTTATCGGTGCTACTTGTTTCACTGTATGACATTGCGATCAGTTGGAGTGACCAGCTCCGGTCCAGATGCGACTGGTCAAGGATAGTAAGGAGTGAGAGGGTGGGCGCCCGATCCTGTAAAAGCGATCGCTGCTTCAGGCAAGTCTTTGTTTTTATGGCTGCGGAAAAAGGGCGTTAGGGCATAGAAGGGAATGGTCCACCTACGGCATTGTGCGCAAATTGATGCATCATTCTTATATCGTCGCCATGACTTCTTCCCTTCCTTCTTCTCACAATTTTCCTCATCTGTTCATTCATTCCCTCATTCACTTTTTGTATTCACTTCTGCATTCACTTCACACTTCTCTTCCCCCTTCTCTACTCACGCTTTTAACAAGACCAACATGGCGACACACGAACCTAACGAGAACCAGTTCCCAGACTTGGTAGAACTGGACGCCCTGCGCCTGACCGTGATTGTCGACAACGAGGTCGACTTTATGACCTCCGTCCCCAACGACCTCGGCCTCACTACCCAAGCCCAGTCTCTCTTCAAGGACCGTCGTCATGTCGACATGGATAGGTCCACCATTCCTTCTGGTCACCTCCACACCCATCCTCAGGGGCACGCGACAGAGGGTGAAGGCGATGATGTGTCCAAGTGTGGGATGACGACGATTGATTTCAATTTCGCCGATATCTGCTGTGGTGCCCACGGCCTCTCAATCCTTCTCGTAAGTATCAATCATTTATGTCTGAGATGTAACTCTTAAGCAGTATGACGTGTGTCCTGCTACCATGTTCATTTCGTATCTTGACCTCATCTAACACACGTCAATAATAACGGATATAAAATAGACGGGAATTAAGGACGGCAAGGAGCACAAAGTACTATTCGACACCGGCCCACACTCGGCCATCTTTCTCGAGAATGCCAAGCGACTCGAGATCGAGTTTGAAAAGATTGAGGTCATTGTCCTCTCTCACTGGCATATCGATCATTCTGGTGGTATGCTTGCTGCTGTTGAGCGTTGTCAGCACGACCGTGAGCAGCAGCAGCAGCAATCTGCTTCTCCAGGTAAGAAAGTTCTTGTTCAAAATATCGCGCGCAATAGAGTCTTTGCTGAGAGGAGCAGAGAGAACAAGAACCTAGAATGGTGGTTTATTGTTTCTTCTTCACTTTCCTTCTCCATCGTCTCCGAATCGTACAATTAGTGGTGTTGGATTTGCACCCGGATAGGCCGGATGAGCGCGGTATCTGTTTGACAAGACCATCGCCGCCTGGATCAACAGCCTCGAAACCTATCGAGTATGTCGCTTGGGGTAAAGAGCCCTCCTTCTCCGCCCTCGAATCCGCCGGCGGCAAGGTACGAAACCCATTACAAACATAATCGTATTGTATTCTACCTACTTCACATGTCACTTATTAATATCTCTCTACTTTATTTCCTCCCTTGTCGAAAAGGTCTCGAAGAACGCAAAGGCACACACGATCTGCGACTCATTCTTCGGAGTCTCGGGCACCATCCCGCGCAAAACAACCTACGAGACTGGACTCCCCAACCACGTCCGCTGGTCTGAATCCACAAAAACCTGGTCCGCCGAACAAGAAATCATGGATGAGCGGTACCTCGTTGCTCGGGTCCGGTCTAAAGGATTGGTCGTTCTGACGGGATGCTCGCATGCGGGTGTTATTAATGTCTGTCAGGACGTCAAGCGCGCCTTTGGTGCTGGCAACAAGACAGATGATCATATCTTTTTTGTGGTGGGTGGGTTCCATCTCGCAGGAGGATCTATGGAAACTCGTATTCAAGGTAAAGTCAATTTGCTCGTTTTTGTTGTTGCGACCTACTTGTGTAGTTGTGTCTCTTTCGCTTGAACAACAATCTCTTACACACACGCATTCATATCCTGCTCTATTCGTTCTTGTCTTTTTCATCGCGGTCATTCGCTCGCTCCGCTCGCATGTTGGATATAGAAACTGTAAAGGATATGAAAGAAATCAACCCGACCTATATGGCACCAGGACACTGCTCGGGATGGCGCGCAAAATCGGCGCTCGAGAACGCCATGACTGGACAAGTCGTCTCCCTTGGTGTTGGAAGTGACTTTTTCATCACCCACCAGGAGGACTAAAAAAAAAGAACATGGACTTCTTTGCTTTTTGTCTGCCTTATTGTTGTACGGCGGCTCTGAGCATCTTTCAATTCTCGCAGCGCGCGCTTCGCTACTCCTTTCTTTCAATGTCAACATACACACACTCATAACACAAGCAAGGAGTAAAATCCAAAAAATATGAATTGAATGAAAAAAGACAATGCTTCATTTTTGGGAAAACTGCATAGAAAAGAAACAAAAAGAGAGAGAGAAAGGTGAAAGAATGTAACAGTGTCGGAAAGGAGTTTTGTTTTTGCGTGGATGCTGGATAAAGAGGGCTAGATAGTTTAGATCTCGTCAATATCGAACTCGACATCGAGCTCGTCCTCGCTTCCCTGGAACGTGTCGGTCTCGTTGATTTTAGCGCTCTCGGGCAACTCGCCGTAGGCCTTCAAGTTACGGGCCTCCTCGGTGTTGTACTTAAGAATGACATCTGCCTTGTCGTCCTGGAAATCACGGAGCGAGATCAAAATGATGTCTCCCTGGTTGATCCAGACCTATTTCATGGAGTTCACATCGACGAAGTGAATGCTTGTTAGAAAATGGTCTTGCAAAGCTGTCATGACTGCATTGCAAGTCGCTCGTCCTGCTCATCCTTGTTTGTGTTGTCTCTCTCTTCCTCTGGCGCCTTCAATTGCTTGTCCATTGTTCCTTGAAGAGTTGTGGGAATCCAGCGAGTGTATGTGTCGACGTGTGAATTTCCTGCTTGATTGTGGTTGGACGGCAAGAAACCCAACGATGACGCACAGACGTTGCCGCCAATGGCACAGGCCCAAAAAAAAATGGCCGAGAAGGAAAATAAGGGACACCTCCAGGAGAGAGAACTTGTTGCAAGAACAAAAATCAGTCCTTGAGTCCCTTTCCTTTCCTTTCCTGCCTTGCCCTTGCCCACAATCCCGTCCGTCGTCAACAGCAATTCGACATGCATTAAAAGAAAGGAGTCGAGTGGAAAACAAAGTGGAGGGAGGTTTACCTTCTTTCTCATCTTTCCACGGATATGTGCAAGACGCTTCTCGCCATCGAAGCACTGGGCCTCAACACGACCGTTTCCGAGCATCTTCAAGACCTGGGCGTACTCTGTTCCATACGTCATTTGAAAGAGGCAAAGAAAAAGATAGAGAGAAAGATGAAAGCCGTACGTTAGTCGTTCGGTCATTATGCCCATATTCTTCTTTTAGACCGAAAAGAAAAAACCCGCAGTATTTTGTATTTTCTCATCAAAAAAAAACTTTACTGATGAGCGCAATCAGAAAGGCGATGACAGCAGCTCATCAGAAAAGAAAAAAAAGGGAAGGGGTTATATTACCTTGACCGTCCTCCTTGAAGACCAACTCGCGCTTCTCGCCTTCGTTCTCGTTCTTTCCACGTCTTCTGTTCTTTCCTCCCTATTCAATTCCAAATTGTCAACAAAGCGCAAGGACGAAGAAGGCATTAGTAACTTTGCTGCTAGACGAGAGCACTATCGTTCAAAGCGTCGGTTACAGCAAGAGTATTGGTAGCTAGAGCTTGAGAGGGGTTCTTACCTTTCCTTTGTTCTTGGGCATGGTGGATTATTCTGATAGGTTATTGAATTTTAAAAAAAGAGCGAAAAGGAAAAAAGAAAAAAAAAGTTGTTGTGTGTGGTTAGGAAGTGTGAACACTTGTTTTGAAAGGTGTAAAGAGAACGGAAGGGTTGTCGTCGTGCTGGCGGTAGTCGCTGGCTGATGGAAAGGGTGCCAAGTGAGCAGAGCAGTATAGTTTCCAAGCTTTGTCGTGTGGTATAGATTCGCTCTATGGTTTGTGGCGAGTGAAAAAGTGTCCAAATCCTCCTGTTTTGGTAGAGATGCGATATAGATCCAGTTGAAGGTGTTGTCAAGAAGGGAAGCGATCCTTGCCAGGGTGCGATGCCAACGATGCAGTGATGCAAGGTAAGTAGGTACTAGTAAGTGATAGGTAGAAGGGGCACTTTACGGTTGATGGGGTTGTAGAGAGAACAAACGAGATCAAGCAAGGTTGCTCGCTTTATTTACTCCACCCCTCCCTCTCCCTTCTCTCGGCCGCAGTCCAGTCTCCCACTTCTGTGCCCTTCTGTGCCCTTCTGCGCCTGTGTGGAAGATAAAGAAAAAAATTCCGCAGTACCCGCGTCATTTCTTACCCATACGTCATAATCTTGATTTTCGGACGGGTTCCCCCTCTGCTACTTTCTCGTCCCCTGTCCGCGCTACGCCCAAGAGGCGAACCTGATCACCTTCACACACTCACCCCATTCCATTCACATAATGTCAAAGCCAAAGCAAACCCTCGCAACATTCTCAAAAACGATAGCCTCCTGCTCAACAACCGTACGTCCATCTCCACCATTCCTCACCGCAGCACACCCTCTCCCTCTCACTCGTCTCGGACATATCACTCTCGGAGGTCACACACAACCCAAACCTCCGAACCTAACCCTTTCCCCCCTTCCTTAATCATATCCCACCTAATAGGCAACGGCATATGGCGCATGCATCTCCGCAACAATGAGCGACGTGCACAAGGGTGCCTGTGAAAAAGAGTTCCTCGCCTTCAAGGACTGTGTCCAGTCTTCCGTAAGTTCACTCTCTCTCGGACATTTTTTTCTGATCGTTGCTTTTGGTGCAAGTTGTTCATTGAATGCTCATTTTGATATCTTGTTTATGCGTCCTTTGTTCATTGATGATAGTTGAAGAGGCGATGGTAAGAGTGCTAGCGACACCAAATGGAAAGAATAAAAAAACATACAAATGTAAAAGGAACAAGGGCAGGTCGAATGATTGTGTTTTTATTGCTTCGTTGAGATACATTGGAGAAAACAAAAAGAAAAAGATATGAAAGCAAGTACAAATGAAAACGTAGAAAAAGGAGCAACAGCATAAATGTTATAAACAAATCCCAGAAAGCATACCCTGGCATGTTAAACAGCCATGCCGCAACCACACAAAAACAAATCCCCTAGAATCTCCTAGTCCAGCTACTCGAGCCACAAGAAAGAAAAACAACAACAAAGAGTGTGTCAGCATCTTGTGCATCGATCCACATGACACAGCACACGATCAACTATAGAATGAAAGAGATACGGTACCTGCATTTCGCGAACTTTGATATCGTACATGGCCTCCATGCTCTCCAGCGACAGCAACTGAGATGGATCCTCCTTGACGCAAAAGTTGATCATCAGCGTCCTCAATCCAGACCGGCCAAACGGGCCAAACGACGAAATGTAGTGCGCCGCCCTCCTCGGCATCTCATAGTTGATCACAAGCGACGAATGGTTCAGATCCAAACTGTCCATCAACAACGACTCGGACACAAGAATACACCGGTCAGGCTGGTTGAACTGTCTCGCCACTTCCGTCTTATCCGCCATACTCCACTATCAATCAGATTGAAAGTTGAAATGTTAGCACTCATTCAATCATGTGTAGGAAATTGTTGGAAGAGAATAGAACAGACATGAAACTTACAACTGAAAGAACAGGAAGGTTCCGCTGCTCCAGCTTGGCGGTTAATGCTTGAGTCAGACTCTGCGACTGCGTGAGGATAACAATGTGAGAGATCTCGGGGTTCCTGTCCAAGATCTGCATCATCACCTCCCACTTGTGGTCCTTGGGTTCCTCTGCTTTCCTACTATCACCACCGTCGCCATTCGCTACTGTTGGTGCTGTCTGTCGAGGAATGTCGACAAAGTAATGCTCACTCCACTGCATCGTCAACTCATCCGCTCTCCGGACCGCCGTGTTGTTCCTAAAGTTCTGTGTCTTGATCAACTGGATCTGAGGCTGTATGCGTCCTGTCATCAGCACCACCTGTGCCTCCCGAGGCAACATTGCCCAAAACTGCTTGAACGCATCAAAGTTCACCAACTCGGCCGCGCGCATCGAAATCACAACTGTCTCTACAAACTTCATATCCACTAGCTCCTTCTTCAACACCTCCATCAGAGGGCCCAGTGTCGTCACAATAACTTGCTTTGGCTGCTCTTGGTTCGACAGCACAGACTCCTCAGAACTGAGATCCTCGCTGGTGAGGTAGATCGAGCCGAGTCCCGAGACGCCCTCAAACCAGTCCTGAAAGTCCTCGTTGACACGCTGTGGGTTGATTCCGTCAGAGCAGATTACGACCGCCTGAGGGTACTTGTGTGTATGAGCTTTGGACGACAGCTTCTCCAGAAGCGCAATCGCCAGCGTGTTGGTGCGATCCTTTTGCGACTGTGTCTGCGCAATCACGTCCTTGCCCTCCTTGAACGGCTTCATCACCAACTTTTGAATATTCGACGGCTTCTCCAGCCTACATTTCGAAGGAAGTGCGAGCACAGTTAGTTATAGTCTGACAAAGCTGCAAGTCTTGCAAAGTCACTCATTAAATCTTCAATGCGTACCCAGCTTTGGCAATCTTGGCGAGGACGTCGGGTCCAAGATTCATCTCCTCCCAGGTCATCTGGCACTCCAAAGAGTTTGAAAGCATTGGCGTCTACAATCACAACCATGTTAAAAGAATGACTCGTGTCAATGTGTCTGACCATCATATCGCTCTGATACTACCATTCAAAATACTATCAAACACTTACTTGACGGTTGTCGCGGTTCTCTTTTTGTAGCTTGCTATTGGCGCGTCCAGGTCCAGGTTTGTCAAAGTTACCCTTGCTCGTGGGGGGCTTGCGCTGGAAGACCTCGTTCGATTGATCTTTTTGTCCATTCTGGTTCGAGGGTCCACCGTTCCTCTGACCTGAGCGGGCTGCAGCTCCACTTGATCCTGAGGTGGCGGCATCCTTGTTGCTCGAGTCGCGAGAAAATCCTCCCCTGGGTTTCTCAGATGGCTCACCGCGCTGCCCGGTTCTGTTATCCTCATGAGAGCGAGGACCCCGCTGGATCCCAAGACGCGCATTCCTGGCATCCAGCGACGATCGTGCATCCCTGGCATCCAACGACGACCGTGCATCCCTGAGTGACTGCGATTGCGAGTTTGGTGACTGTGCTCGTCGCGAAGAGTCGACATCCTGGAATCTCTGGTCGCCGCGTCTCTCCTGGAAGGATCCACTACCACCACGCTGGTAACCCTGTTGAGAGTTGGCGAATTTTGTCTCTAATCCGCCTGATGGCTGGCCTCGACCGGCTCCAGTCCGCTTCGGATCATCGTTGCCATCGCTGGCAGAAGTCGAGTCCTGCATTTTGGGAGTGTCTTGTGATGCATCGCCCCACCCTGACGTCTTGGCCGGTGCGGAGGTATCGCTTGTCTCCCATGGCACAGACTCGCCCCACTTGGTGCCCGTGGTCGTGGCCTTTGGAAGACCGGTGTCCCATCCATCGCCTGAGGTTGTGGCAGAGGATGCGTTGCCCCATCCCGAAGCTGCAGGAGCATCTCCCTTTCCTCCATTCTGGGTCTTTGCTGGAGAGTCCTCTCGTCGCTTGTCCTGGGTCATGGGCGCCTGATTCCAACCTCCTGTTTGTGCGGTGGTCGTTGCAGCGGTAGTTGGTGGATCACTCCGTTTGCCGGGTTGACTTGAAGCTGGAGCATCCATTCGTCCTCTGCCCTGGCCCTTTGCCGACGCCTTGTTGTTATTCCACCCTTCGCTCTTTCCAGCTGGCTCATTGCCCCACTTCTCATTCCTGGCAGCAGGACCGTTGCCCCGTCTCTCGTTACTGGGAGGGGTATGACTCCAGCCATCGTTCGTCTCTTGTGCCTTGTTCCAGCTGTCGCTCTTCTCCGGCGCCTTGTTACTGTTCCAGCTATCGCTCTTCTCTGACGCCTTGTCCCATGCTCCGGCAGGAGGCGCAGAATCCCAACCAGTGCTCTCGGACTGGGCCGGCGTTGCACTCCATCCATCCTGGGCCTGCGAGGCATCCTTCTGAACAGCCGTCAAAGAAGCATCGGCCCAGCTGGACGTCTCTCCGTCTCCTCCTCCGTTGGGAACTGTCACCTGAGAATCTCCCCATCCGTTCTGATCTCGCGAGACATCCTTGCGGTTGTTGTTGTTGCCTGCTGTTGACCTTGCCTTTCCAGAGTTCCAGTCATTCGAGTCCGTCGTCTCCCGTGACCCGCGGTCAGAGTGATGAGGGCGGCGTCCGTCGGGCCCATTCCGCTGTCCGAGGTAGCTGTTCTTGGACGTGTACGAGGACGTTTTGGAAGAGTCGTTCCTGCTGTATTTGCTGTTATTGTCATGATCGCGAGGAGGACCGTTGTTTTTGAAGAGTGGGCGAGAAGTGTTTGGTGAACCGTCAGATGTGGAGTGGTGCTGAGGACGGTTAGTTTTGGCCTTTGGCACCCAAGCTGTAGAATTCGAGCCCAACTGCTGTGAACCCTCCTTTGCTGATGATATAGCCAAGGAGTCTTCAGGCCTAGACTGCTGTTGCTTCTTAGTGTTGCCGGACGACTCTCGTGCATCCAGACTGCTGTCGCCTCCACCCTCCTTGGTCGAGCTGAGCGAAACAACCGAGCCCTCGTCATCGTCTTTCTTCTTGTTCTTCCTGCCAGCCTTGCGTTTCTTGGCAAGCTCTGTCCCTGTTGACTCAGAGTCGTTTCCCTCCTTGCCCTCAGTCGTCGTTGTTGTCGTTGTTGTAGCCCGATTGTTGTCCTGCCCAGTACCAGCGGCAGCGGCAGCAGAAGCGGCAGACGCACTGCCTCTCTCACCAAACCCGCGTCGAGGCGACCGAGGCGAACGTGGAGACCGCGTAACAAACTGCTGCTGCTGCAATTTCTTGGCTTCCCCAACTCCAGGCGCACCCAACGTCGTCGTTGATCCTCCCGAAGGCTGCTGTTGCTGTTGCTCTGTTGTTGATGAAGGCAAATGGGAACGCGGCGCACGCTTCTCAAACTTGCGACCCCTGCCAAACTCCTCCTCCCCTCCTGCGCCACCACCATTTCCGCGATAGCTTCCTCCGCCTCCTCCACCTGGTCTCGAGTTGGCAAACCTAGCCTCCGAAGTCGACACAGGAGGGCCGTTGGTATTGTTTCCTGATCGATGTTGGTTGTACGGCGCGTTGCTGCTATTATTGCCTTGACCACTGTTCTCCCACCTGCTTCCACCACCACCTCCTCCCTTGTGATGACTGTCAGGTCGAGAAGACGAAGGATGTTGCTGCTGTCTCTCTCTGTTGTCTCCAACTACTGCGGCCTTATGACTGCTCTTGTTGCTACTACTTCCTCCAGCAGGGGACGAAACGCCGAGTCCAACACCACCATTCGCAACACCGTTACTGCTGCCGTGCGCTTCTTCGGTGCTTGTGGTCGATCGAAGACCATTCTCTTGACCACGCGGAGCTCCTGCGCCTGCGGGGTTGTTGCTCTTTTTGTTGTTCGATCGTCCTGATTTCGGCGACCCTGGCAGAGGGGATCCAGCCTTGGCATTCGTCGTGCTCTTGGGTTCCCTAGACTTGTTGCTGTTGTTTGATGGCTTTGTGGTTGGGGCGGAAGAGGAGTCTTGTGTCGACTTGTTGTCGGTGGGATGATCTTGTTTCTTGGGTGCTGGTGTTTGTACTGGAGGTTGTGAAGGAGTAATTGAAGAAGCGCCGGCTGAAGAAGCTACGGCTGGCGCAGGCGTTGCGGCAGCTGTCGAGTCGCTCATTGTCGTCTTGTCTTTCTGGTGGCCTTTGTGCTCGTTGAGTAGAGTAGGTAGAGAGGCGTGTGATGAATGAATAGGTGTGTGAATGGGTGAGAGTGTGGAAGGAGGTGCCGAAGAGAGGCGGAGAGAAGAGAGGAGCGAAGAAAGAAACAAAAAGTGCGCGATCTCTCCCAGGACAAATAAAAGTCAAAAAAAGTAGCCTTTGATTATTGTTTTCTTTTGGCAAAGTCATTCGCGCTCACGCTCCTTTCGCTCCACTCACTTCCCACATTCGATTCAAGAGAGGGTGACGTGGATAGGAGGGAGGGAGAGGTGGCCCCTGTGCAACCCCCCTTTTACTCTTCGTGTCTATAGCACAAATAGAAAGCCTTGCTTCATTCACCCCTTGGGGGTTACATCTGGGATGTTAAAAGAAAAAAAGGAAAAAAAGAACGCGACATAAAAGAAACGCGCCCGCAAGAACCACCTCCATACACGCGACCATCGCGTCTCCACATACACCATATAAAGCCGAAGCTACTTTTTCATTCACTACTCCAATCAGTCATCAATATCGATAACATACGTCTCCCCTTTAACAACCGCCGCAAGCACAACAACATCTCCTTCCCGCGAATAAGCAACAACTTTCGCAGACCCCTTCTGCGACACCCTAACCTTCGCTGACGGCGTCCGATCCTCTCCACCCAGACTTCCAATCTTGACCCTCAGTGACCCCGCCTTCAGACTCGCATACACCTCCACCTGTCTCACAGTCCCTCCAACCTCCCATCTACTCGACACCACATGTCCGTCCCGCGTCCGGAACCCTTCTACTGATCCCCCTCTTCGGAGCCACTGATCTGGTAAATCGGCAACCGTCAGGATATCGACAAACCCAGGAGCGCGACTCTGGATCACCATCTCCACCATTGCCGCACTTACTCCCAAGAGGCCAGAGAGTCCATCCTTAAAATCCAGCAGATTCGGGTGCTCAAAGATATGGTCACGCTTGAACGTCTCCACAGCCCTGTACGCCAACTTACCATCCTCAAGACGGGCCCACACAGCTGCCCTCCAGGATTTTGCCCATCCAAAGTTTCCACCAGGTCGATCACCCATCCCACGATGGATGAGCGACTCTCTTGCAGCCTCCAACAACTCCTCCCTCGTCGGCTCCTTCTCACCTTCATCCTCTCCTTCATCCACATCCGAGGACGACGACGAAGAGTTTCTGAAAAAGACCTGGTTACCAGGATAAACCGCCCACAAGTACCCCAAATGCGGATGCCTCTCATTCGGATCATCCATATCCAAACTCCACTCCTGCAGCTGACCCCAACTGCCAACCCTCAACCCAGGCGCAACCACCTCCAAGGCAGTCGTCAGATTCTGAGCAAACACCCGATCCCTCTCCCCAACGACCGCAATCGCCTCCAGCGTATTATTCAACAACTGCCATACCAACTGCTGATCCATCGCCGTCCCCTCCGTCACACCTCCATGGCCCGGCGCAAACGACGGTGACACCACCAGCGGCCCTCCCTCCTCATCCCGAAGCCTCACAAGTGTATCCACCCAGAACTGAGCAGCGCCCTTCATAAGCTTGTAAGCATGGTCTCTCAAAAAGTAATAATCTTGGCTGTACAGGTACCGGTCCCATGCATGCTGGCATAGCCATGCCGCTGCTGTTGGGAGGTAAAATGTCTGGTCCTGGGCTGTCGGTCCAGTATGTGCCCAGATGTTGGAGTATGGGTGAGTCAGCCATCCACGAGCTCCATAGTACAAGCTGGCGGTGTCTTGACCGCGTGGGACCAGCAGGTTCTCCATGTAGTCGATCAATGGCGTTACTGTCTCGCCCAACCCTGTACTCTCTGCCAGCCAGTAATTCATCTGAAGGTCAATATCCATCTTGTATCCAATACTATTTAAACCATTCGCAAATTAATTCGTCGTTAGAACCGATTTCCAAATGAACTCTTTCTCATATTGCGTTAAGAGAAATGAAAAAAAAGGTACCTGGGGTCATCGAGGCCGGTGTTTTGATCCTGGGACCACATGCTACGCCCACTCAAAGGCAAAGAACCAGGTCTGGAAGACGCAATAAGAAGGTACCGCGCATACTGAACCATCAATGCATCCAAATACGTCTCTTCCTCTCCTGCATTACCCCCCTTACTCGCCTTGAGTAACTCATCCGTCGGCAGCTTGTTTTCGATCTGTCCCAGATCCAACCGGAAACCCTGGAACAGCGTCTGGTGGTCCTGGACATGCTTCAGGTACTGGTCTCCATAGAGCCCACCTACCGCCTTATCCATCACACTCGTCAACCGATCATGCGGGTCCTTGTCCTCGAAATTCGGGTACGATCCTTGCAGTGTCCATCCAGTGCCCATAGTATAGTAAAGCGTGACGGCATCGAACCCCAAAGCAACCACTTGACGGTTGTTGGCCAACGACACTCCAGTGGCTCCTTCGGTGGTGACGGCGACCATGGCCTCGGTGGTCATGTTGTTGGATGCGAGACGGGCACGCATACCAAGTCGGTTGTGGACGTTTGTGTATTCTGCAGTTCCTGTGTTTTCGTGGGCAGAGGAGAGCGAGACCCTGACGTTGATGCTCTTGGGTTCTGAGGCCTGCAGTCGCATCACACAGACCCCATCCGGGAAACTGCAAAAATGCTCCCTATTTCATGGTCAATGCACATTTAGAGCAGAATCGTATTCGTGTTAGTATCATTTAAAATTAAAAAAAATGTCACACGAGTCAGTGTCAATGCAATTTTCTCAACATACCGTTTGTACTGTAAATCTCCCACAGAAAAGGTCACCGTCGCAACACCCGTCTCAAGATCCAACTCCCGTCGGTACTCCCGCACAGTCTCAAACTTCTTCACTTCCTCAACTAGCAACTCCCCAAACCCAAGCTGGCTTCCAAACCCGCGCTCATCCCCCTTCAGCGACCCCACAATCTTCTCCCTGGGTCTCACCTGTCCCTTCTCTTTCACCAACAGCCGCATTTTTTCGAGTGCTTCCTGTCTCCGCGGCGCTTCCTCTACTGGCACATTCCCACCCCTATACTGTTCCTCCTCCACCTCGTCGCCGCTCGTGCTGGCACCATCATCGAGAGGAGCCTTCGCAACGCGATCAACACCCGGTCCACCAGCCCAAGAACTCTCCTCACTAACCCGAATCCTCTCAACATGGATCCCGCCACCCACCAAAACCTGACTCTGCCCATTCCCCAACAGAAACCCAGCATTCTCAATTTCCGTGCTCGTTTCCTTGGCAGACAGGTCGGTCCATTTCCGGTACCAGAGTCGCCATGTCGAGTTCTCTGGTGGGCCTGCTAGTGTTGAGAAAGTTGGTTCGAGGAAGGGTTCTGGTGGTGCGGGTGTGGATGAGGATAAGGGAGGAATGGCCAGGATTTGGTGGCATTCGAGTTCAAGGCGTCGGCGGTCTTGCAGTGACGCGCTGCTGTCGCTGTTGCTGTCGTAGGAGGGTACACGAGAAGAGGAAGAGTCCTGAACCGTGAACTGGTGCTGTTGTTGTTGTCGTTGAGCATGGACGAAGAAAGTTCCTTGGTCAGAGTGGGCTGTGAAAAGTGTTACTGCTGTGGCCACAGCAATGAAAAGAAGCAACGTTGACCGCCTTTGCTGTCGTCGTGGAAGTGGGCGCCCTGATGTGGACTGCTGTCGGTCCATAGTTGTGAGTTAAGAAGCGACCGCGCCCTTTTTATATTGTTTCAGGGTTAATAGTGCGGAGTCGCGCACAACGTTTGTTTGTTGTAGTTGGACGTGAGAGCTTGGTCGTTGCTCTGGTTGATGGCTAGTCGGTCGATTCCTGTAGGAGTTTTGCTTTGCTGGTGATGAGATGCTGAAATGGAGTAGGTGTGAAGTGGAATGAAAGGAGAATTGTAATAGACAAGTGCGAGAAGGGTCCAACACCAACGGACGGACGCATAAAAATGAGGTGACCCTGAAGGTCGACTGTGTGACTGCACAGTGGTGCTGTACCTGTGGTTGTTCTTGACGACCAGTGTCTATCGTCAGAACAGGAGAATAAGAGCATCGTGCGCGAAGACAAAAAAAAAAAAAAAAAAAAAAAAAGACGGAGACCAAACACGTACAGAAAGAGGTATCCTCTTGTCCTTGAGTACTTGACACACATCCTCATCGCCATGGACCAGACAACTTCAGCAGTAAAGAGAAAAGAAGAAGACATTGCGACAATATTTTATTTTTTGTAGTCATCGTTTCGAGAAAGGGAAGGAAGGGTTTTGTGAACGTAATTTGGAACTGGCTATTGCAGATGGACTGGGACTGGAACTGAGAGAGTGGTATGGAACGAAGGAAGAGAGGAAGGGAAATTGCACAAAGCAGTGCCAAGGGAGTGGGAGGAGGCGGGAAGGAAGGGAAAGGGGAAGTAAGGAGGGGCGGAAGAAGGGAGAGGTATCTTGGACATTGGTGGTACAGAAGCGAAGCAAAGATTTTAAAGAACAAGGAGCATTACAGATGAGCAAAGGGCAATAAAAGGTACAGACATAGCAAGAAGGAGTAGGGAGTGGCGGCAACAAGTCAATTGTGCCTCTAGATTATCACGCCCGCATGTCAACAGCAGCATTGTGCGAACAAGGTAGAACAGGGTGGAGAGAAGGAGAGAAAGAAAAGAAAGAGGAGAGACGAGAAAAGGGAGTTTGTGTCTTGCATTGTTATGAGGGATTAGGGAGAGGTCTTGACCATCCATGGGTGTTTGACAACCTCGCTCATCGACAGGCGTCGGGAGGGATCGACTGCAAGCATGTGCTTCAACAAGTCCTTCAGGTCTATTTGGATATATGCATATCAAATGAAGGGAAGAGAAGTTAATAACAATCAAATGATAACAATAAACATGCAAGTAAAACAAGAAGAAAAACATACCAGGGTCGATGCTATCCTGGATGGTAAAGGGAAACATGCGGTGGGAGGCACGCTTGCGCTTGTAGGCGGCAAGACGCTTCTTGTCAGTCTCGTACAACTCCTTGGGCAGATCGCCGTGGACCATCGTATAAAGCGTCAAGCCCAACGCCCACACATCAGCCTCGTATCCATAGAACAAGTCCCAAGTCGGGGTCTGGTTACTCTGCGAGGATCCACCAGCGGCTGCACGACGACTATTGGCCTCTTTGCTCCTCTGCCGGGTAGCAACATTCGAGTCCATCTCTGGAGGTGCCAAAATCGTGGTTCCGTAGAACGAGAAACAGGCAGAGCTGCCTGGCTGCAGGTACTTGGAGTGGCCGAAATCGCACAACTTGGCGCGGTAGGTACCGGTGGCTCGATCCAGACTGATGAGCGCATTCTCGTCTTTGATGTCACCATGGACGATCGACTGCGAGTGGAGAGAGTGAAGCGCAAGTGCTAGTTGGGTGAAAATGGAACGGAGCGCATCCTCTTGGATCGAAGATCCGTAAATCGAAGGCGGAAGGGAATCTATCCGGGGCACGTCCTGGATGTTCTTGGCTCTCGTCGACGTATCTTCGTCTTGGTCTGGCTTGTGGAGCTCGATAAAGTCAAAGAGGGAAAAGCCGGCCATCTCGGTGACAATGTATGAGATGTCCTTGTTCGACTGGTCCTCGGGGTCAATGTCACCGTAAAGGGAAGACGTGAAGTGCTCCAGGAAGGCGAGGATGTTTTCGTGCTCCTTGATCTTGAGCAGGATGCTCAGCTCCCTCTGCACCTTTTGCTCCACATGGTCCCCAGTGTGAGGGATCACCTTTATCGCGACCTATATTGCAAAGCAAAGAGAAAAGAGTTAGCAATGGCACAAGGTCGACAAAGAGAAGAGAGAGGGCCTTTCAGGTGGCACAATGCAACAACATGCACAAAGACATGACGTTTTTTGTGTTTCTCCTTTCTGTCCCTTGATGAGAGCGAAATTCTACCAGAATACATACCTCGCGTCCGTCAAAGGCCCGCTTGGCCGCCAAAACAAACCCACTGGCTCCACTGCCGAGATATCGCTTGACAATATAGTTCTCACGCAGCACTCTGCTAGTCGCGAAAGCTCGTTCCAGCGTCGCCTTGTGGTGTTCTTCAAACTGGGGGAAGATCGACTCGACGATCCGGCGATGGGCAGGCTCGAGGTCGTACTTGTATGATGGGTCGGCCGCCGCAGCGGCAGCGCTGGTGGTTGTGTTGATGTGGAGGATGGCGGCTGCGGCATGGCTGTTGACATCCTCTTCTTCCTCCTCGTCAGAGGAGATGTCAGAGGAGATGACAATGACTTCCCGTGGCGGCATAGCACTCCGGACCATATTTGTAATGCTACTTGGGAAGAGGCGCGAAGATGGTGAATCTTCACGGTATCGCTTGGCACTGGGCAATGACGCCTCGTCATTCCTGTCATTGGCGGCAGCGGTGGCATGTGCGGTATTGTAGTTGTTGGTAGTAACTGCGGAGAGTTTCCGCTTCTTGGGAGGGAGGAGAGCAAGGTTTCGGAGGTGGATCGTCGTGATATGGCCGCCAATGGTGACAGTCGAATGAGGAAGGGCGCCCGCGCCTTGGCTGGTGTACCTGTTGTTGCCATCTTGAGCAGGTATACATACGGAGGGCGTGGTGTTTTCGAGGGAGGACGTAGAGGATGAATAGGACGAATAGGACGACGACGACGAAAGGGACGAGCAGAGTGAAGGGGATGAGGCGTGTGACATGGAGGTTGAATGTGTAGAGGAGGAAGACGAAGGAGCGGCAACGAGGTCGGTGTTGGTCGGCCGGCTGGAGGCAACAGTCTGTTGTTCACCACGGGCAGGGTAGTGGCGACCCTTGGTCTTTGTCGTCGAATCTTGACGGTTCTGCGCCGTGGAGGCGTTCCAGAGACGTTGTGAGGAGGCATTGCGAGCTCGAGTGGTAGCTCCTCTGGCGACCATGCGTGTCCGGGACATGATATGGTCCTCTGTACACTTTTGGTAGATATCTCGCGGGATCACAATTATATTGCGGTGATGTGGATGGTGCACTTGAGCGGCCATGGCTTATGAAATGGGTCTGTGTGTTTTGGGGAAGAGGGAAGAGAAGAAAAAAGGAAGAGAGAGAAGGAAGGGGAGGAAGAAGTAGGAGTAGGGCGTTGCAACAGAACAAAGAGACAAATTGTTAATGCAAGGAAAGGAAAGTTTTTTGAGGGAAGAGAGATTGCTTTTTGGGTTGTTGGTCTGTTCCCTGTTTGAGTTGAGTTGAAGGGAACTGAGCGTGCGTGCGTGCTGCAGGACCAAGACACAGAGAGAAAAGGAGAAAATGGAAGAATATAAAGAAACGAGAGAGAGAGAGAGAGGGTTCGCGTGGTTCACAACGGAGTGTCCGAAAATAAACGAAAGGATGGAGAAGAGAAGAAGAGAAAGTGGAGGCGTCCTTGAAAAGAGGATGGAGGCACAAAGAATTTAAATAGTGTTTTCGCAGCAGAACAAGTAAGGTGCTACCACTTGAAGAGAGTGGGAGGATGTCAATTGAGGCAAGAGAACATTGGGGTCGTGGGGTAGGACAAACAAGACGAAGGTATGTTCTCACAAAAAAGAAAGTGTGGGGGATGTGATGTGCGGATATGTGCAATGATGCGCGGAATTGGCCGCAGAAGGGGAAGAAGTAGAAGAAGAAAGGAACGACAACAATGCTAATGATGATGATTGTCTGGCGGTCTCTGTCTGTCGACAGACTGCGTCTACTCACAGACTGTACTGCGGTTGAATGCGTATGAATGTCAGGACGTTGCGTGTGTTGCCACAAACGAGAAATAAATAACGAATGGGCGGAGAAAGAAATAAAAAAAAGTAAAGAAGCAGAAGCAGAGGACTGGACTGGCTATGGCATGAACAACAGCCAGGACAAAGAGAACACGAAAGGGTAAAGGGAGGGAGCTGAAAGAACAATTAACTACTGCTGTAATTGATGGCGATGTAGAAAGCTGCAGGTCATTGTTGGCTGCCTTGGCTGGGTAGTATGTAGCAAATGATAATTGTGCCCAAGGGCGAAATGAAGGCCGTGTGTTCTTTTAGGGTGAGCTGGGACAAAACGAAAAAAAACGGGTGATAATACACACAATTGAACTGAATGAAAAGGAAGAGGTACCAAAAACCACACAGAATAAGAAGGATGGTGACTACTGAGTACGATGATGATGAATGGAAAAGAACAAGAAAAGGCTGGATCGGGGTTCTTGAACACAAACAAGCTGTTATAGCACTGACTGCCTGACTGAACTAGCCCAGGAAGCACAGTTCTCCTCCTTGACGATATGTTGTTCAGTTGTTAGCACTCAGGCCGATTGAAAGAAAAGAAGAAAAAGAAATAGGGGCAGCGTGGACCCATGGATCACCATCTCTGGTAGGAGTGCAGTGCACGCCTTACTCAATACAATATAGCTCTCATTTTAAAAAGCAGGTAGGTTTAAACAAGGGGACAAAGATGATGCCAAGGGAGAATGGAGAAGGGGACAGCGTGGACAGTCAAGGAGGGTGTACTGCAGAAAGAAGTAAAGAGGAAGAAGGGCGTGTTCTTCAATTGGTGAGAGACAGAGAAAGGAAAAGGCCAGAGCCGGTATGGATCAAGGGGTCTTTTGCTGTTTGCTGCTGTTGCTGCTGCTGTCGTCGCTGGAAAATATCTCACTCGCATTCACTCTCGCTCATTCACTGAGTGACTCTTGAATTGCAAGTATCTCATGCAATGGGGTCGAGGACACATGGCTTTGACTATTCCTCTCGACCACCGCAAGACATGTATGTGTATTTGTGTGGAGTGCGGGGGTAACCAGGATGGCTGTCCGGGATGTACTCGAATAAAGTTGACAGTGAAAAGAAAGCCACTGAACCAGTTGTGGTTTTTTTTGTGAGTGTGTTGACTGAAAATGAGCGAATATGTCCGTGAAGAGGAATGAGATAGGCCACGCTACTCTCACTCTCCCTTGACAAATTGTAACCCAAAAAAAGTGTGGAAGCGAACCCACCATCGCATCGCACATCGCATGTGGGAAGGAGCAAGGGAAGGATCGAAAGTTTATGTCCGTATACAAAAAAAGGTACGGACAAACAGCAGAAGCAACACCCTCATTGCAATATAAAATTAAAATAAAGAATTCGCCCGGAAGGAAGGGATGGATGGACGGACAAGAGAAGTGTGCTCATATATAACCATGAAGAAACCATCCAGAAGAAACGAGGTACTGGCTTGCCATACTGACCACAATGGATAAAGAAGAAAAAAAAAGGAGACGGACGAAGGAGGAGGACAGACGACAATCAATCGGCGAAAAAAAGAGTTGAAGAGAAGACTTGAAAATGGAAAGTAAGAAGACGAAAAAAGGGCGGTTTTATTATTTCCCTTTCCTTGTGTTGCCACCCACTCTTTTCCCATTATGTTGATTCACGAGCCAGCAGCTGAGGGCTAAATGCTTCTCATACCAAGCAGAATGAAGATTGACTACCGGTAGTAACAACGAAAAAAGGATTGTCTGCATGGGAGGAGAAGAGACGGAGAAGGGACGAGGGTATAATATAAAGGGAAGGCAAAGGCACAACAATAAAATAACGATCTTGGTGCAGCACACATTCACTCATCAAGGGGATAGAACGAAAAGAGAGAGAGGGAGATAGACGGATAAAAAGGGATACACAGATGAAAAGGAGGAGGAGTGAAAGAGGAGATAGCTTACCCTTTGTGTTGGCTTGTATGTTGTATGTATAGATATCCCGTTCCTTGTTGCGTTGAATGAGGGATCGGTCAGTGGAGGAGGAAGAAAAGAAGAGAGGACTTTTGTGTCCAGGGTTGAAAATCGAATCGTAGATGTACTACAGTCCAGGTGAAGTGGATGTTTTAGAAAAAAAGAAGGTTGCTCGGTAGAGTAGAGTAACGAAGGGAATGGCGTGTAAAAGGATAGTTGTCCGAAGTGGGATGAAGGAAGGAAGGAGGGGGGTAATTGGCAAAGAAAATGGTTGAGGGTAAAAAAGAAGGTGGGCTGACTACTGAGGTAAGAAGACGAGGAAGAAGAGTGGGTGTGTTGAAGTGAAGGAGGATATGGTCGGGAAGAGACAGGGCATTGGCGAATCGAGAAGGCGTTGTTGTTGCAGAAGGTTGCAGTCGAGTATGAAAAAGAGTAGGGTGAATGAGTTGAGTGCAAGAGAGAAGGAAGGTTGAATGAGGGTCAAAGAAGAGAATGAGTTTTAGTTGAAGTTGAATGAAGAAGAAAAGAAGAGTCAGGTTAGGAAAGAGAAAGAGAAGAAGAAGAGGAGTAGCCCGCAAGAGTAGAGAAGTAATTCAAAGAAGGACAAAGCCCATAGCCAAGAAGCGACAAAGTCAGGTAGGCAGTGGTTATTTTCTGTCCTGTGCGATCCGGATGTGGACATCTGCAACATGCCCTTCTTTGAATTAGACAATAATAACGGATTTGTATTCAATCGTTAATAAATCAATCCGAACGAGGAACGAGGAGGTTCTCCTGCTTGCAAAGGCGCTTGCTGAGTAAACACATCCTCCTTCTCATCCTTCTGCTTCCTCATTGTCCACAGAAATGGATATCTCTATCATCATCCGAGACCGATACACTTTCACAACTGATCATCATCGATACCACCATGCCCCTCATCACCATTGTCAAATAAAAAGGGCCTGGCCTGGTCAGAGTCCTCTTGTTCGCTTGATGTTGTACTTGTATCTGCAGTATCTATGCCTTGACCCCTGCGTGTCTTCTTTTCCTTCTTCTTTGAACTGCTACTGCTACTGCTGTTGTTGCCTCTGGCCTTACTACTGCACAACTATTTGATCTGATGATCCCTGACCAAATACCCTGACTGACAACAACAAGCAGGCAAACTCCCCCCATTCAGCTCTCTTACTCGATGTGTATCTTCTGTCATCAACGGCACGCACCCAAATAAACCCAAAATGAATAAATGAATGAATAATCGGCATCGCATCGCATCGCATTTCCTGTGAAGGCAGGGCAGGGGAAAGGAAGAGGTACGTATGTATCGTCCATGTTTACCAGCAATAGAGCAAAAAAAAGGAAAGTGAGTGAACGAGTGTGTGTGCGCAAATTATTAGACTTAGACCCTGTGCGCCCACAAATCATCATGAAAACATCGTCGTCGTAATACACTCTTCTCTGAGTGGGCGAGTGTGTGTGTGTGTGTGCACTTCGTGGATGAACTCCCTGGTCTCCTCCTTCCTCCGTCCTTTTTTTTTTTTGCCTCAAATGGGTCAATCACATACCCTCTCTTCACCTCCTCCATATAAACCACAGACATTTAAAAAGCATTGGCCATTTTTCTGTCCTTTGGTTGCAATCGCCACTTTAAAAATAAGTAGAAAGACGGGGGTGAGTACGATAGGAATGGGGACACCGATATGCCCGAGTTGGTATGTCTGAGGGGCCTTTGCTGTTCTTCTCTTCAATTCATCCTAGCAATTTCTGATCTGCGTCTCGCGGTCCACAGGGGTAATACAGTGGAAGAAGAAAAGTGGAAGGGAAAACTCCAGGATAATGAATGACAACAACACACCGAACACAAAACCACGGACACGCCAGAAAAGATAACGAGAGAAGAGAGGACTCGGACCAAGGATAGACAGAAAGTTGCTATCGTCAATCAGGCAATTATACATCCACGGATAGGGTCAAGATGCAGGGAATGCAAAGAATGAGAAAAGGACGTCAATTCAACAGGGTGGTGGTTCTTCTCTTCTGGTGGTGACCTATGGCCTTTATTCAAATGTATCCCGGCGGACCTTTTTTATCTTCCTCTCCCTATCCTGTCCTTAACTTTCCTCTTCTTCTTTCCACTCCACGTTCACCATTTCAAGCAGCACGCACACACATTCACACGCATCCACACGCATACACATACATGTGTGCTCTCTGTTTACCCTTGCAGGCGAAGGCACAGATGGAGACAGAGAAGAGAGATGAAAGAGAGAGAGGGTTTTACTCTTTGATAGAACCACTTCTCAATTATCCTTGGGCCTTTCTTATTCTCACAAACAGAAAAGGGTAACCCGCACTGCTTCTTTTTTCGTATTCTTCTATTCTTTCTGTTGCTGCCGTTCGTGCCAAGCGAAAAAAAAGGCAAGCCTAAAACTAAAGAGAAAGAACCCTACAGTTACAAATAACAACAAAACCGCAGCCACATGCCACCCACTGCACAAACTCCACACAAGCAAATCAATTCAATTGAATGCAATTTCAATTGAATAGTGGGCCGTGACCCTGTGGCATGGACGATGGACATCACCAATGGTCCACATCGACACTAGGTGTTAATAAAAACACGGTGAATTGTGTTTATTATTTACTTTCGTCAACTTGGTTCTGCCTGTTGAATGTGAACAGGCCAAGAGGTAAAGTAAAACAGCACATGCCTGCTTGTCCCCAAACACTCACCGCAACCCCCTTCATCTTCTTCGCCTCTCTTGGCTTTCTTCTTGTCGCTTTCGGCGTTTGTGTACAGGAAGGTATGGGGGTGACAAGGGTTGTATACTCGATTGTATGCCAGATGACACATACCCTTTTGAACTTCTCAATAGGGAATAACAACAAGACTTTACTCTTCCTTCTTTTTTCCAACGGTCATCTGGTCCGCTGGTCGGCCCGTCTGTCGGTCTTTGTCGTGCTTTGAGATCGATCTCTTCACTTTCGGTTACTTTGCCCTTTTGAGAAAGAAAGAAAACGACCACTCCCTTCCGGTTTCTGTCCTCGGAGCTTGCCTCCTTTTCCAATTCCACTCCTTCTGGTGGCCAACCTCGACTTTTTCGCCACTGTGATTTTGAGTCGTGGACTATGTCCCTTGCATTGACAAAGAAGACACTAGACACATGGCATTTTATCTGAAAAGTCAAAAACAAAACAATCAAAAGCTATTTTCAACCTACCCTTGCTCCCTCTAACTAACTATCCCATCCCAGAAGATATCATTTATTCTTTTCAGCCCACTCACAACTCTCCCGTTATTGCTGTTCTCTTTCAACCTTGTCCCGCACTGCCTCGCACCCTCGCCTTCTTCACCCCTTTACGAGGACAGGCACAGTACAGCAAAAACATTAGCAAGCAAGCATTGGCCGGCATCCATCTATCTATGACATCCCTTTTTTCGTTCCTGCGTGCTTTCCTTGGTATTTTTCAGCCCATCATTGCTTTGCAAATCATTGAAGGGTGAGTGACGCTCGCTGCAATGCGTGTCGCGCTGCTGCGTTGCGCGCATGCATTGTTTTCACCCACCCTCTATCCGCCTGTCTCTTCTCTCATCTTCCCTTGTTCTTCCACCTCCCCAAAATTGCCAATCTTGAAAAGGACAGAAAAGAGGCCTGTGAATGCTGAATGGTCGGACGGGGCAAACAGAAAACACTAAATTAACAACGTAGACCGTAGACGGAAATAAAAAAAAACCAATTATGATTACACAGTGCTCAATAAAACATCCAAATGGTTGTTTTCTAATTAAAGGCATGTAAACATGGTATCCCATATGGGAGTTTTCTTGATGAGTGTTTCTGGAGGATGGAATGTCGCTTGTAGCTTTCTAGTTCTGAGGCGACAGTTTACCAAAGGCAAGAGGTCAACTGATGGACGAAGAATGCGACTAGCCTTGAAAGAAAAATAATAGTAGAGAGCATTTACGCGATGACACTCCTCTACCTTTTCCCTTCCTCCTACAACGGTTTGTGGAAACAAAAGGAGACAGAGGAGATTTCGATCTGAAGAAACAAACGAGCTAAGGATGACTAGTACTCCAGTACTCAGATAATCAGGTGGGCTTTTGACGGATCCTTTCGTTCCCCCTTTGCATGATTTGCTTTTTTTTTTTTTTTTTGCTCATGCTCAACGTGATATCTTTTTATTTCCATTGAAAGAATCGCCGACTGGCCTCTTTTTCTTTCATTGCTTGACTTGACACATACCTTGGTCGTACAAAGTACAGAGAAAGGGGGGGGGTTCTTGCAAACAGAAATGTGAAGGTTGTCTTACTGCTTCCGAGTGCGTAGGACAAGAAGAGGAAGAATGGCAAGCGCTTCGCTATCCCGATGGTTCAGAGGACGGAAACGCGGATACGCCTCATTCAGAGAAAGGAAGATGATGATGGGGCACTTCAAACCTCGGTGCCCTTGCCCTGCTTTTCGTGACAGGGGGTGTTACAAAAGTAGGGCGTTGATGATATTTTGTTTGAGGATGGGGTGACAGGGGTCCGATGGTGAATGAGGCTCTCCCTCTTTTCTTTTTGTTACGTTTTTTTTTCTTAGACGAGTTGAAACGATTAAGGGACCCAAACAAAATAAATCATGACACCTGGACGGAACAAAAAAACCACCTCCTTTCTTTCTTCGCCAATCGTGAGTTCCATAGGGAGCAGGACATGGAGCGACGAATTTTGGTGGGGGTGTGTGTGGTGGTGTTGCCAGGTGGATGGATCGACCGAGGGGAGTGGGAGCAGAACAACAAGGGGAGGGAGAGAAGGTCTTTCGTCACGAAAGTGAGAGAGAGGGAATGGATACGTCGACTGTCGTAGTCGGTCGATTTTTTTTTCTGATCCACGCACCCCCACCACGCGCAACGGAAATTCCACAACCCTAATTTTCATTTTCATTTTCATTTTCTCCACCCTCCCTTCTGCTCTTGTTGTGTAATGACCAATCCGAAGTGAAGGGGTCTCTTGCGAGGGAAAATCAATCGACTTTGCCCTTTGGAGCTCGACTTTTTCACCCTTGGGATGGATGTTCGCTGTTCTTTCTATTTTCCCTCTATACATCGTCTCTCATCACAATCAACAGGAAAACAGACAGACGGAAAGGGAGACAGACACACATCCTGAGTTCTGATATTCAGGAACACAGATCAACATCACCCATCCGAGACCCATTGAGAAGAAAGAAAATATCTCCAGCCACTCACGGAGCTCTTCACATAAACTTTATTTTTTGCTTAGTATGGTGTCATCCAAACAGTCGTCGTGTCGTGACCAAACATGTTTTTTTTCTCTTGGTTCTTTAGCTGTTGGGGGAAGCTAGTTCCACCCTCTACCCGCTATTTTTGATTGGGGTGATGGAGTATGACACAGCAAGTGAAAAATAAAAGTATGTTCGTTGAGGTCTAGACGGCCAAACGACAACAACAACGACGGAAAAAGACCGCCAGAACAAACAAACAAAGCGAATGAAACATGCACAATCAATTCGTCAATGCGATATCTGAAATACAAAACTGGGTTAAACCCAACCTCTTAATCTCACTACTGTATCCACCCCCCTCAACATCTTCACTCTCTAGCAATTTGCAACCTACAGCTTGGCCATGCTCCTCGAAGAAGCACGGACAAGATCCAACTCATTCAAACAGCCTTCGACCTGCTCAACAACCTTGGCCGCACACCCAACACTAGCCTGGTACCCAAACCCTGCATGTCCATAGTTATGCGCCACCACCACCACCTTCGAATCCCCCCACCCCTCATTCCAATCTAATTGTTCGACTGCGGCGGAGATACGGACACCTCCGCGACGGTTCGGGCGGAGTCCGACGCAGCTTCTAAGGATTGTTGCGTTTGAGAATAGGTCGGGTTTTGTGGCGACTACTCGTTTGACGATGGCTTTTGTCGTCTCCTCTGACGCTGCCTCTTGGCTATTATTTTGTTTGGTAAAAAAAAGGAGCGTGTCAGTAATTTCATTTTCTACAGCAAACACACATGTCTAATTCAGAAGAACAGGACAAAGAGACTTACTAGTTCCAGTGCTCCATGGTACCACCAAGGACAATCTCGCCATTATCTCTAGGAATGACATAAGTGATTGTTCCGGTACCCATAGCACTCCCCTCCGCATACCGCTCCATCGTAAACTGCTTCGCCTTTGGCCAAAGTGAATCGGGAACCTTTACAATCACAATCTGACCCCGCGTAGGGAACATCTGGTGATCGTGCACACCTGGCAGGTTACGACTTCCGAGACCTGAACAGTTGATGATGATGTCGGCTTTGCTGCCGTCTGTGGAGTGAGGGGCCCGAGCGAGGGCTTTGAGGGAAGGAATGGTTGCGCGGTCGATGGTTCCGCCGCGGGCGAGAATCTGTTCTTGAAGGTATTTCAAGTACTTTGGTGCGTGTACCGATACTATTTGGCGATGGAAATAAATGTGTCAATAACGGAGAAGCGCGCTGCTAACGATAGATAATGACATAGGTAAAGTATCCATTGCCTGAGACATGAAGCGTGTTGACGGTACCAGTTGTGTAGGTGATTCCAAACTCGACACCCGGTGGAAGCTCCTCCTGCTTGAGGTGCCTATACTACTCACAGAAAAGAAAAAAAGTCAACAGTCAATTAGGACGAAACAAAGTACGAAAAAAGTACACAGGATGAATGAAATTGCAGAACTTACATTCTTGACGAGACGCTTGAACCAGGGGTCCTCAAAGTTTTTGGGCTTGACATCCCAGAAGTCATGACCGGTCAGGTACATGACTCCCGCGTTGGGATCCGTATCCGCCAAATGTGCCAGTCGGTTGAATGTTGCTGTGTCCAGCTCTTTGTCATCGTGGGGTTGAACAGGACAGCGGGAATGGAGAAGGGAGATATATGGTTAGTTTGAGAATCGCGTGTAACCTTTATCAAGCGGAGTCGGAAGAACTGGTGAATGTGGTGACTCGAATGATTGCTAGTTGTACCTTGCTGGGTTACATCCGCAATGTCAGCGTACGATCGCCAATGTGCTCCTGCCCTGAACAAAAAGTAATGAATTGTCAGTGTTAAGTTGGCCAGCTAACCAAGAATGAAGCAATTGATCAATTACTCGCTTGTGTAGATACCGATGATGCGAACGTACCAGGGGGAAGTGTAGTCGATGCTAAGATCGGAGGGCAAATGGGTCGCATAGATTTTGACGGAGTAGTTCTTCTTCTCCAGGAGAGCAAGTGCTGTCGAGAGACCCGAGACTCCGGCGCCCAGGATATTGACCTTATAGGTTCTTTTATGCGAAGGCGACATTGTTGGTGTAGGAAGAGTCTTGAATGAGAAGGAGGAGGAGGGGTGATGGAGATGAGATGTGAAAAGAAGAGAAGAGGAAATGAAGAGAGACGAGGAGAAAGGCTGGAGGGCGTGAGAGTTTGAACCAAGTTGAGGCGCAACGGCTCTTTTGGGGTCGTTGGGGGTCATGTGATACCCCGCCAATCATCGAAAGGACATAGCGCGCTTTTTTTTTTCCACTCATCAAGAATCAACTACCATGTCGCAACAGGAGGAGCTCAAGAGGCTTGCAGCAACAACCAGGACAAGGAACACGCGTATCTTTTCCACTATGAAACGAACCTGCTTGTGACAATACTATACTTGCGGCTGTGTTTTTATTTTCCATCTGTCCTGAACTGCAGTGTCTCTTGGTGGTAGGCACAGTGGCACCTGTTGCTGTCCTTCCCCCACATATCCTTTGCGTGTTGTTCGTATTCTTTGATTTCTTCCACGACCTTTCTTTCTCTCCTTTACCTCTGCAGATCTGTCCTTTCTCTGCATCGAAGTAATTGGACGCCGGTGTTACACTACCCTTCTTCGTTGATAAGAGTCGTTTCCTTGCTAGTTTTAAACCCATTTGCTATTCTCGGAATAGTTCTCGACCCTGTTGAGCAAGTCTCAAGTCAAGTCTTTGATTTCATCCACTATTACCTGTAGGCCCATTCCGATATAGACGTTCTTATGGGACAATGGTGGACAAAAAGGCAACTCTTCCACTGGCAGACTGGAGCACGAGACATAGCCAGATCGAGGCGTACAGGAGCCAGTTTCTACAGAGATCGCGGATTCAATTCGATGACGGTGGATCACAGGAGAGGAGTCAATGGAGAGAGTAGTCCCGAGCCTAGAGTTGGATGCCTACGCTCTTCAGAAAGTAAAAAAGGTGTTGAAAATTCGCCCATTATACATTGGCCGCGCATGTAGTGCAGAAAAAGAACCATCCGGACTCTGTATGTACAAAACAAATAACACGAAAATAGACACACTCAGGGATCGCCTTTTGTCTGTTCCCAAGGTGTGCCAATGGGTAATTACCATCCACTCCATTGGTACATAAATGGAGACTTTTCAACTTGTTGACAAGGAGGAAGAGGGATCAAGGATAAGAACAAAGTAAAGACGGGGCTATCCAGGATGTCGATCCATCCTGGGAGACATAGCAAGTCATCCTGTCCAATCGAATTGCCACTCCTTTAAGAGGGATGTCCCTTCCGTCGCATGTTAACATGGACGAACTAACAAAACACCAACGACTAAACCTTCTGACAACAACAACAAAGAGAGGATTGTGGCAGCATTGAGCATTGGGGCAGTAAACCGTTTAACGCAGTAATCTGCCTTGTCTTTTCGTCATCTGCTCAAACGGCAAAAGAAGAGAGCTAAGAAGAAGAAGGAGCGCGTTTCTTTCCCCCCACTGTGTGTGCCTTCCTTCTATTTTCCAACTCCTCCCTCTCCTCTCTCCACACAGACAATAAACAGCAGCTTTCGTATTGCATTCCCTTCATCTCTCTTCTCGCTCACACTTTCATTCATCGCTCATTCCCTCCTTTGCTCTCACACTCACACCTTATTCTTCCTTATTTCTTTATTGCCGCTCCTCCCTCCACATCTGATCTCTTTCATTCATCCATCCACTCATCACACATTCACACCTCACACTTCCTTGTCCCCCTCCTTCCTTTCTATCCTTTCCCTCCCTCCTTCCCTCCTACATATCTATCTGCTTTGCCTACCTAACGAATGCTGCATGACTACCCTGCATGGCACAGGCCAGCCCAAAAGGTCTTCTTTATCACAGCCGTCCTCCTCTGCATAGCCCTCCCCGTCGTTTACGGCTCCTCACGTAGACCACGAAAGATCTCTGGCAGAACCTTGGGCGTCGTCCTTGGGACTTACTTTAGCCTCTGGGCTTTGTTCTCTGTAAGGATTATAAGCAATTGGCATTTACAGGACAGCACACAGCCATTGTATTTTCCCAGGGTGTTAATTAGAGCTGTTGTGTGTTTGATTACTTTGTGGACGCGTGCACGCCCCCGTCTTCTGACATAACATTTTCTCCCCCTCCCTTCATCTTGCATCAGCTTATAGTACGTTTCTTAGTGCCTTCTCCAAAGATCGAAACAATTCTCCCAACATACACACCGTCGCCAATTCCAGTCCCCATCGTCCTGCACTCACCAAGCCGACCCAATGCCGTTCCTACTTCCTCAGCCATCCGTCTTCACCCTGCAGGATCTGCAGTCGATCCTACAACTACACAACCGGGATTATCGGGATCTGGATCTGCACCCAGAGTCATTGTCACGGCACCAGGAGAAGCGGGAGGAACAGGGCGGCGGTCGGCTCGTTTTGTGGACGATGGGGATGATACCGACGGCGGTACAGACACCGGCTCCTCTCGCCACAACTCGCCGTCAACACCAACCAGTCGAACGTCGCATCACTCCAATAACGTTACGTTCCAGACGCGACCCAGGGGTTATACCGCCGACTCTGCACACTCTGCAGAGTTCCCAACGTTTGCTGCATACCGCCAATCCCAACGCGGGAACTTTGATGCACTCGCGCAGCGGTTTAAAAGGGCTTTTGCGATCTCGCAGCAGACTACCGAGCAGCAACAGCAGCAACAACAGATGGCTATGATGCAGAGCCCGGCTTCTAAAGAATTGTCGCCAAGCATGATCACGGATCCTCCAAGCTACGATCAGACCACGGGAGAGCCTTCCATATCTTCACCCCCAACCATCCCTCTCACAGCGACTACACTCACCGCAGGAACCACAAGGACAGGAGCAGGAGTACAAACAAGATCCCGCTCAGCATCCACCGCAAGCATGATCAGCGACATTGCAGGAAGACTGCGATCTGGATCTCTATTCAGTCGTTCCAGCCCCACCACCAACACCACCACTAGTAGCAACAAGAACAGTACCACCATTTCCATCCTACCGGCTACCAAAACTGCAACGGATCCGTTACACTACACATACATCTCGAGTGGCGCCAACAGTGAAGTCACTCGACCCAGCTTACTCTCGTCTCCTTCTCATTCTGCAACGTATTCTTCGTCCCCTTCTTCAGCCGCGACTCATGCCACACCGACGATGATGACGTCGGCGTCGACGACCATATCTATGGAGATCATGCCTGTACTAGAACTTTTGGAGTCTCAGTCGCCTTTACCTCAGACAGGGCATGACCGGACACCTTCGTCACCGACAGATGTTCAAACCCTGTCGTCAATACCCCCACCAGATCGAGAGCAACATCCTCTGGTACATGACAGCAATTGTAACGAAGACGGGGATAAGTTCGCGGCGTCTTCACCACAGCCCTTATCTCATTTAGTTTCGGCAGAGAAGCATTCTGAGAAACTGAACGAACCCACTTCGCCCAACCCTCATCATACATAACCCTCAACGTACATAATACCCATCATACCATAGACGTAAATATTAAAATAATCAAAGAGAATTGGTTGATGCGGAGATAGCTGTCTATCATGCGACAGGTAAAATTTGTTGCCTCCGTTCTGATGCAAAATGAACCAATGAGTCCTTGTAGGTGTGTCTATTCATGTTTTTTTATTATTTATTGTTCGTTTTGTGAAGAATAAAAACAATCTTCAATGCTGTGTGTTTGTGTTTTACGCCGAGCTCATCTACTGGTTTTAGTGTTGTGGACCAAGGACAGGGCTCGACAAAGGCGAGATCTCGCCCTCATCCGTGTCAACACTTCCTGCTCTATACGTCAACACTGGCGACATCTCCAGATCAGAAATATTGCCGCTGCCGCTTGACCGAGGCTTAGTAGTAGGTGTAGTTGTTGATGGTCCTGCACCGAATCCAGAGAAGCCTCCAAATCCACCTCCGCCGTTAAACTTAGTCGTCATCGTTGTGTTGCTCGACGACCCAAACGTAAAGTCAAACTCGGGAGACTTGGGTGCCGGCCGGCTAAAGACCGAAGCAGTCGATGACGACGAAACAGCCTGTCCAAAAGGATTGCCACTTGGTGCAAAGTTGAACATTCCGCCGGGCTTTGATGCTGCCTGAACAGCCTTGGCCTTGGCCTCGTCGTCGTCATCCTCCTCCTGATCATCCTCATCGCCGTCTTCATCGCCATAGTCATCCTCCTCTCCACCATAGCTATCCTCTTGAGAATAATCATCTTCCTCACCCTCATAGCTACCAGTGCCCTCGTGCTGATCATCTTCGTCGTCGTCATATTGGTCCTCGTTTCCTGAGTACCCCTCCTCCAGTCCTTCATTGTCACCATCATCGTCCCCATCCCCCTCGCCATCCTCTTCGTCGCTCAACAGAATCACCTCTGGTTCTTCGTCCTTTTTCTTCAATCCCATAGACGTGACGGCTGCAAAGGGGTTGGCCGATGCGAACCCAGTCGAGTTGCCAAACTTGGCAGGGGCAAAAGAAGCAGCAGCAGCAGCAGCAGCAGCAGCTCCACCAAAGGCGCCAGCAGCTGCAAATCCTGGAGTGACGCCAAAGTTGAAGGTTGGAGCAGCAGTAGGTCTTGTGGCTGCGCTGGTGGAGGGGAACGATGAAAAGCCGCTGGATGAGAATGTGGAAGGTTTTTCTGCTGTGGGGCCAAATGGAGAGTCCGAGACCGCACCAAAGGGTGAGGTGGTCGACTTGGAAGCACTGGGCGACTTGGGAACACCGAATGAGAATCCAGAACCAGAGGCAGCGGCAAATGGAGACGTCGTCGACTTTTCTGCGCTGGGTGACTTGGAAGCGCCGAATGAGATGCCAGACGACGCGCCGAATGGTGACGCCGTTGACTTTTCAGCAGTAGGCAGCTTTGGAACGCCGAAGGAAAATCCAGAACCGGCAACAGCAAAGGGCGACGAGGTGGTCTTTTCCGCGGTGGGCGACTTTGGAGCACCAAAACTGAAGCCGGAGGTAGGAGCGGCACCAAATGGCGAAGTTGTTGGCATTTCTGCGCTGGGTGACTTGGCATCGCCGAAAGAGAAGCTGGAGGCAGCACCAAAAGGTGAAGCTGCTGGCTTGGTTGTGGCCGTCGTAGTGGTCTCCTTCGAAGAGCCCGACCCGAGCGCAAAGGGCGATGCCGTTGCCAATACACCCGAGAATGCTGCTGGAGAGGTTTCTGAGACGCCAAAGTTGGATGGTGACTTTGAGACCTCCTTGGAATCAGAGGTTGGGGTCGAAAATGAAAATTCAGGTGCAGACGACTGTGGTGGTGTCGAAGTGGAAGCAGGCACGGGTGTGATCGTTGCAGGCTTGGCGAAGATGCTTCCCGATGATGCTGCTTCCGGGGTTGATCCAGTAGCGGCTGGCGTTCCAAATGAGAAGGTAACAGGCTTTGAAGCCTCCGATGTGCTCTCCTTGGCAACCGAAGGGACACCGAAATTGAAGGGACTGGCAACGGCTAGAGTCGCAGGAGGGGTGGTCTTTTCTGCAGCAGTGGTCTTGGCAACGTTGTCGATAGTCTTCTCGACACTCTTCTTCGTAGCATCCTCGTCCTCGGCCATCGAGTCCTTGCCGACAATATCCAATAGCTTCTGGGCGATCGACGACACCTTGGGTGCATCCGCAGCCTTGGCATCTTTGGTGACTGCATTAGCTGTGACAGCAGCAGCGGCGACTGTAAGAGCTGGTTGTGCGATCAAAGAGGGAGACACAGTGGCGGCTGTGCTGGTGGAAGGCTTCTTGCGCTGTAGGGACTCCTCATCGTCATCAGAAATCATGCCAGACGTGGTGGCGGTACGCTTGAAGGCCGACGCGCCCTTGGTAGCGTGCTCAGAGGCATCGTCCTTCTTGTCACGGCCCCAGACCTCAGCGTTCTTCTCCTTCATCAGCCGCCTCTCTTCGATCTTGCGCTTCTTCAGAACCTCGGGTGCCTCGGTGCCCTTCCATTCCAATAGGCGCTTCACCTTGACCTGGTTGGGCAGATCATCCCAGTCAACGCCTTCGTACTTCTTGATTTCGAGGTACTCATCCAATGGAGGCAATGCTGGACGGTGTGCAGTCTCTGCCTTGCCATCATGATACAGATCGCTGATGGCTTGTCGCTTGACCTCGAACGGCGCTGTCCGTTTTGGAACTCTGTGGGTAGCATTGGCGATAGATGTTGTGGTGGGTTCCATTGGGCTGTTTTGTTCCGGTATCAAGGTGGCGTGTGTCGTGATAGGAGATGCGTGGCCCGGTGCTGATATGAGTGTCTCCATGGATGAAGAAACGCCTTCTATACCTGATCGTTTTGAAGTCGATGTGTATGCTACAAGAATAAGAGCATTATAGAGATGTCAGTATGCAATTTTGTGGCGCGATGCTGTTATAGACCTACGTGATATCCCGAAAAGTTGTACGTACGTCTGACGGCTTCCTCGATCAATCTCTGACAGTGGTTCGCCTGCTCGCGTGTGAGGGCTCGTCCATTCTGCTCCTTGAAAAAGTCTGCCAGGAACTCAACATTGCTCATTGGGAGCGCCTCCTCGATCGCAGACTTGGGCTTCATTCGTTCGGCCTTGGGGGTGACAATGGGCAGGCAGTCTTCAAAGCGTTCGGTGGCTGGTGGGGTTGATGGTACAAAGGTTGGTGTGGGCGAACGGCTCAGTACCATGGGAGAGAAGGCGACTTCCTCCCCATCCATCAAGGGGCTAGCTGAAGAAAGAGTTGCAGCGGGTGGCGAGGGGTTCCGGCTTGGTGGCTCAAGTGCAATAATGGCGTGTTCCTGAAGATCTTTCTCGTGTGCTCTGTTCTGCTCCTGCTCCTGCTCCTGCTCCTGAACGTCCTCTTCGGGTGATGTCTGGGCCTCGTCATCCATCTCGACATCAATAGGTCCTGTGGCAGCTGGTGACTCTGAAGCATAGTACTTGACCGTGTCTGCATTCTCCTGGTCATCTTCTTCGTCGTCAGGGTAGAACTTCACATCCACCTCCTCATCCAGTACGGGGTATAACGGGGACTCTGACTCGTCATTCTCCTCTTCAGCATCATCAGCAGTCTCAAACTGCTTGGTGGAGTGGAATGTCTGATCCTCGTCGTCCTCGCGTTGGGCAAACGCCTCCTCGTCATCATCTGTGCCGGTTGAGAATGGGTTCTCAGAATCTGCCAAGACTCGTTCAGCCCGCTCATCCAGTGATTCTGATTGATGCAAGAGCTCCTCCGACGCATCAATGAGGTCCTGGGACTTTTGGATCTTATCCGCAATCCTTGCATCAGATTGAGTCAACTCCTGGTCTAAGGCATCGACATCGTCGTTGGCCTTCTGCTTGGAGCCCTTCTTGCCTTTCTTCTTCCGCTTGCCGCCCTTGGGTGTTGGCTCTTGGATTTCCTGAATTTCCGGGGTTTCCTGAGTTGGCTCTGCGCTGATCTCGGATGGCTCGGCATGAACTGTGTTTAAGATGACGTTCTCGTGAGATATGGTAGTAGTGGTGGTGGTCTCCTGTGTGATGATGACTTCCTCGTCCAGTCTGGAGGTCTGACTGCGCGTTGATCTTCGTGTTGCCCGGACGGGTGTGGATTGACGAGAATCGCGTTTCCTAGAGCTGCGCTTCAACTCTTTGCGATCGGTTCCTGCATCTGAATCTAGTCCGCTAACAAGGCTCTCCTCTCTCTCCATGCGGCGCGCGGCATCGATCAAATCCTCAGCAGCATCTGTCACGCTTCCTTCTACGAAGCTGCCCTCTGGGGTCAAGTTACTTTCATCCTCCTGCGATGGTGCGATCAATGTCAACTAATTTAATCAATGTTAAGATCAGGTGGTTAATACTCTTGCATATGCCAAGAAGAAATCATAATCCAGTGTTATTCATGCAGTAATATATCATAGAACCAGGATAACTGATGAGTAAGTACCTGAGAGTCTTCAGTACGCATAGTAGCCACTGGATCCGAGTCCTCGATGATCTCTATGCTTTCGTCCTGGTCATTAGAGGTACTCGTTCTGCGGCCTGTGTTATCCTCGTCCTCTGCCTCAGTTGTATGATGGTCTCCTGCTGAAGTATCCTCGGCAGTCTTGTCGTCATCGATCTGTTCTGTCTCCTTGCTCTGTTCTTGAGAAGAACTCTCGGATATCCAAGGCATCAAGAACCGTGCGATCCGTGTCTGCAACGAAGGCTCTTCTTCCTTTAGGGAAAAAAAGAAAAAAAAACACAAGTTAGTGAATGGCATTGCAAATCGCGAGAGAGATTAGGGTTGGAGTAAAACATGCTTGTGTGATGTGTGTGAAGGTAGGGCGTGAAGGGGTACCTTCTTTATGTGCGGATGTGACTCTCCCTCTGGGCGTGCATAGGGCGTCTTTCTTGGAGAGGAGCGCCGTTTGCTCCGTGTTTTAAGCGTGTCCATGGCGTGAACAGTGTGCGCGTGTGGGAGTGTTGCTGGTTGGTGCGAGTTTCGTGAGTGCTAGGGGTGAATGCGTGTGTTTTGGTGGGGAAGTATGAAACGGTGAAGAGGGAAGGCGGCACAAGACGAGGCCTGCAAAAGTATGTGTGTAAGAGAGGAAGAGTGAGAAAGAAAGAAAGTGAGGATGGACAAAAAAAAGGCTAGAGAGTCGGCATGGCCAAAAGCGTGTTTTTCTTTGGCTGATCGTGTTGAGAAAGACCCTCTGGACGAAATATGAAACGTCAAAGTAGAAATGGGGATCGCACATGCTGTCTAAAATTATATTTATTTCGGTCTTGCTCCACTGTCTTTGGGTATCCGATAGCCCTTACCATGGCCCCCAAAGTACGACCAGAACATGAACTTGACCTTCATCCCATCCATACACGAGTCACCCTCTGATCGACGCTGGAGACCACTGGAACTGCTCAAGGAGGAAGAAGACAAGGCCTCCTTGTCCTCTGGGATCCTGACGGCATAAATACGCTTCTGTTCCAGCTTGAAATGCTTGTCCAAACTCCGATCGCACGAGCCTGGTGCCTCGTCGGGGAATATACAGACATGGCCGCATACAGGTACAGCCCGCCCTCTCCACCACTCCTCCACATCAGACGGGTCGAGAAATAGTTCTCAGCGGTTCCGCTTCCTGAACACTCGGCAATCTTGCTTAGTCCTAACAAGGATACCGGGAAAGCTTGCCTCCACGAACCCGGTGAAAGCTAGGTTCAAAGAGCATCTGGAATTCGAGACGGGTGCAGCGGCTTTCAGGACCAGAGATGGCTTACCTAGGCAGAGGCATCAGCATAAAAGAGCTGTGCTTGTTGCCAGAACGGGCATAGGAATTGGCATGGTACAAGGATCGCAGAATGTGAGAGTCGGGTCACGGATAATGTCGAACTGTTCATCACTACCTCCCAGACCTTGGGCGACATGAGGTGGGCCTTGGGGCTGGGAGAGGGACGAAGAAAGGTTGGCGACCTCCATGGTAAATAGCTCTTGCCGTTGAAGCGTTGATGGCGTATGTGTCGACGGAAGATGGAGAAAAGGCAAAGGTTTGTGAATGAGCTGGCAATGACAGCCAAGGCGAGAGTGAAGAGTCGCATGGTATGTACTATGTATTGAAGGGTGCGAAATAAAGACGCGCATGATGGATGATGGTCTCTAGGGTTTGATTACCGGACCGACGGTGCTTCTTTTATAATGACCATGAGGCAAATGCTTTGAGAGGACCCGGTGCTACCATTTTTGACACAGGTCCCATCCCAACTCCCAAGTCGGCGTTGGTATTGTATTGCAAGGTCTGCATCCTATACATGTATGAGTCAACTCATCTCCGCCTGTTGGGTTAGGATTGGCCCTAGAAAGGCAGAAAAGACAAGTGAACGCGTTCTAAGTGGGTTCAATATCAACACTGCTCTTGGTTTTGTCACAGATAAAAACAAAGGACAAGAAGAGCAAGAGGACGACGAAAAGACGAAAGAGGGCTATTAGCAGCTGTACCTTAGATGCCAGCCCGAGACCATTGTCGGGGTCGCCGGCAGGCTATGTTTCTGTGGGTGACTTGTTCCTGAATCAGGGCGGTGTTCTTACAGGCCAGGGGGTGGAAAAATGAGTCGTTTATCTGGCATGGAACAAAAAGAACCTTAACAACTCTCACGCTCTAGCTGCCGCGACGCGAGAGGCAATCAGTACTTTAACGAGACTCGTGTTCTTCTTTGGGGCCCTCTTCTGTGGAATCGGTCTAGGGCTGTTTCTCGCTCCCTACTTCCCTCCTTCCTTTTCTCCCTCCCTCCAATTCACTCCATTGAAATGCGAGTACAAAACAACTCCGATGCCAATGCAGAAGTGTCCTCGATTCTCAATCAACAAAAGGCAGTTGGGGAAGACTCCGAGAAACGAAAAAATAAAAAGGGAGCAAAAAGAAAAAAGGGCGTCCAGGAGCCAAGTTGCGCACCCTCGTACAATTGTACGCTGCCAACATTCCAGACGCCCTCGCTGCTATAAACAACAATACCCTCAGGCCTATACCCTTTGTCAACAGCACCTTCAGCAAGACCCTTGCATTCTACGATGTCATCGAAATGCAGGCTCCTTGTCTCTCGCCTGCCTATGCTGACATCGCAGCCGCCCTCAAGCAGTTGGCTTGCAGCGACCGCAAGCTGATGTCGGCCAAGTTCAATATGCACCACTACGGCACCGAGAAGACGATGAATCTTGAGCTCCGAAACACTGGTGGTGGTGGCGGGAACCATAACAACTGTTTCCACAATCGTTGGGCGGACAGGTGCACGTCTACTGGCATATTCTGCGGTATCGATCTGTTTGGCTGCAACACGATTGACGATGGCCTGTACAGTTGTGCGACGATTGGTCAGAAGCCAAGTTTGCTCGAGATCTGCCCTCTTGGCGGCTGTGTCCTGTTCCTTCATCGAATGGTCCCTCCCACTGCCGCCGCGGCGAATGCGAGTGTGCTGGCACAGGCCAGGTATGTTCTAATTGTTTAAGTTCATTTTTGATTGATAGATGGCTTTAATTCGATTAAGGCCCAGCAAATTTCAGCTCGTCAACTGATCAGTCACCAATCAATTTATTATCCACCCCAGGTCTGCGGGTCAGAGTTCCATCCCTCCTGCAGGTTCGACGACAGTACGCTGTATTTTTGCAAGGGATCCAACAGCACCCCCGTTGCTTTGCACAAGTGCCCCATTGGCGAATGCCCCAAGGGCGCAACCGATTGTCCCATCCGTCCCATTGACGATACCTCTCTTTGCAAGGGCGCTGGATCGGTATGTTACCTCTCTCTTTTTTCTTCCCACGCACTTGATTAAACGTTGTCCCTCCTGCAGCCACCTCTTTTTTTAACACGATCGCAAGCGCACACAAAAATTTATTTTGATGTGGGAGTAGATCTGTGGTGCGACTTTTGATTCATTGTACAAGTACGAAATGGGTTCGTTATACACTTGTACAGGCAAGGGCGAGAAGCCTACGGTCCAGACAAGGTGTGAGTCCCTGTCTTGCCCAAGCGGACAGAGCGCCTGTGAGCCTCCTCCACACACCGATTGCAAGTGTCAAAATCCTGGCCCGGTACGTTCTTCTATTTACTTTTTCCTTGCCTTATTGTAACATCAACAACAACGTACTCACGCCCTTTCACTTATTTTACTTTTCTTCTATATATTTGCGGCGCGTCTTTCCTTGCAAAGTGCGAGGCAGATGCTGGTTCGCTCTACACATGTACCAACAAGAGTGGCAAGCCCAAGGGTGGAGAGAGGTGTAAGTCCAACAGCTGCCCTGCCGGAAACACAAAGTGTGATCCTCTGCCATTCATCAAGGATTGCTACTGTAAAACCGTCGGAAAGGTAACAAAAACATAAATTCTAATGAACAATATAGTAACCCTGGGTCATAGATACGGTACACCAACAAATGCTAACGAGCGAAGAAACATCGACTCGTGGAGGTGACTTTGATGCTTCTTGCAAGTTCGACAAGGATACGGTCTACGAGTGTTCAGCCGAAGGAGCAACACCCAAACCCGGCAAGAAGTGCGGTGCTGGTTTATGCAGCTCTTCTGATAAGATGTCTACAACTTCCGTCGCAACGTGCAAGCCAGATTGTACCTGCAAGGCCAACAAGGACACTGTACGTATTGACGGCGATTGGCTCAAGTGAAAAAAAAACATTCCTCTTGAGCTTGAAGATGCTATGGCAGTTCTAACTTTTTCCATAACATCTAAACTACTTTCTAGTGCGGAATCGACTTCCAAGCACACTGCAAGTTCCCCAAGGATACCCTGTACACATGCGTCAACATCGGCGATACTCCCAAGCAAAAGTAAGTCTGCGCTCTTGACGGCTGCAAGACAGGCACCAATAAGTGCTATGTCGACCCATGCGCCTGCAAGGTGGTTGGAGAAATCTGCGGTAAATTTTTTTGCGCGACCCAGAAGCCGGACACCATCTACATTTGCAATGTAGTTAACGGACCCGCTATCCCGAAGCCCAATACGGCCGATTGCGGTGACGGAAAGTGCAACGGCAGCCGATGTGGCGAGAACACTTGTATTTGCACGGAAGATGGACTCTTCTGTGGCGTGGATTGAACCCTGACCTGTACTACAACTGCGGTAAGGGCATGAAACCCTTCCCTTTCGACCGCTGCAAGAACGGCAAGCCTACCACCGGAAAGTGTCTCTGCAACGATGGAAACTCTGTGAGTGGCAGCGAGCAACACCCTCATACCCGCTTTGCGAGAAATCATTACTGTTTTAAGCTTGACTGACCTTTTCGTGTCTGCTCCTTTTTTGGCCTATGCGTAATCTGTAGATGTGCTCGACATACTTCCCATTTGAATGCGGCTACTAACAAAGTCAGATTTTCGCTTGCCCAACAGGCGCAGGTGGCAAACTAGTCACTAAGGAGCAATGTGGTGAAGGCAGATATACCCTTGCCATCAAGTGAGATGAAGACTGCAAGTGTCAAGACGCTTCTTCTGTAAGTTCTCTTGCCCTTCTTTTCGTTTTGTTCACGGTACTTCGCGCCTTTTCATTTAGAGTGTGCCCTCTAACTTTATTTTTCTTATTGCAACTGTAGAAATGTGGAAAGAACTTTGAACCCAAGTGCAAGTATGTTCCAGGCTCGATCTACACTTGTTCAGGCCAGGGAGCGACACCAGTGGAGGGCAAGCCTTGCGAATCTGCCGAGCTGTGCGATTCCGTTTCGGGTGCTGGCAGGTGTCTCGGCGAATGTAAGTGCAAGGCTTATGAACCAGTACGTTTCTCCTCAACCTAATTTTCCTTTGTCCGTTGAATCATGCGCGCCATTACTCTTTGATTTGATACTCGGTCACTCATCTCTTAACTCTTCTTTTTTTTGAATCCTATAGGTTTGTGGTGCGGCATTCCCAGAGAGCTGCAAGTTCAAGCCAGGATTACTCTACCAGTGCGATTTCGGAGGAGCGGATTCAGCCAGACCTACGACATGCCAGATCCCCTGCAACCCCTAGCATGGACCCGACAAGTGAGGTCCAATCTCTTTAAAGCCTAAGAGATGCCTTTTTCAATTTTTGTTTATATTTTTGTTTATATATTTTTGATCATTGCAGGATATTTGTTATTTGGAAAGAAGCGGGGATGGAGATGCTCAACACCACATGTCATCCCCGCCCACTTCTTTTCGCCCACCACCATGCAGTGGATACCCTATCCCCATGGCCCATTTTATTGTAGTTAATTTCTTATACAGAGGAGGGCATTATGTTTTCACGTAGCAGAGAGAGTAGCTGTTTGTATTTATGTCCAACAATAAACATGTCAGTCTTCAATAATATCCTTGATTCCACTCTTGTGGATAAGAGATACTTAAGAAGATGTTGCCAAGCTACTTGGATGGTAGATAGGATGAACATGGGAGAGGGTGACGGGAATATCGGCTTCCTTCCAATGCTCGTTTGAAAGGACACCAATATGAAAAATGGCCACATTCTGCAGATCAACAGGATGAAATAGCATTCTCGGACAAAGGAATGAAAAAGGGGATGACAACAATTGCAACGATCGAGCGTTTATATAAAGTGGCCCTCTACTTTCATTCAAACACATCTCGCAACCCCCCTTTCTTTTCGTTCTTTCTTTCGCAACCTCGCACATTCACCTCCTGCTAATACAACCTCCTTACAACCACCAACACGTTCGTATCTCACGATCATCTAACGCCATGATCTCCACACGCGCTTTCACCGCCCTTTTCTTCATTTTCGGCGTCGCCCTCACTGTCCAAGCCTTTCCAAGTGGGTTCGAGACAGAACGGAGGAATGTGATTCGTTCACAATCGTAGGTGGGGGAAAGGGTGATTGGTGTAGGTTACGATGTATAGAAGTCCTAATAAACACTTTTAAGCAAAGGGAACTCGCGCTGCATTATTAAACTACCCTCGGGCAGTGGTCTGTCTATGGTGTTATATTACTATCCCGCATTTTCTGTTTGTCATAAAGTTACAGGAAGGAGATGAGTTAGAAACACTAAATAAATATCTGATAGACCTATCGCAGCAGGGCCGAGACTTCTTTCCACCATTGCCAACTGTCCTAAAGAGACCCTAGAACTTTTTTTTAGTATTATTCCTTGCCAGGCAAAAGAAAATCAAAGAGCCGTTCGATCAAATTTGCCATCCTCAGAATACCTTATTTCTATATTTAATTTTCCCGGCCCATGATTCACATTTCCCCGATTCTCCACATAAACCTAATCTTGTTATTCCTTGAATGGTGTTACATGGCGTTACTCTCTTGATGTTTTATCTCGATGCTCTCCTTCTAGGCCCAACTGGTAACGGTCTATCCCCAACATTATATATTCATTCCCGAACAACAACTTGATCTGTCTCATTTCTTTTATAACCTTGTTCGGGTATATAAAGGAAGTGCACCAACCCAACGTCCCACACCAACACACGTCTACCCCAATTTACATTCAATCCAGCTTCAAGAACCATCCATCCGTACGATTTCCTCCACGAAAATCATTACCACAAGTGCCATTAACCCCATTTCAAAACACTTACGGTAACACTCACAAGAGACCTGTACAGTCCATGCACACACCCCGGTCCTTTAACTTGAACCCTGTGGAGTCTTTTGACAGCATTTATATATATATATATAACTGACATTCTGCTGTCTTTCATCCTCTTTTACATCTGTTATTGTTTACGCATAGCCGTTACTCCAACACTATGCTACTGAATAAGATTGCTCTTGCACTCGCCGTTGCCTCTCTGGTTGCCGCAGGTTCTAACTCCCGGATTCCAACAACATCTGTTGGATGTCCCGATAGGTATCTTCAAACCAAAAAAATTTGCAAAATTGCAAACAAGCCTGACGTCTGTTGCCCAGCCAATGGAGAGGACCACTACCTAAACGACTATAGAGGGTGTCTTCCTCAGCGGATAGGATGTCCCAAAGACACATTCGCTTGTCCTGAAGACTTTGGTGGCAACTGTTGTTCTATTGACAGCTTCTGTGGCGCTATGACTGTTGACCAAAGTTATGTCTGCCTCTCCTAATAGCGACCTGTACTCCCCCTTTCTACGCACAGTTAGAATACGCTTTCTATAATTGAGGAGTTTCAAACTTTGACAATTTCGAGGCATGAATAAACGCTTTCTCAAAACACATCATCTCAAGGGCTGATAAGTTTTTAAACACGCCAAAACAACACGCCCCTCTTTTTGTTGGAAAAAATGGTTAACAACTGCGAGGACACTATATTTAACTTACAAGCATTCAGTCTTTCTCTCTCAAATGCCAGCGTTTGCTATGACCATCAATAAACCTGAGAAGCTGTCCAGTCAGTCGGTGTTTAACTTCCGCAGTCAATCTTTACACACAGCCAGTTGTGTGTGGCCCTATCTCGCTGCTCTAGTCGAAGCAATATATGACAGGGAAATAATCTTATAGTACGTGATCGAAGCCACAACTACCAGCCCTGCCAATCCTACCAGCCCTGTCAACCCTATCAGCCCTGCCAATCCTACTAGCTCTGCCAGTCCTACTAACTCTATCAGCCCCTCCGACTCTTGCAGTCTTAGTCTGAGGAGCTGTCTAAGCTTTACTGATGTTCCGACTAGCACGCCAAGAGAATATCGTGCAGAGCTATCATCAGAATTAGAAGAAACGGATCAAATAGAAGAATAATACAGATATTTGAATAATGCTGATGGATGTGACAGACGCGTTAAACACGTCAATCGGCTAAGGAGAATAAATACATGAACTGTGAAAGCAGTAACCCACCATATACTGCTAATTTTTTTTTTGTGATTTCACTTCTGTTTAAAGGAACTCTTTGGCAGAAGAAGACAATACTGACAGATTAGTGGGACATCTCCTCAGGAACAGGTCTTCCTCCGTTCTCACCCTACTCATACCAACATAGGCCTGGACAGAACAGAAAAGACCCTCCAGATCCACCAGGGTTTTATCGAGAGTGAATCCTGGAGCCCGATGGATCGTCAGTGCGTAAGCAAGGAGAAAGGGAAATTGCCTGCGACAATGGCTTCCGCTCGATATAGTTCTCGTCTCTCTCCCAATCCACAAGCTGAAGCCACCTCGACACTCAAAGTGCACCTGCACATGACTTGATTCTATCTCCATGACCACTTCGATTGATCCATTCATAACGCCGGCATTAGGAGCAAGATTCGATGTGACGATAACAAGCGCCCCAATCCATAGTGTCAGCTCCGTCTGCAGACCTGTATCTCCCTCGATAGCCAATATCCAACTCGCTGCATCAGAGGTATTCCCACGCGAATCCTCAGCAATAAACACCACCCTGGTGTTAGCGTCCAAGGGGTTGTCCATTGCCTCGTCATTGTGATCATTGGCTGTCTTGGTGCGTGCTGTGAGTATCGTCAAGGAGCGCATATGCACTTCAAGGAACTTGTGTAAGTCTCGGCGCGAAAAGCTTGACCGTACGAGATCAATGTCCTGTCTTGAGGTTGGACCAGATCGGATAATGTCCAAAAACTTGTAGAACTCGGGGTCCCCTCTCTGGCGACAGTTCTGGTCCAGAATCAGTTCCACAAACAACGAGTACTCACAGGCAAAAGTGATCCACTGACGAGGGTCGTTGGAGAGCCCTTTTACAACCGGTCTCAATTGCTTCAAATCGCCAAGCAACACTATAGGCAATCCTCCAAAAGGCTTATGTCTATCTGTCGAGTAGGCGAGATCCTTGAGCGTGTTGGAGATTATAGATAACATTGACGCCGTTATCATTGACAATTCGTCAATAATAGAGAAAGGGGCATCCCCATCTCGAACTCGCGTGCCATGGGTCCCAGCGCTGCCTGACACAACATACAGACCCGGGTCGTCCACCAGTTTTCGCAGCACATTGTGTTATGCATCTGTCAGATGATAGTAACAGCGTTCATCAAACGTTTCCTGTTGATTCTGACCTATTGGGCAATCAACTAGCAAAGGCTCCACTTCTCTCAATACACTGGGGTCCAACTTGTTCCAAGCCATATCTACCAGACTCTTGAATTGATACTCCTGTGCGACAGTATCATAGTAGAGCCATCTGCACCACACTCCATCTATTAACCTGGTCCCCCAACCACATCCCCATCTAACCACCTGGCCCCCAACCACAACCTCATCTAACCACCTGGCCCCTCAACCACACCACACCTCACATATAAATACCCTGATCCTCCTGTACAATAAACATCATCTTTTCCAGCCTCTTCCTCTTGACCCCTAGCACCTTTGTCTCTCTTCCTTGTCTTTCCCTTGTCTCTCTTCCTTGTCGTTCTCTTGTCTATTCACACACTCACACCCTCTTGCTCTGTTGCTATTACATCCTGCAACCGCCGAGGACTGTCGAGCCGAATCGGGAAGTGTAGTTTGAGGAGGTATAAACAAGTATTCTATTCTCAATGTCGAACAAGGGAGTGGACCTGTACCGAACCAGGCCTTTCTTATTGCTTCTGTACACCCACCTGCGAGGCGGATCGCTGCAATCGAGATAGAGCGGTGCCCCCTCTTTCTTTCTCTTGGTTCCAGTATGTGCAGCCCTTGGCTGATGTCCATCGTTATCTGTATCGCACTCTCCTACTTGGTCATTAACGCCCTCGGCTTCTTGGTTCTGATCTATATCGAGGTCATCCTCCTGTGCATCATCATCGTCCTGACCATCATCCTGATCAGAATCGTTAATGTTGTAGGGAGGGGGTCTTGCTGAGCGGTTGGTGTATTCTTGACGGTAGTTGACAATGAATCGAACCTTGTCCCAAGCGGACTTTTGATCTACCTGATCCACACTGGTCATGAAGGTAGAGGTCAGTTGAATTAGGATCACGGGATCGAAGCTGTCTGGCTGGACGAAGCCGTTGAGAATCCTCTGGAGCATGGGTTGGCAAGAACAGCACAGAGGAACTCTTCCCGGACATGTGCATACTGCAGACATCTATCACCACCTATGACATCGACATCTTGTGGTAGGAGAAGGCTAACGCGACAAGGTCAAATAAAAGAAAATCTCGATACACTTAGGATGATGAGTACATGCATAATAGCGCCACACGAACCCTCCCCCCCCCCCCCCCTAGTCTCATCCCGGGGGGGTTTTTGACGTGAGAAAGGCAATACAACGTCCCTGTGACGTTGAGCGACCCCTCAGACTTGTCGTCAACCTTGGAGATATATTTTGATATGTAGAGATGGGCCCTTGGACCGATGTTCAGACGCAGACGCATATCAGTATTGCTCCTGCAGTAGCGTGATAGATCCAGGTTGTACGGATTAATCATCACATCGCCAGGCCCACGCCTGTAAAGAATCTCGCACTCCTTGATGCATGTTGAGTCGCAGATGGGCTTAGGAAAATTAAAGCGACAAAACTTGTCGTCATTCTGCCGGTAGCGGACGCAATATTTCTCGGTGTGGCGGTGAACCTGAACTCGTTGAACAATCTCACGCAGCTCGAGATCCTCCGGCTCGGCGTCGCATGAAATAATGGTGTGTCGTCCACCTCGATTGTTCTGCTCGATAAGCTCCGCCAGCGACCGTACCGTCCACAGCACAAAATGAAACATGGGGCGCTCCACGATTCTGATACTCGACCACAAACGCTCAGCCTCTCAGACCTCCAAACAGAACATCCGACAGCCTTCCGCGAAGAAATGACCAGATCCGCCTCCACTCCTGCTGACAAACAATACAAAACAGCGTCACGTATTGAATGGCGTCTCTTTGGCGATCAAACACACCAGCAAACGCGGGTCCCGACAAATCGACAGACCAGGTTCCGAACATCTCTGGTGTACCCAAGGTGTCGAATTGAGCTTGAACATCGCTCCTGAAGCGTTGCTTGTGGGCGATGCTTGTGTGTACAGTCTCAGGTATTACAACCGAGCCTTCTCTGGGGAAATGGCCCCCTAAGTCATAAAGACATACGGCAATTATAGCAGAGACGAATCTCACTCCCGACGTTACAAAAAATTGATAAATCCCGCCACCTCCCCTTTTTTTTCCCGTCGCTTTTGAATCCTGCATCTTCATTTGGTTACCTTGCAACACATGCGCAGCGGTTGTAGCGATGCCTTGTCGCGTACTTGTTGTTGACCTCACCCTGTATCCGCGAACGACGGCCTTCCTGAACCAATTATGCATATACACAACAAAGCGGGTGTGTGTTTGTCGCAAAGGTGTGGTCGAAATACAAGAGCCGATACTTGGCATACATCTTGATCGATAACGACGCGTCGCCCTTGTCTGGTCCATCCATAGGCTTGTCAGAGTCTTGACCGCGAAGATTAATGCTGGAGTGCCTCACTCCAAAACCGTAAGGGAAAAGGTCTGGAAAAGATCTTGACCAGTATAATGGGATCCGTGTGCTTGACCTCCTCTCAAGATGAGCTGTCGAACTGCCAATAAAACCAACGTTTTGTTGTAACGACATATTCTTTTTGGCCATTTCTTCTCATGGTTTTCCTTTGGCTGTACTGTTGGTTCAATTCTTTCTTCAGCTAAGCATCCTTTTTTCAGAGAATGGCCTGCCCATGCCTATTGAAAGGAATGGGATGGGGAGTAGTAAGCAGAGAATGCGCATTTCTCTTCGATGCTCGTTCGAAAGAACAAAAAGGAGTGACATTCTACCATGGATGAGGGGGGGACAGATGGAACACATTTCAGAGTTCAAAAAAAAGGGGGGAGAGCATACCTTTTCTTTTTTCCTTTTTGCCTCGTTTTCTCTCACATTTTCGTCTCTGCCGCTGCCACTGACAACCATATTGATACCCTCATCTGACAACTGGAAACCCACCGCATTATACCTACCATATAATACCATCATGATCTCCACATACGTCTTCATCGCCCTGGTCGCCGCCATGGCAGTCCTCACCATCACCATCCAATCCGCCCCAGTTAAGAAGACGGAATCCTGCTTCCTTCACGCATTGACCACACGTCTGACCTTCCCCATCGATTACTTGAGCCTCTCACTTTTCTCTCCCCAATCTATAATAGTCAAGCACAACATCTCATTGCTCATGCAATGCAACAATATCTGCGGCGAACAGGACTACTGATGTAGACACGCAAGAAACCAACTGGGATCTATCCATCTCGATTGTCCTGACTTGCTCGCTGTCGCGCCACCTGTCTGGACCAATTCCAGTAGGTCCCGCATTCACACAACTCAAAGCATTGCGTTGGGAGAGGTCGAAAAAAAAAACAATCAGAAACGAATAAACATAAACCAGTAAAGCAATGTATGTATGTTATCCCTGAGATATATGCATGCTTTTACTATTATTTACAAAAAAAACATTTATCCTACGAGATGAAAAGAAGCGCGCCAAAAGCCAGAAGTACAAAATGCAACGCGCTCCCCACCTCAAGCTACTCTGCCTAAATAAAAAAAATAAAGGGGAACACGAAAATTTACAACTTGCTGTCAGCAGAGGCAGGAGCAGCAGCAGCAGCAGCAGCCTGCGAAGTCTCTGGCCAAGAATAAGCCTGCAAATGCCTCTCGAACCCAAACCGGCCCACAAACTCGGGCAGATGCTTAGGGCCTCTCGAGCCATAGGGGTACACCTCGACAGGGACCAGTCCACGATCGATCTTGTGCAACACGGGTGTGAAGATCCTCCAGGCCTCGTCCAACTCATCCGATCGCACAAAGTTGGATTGCTCGCCCATAATCGCATCCAGGATCAGGTTCTCGTATGCGTCGGGGACAGACAAGTTCGTGAACCGCGAAGCGTACGAGAGATCCAACTCCGACATCACCGTCTCCATACCCAAACCAGGCAACTTCTGGGTCATCTTCAAGTAGACAGCCTCCTCGGGCTGGACACGGATGACGAGCTCGTTGCGGGCAGCAACGTCCTTCTGGAAGAGGTTCGAGCCCATGTCCTTGAACTGGATCCGAATCTCGACCTTTTGTTGGTCAAGGGCTTTACCACACTTGAGCACAAAGGGGACGCCCTCCCAGCGAGGGTTGTTGATATGGAAAGCCGCGGCGGCAAAGGTTGCGGTCTTGCTGCCCTTGGGGACGGTCTCGTCGTCGAGGTATGAGGGCAGGGAGCCGTCCTCGGACTTGCCGTATTGACCTAAGAGAACCTCTGATTCGACCACTGGGGGGATCTGACGCAACACATCGACCTATTTTGTTGTCATTGAAATTGAGTAGAGACGCGTTAGTTTAGAGTGCTTGGATTGTGACAATGGCCTCAGTAGTTAAAGACGATAGCGGCAGAAGTGGCTATGTACCTTGGCGTTGCGGATGTCCTCGGCGTTCAATGAGGTAGGCGACTCCATGGCAATCAATGACAAGATCTGGAACAAATCTATTCTCATTTCAATTTGAGCGAGAAAATAAAAAGAAGCAATAGTATTAGCACTCACTTCAATGTCGGTCTCCACAGCACATAACACCAAGTCAACAACAACAACATGACAAAGGGGAGACGTACGGTTTTGCATGACGTCGCGCATGATGCCAAACTCGTCAAAGTAGCCGCCACGACCCTCGGTGCCGATCTTTTCCTTGAAGGTGATCTGGACGTTGGAGATGTGGTCGCGGTCCCAGCAGGAGCCAAAGATTTGGTTGGTGAAGCGCAGGATCATGATGTTCTTGACCATCTCCTTGCCCAAGTAGTGATCGATTCTGTAGATCTAATTCGTTTGTCATAGGAAAGAGAGTGGTATGTATGTTAGTTTGGATGTAAGGATGTATGTGAGTATGGGTGAGTGTATGTGTAGTGTGTATTGTGTATGGTGTATGAAAAAGTAAAACAGTCAAGTTCAGATCCGACGCGTGTTGTGCACCCCTTGCGTGCATCTGTTATCTTGTGTCTCTCCCTCTTTTCACGAGTGCTTAATCATGGCACAAAAGGGTCCTTGACAATCGCGCCAATCAGATTCGTCCCCCTAATCAGTCGCCATCCTTACTCCCCTCTCTATTGCTCTATTGCTCCACCCCTCCTCGCCCCACAGAAAATAATAAATAAAAAGATGAAGCGATCGCCGTCCTGTTCTTGTTGAGCCATGCTAAAAGGTAATGTTGTCCTGTCCTCTCGTTATCCCTTTTATGGTGCTTATCTCACCACCACCAGTGTTTGTCAACATGTACTATCCTCCCCGCTCTATCACCAATTGGGCTTATCACCCTCCCTCCCTCCTCGATATGTGCTCGCATATCATCACAGTGTCGAGGTTGAACTTTACACCGTTCCATCTGCCCTCTCATTCTCTTATTTCCAACCCAACGAAGCGACAGAAAAAGATGAGAGAGAATGCTCATTTTGCACAATCAGATCAAGATCACAACTGCAACAACAGTCGGCTCCACTTTTCTTGCCCTGTCCTTGACCGTCAGATCTGGATTAACAACTAGAAAGAGAGAGAGAGAGGTCTCTCATCCATGAACCATCCCATCCCATATCTTCCATCCTTCAAAGGAGATTAATAACCCAGACAAAAAACAAAACAAAGAAATTAAAGCCCAGAAGTGCACTCCTGTTGTTCCTGGAGTACGTGGCCTGCAAGGCAATCTTGTAAGTCACGTCAAGTGAAGCCAGCCAGATCACGACCGATCACGTCAGTTCAAAATAATCACATTGCGATTTCCCATTATCTCTTCTTTGAATGCTGCCCCAATGAATGGACAGACACGCAACTCTGACAAATGGCGATTGAACAATGATGATGATCTTAGTACAAGTGGGTAATGAGCCCTTTGCTCCCCCCTTCCTCTCATCGTCACTCTGCGCAGACATGGTCTTCTCCCTCCCTCTATCCCTCGCTTCACCGGCAACGATCGAGTGTTGATGGCATGTGCTGCGCACAGAAAAGTGAACGTTTATCCAGGTCTGGTCTGGGATTTATCAGCACACACCATCATCACCACGCCTCTCTTGTATGTGTGCTGTGTGTGTATGAATAATGATGCGTGTTCATCCAATGGGTCATACGATTCGCCCAATAGGCGCATGTTCGTGTCCCCTCTTCCCCCTCTTCCCCTCTCCCTCCTTCTTGTGTTGCCTATTTACTGATCGACCACAACAAAACTAACTCTCAACCGACCCCGCATTGGTATGACCAATGAAATCCAAAAAGTCTGTTTATGTGTTGTATGCATGTCAAAAAGCAAAAGGAGGGAAGGGGAACCAGAAGAACGTGTGATTGCAGTGTATATCTGTTTGTTGATGCATTCCCAACAAAAAATGTCCTGTGTGGCACAGGGCAAAGCAACATGGAAAGCAACAGCGAAAAATTGTCCCACAGTCCCCTTCACGGCTGATTCTCAACCATTGAACGATCGAACCGATCGCTTCACTCGGGCAACACCTCTTCCTTCTTCCTTGTCTCTACTGTTAACACGCCCCTCGCCCTTGTCGTTTTATATCGCCTTTCTATCTCCCACATTCTCACCCCACTCTTTTTTTCTTTCTCTCGTTATCCCTGAAAAATAAAACAGAAATGCAATTGGAAGGAACCAAGGGGAAAGAGAGAGATAACTAAAAGGGGGAGGGGAACCAACATAGTAAGGGCAAAGATGAAGAAAGAAATTCCTTACCTCGTCTTCTCGGTAAAGGGCACCCAAGGCCTTGGACAGAGTACGGGAGCTCTCGAGGTCCATTCCAAAGGGCTTCTCGACAATCAGGCGATTGATTCCCTTGAGCGTATAACAGTTCTTCTTCAATCCATTGGCGACAGGAATGAAGACCGAGGGAGGCAAGGCCATATAGAAAAGTCTGTCATGTGTCTTTGTCTCCTTCTCGACCCGCTGCAACTCCTGCTCGAGGGCCTGGAAGCCTGAGTCCTGATCGTAGACGCCCGAGACATAGGTGCTCTGGTCCAGGAACTGATCCAGCATGGTTTTGACCTTGGGCGTGGTCGTGTTCTTGATGTGTTGCGAGATGCGTTTGAGAAAGTCGGGGCGGTCCATCTTGGTACGCGCATACCCGATGATCCTGGTGGTAGGTGCAATGTGTCCGTGGAGGAAGAGGCCAAACAGGGCTGGGAAAGTCTTTTTCTTGGCCAAGTCGCCCGAAGCACCAAGGACTATATTTTGGGCAGCCATGTTTGGTTTGCATGGTGGTTGTGGTAGGTTGGTGAGAGAATGGAAGAAAAAAAAAAAGGGGGGGGGGGGGGGGGATACAGGTTAGCGAGACATTGCATTAACGCAGGAGTTGCATTTGTTTGCTTCTTTGGCCTTTGTTGCTCAGGGTGTCTTGTACTCGAGTTCGCGCAGCTATGCTCAAGACAATATGCATGGCGAGGGTCGATGTGAAGGATAGTGTAGGGAAAAGGAGGGGTGGGGAGGTTCACTTGCCAATGATTGTAAATACGGGTCTTTCAGAGGTCATGTCGGCTGTGTGTATATGTATATGTGTAAGTGTTGGGTGACTGAGTGTTTGAGTGTGAGTGGGTGAATGTGAGGTGTGAAGAAGAAGAAGAAGAGAAGATGAAAAAAGTAGATACGAGATGAGAAAAAGAAGAGAAAAGGACAGAGCGTGGAAAAGCGAATTGAAGGGAGAAAATTGCGGGGTAGCGAGTATGTGTCTTGACTCTTGCGTGCTTGTGTGCTTTTAAAGAGAGATAGATGGATGACCAATGAAGACGTGTTCGCGTGGAAGCAAAGAGAGTGATATGTAGCTAGCTGTGTGTGTGAGAGAGTGGGTGAAAGGGTGATGAACAAAAAGAAGAAGAGAAAGGAAGAAAAAGAACAGAAAAAAAGTAAGAGAAGGAAATAAACAACCAACCGTCGACTCACAGGGTAAACATTGACTTTTTTTCCCTGTTAATAAAAACAATGAGCCAGCCCAGCCAAAGGCAAACGAACCATGAATGGTCCTGAGGCTCTCTTCTTTCAAACGCCATTTGCCAGTCGTGAATCAGAGGCTGAAAGAGAGGTTGAAAGAGAGCGACGTGATGTATCAACAAACAGTCACCATTGTTTTTTTTGTTTTTTTTTCTCATCATCCGCTCACTGACACTTCTTCGCGTTGCCCTTTTTGGGATTCATAACTGATCACTGATCACATCCAGTAGCGTATGTGGTTGATTTTATCACTCCGATCACACATACCTGTTCACTTTCCCATGTCACTTCTTGCACGCAAGCAAAAATGTACAGAAAAGAGAGACGCGTGTTGCATATAAACTCATCCCTGTACGTAAACATTCGTCTATGAATAGTTATGGTGTTGACATGCAAGGAGGTAACGGTATTGACATGCAAGGAGGTAACGAAGAGGATCAGGAAAGAAAAAGGACGAGTCGTGTGAGTGAGTTGCAATGCACCGTAAAACCGCCCTAGGAGAAATAAGCAGGAGAAAGAACCCCTTGAGTCCACCAACTCCCATCCTATACCCCCTTCCATTTTTCTCGTTGGTTCCCGAGGAATGCGAAACCTCTCTTGCTTTTGCTATGCCGTATCACAATTTTCTGTCTTGTTGCTGTTGTTGCCTACTTTCATGCCTCGTTTCTTATTTATCGCCCTATTTCTCATCGATCGCTTTTTCTTTATAATCCGCGTCCTTCTCTCTCTCTCTCTCTCTCTCACACACACATTTTCCTTTGTTCTTCATCCTCCTCTCCCCCATTCACCACAATTCCATTGTTCACCCTACCTTTCTGGTGTCGCTTGCGTTCATTTGACCCTTTCTTCAATCGCCCATGTCATCTCGTTGTTCTTCATTCTTCACTTTTCTTTACTCAACTGCATCCGATTGTTCTGTTCACCTTTGCCTCTCTCTTATCCTTTCCACCTCTTCTCCTCTTTCTTGACGGTGTTTTCAATTGCCTCCTATTTGTTGTGTGTTTGTTCCCATCATTCTCCAACTGTCGTTCTGATCTGATCAAAAAGAACGTATCACTGCCCAATAATTGATCAGGCTGATCAAATCACATTTTTTACACACAGACCATTCACACATGATATCCGCAATGCAAAAAAAGAACAGTCTCTTCCTGTTCGTCGTCCTTGTCATAGCCATCGTCACGTCCTCCGTCTCTTCGTCTCCACTCCCTCTGCCCCAACCACAGCCACAGCTTTCTATCACCTTAACATCAGCAGAAGTTGTCCCTCCCAACAACTATACCTACCGCGACCCTCCCACCACCATGAACTCCTTCCTCTCCTCCATCCGTCCCCGTCTTGACACGGAGGAAAACTCTGATGTCATCATCGTCACCGGAAACGAATCCGCAGGTACTTTCAATTGCACACACTCGTCTGTCTCATTTGTTCATTCTTACGCATCCTCTGTTCTCTTTACTAACCTCACGCGTCTTTTTCTTCCCACAACATAGACTTGGACTCGATTGTCTCGGCGTTGACGACCTCATTCTTCCTGAATAGCTCGCATGCTTACCCAGGAAAAATCATCCTCCCCTTCATCAACATTCCAAAAATCGACCTCACCCTCCGCTCCGACGTCGAGTTTATCTTCGAGACCAACAACATTAACAACGGCCTCATCTTCTTCCGCGACGACCTGCCAACCCTCGAGGCACTTGCTGCCAAGGATAGACTCTCACTCTTCCTGGTCGACCATAATGAGGTCATGGGTACCATGGCTTCGCTCTCGCGCGCCAAGGTGATCGGTGTGCTGGATCATCATGTGGACGAGGGGCTTTACAAGGACACTGCTAACCCACGCAGGATCGAGATGGTTGGCTCTTGCGCCAGTTTGGTGGCGGACCAGTTCTTGAAGACTCAAATGGAGAGAGATAAGAAACAGAACGGAGGAGAGGAGCCCGACTGGGTTCAGCAGGTCACTCGGTTGCTTCTGGGACCCATCTTGATCGATACCCATGGCCTCAAGCCTGAGATGAAGAAGGCCAAGCCCTTGGACCTGGCCATGGCAGAGTTTATGCTTCCTTTCACCAAATGGGGGTCGATGGGGGATCTTTTCAGCAGGATCGACAGTGCTCGCAGGGACACCTCCCATCTCTCGTTCTACGATCTCCTTAGAAAAGACTACAAGGAGTGGACTGTCCAGAATCCAATAACCAAGAAGGTCGTCAAGGTCGGTATCAGCAGTGTCATCGGTTTGATGGACAAGTATGCCGAGCGCGATACCAAGGAGGTCATGCAGACGGCGATTCATACATGGGCGATGAACAGAACTCTGGATGTCTCGATGGTCCTGTTGGCCGATGACTTGGGCGAGGGCAATGGCGGATACCAGCGTCAATTGATTGTTAACCCGGTGACAGAAAAGGTCCATGGAATCACGGAACAGATGGAAGGGGTTGCCCAGCTGCAGTTGGAACGGACAAAGATCATTGATACCGAGGATTCTGTCAGCCGTGGCGAGCGGGCGTATCTCCAGCATAACAGTACTTGTACCCGCAAGCAGATCTGGCCCTTTGTCGAAAAGCTCCTCACCGACTCTCCCCAACCCTCCAACCTGTAACTTATTCTTGCTTAGTTTAGAATTAAGAGTGCTAGAGGTTGTCCCAATGTATTTGTGTCTTGCCTTCCATTCATATCATCCATCCAGTAGGAATCTGAAAAGTGAAAAGATACCGGTAAATATTTATTTTGAAGATGCTGCCGTTGGAGCTGATGCTGCCGTTGCGGTAGGAGAGGTGGTGACACCGGGAGCTGCCTGTGAATCAACTCGTTTGATCTCCCAATCGTCATCATCAATATCCTGTGCCTGCAGACGCCAGTACTCCTCCTGCAGATCCAGCTTTCTCCTCGACTTTGATGACAGTTTTAGTCCTTCTTCCTTCGTCAACTATTGTATGTGTTGCAGTATAAGAAGTGCATGTTAGTAAACAGCTCAAATAACAGAGAGAGTGAAAATAATAATATGCAAAAGTGACAGAGAGAGAGATAAAGCATACGGCTTTGGTGCGGTTGTCGTGGACGTTGTATTTGGTAGCGGTGAGCTCGGAAAGGGCAAAGGAGCCGACGACGACGGTGAGGAGGAAGGGCAGGCCAAAGTAGAGGACGGGGCGTTTCTTTGTTGCCTGTGCGAATTTATCTGCTGGTGTCGCCACTCCGTAGCTCTTGTTTGTGAAGACCATTGTGTGTGTGTGTTGTATGAAAGGAAAAGAAGGAGAGAATGATGGAAAGGAAGGAATGACTTGTGTGAGATGGAACCAACGAACAACGATCAGCTTCGCTCTTTCTCCAAGGAGGCGTGACTGTCGGAAGAAAGAAAGCGAGACAAGACAAGAGCTCAGGGTTGCCAAATGGAGCCAAGGCTGGTTCGGATACCCTCTGCACCCTGTGCGACAGGCCACTAAGAAGGAATTCAATTGACCCTTTTTTTCACATGATATTGAACTAGTTGTAGAGAAGGGTATCCATGTTGGCGCTGTCAGATATGCCCGGACACCAGCCTAATGTACTAATTGACCATCTTCATATCTCGTTCATATCTTTGTCTTCTTTGTTCCTCCACTCGCCCCTGTGACGAAAGGAGTGTGTCCTCCCTCTCTGCTCGCACGCGCGTCATTTTTTTCTCCCTCTTTCTCTGAACTTCCTTTTCCTTCTTTTCTCTTACTTTTTACTTTCGTCTCCTACTTTTCTCTTCTTTACTCATCAATTAATACATTCGCTCAACAGGACAGGAAAAAGAGATTACACTCTCTCCACTCAACATACACTTACGCATACACACTTACGCAAGCCTCACAGGAGACGCAGTAGCAATGTCAAACAACAACAACACCAACACTCACAAGTCCAACGGGAACAGGAGTAACCACACCACAACTACAACACAGGAACAACTGCACCCCGCCACCAACATCTTCCGACCAACATTCAACCTCCAAACCCTCGACACATCCATCGCCATGCCATCCTCCTCAACCACGTCTTCTTCAACAGCAGTAACCTCAGGAGCAGCAACACCCGCAACCATCACCCATTCCCATGTCATCAGTCAAGCAACCGTCGAAGCCCTTGGAGACTGGCTCCTCGAATCGGCTTCTGTACAATCGGTCCCTGCAGCACAGGAACAGCGTCGTCGGCAGAGTTACAAGACGAGTTCATTAATCAATAAGTCTTTGAAGCAGACCCAGGAGGAGCGCCGCAAGATTGCCCTTGCTGAACAAGCCAAGGTACCCATTGGAGCTGGTTTTTTTTTTTAGTGCCTGGGGTTGTTTTCAGGAGGAAAGGCGAAAATAAGTGGAGTAGGACTTTATGATAGCGCTACAGTACCAAGGAGGAAAGAAAACAACAAAAAACTTCGGGAAGTACTTGACAGAGGAAGACTTCATGGAGTAGTGGTATCAAGGAGAAAACAAAACAAAACAAAAAGCACTGTAGATGAAGGTGTGACAGAGGACTCCAAAGAGCTATGGCACCAAAGAAGAAGACAAAGATGTTGTAGATGAAGGTGTTGTTGCTAAGCCAAACCTAAACCAACTCACATGTAAATTGTATCTCGTTTCACATCACACGCCTTTATTAACTAGAAACGATACCAATTCACAAACCACGCCCGGAAACTGGCCCTCTTTGCAAATGGACAACCCTCAGGAGAATCCTCTGACTCCGATGACGACGACGAGGACAACGACGAGGACGATGAGGAGGAAGAAGAGGGCGATAACGATAAGGATCAGGAAGAAGAAGACGACGACCAGAATCCACTCGGAAAGAAAAAGAAAAAGAAACGATCCAACAAACAGCCCCCGTCGCCGTCATCATCGCCCACAGGAACAGGAATCGACCTTGGAGGCAGTGGTGGCGGCGGCGCGGCCATGACGTCTCTCCACAAAGCACCGCCACCAAATCACAAGCGGCGTTTGAGCTCTGGATCAGAATCGGAAGCAAATGCAGGAGGGAAGAAGAAGGACAAGACTGTCGATGCGCTCTCGCCCAAGAAGCCTCGGTTACAGAAGAACCCACCCAAATCTCCCAGGAAACACAAGGATCGCAACCCATTCAGGTACTATTCAGCAACAATTGCAACAACAAGGAATAACTCGTTTTGACGTTGCTTATGTTTCTTCCCACGCTCAAGAGACGTTTTTCAAAGCTTTGGGGGTTGAAAAAACGACACATCAATTACACCCGTCAATTGCTTGTCAAGCATTTGAAGTGACAAACTGACAGTACCTACGCTCTTGTCTGATATGATGTGATGATAGGGATCAGATGATGATGCCAGAAACCATGACAGACATTCCTACAGACCTCGACACAAGCTACTACATCGTCCCACTTCCAATCGGCCACCGCTGCTTTGTGATTTCTGCAGACGGCAAAACAACAGCCCGTTTACCCTCGGGTCAGTTGCTGGTCGCTGCTTTTGAATCGTGTCTCCCCGCAGGTTCCAATCAGTACCGTGACAACAGGAGGTCGGACTATTGTATTCTGGACTGTGTGTATTCCTCTGTCACTAGGACCTTCTGGACGATTGATATCATGTGCTGGAGGGGTCATCCTGTCTACGAGTGCGAGACCGAGTTCCGGTTCTGGTGGTTGAGGGGCAAACTAGCCGAGATTGAGAGTTTGCAGGGGACTTGGATTGCGAGTCAGACAAAGGAGTGGGAGCAGGAGCAGGCCAAGAAACGACAAAAAAAGGCGAAGCAGTTGAAAAGGAAGCAGGAGAAGGCGGCTGCAGTCGCGGCTGCAGCAACCATGGATGTTGCGCCGACAAAGTACTCTAACGGAACGACACAGGAGGAATGTGATGATGGCGATGATGAGGCAGGAACTGAGGGTATGGAACTGGATCCTACCCAGACGGGTGCGGGACCTTTATCGGCGCCACGTAGATTTTGGCCGATCGTTTTTACGCCTCTTCCGTACTTCAATGCGTCCATTGATTTGGTCCGCCTGTTGGCCGAGTCGATGCATCAACCCACAACACCAACGACCATCACCACACCACCGCTGTCGTCACATTCACCAACGACAGGTCATGTCAATGGGAATGGAGCAACAGGATCTATGCAATCGGCATTGGCACTTCTGGAATCTGTATCTCTGTCGTCAGCATCCACGTCTTCAAAGCCTTCAGGGCAACTCTCGTCAATTGCTGCACCACCACCGAAACGATCAACACCTGCGACCACCTTTGCGATCAAATCACACCCAACCTCAATATCTATTCCTTACCCTGCGAACAGCAACGGTGTAAAGTCCAACGGCGCACACACTGCCTATTCGTCAATGTCTTCATCGCCTATCATGAGCACACTTGGAACAATGGCTCTTTCGGGCGAAATTGCAACCGCAGCATCCCTGTTCCCCGCCCACGACACTAAGCAGAAAATCCGACAGGACCAGACACTCTTACACGAACGCGCCGCAGGATTGGTGTTCTTCAACAAGAAAACCATGTATGTCTTAGGATCAACTCCACTCTGTGGATGGGTGGCGATGGACCAGATTGGTGATGTCTTCTTTGATGATGAGGGTGGGGTTGGTCCTGTGCCTGGTACTAGTGCGGTCGAAGGCCGGGAGATTGAGATGGAGGATGCTCTTGAGCGTATCCGCATCTAGGGTCGCTCTTTGTCGCTCGATCGGGGGTTTCTTTTTTTTTCCGCTTGTAAGCGCTGTAGTTGTAGCTTGCCATGCTTGTTCCTCCTTCTCATACGCATGTCATAGATCTCGATAAAAAAACAAGCCTTCCATCATGCAATCAAAGCGTTTCTCTTGTTTTTGTCTTTATTTCTGACCATAATGTTCTACTATGAGGTTTTCCTAATTGCATGCTGGCCCTGGATCCAGAAAGAAAAACACAATGATCTTGGTAGTTGTAATGTAGACGTTGATGTTTCATTTTGCATTCCTGAAGTGGTGTGAGAGAATACTAGGCATTACTTTGACCTTCGCGTCTCCTGACCTCGTCAAAGTATGGATCTATGAGGTTCAAATCACAGGTGACCGCTGTTGGTTAGGAACTTGGTGGTGGTGATATGAAGCGAGTTCGCACGCAGAACAACACATGAATGATACTTACGAGCAAGAGACGCCTCAGCTGTTATCCTCCGCTCTGGGTTATACGTAATAAGGCGCTATTGTACCAATTGTCGAGTCAAAGCCAGTTAGCCATCGTCCCATTCAAAGCACATCAACAACAAAACAACAAACAGTCCAAGAGTAGAGACGTACGCTCAAAAGATCGACACCTGGACCATCCAACTTGGGAACGAGGTTGACCAAAGGAACAGGTTTGTACATGGGGAAATCGGGTCGATACTCGGGCAGTTTTGACAATCCTGGCCATGTCTCTTCCGTGGGTGTTCCCAAGATCTTGAAAATCTTGAGCAACTGATCCTTGACTGAACTTCCTGGGAACAATGGTCTTCCTGATGCCATTTCTAATATCATTCACGTTTTTTTTCCCCAGGAAGAGGCATGATTAGTTTCAAGTTGACAATAGAGTAGATTGGCAGCAGTGCAAAGCGAATAAGAGAAGATTATGTTACCTGCAAAGATGCATCCTGCGGACCAAATGTCGATCGACGTGGAATATTGCTTCGATCCCATTAATACATCGGGCGCTCTGTACCACAATGTGACCACCTTACCAATCATATAAAATAACCATCGAAGAAAAGGAAACGATTGGATCCAAAGCAGACGAACAAAAACAAAGGAGAAAAAACTTAGTTCCATGGCTCTGATGCATATGCATAAAAAAAAATGATGGCTCACACACTCAGAAAAGCAAACAAGATCTCATCTCTTTTCGCTAAACAGGGCACGAACCTCGTGAGAATAACTCCTGACAGGAATTCCAAATGCGCGCGCCAGTCCAAAATCGCCCAGCTTCAAGTCGCCCTTCTTGTTGATTAACAAATTCTGCGGCTTCAAGTCCTATTTGCGCGTAAGAGTGAGGAGTTGATTGTTAGTCATCATGATGGTACAAGTGGGACCCGTGAGCTCAATAAGCTCTAAATAGGACTGGGGGGGTTACTTACTCGATGCAAGACTCGGTGTTCGTGGCAGTAGGCGATTCCTCTCAACAGTTGGTACATCAATTGCTAGAAAACAAATGGACGGACAAACATTAGCAATTTTGTCCGCAACGGTGACAAATCAACTACGCCAGGACAGTTGGAATCCACTGAAAAAAGGCAGCGAACCTTTATCGTCAAGACATCGATATCTCCGCTGTAGGTATCCAGAAACTTCTTCAGATCCGAGTCCAGGAATTCAAAGACCAGCGTCAGCTTCTTTTCCGTATGCAGCACGTCGTACAACCTAGCGGTCATTGATCGATCAGAAGCGTGGAGAGTCAGCACGGTTGATCTATCCTGGAGTAAGTTGAGCAGCGACATGGTTTGAGGACAGAGCATAACTTTACCGGACGATGTTGGCATGCTTAAGCTCTTTGAGCAAGGAGATCTCGCGGATGGCTGTACATGGCACCTATAACATAACCGTGGGAGAAATAAAAGCATGGACTGTCGATCAGAAACCCAAATGTCTTTACTTTTCTCCATCCTGTACTACCATGCCCATTGCAAAACCATACAACACTTACGCCTTCTTCCTCATTGTCGAGACGGATGCGCTTGAGGGCGACTACATCGTTTGTCTCTCGGTTCTGGGCCTTATACACGATACCGTATGTGCCTAAAAACAGAGAGAAGTAGAGTTAAAAATAAAAAAAGGTTTCTTCAATACAAGTCAAAACAGTCCCTTGTGTAAGTGGATCCACCTAGACTGAAAAAGGGGGACGTGAGAGAGGGCAATCAATCGTCGCTTTCCTTCTCCACAGCCAAAGCCCACGTTTTTTGTATGTTGTTGATTCGTGTGACTCTTTCGCAAAGGAGGCCCCTGCGACCATCTCTGAAAAGGGAGACGAAGTGAGAAGGGAGGAAAAGACAACAAACAACGACACCAAGGTCGAATGATGTGGTTTTGTGGAGATCCCTCGATTCTCGAAAATAAGTCTTGCGCTCCCTGTCAACCTTCATCGCAATGAACGTGGCACATGGTGTTCCCTTGGAGTTGGCGATGCTGTTGCTGATGCAGGCTGTTTATCCATTCGTATTACCTTCACCGAGTTTCTCGATTTTCTGGAAAGTGAATGCAATAAGAGCAAAACTTTTGTCAGTTGTGCAATTCGAGAGATGAGCGTGTGAAGTCAGGTAATCAACATGGCTGCTGCAGGTCTGTTGAACAATACCTGGTATTTGTCCATGTATATATGTGTGCGTGTGTGTGTGTGTGTGTGTGTGTGTGTGTGTGTGAGGAGTCTTTGTTGATCGGATTTCAGAGTAAAGTGTGATGGAGTGCAAAAGGAAAGAAGAAAAAGCAAGGGCCACAACAGGTCGAATGGAGAACAAGAGATCTGAATGGCACAGAGAATGTGAAAAGCAAAATTTTCAAACACAGACACGAATGTAATACGAGTAGTGTTGTTGTGGTGAGGGAGGATGGAATCAAGCGAGGGTGTGAGGCGAGGATGGCAGAAATGTAAGTGAAGGTGGCGGTGATGACGAAGAGGAGTGGAAAGTGGGAAGAGGTGAAGTTATACAATTGGAAAAGGATGGAAGAAAGGAAGGGAAAATGGCACTCTGCGGGTGAGACCCTTAGTCGTTATTTATGTCAACTTGGCAGACTGCATGTCTGCACTCGACTGAAACGGGTAACCTACGCAACTCACAACAACAACAACAACAACAACAACAGCGCCAGTGCTATCATCGCTTATCTCTTGTATGCTTCACTTCATTGCCATTCTTTATCCCTTGCTCTATTGCTCGTCTGACTGATGTTCAAGGGGAACATGGGACCTCCTTGATTGTATTCATATCCTCATAGACGAACCAGCTCAGTCCCCTTGCCTTTTCGTTCATTGAGAAAGAGACGACTGTTGATACCGCTGCTGGATGGGATTGTTTTCTTTCCGCGGATGATGCGCACAACGACCGCAACAACAGGCATCAATCATTCTCTAGACATGACAAAGCAAGCAAAACCCATATTCCCCGACGAATGGTCCATGTATGGGAAAAATGGATGGCGTCCACGACATCACACAAAAAAACGCGACATGCCCTCCTCTCCCTTCTCTCTCTCTCTCTGTTTTCATTTTCGACCCTTACCAAACGTCAATGCTCGCTGCATGATGATGCTGTTGCTGACTGACCCATCCAACCGAGCTTTCTCTCTCGCTCTCTCCTATTGTTTTCCTTGGCTTCCTCTCTATGTACCTTTTTTTCTCTCTGAGATAATGTCATTCGCTCAACCGTTCTTCTTTTTCCTTACTACCCCAGACCATCCTGCACCCACCCATGCGCTTCCATTCCGCTACGTGGACAATTGATTCGCTCCCAGTGAGCCATGTTTCTGAAAGTTACCCACAAAGACCCTATCACTCCCTCGTTTATTCTATTTTTTTTCTCCGAACTAACCTAGGCGTGGCAAAGTGCACTCAAGTATTGTGTACCTGCGTGTGAGCAGCTTTGGTTTCTTCGGGCGCGACTCAAAAGAAATTGCAGCATGCCCGCGTCAATTGGGCATACCTGCAAGGCTGCAAGGAAAACGAAACGAGGTTGTTAATACCGTTTTGAGTGAAAACAAAAACACAAGCTAAGAGCGCGCGTGGGTCGCAATGGATCGTTCTCAGCCAATCGTGTCGACCTCTCTCAATTGGATTGGCAGAGCACAAATAATGAAAGGGAAGGCGTGCTGTTTTATGAAAAGAGTTTAGGGGGCGAGAATAATAATGTGCGGAGTAGGCGATTGATAGCCAAACAATTGTGCCACGGTCCGTGTCCATTCGATGGCATTCATTCTTGAGCGAATGAAAGCCAGCAAGCACCAGGTAGAGATACCCGTCTGTGACGACACGTCAATTGTACCCAATTAAAAGCGATAATACGTCAGTAAAGCATACTAAACCCTGCAACGCATATGAGGATTGTACAGCCCGTCCTCAGCGGTCAGGAACGACGCACGCGAGTCCGGACGACCCTTGTTACTTTGTGGAACGCGTTCAGGGGATCTAGGTGTGCTCCTCCTCCAAGTCCTTGATGACCATGTCGCCTTTCCTTTCCATAATATCCATGCGCGTCAGGCCCAACAGGGTGTCGATGAGAAGACATTGTCATCGTCATCGACAACAAACTCTGTCTTGTACTTTTCCGACAAGTTGTCAGTCCCTCTCTCCCCAGCTGTTCATATCACAGAGCTACCAAGCATTTCCACAAAATCAAAGACACTGATATGACATCCTTACAAATGTCTTGTTGTTCGATAGGTCGCAATGTGTTGAACCCCTCTAGCCTTTCCCTAAATAAAGTTGTAGAGGAATGCCTGTGACTCTGATAAATGTGGACTGACTCGCGACCTTTAAAATAACTCGATGATCAAGGGATGGAACCTTGACTCGGACTTTGTGGATCAACCCTTTCAGTTCATTATTAGCCACGTTGTAACAATTACAGGAGGTGATGGGAATTACTTCATGGGAATATGAGATGTTAAGGAAAGGGTTTCAGTCCAGAGGCACAGCAAGGAAGTAACGAGTTGAATAAGAGGGGATATGTCAGATTGATAAGGAGAAGGAGGGGAGCAAGTGGAACTGATAGGATGTAACCATGGTCCGAATACAGAAAGCATCTTTGAAGAAAAAGGCGTGGAAAGGGAGGAGTGGTAGTGGTGATGAGTGAGAAGGAGCGATGGATGAATAAGAAAGAGGTTTTTATTACGGTGGCAAAGGGGTAAGAATGAAGTGAGTAGTCAACGCACCATAGTCAACCAATAGGAGGATTATGGCGCCCATTGTCCTGGAAACATTTACCAACCTGGGTTCCATATACCAGGAGACTAGATGCCATATGTGATGTGTGCAAACTGCAAAGTAAATTAGATATCGGTAATTGCACGCGGAATGATCACCTCTCTTATTGACTGCGATTAAAGATAGCAGTCACTTTTGAAAGAAGAAAGAAAAAAAGAAAAAAAAGAACAAGCAAGAGAGGCACGAAGCCACCGTTTGTAAACAACGAACCTGCACACCTCTAAAGAGCGCCATTGCATTGTTCAACACTTTACTCAACTCAACTCAACTCAACTCAACCCATCAACACACATCACAATGGGAAAGGCTGTAAGAACACAACACACACACCGCACAAGGAAAACACAACGGACGTTACTCTATTCACTTCACCAGACATCACTCATACTCATTACCGTCAATTCTATCTCTCTCTCTCTACCGCCTAATAGCGCAAAAAGAACAGGACACACAAGAAGGTCGAGGAGGGCGAGAACCCCAATGCGCCCAAGACACCAAAGACCTTTGTCATGCGCTCAGGAGAGGTCGGACACTCCGTCATGGGACTCGTTAACGATATCCGTCGCCTCATGGAACCCAACACCGCCACCAAGCTCAGAGTATGTCCCTTGTTCAATGGATAGCCGTTCAACTTATGGCAAGAACAAATCAACGAATATCTTGTAGCTAATGCCATTCCTTCTCTTCCACCTCACCAACCGACCTTCAGGAACGCAAAAACAACCGCTTGAGAGATTTCGTCGCTGTCGCAGGTCCATTGGGTGTCACCCATTTTGTGATCCTCTCCAGAACCGAGCACGGCACCAACATGAGAATCTCTCGCGTCCCCCGTGGACCCACCCTGTCCTTCCAGGTCAAGACCTATTCTCTCGCCAAAGATATCATTGCCATGCAAAAGTCGCCCAAATCCCCCGGTCTCGAGTTCCAGGTTGCTCCCCTTTTGGTTCTTAACAACTTTGGTGACTCGAACGAGATGAAGTTGATGTCCACCATCTTCCAGAACATGTTCCCTCCCATTAATATCCAGACCGTAAGGCTCTGCTCTTTTTTCTCTTCTTGTTATGTCAGTCAGTGTTTTGTTAATTGAGTGCAATAGCTAACTTAATGCCACATATGAAAAAACAGATGCAATTGGCGGACGCACGCAGGGTAGTCTTATTGAACTACAACAGTGAGACCAAACACATCGATTTCCGCCACTACAACGTCGCCGTCAAACCCGTCGGAATCTCCAAATCCATCAAGCGCGTCATCACAACCGGTGTTCCCGACCTCCAAGGGTTCGAAGATATCTCAGATTACGTCCTCCGTGGCGCCTTTGCCTCGGAATCCGATGTTGAGGACGGTCCCGAATCGACGGTTACTTTGGGTCAGGATTTCGTTGGAAGGAATAACAGGAGGCAGGATCAGAGAGCCATCAAGTTGGTGGAGTTGGGTCCCCGTATGGAGTTGAAACTCGTCAAGATCCAGGCTGGCATGTGTGATGGAGAAGTTCTCTACCACGACTTTGGTACGTCTCTTTGCTCTGCTATAAACATCGGCAGCCCTATATCACTATCGAAACAAGATTGCAATGCTAACAAGATCGTCCTTTTTATCCTTCAATTAATAGTCAAACGCACGCCAGAGGAGCTCAAGGCACAGAAAGCAGAGCGTCAGAAGAAGTCGCAGGAGAAGGCAGCCCGTCGCAAGACTCAGGAGCAGAACGTCGTCAAGAAGAAGGCCGAGAAGGCTGCCGAGAAGGAGGCCCACCGTCTCGCCACGGGTGGTGCGCCCCGCAAGCCTGAGGATGATGATGAGGAAGAGGAGGTTGATACTAAAGGCAAGAGGAAACGTGCTGCTCAGGACGAAGGTGAGGAGGAGGAAGAGGAGGAAGAGGAGGAAGTGCCAGAGTACAACGACTCGGACGATTATTCAGATATGGGAGATATGGCCCATCAGTTCTCGGATGACGATGAGGAAGAGTTCTCGGGCGAAGATGATGATCAAATGGAGGGCTTTAGTGACGACGAGTAGACGTCTTTTTTTTTTGCATTACCCTTACTCCTTTAACAAAACACTTGCATCATCATAAAACATTGTTCAAAACGCATATTGCTCTCTTGAATTAGTTTGAATTGTTTGATTGTATTAACGAGTTTAGTCTCTTGCATCCCTTATGCTTCCACATCTACCGCATGTCTGTAGTTCCTTGCAATGTATTGCAATGTTATTACACGCATTTCTTGTTGACAATGTTGGAGCCACTCTCGTCGTACTCCTTGCGAGAGATCCAGAGCTGGTGGAAAGTACCCAATGAAGCCATAATCGATCCTCCCAACCAGCTTCCACACTTGCGCTCCACCGTGTTTCCTGGCGCATGCAATTTGACCTTGTACTATTTGTCACATACAAAAAACAAGCAATGTTAGTTGGCAAGTCTTGAAAAAACAATAACAAACAGTAGAGATGGCCTAACACAGCACAAAGACAAGTAGAAATGAAACATACGGAATGGGGTATACTGTTCAGCTCCCAGTGCAGACGATCAGCAAAGCCAGGGAACAAGGTGTTGCCTCCAGTCAGGACAACATTGCCAAACAGCGTGGGGCGGAAATCGATATCGCACGACTGCGCACTGTTAAAGATCAACTTGGGCAGACCCACAAAGTTCTCCTGTTCCGGTGTAGGGTTCTTCAAAAACTCCTTGGGGTTGAACATGATCTCGGGCACCTTGAACCGCTCCGTTCCAAAGTTGAAGTTGTATCCGTCTGGCAGCTCGTATGGCTTCTGTGGTCTCGTGCTAATGTTTCTGTTGGATAAAAAGAAAACATAAATAGAATAAGCAACAATAGTCAAAGCAGTACATCTCCAACGCAATTGACGAATAACGACCAGTAAATGCGACTAACTGCTCATTGTATGTGGACTCGGCGACTTGGCAGACAGACTCCTTAAAATCGTGAAGGACACGCATCTGCATCATCTTGTGGAAGCTGGGGGTGGCTGGACGATCTCTCAACACAACATTGGGCTTTTGTCCAACAATCACGGGTGACTTCTTGGCGATCAAGTACTGGGGCGTCACCTCCACATCGCTTGCCTTGAACTGCTGCAAGACCTGGTCTGACAACACATCGCCTCCCAATGACTGGCGCATAATGCCCTTCCTGAGAACGTATCCATCATAGACAGGAACAACACTAGTCATGTCTCCGCCTGAATCCACAACCAACGCATGAGGTCTTCCCGCTGCAAAGCTATTATTTCAAGGATAAACATTTGTAGCTGTTAGAGTCAAATATCTTCTAACTTGGATTCATAATGCCAATAACATATGGCTCATAGAGAAAAGGAACCTACGCAGTCATGACGGCGTCCTTGGCGACAAAGAAGGCGGGAAAGTTGTACTTTTCGAAGGCCAGTTCCGTCAACTTTTCACGAATCTCGCGTGTGTTCCATGCAGACTCTGTGATGATCAAGGGGTGCTCTGTAGGGTCGCAGCGAAGTCTCTTCAAAAATGCGTGGTCCCAGATCTGCTCCAATGCATCCCAATCCTCGACTATTTTCCGTTATCACACAAATTCGAAAAATGTCAGTAGTTGCAACCATGAATCAATTGCGGTCGTTGTCAAAGACAGACACGCAAGCAGGCTATCCTGCATTTGACAAAGAAAGTGAACAAAGAGAACAATAGCCTTACCAAGTCCATCCTTCATGGGAGACTTGATCTCCATATCCGGTCTCCAGCAACTAATCTCTCCATCGCCAACATAGTACTTCCCCCTCTTTGTAATCTTCTTCTTTGATGGAACAAGACCAGCACCCACAGGCTGTGGTGCCACATCCCCACCGTCGGCATCCTTCTTTCCGATATGGTTGCTGTCTGATGCAGAAGCACCGTCCTGAGTGACGTCCTGCATCTGTGTGTCCTCAGAGTTGTCTGCATCGTCGCCCTGGTCTGCCTCGGCGGGCAAATCAACCCATCCGACAGAGGTTGGGAAAATGGATTTGGGGGTGTCTTCTCCTGCATATCCTGCCTGTGTCCATGTATGTCCGACTGACAACACCAGTGCTGCGACTTCGTCTAGTGGGATGAAATAAAAGTTGATGTTGATCAGTTTGATTGTGTGAAAAAAAGACGCGCTTTTGTTGTGTGTTTTTATTGGTGGCACTGAAGGATGTGAGGAACAGTGATTGTTTGCTATGAATGTATTGAAGAGTGGAGAATAGATAGTCGAGTGTGAATGGTGTTAGACTTTAATCTTTGTCTTATTACCTCCACCGTAGGTTCCCATGTTTGCGTTGGAGGGGATGTGTGAATGGAAGAGAAAGAGTGAAGAAAAGTAGCTGTTCTCGAGGAAGGTGCAGAGGAATCAAAAGAGGCCACTTGAACAAAGAACCAGACAAAGCGAAGCGTTTGCTTGCCTTGCGCTTACTTTGCGTCATATAAAAAGTCATGTGATGAAGAGTGCCACCAAAAAAAAGATACCGCAGGAAAAAATAGTGGCGACTACAAGCACATAGAAATGTCACCCTTGGGCCTCAACCGCGCAAGGAAAAGAAAAGGCATGGCCTATGGCCTATGGCTTGAACTTACGTCCCACCCCATGGTGTAGATACATGTGGTATTTCAATTCTCTCGGCCATACCAACCGATCAGACCAAATTCAGGAGCAGACGTGCTTTTGGATCATCATCAATCAAAGTAATTTATATTTCATAGACTCCACCGACCCGACCTTCAATAGTCACCCTCTCCGCCCAGTCGCAGCATCTCCATCTCCCCCTCCAGTGTCACAGCCCGCGGTGGAACAACACCCGTCACTGCTGCCGCTGCTGCGGCCGTCGCAACGTTAGCCGCCACCGAGACTGCCATCAAGTCATTCATGGCCATCCCTGGCGCTGCGGTCGTTGTCTCTGGCATAATGGCACCATCCTTCTGCTGCTGCTCTTGCTGTTGAGAAAGCTGGAATCGCTCGTCGATCAGACGGGCTGTAGATTCATCGAGATAGACTTGGGATCTCGAGTGTTGCTCCTGCTGCTGGTAGGATGAATGCTGGATTTGTTCGTGGTGCTGCTGCTGATGACGATGCTCCTGACCATGCTCATGATGTTGGTGGTGGTGATGATGGTGGTGTTGGTGTTCATGAGTGTGGTACAGATGGTTCAGGTGCTGATGCTCTGGGTGCTCCAAGTAAACCGCGGGCGGTGAAGAAGAGCACGAGGATGTCGCAGAGGGCACAGAATGGTGGGTATCGTTCGTGGCTGGCGACAACCCATCGTCCACCGAACTTCCGCTCCGGCTTCGGCCCAACAATGCTAACGATAGCTGGAGATCATGACGTACATGAAGCGAACTGGTGCGGCGGCTAAATGGATAATGACTATACTGGCCGTCCTCCTCAGCGGCGATAGCCTTCATACCACTACCACCACCACCAGACTCGCCTACTCCAACCTCATCATGGGCCGTGGTCACAAGGTACCCGTTAGTCTTCAACCAAACCTCAACATCCTCCCTATCCCTCTCCAACCACAAAATCCTCGTCCGAATCCCCTCCAGACAATTCGCCAGGATCCGATCGCACTGACTCGTATCCTTATTGGCAAAGAAATCTTGCACTTCCTGGTATTTTTCCACACTCGAAAACATCCCAATACTAAACAGGATAAAGTACTCTACAAACCGGAGGTCGTCAAAATGACGCTCGTACAGGACATCCCAATGTTGTCGCATAAAGTTCCACAACTCGGCTCGACCCATCACCGATGACCGAAGAGTTGCCAGTGCGGAGAGGATATCTGCGTTCCTGACCTCTTCCGACATTGCAAAAGCCAGGGTTCGCTGGATCATCTCTGGCGAGTTGCCGTACCCCAACACTGTCAGGGCAACTACCTTCTCTCCCGGGCTGTAGGTCTCTCGGTAAAAGGCTAGGATCGCCTCGTACTCCTCCAGGCCAGTGGTGGTCTTGAGGACAATCTCAAAGACTGGGAACAGTAGATCTGGAGGTATTGCCGAAGTGTCTCTATTAGCCATAAATACCACAAACCGTCTTCTTGCCTCCGCGACGATTCTGTAGTTGAAAATGATGGTAGCGAGGGTTAGTTTGTCAGCCCAAAGTTCACCTCACATCATTCGTGGTATGTCTTTTCTGGCACGAAACTTACTCAGGGTCGGCAGCGCGTCCGGCAAAACGAATGGCCAAAGCACGGAGGTTGCCGATGGCAGGATCCTCTCCCTCGGGGTAGGTCCAGCCCAACCGCTTGACAATGTTTTTGAATAGGCGTCTCTGGACTTCCTTGATGGCGTTGACCACTGGCGCTGGTTGCTCCAGCCACACAGCAACGAGTTCTTGCAACCGCAACGAGATCTCGGTCCACACACTATCATCGTATAGAAATTTGAGAAATTGAGTAGGATGTTAGTACCTTCGATCGCGACACTAACATCCAGCCTTTGGAAACGAGCAATAACAACAATGGACGTACAGGTTGTTCTCCTCATCCTCAAAGTACTTCAAGAGCGTCAGGAAACTACTGGTAGGACTAACACCTGCAGCGACCAGAGCAGCAGCATCCGTCAACAGCCCAACACGGTCCGCGGTCTTCAACGTCTCAGTTTCCTCCCCATTCTTCAGCGTCTGACCCAAGAGATCAAGAGCCCTGGGTGGATACGAAACACGGTAGAAACCAGATTGGCCCATGTTGAACTTGTACCACCGCGTCGTATCTACCTTGAGGATCAACTCTTTGGTGGTCATCATGATGTTCTTGGGGGTTGGGTCTTCTGCGGTGGCGAGAGCCAGGGGGACAGGCCAGATAAAGTCATCTTCATCTTCGCGAATGTCGCCAGTGGAGAGGAAAAGGCTCTGCCGCACCATGATGGTCGACTCGTCGATCTCTGTAATTGTCAAAAAAGGGTACTGTATGTATCGATGAATTCGTTAGATTGTGCAACACAAGACAACGGTACCATTTGCAGCAGGAAGTATGAACTTACTCCAGTTTGACGAGTCCACCTCCTCATGAACTCTGGCACATCGGCCTGACACTCCTCGGCCAAGGTCATCCACAAGTCATCAGTGTTGGCATTGCCCCACATGTACCGCATCATGAACTTGCGGATTCCCTTCAGCAACTGCTCTTCGCCCAACCAACCGCTGAGCATGCGCAGGACAGCCGCGCCCTTCATGTAGCTGACCTCATCGAAGATCTGCGTAATCTCGCCTGGGTTTGCAACACCAACTTCCACTGGGTGCGAGGTTCGAAGGGCATCTTGCTTGAGGACATGTTGGACTCGGGTCACAAACTCTGACCAGACATCCCAGGCTGGGAACAGCTCGTCGACGACGATGTAGGCCAGATGGGTTGCGAAACCTTCAAACAGCCACAGGTCTGACCACCAATCCATAGTCACCAAATTGCCAAACCACTATTTTTTATGAGCAGGCAATAGCGAAAACGACGAAATAAGTATACAGTCGTGTTCAACTCGCGAACAGCCGCACAGCATCAGCGTGAAAGAGGTATAAAGTACCTGATGAGAGATCTCATGGATGACAGTAGCAGCAATTTCGCGTTGTCGGTCGTTAGTTGAGTGCTCATCCAACAAGACAGCATGCGTTCGAAACGTGATGAGGCCCCAGTTCTCCATCGCACCAGGCGAGAAGTCAGGAACGGCAACCAAGTCCAGCTTGGGTAATGGGTAGGGTATATCGAATAACCGCGAGAAGTACTCGACCGACTGCAGAGAGGTGAAACGATGAAAAAAGTTGGTTATTGAATGAAGCATACACGTCAACAAAACAAAAAAGTAAAAAGAGGTTTTTACCTTGACAGCTAGATCGAGAGAGTATTGACCATGGGTAGCCAGACCAATGGGCGCGTAGAGACGACAGCATACTGGCTCCCCGCTAAAGTCGCCTGGGGTATATGCTTCGATGTACTCCAGATCACCAATCATCCAAGCCAGCAGCTAAATTGTTTCCCCAAGAAGCATATGTAAATACCACTCTTCTCTGACTCGTAATCCCATTCATGTAAAAGTTCAAAGCCGCCGCAAAAAGAGTTGCGGGGGAGATTCAAGACCGAGATGATTACACAGATGTAGAAGGAAGACTACGTACATATGTGGCCATTATGGGCGTTTTGAGAAAGGTCACTTCTTGCATACTATTTTCAAGATTCACGGTCGTGTCCACGCTCATGTTGGACAGACATGTCACGCCTTGAGGCACTACCAAGGTCAGAGTGAATGTTGCTTTGACAGAGGGCTATGAATGAGGGCCCATGCATTGAGTTGATTCGGAATCAATTGCAAAGGCGGAAGAAAGGAAAAAAGAGCAAATTGCCCCAGGTTAACAAAATGTGGCCTGAAGCACAGCAAATGAGGACACGAAGAGCGCATATGTGTTTTAAAAAGATGCATGGGCTGTGAAGTATGTATGTGAAAGAGTAGGAGAGTTCGGTCTAGACAGACCCCTGAACTAAAAGAGTTTGAAAAGTCAACGCTCATCTCAAATCTTCCTCAAACTCAAGTGGACAAGTTCGGAGGGTGGGGGGGAATGAGAGCACTAGAGTACATTCGGTTTATCTTGATCTCTTCATGTAGTGGGGATATCTTTACGAGACAGGAGCGATGGTTGATGACACAGGCGAACCAAGATAGGGGAATGGGAGAGTGGAGGAGGCGGGGAGATGAAGGGTGAAGAGGAGGAAGGTGGATATGTCGCATTATGGCAATGGCAAGTTGCTCGTGGCCATTAATGTTTTTTCTTCAGTGTGTTTGCCGTTGGTCTTGTCATGTTTGTTTCTTTCTTACCTCATCCCAACAAGGAAACGCCCTTCGAGCATGTGTCGACTGGAACTGTGTAGTTGTCATTTGACTATGTTTGTTGTTGGCATTGTGAACGGAGGATGAGAAAAAAGAAAACAATCCATGACTAAGAATCAGTTCCGAAAGGCATGGCCACCTGTTTTTTTTTGGGTTTTCGCCTCTCTTTTTTCTATGTCTTTGTTTTTGTTTGTTTCTATTGTTGCAAGTTGGCTGACCCCTCGTTGCGATGTTGGCCGTTTTGTTATTTCTGCTGAGTGCTCATTTTTTTCCCTCTGCCTGTTTGTTTGTTTGTTTGCTTCCTTGTTTGTTTGTTTACATCTGTTTGTTTGTCTTGGTGTCGACACTTTAAACCTCAACAGAAGGAAGGAAAAGACAGGAGGAGAAGAACCACTTACTGGACGTTGTTGTCAGCATCAGTATAAACAGATCGGTAGAAGCCAGAGAGCTTGTCGTTGATGAGGCCAATGTAGGCTATCTCGAGGATCCACGAGGTGCCAATGTGGAGCACTTCTGGGAACTCGAGCGTGATGGACTCATCCTCGACATGATAGCTCACACTTGTTGCCGTTACGCTAATTTTTTATAATCGAAGGAAGGAATAAAGAACATGAATGGGGGTTAGTGCGGTGGTTTCATGGCAATTATTATTCCCAGGAACAACTGCAAAAAAAGAGGGGTATTGAGTGATTGAACCAATTGTGGGAGGTGCAATCGGAACCTCAACCGACAAAAATATGCGCCACCATGCGCCATCCCCCCTTCTTGTTCTTCTTCCTCTTTTTTGTGCCTCAGAAAGAAAATAATAGCTCGCACACCCAACATACAAACATCCATGACGATGTGAATGGATACTGTGCAAGGTGCTTATCTACTGTATTGGATGGGCCACCCTTTCTAAGTACCCCAATCCGCCCCAAAAAAGTCCCAGATCGTGTACCACATCATTTGGTGCACAAACAAATCACATAAAAAGAAGAATGGTGCACAGATGTGGATAGGAACAGTCTTGCTTCAACACGCTATGGCATGCATGCCATAAGATTATGCGAGAAGAATGAGAAACAATTGCCACATGAGTCTCTATGGCCAGGTTCCATCATATGAGATTAAGCACTCTAGGTACACATTGCAATGTACCTTGCCGCTCTCCCTTCCACTTTCACTCAGTCTTCCTCTCACCCCGCCTCTCATTCCTTTAATTGGAAATATCTTCGCCTGGACGACAAGAGCTGAGGAGAAGGCAAAAAGAACACCTTCATGCCCCTCATCGATTGCCTTTGTTCCCATGAAATTCTCTCTCTCTCTCCGCCACGAGGCACCCCACGCCAATCTCTTGCATGTCAAGCACGCTGTTTCAAAAAAAAGAATGAACTCAACAGTGATACAAATAGAATGCCTCGTTTGTACTCCTTTTTGTTCAACTTTTTTCCGTTGTTGTTGTTGTGTTGTTGTTTTGGTATTCTTTTCTATGTTTGTTCTCAACACACACCGCTCCTTAACTCTCTTTCTCTATCACTCTTCCCCTCAGCCCCCCGCTCACTTCCGATCGATTACGGGATTGCAACATCTTTGAGCCACAATTGGGGCGAGCCCTTCCGAACAATCCTCTCTTTATCTGTATCTCTCGCACATACAAATAAAAACATTGAATATACCAGCGGATAGAGACTCCGGAACTTGATTTCTTTGTGAGTTAGCCATGGTGTTTACCTGTAGTTTGTGAGATGGTCTCGGGCAGTAGCTTTCTGAATGTTCAGCTCCTTGGCATTGATGGTGATCCCATAGGTGGGTTCTGCAAGGCATACCCTAAGTGTTTCAATTGAAGAAAGGAAGTGAGGATCGATATTCCATGAGTGTCCACTGTTAGTGATAAAGGAGGGTCCAAAAAACTGGCAGGAGGAGAAGAAAAAAGGGGAGGGGATTACAAGGACGCGCCGCATGCCGCGGTGTTTGAACTGTACAAAACAAGAAACCTGGCTCCCCCTTTTGCAACTTTCAGGGTGGCGAAGGAGGAAACACATTCGTCTTTTCGCAGTGGGGGTGGGCGGGAGAGGGAGGAGAAAAGGGAACACGAATGATTGATTTTGTTGACAGTCTTACTCGATGGAGCATTCACCGAGGAATGAGAAGGTGATGAGACAAGGGACGATCTTTAGGTTGTAGTGAATAGGAATGAGGGATCGCTCTACTGTCATGGTGATGCACAAGGGAGAGGGGGTATACAGGCGGAGGAGTGTGGGTAAGGGAAAGAGGAAAGAGGGAATAGAGAGAGGGGAGAGAGGAAGGGCGGGAAGAAAGTGGTGACCCTTGTCCAATTGCTGTGCTAGCGTGTTGTTTTTGTTGTTGTTATTTTTGTTGTTACTATTGTTGTTGTTGTTGTTGTTTTGTTGGTTGTGGAGGGAGGGGATGGAAAGGACAGAGTGAGTGAGAACAAAGAGAAAAGAGGGGAACAAGTTCTTCTTGGGAAGAAGCGCTTCGACTGAGTGGGGTGAGAGCAGAAAGTGGACCTGACGAAAATTCACTCTCGCACAAAAAAAAGGGGAAGGGAGGGAGGCAACAGAACAGCCTGACCAGTGCAGGTTGCTTTTTTATGCAAGAACGAGTATTTGAGTGTGAAGGAAGGGTGAGTGATGAGTGATGGGTGATGAGTGATGAGTGATGGAAGGGGCGAATGGTGAATGGAATGGGATGAAGAGAGTGGGCGATGGTGAGTGGTGCGAGATGTATGAGCGGAAGTGTGGAATGAAACGGAGTCAAGTGAGAGTGAAGGAGTGGTGAGGCGGACGAAGAATAAGAATAAGGGTAAAGAGAGAGACGGAAAAGGGAGAGGAATAGGTGGAAATAAAAAGGGAAGAACTTGAACAATGACAAGTAAAGTAGGAAGGAGAGGGTGTTGAAGGAAAGAGTGAACAAGAGAACAAAGGAGATGGAAGAATAGGAAGAAGAGGAAGAGTGAGGAAGACAGCAACGAAGGGCAGAAGGGCGGAGTTAGTGATGACAAGAACTCTCTCTCTTTTTTTTGGCAAAAGGGAGAAAAGGGAAGAGTGGGACCTCGGAGCCTCATTCCCTCAAAAGGGATATATTACAGCACTAACTGAATGCCTTACTGAAACGTATTGACTACACAAAGTGTGAAGGAAACAACGCAGGCAGCGTACAACCAAGTGAACAAACAGATAAACGGAAGAGAAGATGACCCTCCTATGCTCACGATATTGTTCTTGCCTTTTCGCTCTTTTGTTTTCACACTAGGGGTAAACATTACCATTCAACAATGCTGTTGTTGCTTCCCCATAGATATCTAATAAGAGTTGGCTCATGGGAAAATGAGACTCACATCCAATCACCGTCCTGCCCTGAATACAATCCTTGTCCCATCACCAACCAACCATCGAGCCCCTGATCACCTTATTTATTTTACTTTTGACATGTACATCGCACACGCCTCGAAGGTGTCATCCTCCTGGCCCGATCACTCCATCCATCCCCTTCCTTGCATACTCCATCATCATTACATTCTTTCGTTCTTTTTGATAAGAAAGCAAAAAACATTGTGGGGCAAGAGAGGAAGAAAGAGTGAGCGTGTGTGTTTGTATATCTAGTCAGCCTATCGCATAAAAAAAAGTCATCGCCCGTCTCCCAGTCCCCTTCTCAATCGCTTGGACAGGGATTTCCTGATCACAGGCTAATCCTACATCCAGCCTTCGACACACAAATCGCTAACTAATCAACTAACCCCCCTGCTTCTCCTTGTTGACCTTCATCGCCTGGGTACATCACACACACACACACACACTCTCTCTCTCTCTCTCGAAAGAGCCACTTTTGTACCCTTAGCCAAAAAAAAAAAAAAAAAAAAAAAAACAACAACAACAACAACAACAGCGCATCAGAGCATAAAGCCCACTCACACGCTTAGAAAAACAAAACAATCAAGCAACTCCGGGGTCCATCCACTTTCCTCCTTGTTACAATCATGATTCATGCGCGAGCAAGGAGGAGTATAGAAAACGGTTCTCCCCTTTGATTAGAGAGAGACCGTCAAAAAGTAGACTTGTACAACCACAAAAACCACGGCTTTATTTGTCACCGTTGAGGTTGATTGGATAACCATGCGAGACTTCCTTCTGTTGTTTACTGCTGTTGGTGTTTATTGCTTGTTTGCTCACGCGCTCTTCGCATCATTCCGAAGCTTCTTACTCAAAGGACACGCCAAGCACACCACCGCCATTACTACACACGCGTGTATTCAGAAAGTACACTTTGCAATCGCTGTTTTGGCTAGCGGCGTCTTCCGAGATCCCAGATCATATCAGACTAGGGTTATGTCTTCCTCAAAAAGGATACCATACTGTAGAAAAGCACAGATAAAAGATGGATAAGAGTATAAGTAACGCGTTCTAGCCCTTTTGGCTGACTCATACATTTTACTCAGTCGCTATTTTGGAGAATGCGTTTTGAAGTTGGACATGGCCCTCGTGATGTTTCTCCTGCCATTGTTGAGGCATGCAGCTCAACCTTCTTCCCTTTCGCCATTTACCACGCCATGTGGTCATCTCCTTACATGCGAGAGATACGCGATTGTATAACGATTCCTTTACTCGCACATGATACCCTCACTTTATCCTCGTTGGCATGTCTCCATCGAAAACAACAGCATATCCATAGGCCAAGTGCCATTTTCTATTGCTCCAAAATGAGCAAACAATCACCTGTCATATACCTGGCGACTTCCATACAGTGTGTACACCTGTCAACGCCCACTTGCTTGACTCGTAATGGCTGCAAATGGAAAGGAACTCGCTTTCCCATTCAACCGAAGGCGACGAACGTCCAAGAGTGACGGATAGCCCAACTAACGAAGTAAAATGGAGGTTTTTCTCTTTTTACGCCACACAATCTGGGTATTCAACGTTCTTTTTTATTCAATATTGCTACCCTTACCTTTCACACACGTTTCTTCCTTCTCTGGCTTACTTTTGCAAGCATGCATGCCGATGGCGATCGAAAAATGCGAGCTCTCTTTTATTTTCTGTTGTTCGCGTGCGTGGGAGCGACATATCTCTTGTTATTGGCCAGTTTCAAGAGGCCTAGAACGCGTGCTCCCTTTTTTACGTTTCTTCGTTTCTATTGCTCTTCCTCATTTTCCATGTTTTACTGCTCTCTTCCACTCACTCTCTTATTCTTGCTTTTTCACTTTAATGAACAAATATCGCTTTTCTTTCTTCCCTCCCTGTTCGGTGATACGACTCCAGTGAACAGACCGACACCCGTACTCCACCGTCGGCTTAGTAACGTTTGAGCAGACCATCAAAAGCCGACAGGAGAAAACAGTGCACTAAGGACGCTACAACACAAAAAACTGGGCGTACTCTCATTGCTGTTATGCCTCTTCGTGGCAACTTCCAGAGATCGGTCTTCACTGTTGTTTTGGCGAACTCAACACACCGTTTCCTCCCCATCTTCTTCCACCTCGCTCCATCTCCTCGGTCGCGTCTCTGCGAGAACAGAACAAAAAATATCATTGTTGTCCTTGTTTTGTTTAAATGTTTTTTATTGTTTTCTGAATGATGGTGCAACCCTTCTGACCTTTACCCTTCCCATCCTTCTTCCTTTCCATGCTCTCGCCCTCTTCTCTTCTCATCGCCTTTTCAGTGCTCACTTTTATCCATCATTACCGACCATCTTCGCTCCAAAACGACAAACAGCGTAGATGCAAGAGAAGGAAAAAGAATGCTCCCTCCTTAATAAACATTGGGTCGAAAAAATAACATTTCTTGTACATGTTCCCATGAATACAATTTTCTTTCCAAAATATTTTGTCCTCTCCTTTCCTGGTTATACTCAAACACATGTCCAGCAGACGACAAGGAAAGACGCGGGTGGAGAAGGAAGCAAGTCAAGTCCAACAACAAAACAAGAACGAAGTGTTTGTGTCCGCGTTTCTTCTCTTCTTCTTTCGCACATCCCAATGGTTTTCTCACACATCGTCATCTTTTTTCTATGCAACACCAAAGACCAAAATAACAAAGCTGCACATTCAGTGTGAGAACGAAGCTGGAGAAATGTATTGGCACAACAATAGTTCGATCGTGGATAACAGACCACAGCAGCAGCAAATACGAACAAGCCAACACATCCTTCATGTGCACCCACACTCTAGACACTCCAACCTATCTGAGATGTGATATGGATACAATAATTGTACTTTACAAAACATAATACATGCTACTCGCAAACTATCAAACTACAGTTCGGACCCTGACTCTTCTCCGTTCTTTTTCTCAATCCGGGGGAGCAAGATTGCACCATGAAGGTTTGAGGTTGCCACGACAGCCCTCGGCTGCACCCGCCCTCTACTCCTTCGCTCAACAATTTGAATAAGATGGGGGGCCAGACTGGGTATCACAAATAACGCACCCAATACAAAACAACGCATGTTGGGATGAAGGTGAGAGAGATAGCTCGAGTCAAGTTACTTGGGAACATGTTGTACCTCCAATCAACCGTGCAAAGCCCACATCTCTTCTCTTATTCACATACATTGTTTCTCATTTTCTCGATGCTGCTTTTTTTCTTGCCATTTTTGCCTACACTAGGCCGCTCTCTTGTTTAGTCTGCAACTCTGTACAGGCACGCTCTCTTCATTGTGAAGTCCACTCACTCGCTCAACTGACCTTCGCTCACCCATTCACCATTTTATTTCTCACACACATACCCAATCGTGCTTGAGAAAATAAATCTTGTATTTCAGCCTAAACTCTTCCTTGTCCATGGCTCGACCTTACTAGCGCGTAAAGATGATAGGCAAATGCTGTGTCGCTCACTTCCCGGACAGGTCGGTCAGGTCACCTTCCTTCTTGGTTCCCCGTCAAACAGGCATCCATTTTCTGTCCAGGGATAGACGCCCAAATGCCATTGGTGCGTTTCCTAGTCCTCAAAACGTGCTAATCTCATTGTTTACTTTTCATAATTTCACAACCAACCAAAACTGCAATCTCGATCGATCAAAACGTATAAGAAAAAAAATGTTCATTAAAATGCTGGTGGTGTGAGGGATGGGTTGGGGTGGGTTATTCTATGACTGCATTGGTGGGCTTTTTGTTGTTGATGGTGTTCTGCCGTGCAAGTCTGGATGATGTTATCGTTCTCGAAATGAATTGCTACTTAGTCATCGGTTTAGCGACGCTCCTTCTCCTTGTACTTGACAAACTCGACCAGGTTCATCGACGCCTCGTCCGCCCGATTCCTCAAATCGCGGTCCTTGCGGCGGTCGATATTCCTGACCATAAACTTCACCATCTTCACCATACCCTTCAGCTCCTGATTGAAGTTGCCTTGCACATAGACTGGCAAGTCATAATCAAACTCGGCGTCCGCGTAAATGTCGTAAATCGCGTTCAACGCCTCAACACATGCGTCTGTGCTTGGCTTGTTCTTGAGCAAGTTGATCAAAAATTCTCCGATCACCTATATCACGTTCAAACAAAGAAAGAGCGTGAGTAGGCTGCTATAACATAGCAAAATATAAAACAAGAGACGTGTTACGAATAGCAAAGAGAGAGGTTTACCTTGTTAGTCTCGACGGCGCCTTGGCGTCTGGCGATGACTCCCAGGCATCCGATGGCCTTGACACGCATGCTATCAGATGTCGTCGAAGAGTAGGCACCCATCAAAGCAGGGATATGGAAGTCGCTCAAGGGCACATGGGTATCCAGTCCACGCGCCAAAGTCCACAAACATCCGACAATAGCATCCAGAATATCACCACGCATCTCCTGACCCTTCTCCTCGGCGCCAACCTGAACACCCTTTCCTGCAATGGTGCCAGCCTGCTGGAACAACCACACCCAGCACTGCTCAGCATCGGATTTCCGGTGCTTGTACCACCACTTTCCAGGAACCGCATCCGCCATGGTCAACAAAAAGTTGTTCAATGCCTCAATGGCTCTCAAGTGGGTCGTAGCCAACTGTGCGGTGATCAAGGGTGCGACAGTGGCCGGTGTAGGGATCTCCTGCTCGGGGAAAGAGAGAGGGGTAGGGGTGCCAAGGTTGATAAGGGCGGGGAAGACAGTGTTGATGAGGATGTTGATGATGGGGTGACCAGAGAGATCCATGGGTGTCTCTGCTGCGGCTGCGGCCAACTGTCCCATTTCCCGCAGGGTATTCTCATCCAAGTCGTTGTCCTTCTTCTCGGTATCCTCCATCTTCTCCTCATCCTCGTCAGCCTCCATCTCGTCATCATCTCCAGCATCGTCCTTCCACTCTTCTTCCTGCTCATCCTCGTGGTCCACGCCCTCGACAGACTCTGTGCAAATGTTGGCAATCAACTCCAACGCGAGCTGTAGGGTCTGCAGGCGGGTCTCGATCAATGCAAGAGCCTGCTCCTCTGTCGTTGAGGGCTGGTTGGGCTTTGAAAGATCCACTTCCTGCTTCTGTGCGTTCTATTATCAGAAAAAATGGACATTATGTTAGTATAATTTTCAATGCCTTCATACCCAATTCAATTTCTCCTGTCAACGAACATGCAGTATAACTTACAACGACCTGAGCGGCAGTGGCGGCTTCGGCGCTAGCTTTCTGGAGATCGTAGCTCAAGGCGCCACTCAAGACGGGGAGGACAGCAGCATGGATGTCTGAAAAGTCGCTCTCGGCAGCCTTGGGCGAGATGATGGTGCGCAGGTTGATAACAATACCGGCAGCAAGAGTTTTGATCAACAGCTCCTCCTCTGCATTGACGTTCAATCCGAGAATGTTCTTGAGTGGCTGGATGTAGTTAGGGTTCTTGACAAAGACAACGCGGCTGTCTGGGTTGTCGTCCGTCAATGTGTAAAGGCACTGGGCTATTTTGTCCGCATAACAATAAGAATGCTGTTAGTCTATAATCTCTCTTTTCATTCTCTCTCCTCTCTCTCTTCTCTCACTCAAAACTCCTAATAGATGCATGTACCAGCAGCGACAGTGACTTTGGGAGGGATCTTGTCAACGTTGCTCATGAAGGACATCAGGAAGGGGATCATATCCAGCTTGTTGACAAACTTGAGCGCCTTCTCCGAGTTCTCGGCCATGGCCCAAATAACGCTGATGACGTTCTCGGCCCAGTCCCAGACAGTCTTCCTCTTGTCCTGCTCCTCAGCACTGATAGCGGCTCCGCTGAGCATGGTGTCGATCATGTTTCCGAGAGCGGGGATCAAAGCGGAGACGGGGGTGAGGACGCTCTTGTTGTACATTTCGCTGATGACCTCGTCGCCTCCGACGACGGTCAAGTTACGAAGAGCTCCGAGGGCCTCAACAACGACCTCATGGACAGAGTCGGTCAGACGCTCGATCAGGGCACCAATGAGGTTTTTGCTGAGCATCATTCTACGGGTTCCTGCGTCGTGCATCAACAAGTTGCTCGCACCTGCAGCCGCCCACGCGCGCTCGTTGGCGTCAGGCGACGACAACTATTAGTGTCGGTTGAAAGGAAGTGTTAGATACGAGAACGAATACCAGTTGGAGGTCGCAGTACCCTCAGGAACTGATAACCAAGGCGTTAGAAAAAGAGTCAGTGAGCCAACTGGAGGAGTCAGGTTAAAGTACCTTGGCAATCAAGGGGAGGATGGTCTCCATGGGAAGGGTCTGAAGACTCTCGGCCTCAGAGATTTCAGCGTTGGTCTGCATTCCTGTGGCATTGTGGCGGGCCTGCTTCTTTTTGTTGCTCTTGACTTTTCCCATGGTGACTGAAGCGAGGGTTGGGTGTGATTCGAAAAGGGGGTGATGGGTTGGAACAACGAAGCAATGTCCTCCTTCAACTCAACCTTCAAAAAAAAAAATCGCACTCTCCCAGCAAACAATGTGGCTTGTAAGTGTTTGCGTGACTGGCTAAGTCCTGAATTTAATTATTAGTGGAAGAAGGGTCCAAGGCGAACAGTTGTTGGAATAATGGACTACTGTTGCAAGCTGGGAATAGGAACCATCGAGCACACAAGAACATCTATGATGCTGGTGCTGCTTTCAAGATAAATAGCCCAAATGGCCTCCGGTCACTCTTCTCCTCCATTCTTCTATTCCTCTCACTCAGACTCCACTTTTCACACTCTACATCCATTTTTGTTCCTTTCGACCTGCAACCCAGAGATAGATACTCCCACGACGGCCATGACAATCACCCATCCACGACACACTAGACATGCACGGATAATCCTCCTGCTACTGATAGCATTGGCAATAGTCCTGTCAGGTGTTGCTGCATCCTCCTCTCACGCTTCAGGACTTCAAGGTGCACATATCATCCATTGGCTTACATAGTTCCCTGTACGGAAGACATAATCGCAAGCCAGGAACGATAGGCTGACTAACTTGCATCCCTCCGCACCAATGCGAATGGATCATGACGATATTTAGCACGCCTGGATGAAGAGAACCCTTCTGCAGAGATCGAGGACTCGGACCAGTCAACAGGGCAGGCCCCTCCCGATTCTATTGGTAAAACCAACCCCGATCCAGCAGAGTCAACCGCCGATGTGACTCCGCCCATTTCTTTTAGCAAATCCACCACCCTTTCTCCTGCCCCTGCTCTAGTAACAACCGTAGCAGCGGCAAAGGCTTCTCCTTCAACACCCTCTTCGTCGGTATCGTCTTCTACGGGTATCTCGGGCACAGACTCTACCAACATCATTGCAGGTGCGGACCCGCGCAAAGTTCCCAGCAGACTGTCCATGACCTACCCAAAACCAAACCAGGCCAACCCACCTCTCTTTGCGATCGGGAATTCAATCGATTTTACATGGGAGTTTGACAAGCCTACTCTGACAGCTCCACCTGCCAACCTCACCCTCCAGATAACCCTGAACAGCGATGCGACAATGGTCTGGCCCATAGCCAACATTTCGGGCACAGCGACCTCGTACACGTGGAACACGGCCAACATCAGAACTCCGTCCAACCTCCTCATGGGCATGTACACCCTGTAAGCACCCGCCCTTCATTCTATTGTTTGATTGGCGCATCATGCGGGCAACGAGCCGTATTAATAACACATTTCTTTGTTTTCGGTGAATGTTCTCCATTTGAACTAGCAATATCTTCGACGCCAAAATTGGGAAACTAGGCGCTGCTAACGGTGGCCAGCTCATCCCGAACTCTGACCTTCGATTCGGCCTCTATGTTCCTGTATGTCCTGGATCTTAATTCCTTGACACCATTGCGAAAAGGGTCCTTTTTCTATCTGCAGTGCTGTTCCAGATGCAACGTCGTTGGTAATTTCCAAGCTAACTCTTGTCTCCTGTTTCAACGCTCTCCTCTTGTCGTGTTCTGTAGGAATCAAGGATCCCTGGAGCAAACAGTACGTTGGGATAATTTCATTCAAAGAATGCTCTCACCATGATAACATAACTTTTCTTGAACATAGAACTAACAACACGCCATTTTTGTCCACCTGCCCATTCTATAGAGGTACAATGCGGCACTTGTGAACTTGCGAGTTCCTCGGCCCCACTTTACGTTCAAAGACAGGTCATCATCCCATTTTTGATTGCCAATATCATGACCCTGGTCATGACATTTACATAGATACCTTTCCCCTAGCCTAGTCGTCGTCGTTTCATTGTCAATTATTACTCTACTTATTGTGTTTTGAAACCATGCAGATTGAAAATTGACACATTCGGCGCCGTATGAGGACATCCGCCCTCTCCTCTATTCAACGTTCACATGAGGTTTATGTGTGTGTGCTGCAAGGCAAGGCTGGTGTGTGTTTGTGGAGAATGAGACATGCTCTTTTTATTACGGGACATGGTTATCAGATTTAAAGTACTCTAATCCATATTGAGGTTCAAGCGGAGCGGATTAAAACCCCTTGGAGGAATGCGTGTACTCTTTGCTCTTCTTTACTTTAGCCCCGATCTCTTTTTTCCCCTTCCTGCACCTCTTATCCGTTTAGTACAGTACTCCTCTTCAAATGACATGAACCCAAAAAAAAAAAAAAAAAAAAAAGGTACAAACTCAGGGAAAGAAAGTGGCAAGACAAGATTGGCATACAGGGCAATGAAAAGGCGGGTCAAGCGGATGAAATTGATGAATGGGCTCTCACTCCACCAAAAATAAACTGAGTACTATTCATTATGGGGTAATCCTGGTAATGGAGGGAAGAGGTGTATGTCCTGTTTGCCAGGGGAACTCACTTTTTATTTTTCCAGAAGATGAGGCAGGAAGGAGAGATGGACAGACATACATACAGACAGACAGACAGACAGACAGACAGACAGACAGACAGACAGACAGACAGACAGACAGACAGACAGACAGACAGACAGACAGACAGACAGACAGACAGACAGACAGACAGACAGACAGACAGACAGACAGACAGACAGACAGACAGACAGACAGACAGACAGACAGACAGACAGACAGACAGACAGACAGACAGACAGACAGACAGACAGACAGACAGACAAACAGACAGGGAATTAAGGAAATTGAGGTTGACGTTCAGTCTTGCAGCGGTTTTACTTGTAGCAATTGAGGACGGCGGACAACAATTACTCCTAAACACGCATACATAATCAGAGAGTCGAAAAGAATCGATGGAAGAACAGAATGAGAGCACAGTTACCCTCACAAAGGACATGGACAAGCGAGTCAACAAACGGAGAAAACAAGGACAAATTGAGGCTGAAGGATAGTGGAGCAACGGTAGGGGTAAGATGCAATATACTCTGTGCCTTTGTCAGTTGTCTCAAAGATGGAGCAAGCCATGAAATAAATATGCGAGCCCTATTGACAAAGAGTGGCTCACCTCTTTTCATTCATTCATCATCTCTTTCTTCATCGCCATCTCTCATCCTTCCTTCCTTCTTTCATTTTTTCCTTCTTTCCTTCCTTCCTTCTTCTCCCGCCCTCACTTCAACTCTGTTCTCTTTGCCTTTTTTTATTTTTTTTTATTTTTGCTTGCTTCAAACACAAGCAAGAAACAAAGCGGAGACGAGAAGTAGAACGAGAGAAAAGACTTCTCAGTGCCTTGCGATTAATTGACTGTTTCTCCCCCTTGTCTCACATACAAACTGTTCACCCACAGGTACCACCATCAGTTATTATAATTTCCATCGCACTGATGGAACAAATGTCATATCCGTAGACCATGCGTATCTCATTCATTAGTGTTCAATCGATCACAATGATGATGATAATCCATCCACCTGGAGAGGGAGAGAAGAGGGGAGTATGCAACCATGCAACCATGTTAGCATGGACATGAGGCACGCGCACATCAGATGCGATGTGGGTTCTTCTTGTCTTGACGATAACAACGAAACATCAACATTAACAAAAGAGAGAACAATTGGCCTATTGGCAAATGCAAGCAACGACGAGAATACTCCGCACACACAGACAGACAAACAAAGAACACGAGAAGGAAAAGGCCGTTTCTTTTTGTCGGACCAATTGTGTCTGGATCCTCTTTCTTGCCCTTTTCTTGTTTTGCCACCAACACTCAACGGCTTTTGTTCTTCTTCCTTACCTTCCCTATCAATCCATTCATCGTTCTCTCTTTCCTCTCTGTCTCTTCTCCCTCCTCCCTTGAACACTCGCTCGACCACGTCCAATCTTCCCCTGCCTTCAACCGCACCCTTCTTCCTCATCTTCCTCAACCGTCGACCCCAATTGACACCACATACACTCTCTCCTTGTTGTTCTCTCACAATTACACATACACATACACCTCTCTCACTCGCTTCGCCCTCATCTCACCTCCTTCTTTTTTGTCTCCTTTTCATTTCCCTCTTTTCCTTCCCTTGTTCCTTTGTCTCCTTTGGGGTGCGTTCCTGTTATTGTTGTTGTTTAGTTCTTTTCCCTTTTCGCTTTCATGCCTACACATCTGAATAGACACATTCAGAAACAGACAACTAACCAACCATTTTTCCTCATTTTATTACAATCTCCCTTTCTGTCGCAGCATTTAAAAAGACAAAACGCAATATACCATACCCTGTCTTCAGTACGTCGACAAAAGAGTGAGTACATTAGCAGTTCCCAGTTGCACTTTTTCCTCCCTGCCCCTGCCCCTGTAGACAATTGCCAATGGCAGGTCAATCCGTCGTCGTTGTCTGTCACAAAGTAAAACGAAGGTCCGTTGTACACCCGATTCATTAATCTCATTTTTTTTTAATTTAATTGTGTTCTGTAGCATTGGCAATAGCAATCGCCATATCTCAAGACCACAATAATGTCTTCGTTCTCCGTCTTTCCGCCCTTGGCTGGGTCCTCTTCCTTTCCTGCTCCCTTATCCTCCCCTTCTCCCTCCCCGTCTTCTTTCTCTTTTTCTTCTCTTTTTTCCTCTTTTTCTTCTTCCTCATCCATCATCCCTCCCTCCAGAACAAGACAGCCTTCAAAACGTCCATCTTCATCCTCCCGCCGCATCCTCATCTCCATCGCCCTCGCTGTCTGCTGCATCATTCCCCTAGCACAATCCTCCTCCTCCCCTTCTGTTTCCACTGACGCACTGCCCATCCAGGAACAACAACTCCAACTCCCCCAAGGCCAATTCATCCCTGCCCTGGTTCAGCCGTCCATCGATACAATCGATCTTCCCAGTGATACTTCTTCCTTCCCTCTCCCTATCCAGAAACGCGCCGACCCTATCTCAACCACCACCGCTACCCCTACTATATCAACCACCGCCGCTACCTCCACAAAGTCCAAACCTTCCAAAACGGCAAGCACACAATCAGGCATGGCAACTATCTCTGGCACCCCAACAGCGGCTGTGCAACCTACCATGACCCCCGACAGCAAGGGTGACACGGCCTTGTTTGGCAAGCCCTCTGTTATTGGCGCCTTCAACCTGACCACCGGAATTCTGATCTACTCAGCTTTCATGATCCTGTTCCTGAGCGCCATCGGATTCGCAACCTACCAGCGTGCCCAGTACAGGAACCAGTTCCGTCTCCAGCAAAAGCTCAACATGGAAGGCGGTAGAACTACGCCAGGCGCTGGTGGATCCAAGCGCGGTGGCGGTGAAGATCTCAGCGATGCGGCCTTGTTCAAGCAGGCATCTATCAGCAAGCGGGCTTTGATGAAGGATGTCGGACCAGGAGGCGTCTTGGCTGCCAACGAAGCCATGAAGACCAAGATTGCATCTGCCAATGGCGCAGGACGATCCTACGACGAGCGAGAGATGGCCAACGGTCTGGGACAACAGTCTTCTGGAATGGGCGTCCGCTTTGGCGAGAGCACCGGTGCTACCCAGGGCAGCACTGGACGGACAGGAGGCATGAAGAAGACCACCCAGGCCTACGAGATGAACAGCTACGGACATACCGAGGACGCCATGAGCTATTATCAGGACAACCACGACACTACCGACTATAGTCGTCCACCCCTGACGGAATCGGCAGACCCATATTACTCCTCTGGAAGTTCTAATTCTGGCTATCTGGATCAAGTCGAAGACTACCACTACAACCCCGCTGGAGGCAGCAGCCCCCAGATGCCCAAACCCTCGTACCAACAAACCTCCAACTCCAACGTTGCTTCCCCTCAGCCTGGCCAATCGCCTCTTTTTGTCCAGCGTACCAACTCGAGCCGCATGCCCAAGGGAGACTTGCACGATGGCAACAACCTCTTCAGGAGTAACTCTGGACGCCGTGCTGGAGCTTCGACTCCAACACGAGGACTGGAGCGCAATGGTTCTGGCGGTCAGCCTTCCCGGATAGTCACTCAGGGACACTTAGATCGCTCAGGATCTGGTGGAAACGGATATACTGGAACGACTTCGCCCATATCGCCCCACGCTGATGGAAATGCCATGTCCCGCTCAGGAAGCAATGCCAGCTCGGGCCGCACCAAGGTTTCGCCTAGCCCAGTGCAGATGCACCCTACTCCCATCGCCCGATCCAACAGCACACGGTTACCCCCTTCGATGCGTGGAGGCGCTCCCCAGCCTTCGAATCTTAGTCAAGCCAACAACTATGACTACATGTAAAGCACCAAAAATAGCAACAAGAATACTCTTCATTTTTTCATAAAATAATCACATCCACTCTATCTCTCCTTCATACACATTTGTCAGGGAACCGGCTCCTTCTTTTATGATATGTATTCGCTTCCACAGAGTACGATGATGACGATACCATTTCAGACGAGTGAGTGTTGTCCAAAACCTGGGAACTTGCGTACGACTATACCTTGCACCCCTCTCCACATTGAAAGCAACCACCACTTTCCTCATACTCGTACATGCCAGCAATTGTTCCGCTTGAATCCTTTATTTCCATTGTCAGCAAAAATGCTACGTCACTGCGAAACAAAAGCAAGGAAATAAGGTGTGTTTTTTCCGAAGGTGTCTACGGGCCTTCTTCTCGCCCACCAGTCCGGACTTTTTTTTTTCTCCATGAAATAGATAGATTCGGACCATCACTCTCATCACTTCTCTCCACTCTCCACCTCCTCCAAGAAAAAACATATATCCATCATGTCTGCAGCAATGGCCGCCCATTTGTCCGTGGTGACTGCCCAGTCACCATCGCTCTCGGCCGCCCGTCAGAGCGTCATCCATCTCTACCGCGACTTCCAGCGCGGTGTAAGTCTTTTGACATTACAAAACAACATCAGCACTGGATTCAGGAGATCTGTGTCAGCTTCAACATCGACAAGCGATTAGGAAGGTGTTGTCAAGGATATTATCAATAAGGGAGCAGGAGCGGTTGGCGCGACCCAATTTCTTCTCTGGGGACCAGTTTTAGACAATTCAGAATATCAGCAAAGCGGGTTGGAAAGGGACCGCTCTAGGTCTGTCACCAGATATATGCTGCCGGCTTTGTAACCTTTTCGGGATTGAGGAAACACTACAGACAACTAGTCAGACAGTGGCATCAAAGTCAGGACAGGGTCAATTTTATCTTTTAAGTCTGATCGATCACCTTAAAGACAAGGCAGCCTGGAAGCGACAAGACAGCTACAAACCTAACAACGCGATCTCTCATGATATGATAACTTAGGTCCCAGAGATTATGCGCACGCATCAGGTCGACATGCCCATGTCGATGATCCGCACCAAGATCCGTGAGGAGTTTGAGCGCCACCGCGATGTCAAGGACTTGGCTGTCATCGATATCTTGTTGTTCAAGGGCCGTCAGGAGTACCAGGAGACCATGAACGCCTGGAAGCAGGAGACCCACCTCATGCGCTACTTTATCAAGGACGATGCTCCCCCCAAGCCCCAGGGTTTCTTGGAGAAGTTCTTGGCCGGCAGAGACTAAACACTTTTACACATCCTTTTCAAAATACACGGAATACAGTACCAATACACCGTAATGTGATCCGTTCCATGCATTGTTATATTTTGGACCAGACAAAACAATCAAACGACAAACAACAGACAACAAACAACAGTGAATGAACGAACAACAATAAACTATAGAATTCCTCTTTTTTTGGTGCTAACAACAACAACAACGAGTACTAGTAAGGAACCTAGACATGGTTGTTCATATTAGTCTTCTTACTTTGCATTAGTGATGAAAAGACCAAAAGGAGGTGTGAGTTCAAAGGCCAATCAGATCACGCATAGATTCTTAATTTTCAGGGCACCATCGCAGTGGTGAAAGGTACCTAGCCTTCAAGGAAATAAACGATAGAGGACATTCGGCAACGTAACAACGACGATTACGATGAATGGCCCATCCACTATTGGAATACCCACTAAAAAAAAAATATATATGTTAAAAAAAAATAGAGGCAAAAATACCCTAACCCATGTCCGTCTTCGCCAACCGATCATACTTGTTATTTATTCGTTCACCACTCTCTTCATTACTCATTCATTCGCACATTCATTCATTCATTCATTCACTCCTCCGTCGCAAAAAAATAGTCAGATCTCCTTTCCTCTGTCATATCTCACAGCAATGACTGCAGCCTCGCCAGAACCAACACCAACAATCCTGCAAGCGTTTCGCGCGGTGACACTTCAAGGAGCGTCCACACCCACACCAACTGCGCCCCAAATGACGGAAGCCATCATCAACATTAGGTCTCGGTTTGACCCACGCTCTGGGCAGCAAATCATACTCTGGAACGACATCGTCAAAGTCTTCAAGCACGCGGAATATGTGCAACACGCGAATACCTTTGTGCCCTACCTTGCCAACGACGACTTTGAAGAGTATGTTTTAAAACACCCTGAAGCCTTTTTATTCTCAAGCTCACCATGGACCATGAATCGATTGCATCAAAAACTAACATGCATGATTTGAATACTTTTTAGTCTGATTCCACTACGCATAGCAGCGCATCCTGGAGCTGTCTTGGAGGTCGCACTATGCAATCCGAGAAACATTTTTCAATCTGAAGCCGACCCTTCTACTTTTTCCACCACCTCACAGTTTATCAACGATATCCTTCAAGAAACGTCTTCTCGTCTGCACCCAGCCTCCAACGGGTCACCCATTCCTTTACACCTATCTCCCAGCCACGAGCAATTGACTACTGAGCCCTCGCAGAACGAAACGGACAGGACTCTCGTCTCCACATCCCAGCGCCTTCCTTCCTCCTCCTCTTCCTCTTCCTCTTCCTCCTCCTCTTCCTCCTCAAATACTCGCAGTGACAGATTTCAGTTACTTGCACCTCGCCTCGAGACAATGGAGTCAACAATGTATCCACGATCGGCATCCCTCAGCACAGGACATTCGAAGTCATAGGAGACATGCTGTCAACAGACTTCGCATCCTCTTCCTCCTCCCCCTCTCCTACTTCTCCGCCTCGTGTGAGGTCAAGACGTTCGCTTCTTGCAGCACCCTCTCAAGGATCGATTCTGATGTCTTCCCGCTTGGCACACCCACCCTCATCTCTTACAAACCAAGTACACCCTCAAACGTTGTTCAACAAGGCAACCCCCGCTGATCAGGAGCTAACAGGGGATACTAACGCAGAAATCGACTCCTTCCTACAGGCGACAAAGGCGTTGTGTTGGCATGTGGCTCCCATGCCACAACTGTTTATTGTTCTGCCAACGATGAGCTATTCTACCGACAGGTCGTGCCCTGTCCTGGGCAACTTTCGATTCTTTGGATGTGTGAGTTCGCCGGTCACTGTGGCAACAGTCAGCTTGCAAAAACAACGAGAGGTTTCAAGGACGGCTTCCACACCTTTATCACCATGGCAGCTTAGAGCTGGTGCGACCGCAAGCGTTCTTCGAAAAGTATGGGGTTATGTGTTGCAGACCATGTTGACGGTCAAGTATGATGGGACTGAAGACAGGGAGCGTCAAGGCCTATACCTCAGTCTTCAAGCCCAAACCGGACTGGATCACGTTCCGGGAATCCAAGTACTACAGGACGAGTCTGGTCTGTCCCAACAAAACGTAAAACTTCATCTGAACTTGATGATCTGCCACCTACAGCGTCTCAGATCCACGACAAACGACACTCACAACACCGCCCCTGGTGAGGATTCTACGACACCATTGCGAAGGAGACCACTCGTCCCACTTCAATACAGCGATCTCACTCAACTCCAGTCCTTCCTAATCCAACGTCGCACCTCCACCATTCGTTCAACCACTACTGATACGACCACAACACTCCACCGACAATATCGAGTCGTCAACAAACAGGGCCACGTCCACTGGATATGTCGGTCACACATGAATAGCCTCCGCCCATTTTTCAACCCGGAACAAATCCAACGCTTCGTCTTTGGTCAATACGACTACAGTTCTCAGAGCGGCGAGCTGATGGTACTCAGTCGCTCCGACATCCCCCTCTCAGCATTCTCCAGCGCCATCATCGCCAACGCTACATGTGTCACTGAGCTTATCATCGACCTCCAGTCGGAAATGACTGCAAGCGAGTTTCGCAGTCTTCAGGATGCGGTTCTTATCTTTGAACTGTCCAGCTTGAATATCAGGAACCTCGGGTTTATTGTCCCGGCAGCTGCAGAGAGACGATCGGTACCGACACTCAACTTCAACGCCGACAGCAACACCGACAAAAAGGGACCCGTACCATTTACTACAGCCACACTTCAACACTCTTTGGCAGCTCCTCAGTGACCATCCCTTGCAATCCCTGAGTCTCAGCAATGCCACCCATCTCTTGACACAGCATTGGGTCCGGAAACCCATACGTTCCTTTTGCCTCCACCGTATCTGCCTGACAATCTTTACAAAAGACATAGGTATCGACCCGATCCGACAGGGCGTTTTGAACATAATCTCCAACTCACCTCATCTCCAAGACCTCAAAATCGTCTGGGACGACCTGAAAGAAGCCGTGAGCGAGAAACTCCTTTTCAACACACTCCTGGCTCGAGGCGGTGTTAACCTTGCAGATTCCACCAACGTCTGCTTCGTCATGTCCGACAGGTCAACGTCGTTCATGATCAATAACGGTCTGCTTGTCGATGTATGCCTGACGGCCGCTAGCCTCCCCTCGTTGACACACCAGTTTTTGGCGCAGTCGAGACAACTGAACGGCGGCTGGTTGACAATCAGCGGCATGGCGATTTGGGGACTGACCTCACCCTACATCAAGATGTTCCTTGCCAAGAACCCAGGTCTCGCGTCGCTGGAACTCCAATACCCAATAGAGGATTTGAAGGGGTTGAACAGCATATTATCCAGACGCTCGACGATCCTGCTTCTGGTTGTGGCAACAATGGCGGTTTCCAGCTGCAGGAGTTTACACTGAGGGACACTCGCGGCAGGAGCGACATCAGTGCGCGGTACATTCTTCCCGCCTACTCGCCCTCGCAGCTGCTGGAGAGGTCCTCCGTCAAAACGCCGGTGGACATGATCCTGGTGGAAAAGACGGGCCGGCTATCATTCCCTCTTTCGGTCATACGGGCACGCAGTCAAGTCCTTGATCATGACCCAAGACACCGCGTCAACCATCCTCTCCATTTTTGACAACCCAGCCACCAACCCAACCCCACCCACTCAACACAGGGAAGTACTACAGCTCACGAGTCTAGTAGTATCGCTGAAGGGCCTCAACATCGCCAGCACATTCCACCTCCACAACATCATTCAACGGTCCAAGGGCACATTTAAGCAGTTGGTACTCTGTGGAGATATCCCTCTGAGGTCACACTGTGAGACCGAGACATTGTTGAATCTCTTGCCGGCGTTTGTTGGAGAGCAGGTTGTGTTGTTGCGAGAGAGTCAAGAGGTAGGGACGGAGATGCAAGAGTGGGAGGATTTGATGCGGAGGTTGCTCCCGGAGGGGGCGGTCTTGACTTTGGCGGAGGATCGGTATGATCTGTGTCGTCTTGTTCCTGGTCTCAGTATGTCTATCGCCGAGCATCTCTAGACTGTTTCCACTGGCGTTTTCCAATTCAAAATAAAGGACGGCCTACCTATACTTTCCTGCGATTGAATAGAAGTTGTCTGCGGAAACGCGTTCTGGAGTGCAAACCCTGGTTGTTGTTCGTTCAGACTTTTTGTTTTGGCCATTGGTCAGTGATCAGTAATTCAAAATGTCTTGTTTTGCCACTAATTTTTTTCTGCGACTGTGTCCCCCCACATGGCATGGTCTTGCGAAACATAAATAGCCTACAAAGCCTACAACATGGATACATGTCCATTCCACGCATATTCATCCACCGAATGACTCTTTCCGAAAGAAAATATGAAAGCCTGTTATGGCGGAGACATTAGGATAAAACAACAACAGCCATCCAAGACAAAAAAGAGAGAGGGAAGCATAAAGATGGAAAGAGCCGTCTGGGTATTTTCAGTCTCCCGGCTCTCTTTTGGCTCATCAAAATCAAACACTGTCGGATCCAAAATAAAACAACATGGTTCCCACACCCTGATTACACATCTACACACACACACTTCTCCGCCTTATCCGTTACTGGATGGCTTCTTTTTTTGGTCCAAGATCAACTGTCGAATGATGAGCGCAAATAGGACAAAAGGAGAGATAAGTAAGGTTCTATTTCATGGGTTAAGGAAGAAAGAACAGTTAGAAGGACATATCCGCCAATTGCCTCTCCGTCCAGTCCTCGTTTTCAACTGCAACAAAAACCGCCACTTCACATAATGCAGACAAGGACCAAGTAGGTAAGCAAGCATACTTTCTCCTTCTGCTATTCATTTTTATTACAATTCTGCGAGGGCGGCAGAAAGATCAAATCTCTCTCCAGGATGGATTGCGAGAGCAACGAGAAGGGCAGAGTGAAATAAATACATCGGACAGATTTTTTGTTGTTGTTGTACCTGTTGGCGTGCATGAGAGCCCTGTTTCTCTTCGTTAAAAAAAATGTTGTCAAATGCATGGCTAAAGGCAATTAAAGAATATGTCTGTGTAGATCGACAGGAGCAAAGACGACGACAGCAACGGAGATGGTGTGTTCTGCGCCCTTCTTTATGTTGCGTGAGAGATAGACAAAGGGCAAACCCATTGTTTGTCAATGATGTACAACGAGAAGATATGTTGTTCAAAGCGACAGAAAACGGTCAACATCCATTGCAACAACAAACCAACGGCCAACAGGAGCCAGAAAAAAGAGAAAAAAAGAAAAGGAGGGAAGTCAGGAAAAAAGGGCAATTAGACCCCTAAACCTTGTCATCGTTTGCTGGTTTGTTCTGTGCAGCTCGGTCCCCTTTGTTCCAATGGCACTATGCTATATAGGTGTTTACACGGTGCTAAATCAAAAAAGAATGCGGGTCTTTTCGCATTCAATTGTCCCTCCTCCGCTACTGCTCTTTTTCCCAGCGACGTTCGTTCTCGTCGTTCTTGTGTCATTTTCCTTTTCCCTCCCTTGTTCTCCCTCTTCCCCCTCCCTCTGTCATCCTTTCAACCCTGACTCTTCCTCCTCTTCGTCCTCTCCTTTTTTCTTCGCCTTCCTTTTCCACCTTCACCTTCCCTCCCTTCTTCACCTTCCCTCCCTTCTTCACATCTCATAGTTGTCCCACTTATAACCATATTGGTTTCACTCCTACTCGCACTCCTCACACCCTCTCCACGCACTCAACGTCATCCAACCTCCAGGTACACACACCCTCACTCTCATTCCCTCTTCCTCAATCAACTCACAACGACAGAAAACTCATCAACACCAAACTGCATTCATCCTTCCTTCCTTTGCAAGAACATGTCAACTCCATGAGACGTTTCTCATCTCCTTAGCTTCTCCAACTTGTACAACAATAACACAATAACACAATTACGCCAACGCTCCAGACGAGTCGAGGCGAAAGAGAACGACGCGCGCATATTCAAATGTAGATAATTACTCTGAACCCTCGATCCCCACCACACTGCAAACCCTCATTACCCGCCAACGGGCAACACACCCTCCAACCTGACCGACTACCTCCCTTCCTTAGTCAACCCATACCCCTCCCTCCCTCCCTCTTCACATAACAACTCATTATTATCAACTGCTGTCATTACTGCCTTTCCACCTGTCCAGTACATTGAATGACTGGAAGGGACATACACCAGCAACGAATAGAGAGGGTCTGCGTGGAGAGGCGATCCTGAACGATTTAAAAAGAGTTTGCTATTCTACCCAAACGTGCATGAAAAAGGGGTGTGCCGTGGCAGGCTTGATACACACACACAACATCACTTTTCGACATAGACCCATGTGTTCGAATAGACGAAAGAAAAAAAAATGGCGAAAACAATGATAAATGACACCACAGATGCCTTCTGTCTTTTTATGCCAGGGGTCCGGTAGGGGGGATGTCAGGGGCTAGTAAGAGAAGGGGGGAGGGGGGAGAAGAAGGGGACTATAGAGTTTTCCATCCCTTCCTGTCTGTCCCTCCGTCGTTTTCAACGGATACCATCAACGAATCAACCAAAAGACAGAGCGTTTACTTACAAAACGCCTCTCGTAATTTCCTTCAGAGGAGATAGACGAGAGCAACTCCTCCATGCTCATCCGTCCGTCTCTTTTTTATTCCAACGGATATCCATCCAATCCTCTCTCTCATTACGAGACCAAGCAAAACACCTGCGTGAGCCTTTCCACTAATCCACCGACTCCTTATTTTCTCACCTCCTTTCACTTGTTATGTTACATAACCTATAGACTTTCTTTTGCATAAGGCCGCCGCTTACCGCCTGTTCATAATAACAACCCCCTGTCTGTGCTGCATCCGTTGATTCGTGACCAGCTTGAGCGAAAACACAATCAAAAGAGTGTGTGAGTCGAGTTGAGAGTGAGCGAGAGAGAGAAAAACACACAACCGAGAGAGATATGAGTGGTGCTAACCCGTACAACGACAAGGACGGTCGCCACTCGATCGCGCTCGTCAAGGAGAAAAAGGCCTCGAACCAACATCGATCCCAGGAGGCCGTCCTCCTCACCCCGCACGATGTGGTCCCCCAAAAGCCTTCCGCCCGCAACACGCCTATGATCTCGTTTCAACCCCATCATACCGAAATCTCCACCGATCGGCCGTCGGTTTCGGGTCGACTCTACCTCCATATCCCAAAGATCCCCGGCAAAAAGTTTCATTTTGTCTCCTTGACCCTCCAGCTCCGACTCAAGGAGGCCATGGCCTGGACCAGGCAGGATCTGGTCTCCTTTGAGATCGAGAAGCAGAACTGGTCCCAAACCGTCTGGGAGCGCAAAATTAACCTGCCCTACCAGGATCGTCAGGTCGAGGAAGGTGATGAACCCTACGTCGCTGTTGTCAAGGAGCCCTCTTCCAAGACCCATCAAGGCACGATTGAGATTGCGGCGGATGAATGGCGCTGGGAGTGGCTCATGCCGGTGACAGAGAAGGAGGTCAGGCCTGAGAGTTTCGAGGGCTCAATGGGCAATGTCTGGTACGAGCTCGAGGCAAAGTGTCTTTTCAGATGGGATGATGTCGACAAGGATGGGAACGTTGTGCTATCGACTCATCGCACCTACGAGACCTCCGCTGAATCCTTGGCCGGCCATGGTTCAGAACGCGGCCCAGCAGCCACTCTTCTCAAAGCCGTCGAGGGTAAAAGAGCGATGCTAGTTGTCCTGTCACTTTACGTACATACACGACATCTATACTGACTTGTCGTCTTTACATTGTGTCTCATATAGTCTCGTCGGCAAAGTCAAAGTCGTTAGCGCAGGTGTTTGGAAAGTTGCGCGTCGGTGGCAAGAGCAAAAAGATTCCGACCACAGGCGATTTCTCGCCTGCAGACCAGCACGACCAGTACATTAAAGAGAGTCTGCGGGCGAGAAAGAATAGCATGCCGCAAGAAGAGAGCGGAGTCAATGGTGGCCATGCAGGGACAGGAGGAGCTCTCAGGGAGAGACTTCTTTCAGCCTCCTCTAGGGCACACAGCACCCCCCATCTCAACCCCCTCGGGTCGGACTCTCATGCACATGCAGCACCCGAATACCCGCCCTTCTTAATCCGCAAGGTCCTCAAGCTGTACTTTATCAAACCTCCACCCAACACCTCGTCCAGCCCAGCCTTCTTCCTCCCTCCCCCTTCCATGGCCCTCCCTACCCTTCCAGGCACACGTCGCCTGAAGGCCATTATACCCGGCGCCCGCATTCAAGTCCAGATCCAAATCCCGTCCCTGATCCCCATCCGTGGATATGCACAGACATCCCAGTTGGTACCAGACAAGAAGGGCGGTCTCGTTCTCAGCAAGCACGCTTCCCAAAACCAAATATACAACCACAACCGCCACAACAACAGCCGCCATGCACTGGAGATCGACTCGGGATACTTGGACAGCTTTCAGGCGGCATTGACGGTACGCAAGGTCACACAGAAGGAGATCAACAACAACGATCATTTAAAGAAGCGGTACCACAGCGCCACTTCTGGAATGAACTCTCCATCGGTCTTTGCCACCGCAGGAGACTCTCACAGCAACAACAGTGGCGGCACTGGTTCAGTAAGGAAACGACTGCATAGTTCCAACGTTTCTAGTGCTGACGTCCATGGACAATACGCAGCTGGTGGCAGAATAGACGACGGTGCAGGTGCTCTGGCTGGCACGACTGTCCCTGTAGAGCGACCCTGGAGAAAAGAGATTCTTGTGCGGAAGGTCAAGTGTGAGTTTTGGCAAAAAGAGAGCTGCCGGTTCCCATCTAGCAGCTCAGACTCTCCTTCGAGATCCATCAAGTACGCCATGGGACCAGCATTCACCTACTCGGAAAAGGAGCAAGTTAGGGAACGGCAGAGAGAGCGGTCGCACTCGCTCACACAACTAGCCAACTCTCAGCCGTCCTCAGCACCGCGTTCACCCACTCAGCAGACATCCGCCGTCTCTTGGGATACCAGTGTCACCCGGGGAAGTTCCAATCCTGGCATTGGCGAGGATCCAAGAAAGGTGGTCCGCAAAAACTCCAGCTCTGCGTTACCTATGTCTCCGATCCTCAAGGCTAGCTTGCCTTCTCAGTCGAACCTTTCGGCACCATCGTCTCCTCTCCAGGTTCCCACCATGCCACAACCCATTGAGCGCAAGGGATCTAACGCTTCGCAGTATTCCTCCGTGACCTCGTCCCAGCCTCGGACATCGTTCTCGTCGTCGCACGCCTCGCGTCCTCATTTAATTCAGGGTCATCACTCGTCTCAGAGTTCAAACCCCTTTATGTTGCTGATCCCTGTCCCCTTGGACTCTCCCAAGCTCCGGCAGACTTTTGCCTGGCCTTCAGTTGAAACCCCGGCACCAACGACTAACAAGGGCTATGAGCCTGTCCCGATGCCAATGCCACATAGCATCCCCGACGTTTCTCCGGCAATGCACAACATGGTCATGGCCAACACTGAAGCGAACGTTGTTGCAGGCGCTGATAATCCACCTGGTGTCAGTGATTCACCAAGGTCATCAGAATCGGGACTCATTGGCGACGATGTGGAAGCAAGTGGTCGTCGTCATCAACATCAAGGACATAGCCGTTCACACCAACATCAGTCACCCGCTGCCAAAGCCAACGCCACACGGTCACGTATCGAAGTCAAGCATTACCTGAGTTTCCGTCTCTCGATTGACATGCTGGAGTATGAGGGTGAGCTGGACCAGGACGACGATCTGGATCTGGGAGCATTGGAGGAGCAGCAGTTGCAGCAGATCAGAAATCGACAGGAACTTTCGGCCTACCACCCTAATGCGGCAAGCAACAACTCCAAGGTTCTCTCTAGATCGGGCACAGCTCTTTCCACGGTATCCGCATCTGGTGCGTCTTCGTCCACATCTCCGGTGGCAGCCTCGTCATCATCACTTTCGCCTCTGCCAAATTCGGCCAACCAAGGACTAGAAGGATCCAGAATGGGCACCGGCGCTCTGAGCAGGGCGACCATGACGAATGTGGCAACTGTCGCCTCGGGCGCATCCTCAATGAACTCGAGCCATACCAGCAGTATCCCTACCACCACCGCTACAACGACAGTCACTGGAGGGATGATGACCGTCCCGTCTGCATTGACTTTCCTGAACTCCACAGCTGGCCTGCTGGATATGGAATCCGAGGTGGACAACAGCCATAAAGGCGGTCGTCACCAAGGTCAAGGAGGCACCGCTGACGTTTTTGCCCTTCCTCAGCCAGCATTTGCGAATTACGATCCCCAACAAAGACGTGGGTCGGATGCCTCCCAGGGCACGGTCAAGAGCACTGGCACGACAAACAGTGGCCACCATCATCATCCTTCACATGCCGCCAGCCTGGTTGCAGGCGCCTTTGGTGCTCTTAAGAAGAAAGTATCGACCTCTGCGTTGAACTCGATTGTCAACATTGTGACCCCTGCAACGCCGGCTCCTGTTCCTGCCCTTCCGCAGTTGCTCTCGGCCAATGTCAACACGTCCCTGTCGCCTCAGCAGCACTACACTCAGCACCACCATCACCAACAGCAACACTCTCATCGAACTGCGCCGACGGTACATAAGCTGAAGGACTTTGTGATCCGTGTCCCTATTACGGTGGTAATCCAAGTCGAGGATTTGGCTCGCGTTGGAACAGCGAGGATCGATGGCACAGATTCAGTCACCCAGACCACAGGAGCCTCGGCAACTGTGGCCGAGACCATGGATGGCAGTCAGGGGTCTGAGGTCGAGACCATCCTGACGGCAGATCTTAGGAGCGAGGATGGAGACCAATCAGTTTGCTCTGGTAGCAACATCTACCACAACGACTTGGGCAGGTCGCCGTCGTTTGTTGTTAAGGGACATGAGCCACCGTACGTTGCATTGCAGGAGCACCAGCGGTTGGTGCAGGGCAAGGGACGCAGGATGTCGATAGGCAATAGTATGGAGATCCGGAGTATCCACGGTCAGATTGAGGGCCAGGATGGAGATGAGTATGGGGATGCAGAGTATGTCGAGGGTCAGTTCATTGCCGACCAGGAGCAGGATTGAGTTCCCTTACGCAACGCAACATGACCACATATATCATTCAACAGGACAAACATACAGCACAAGCATAGCATAGCGAGCAATTACAACAATAGAAACGTTGGCTTAATTATTCGAATGTACGATTTACCATCATCGCCCGCTGTTGCATATATTGAGCACAAAAGCGCTGGGACACAGTGCGGAGAAAAGAAGAAAAATGCGGGTTTGCCCGCACATACGACTCCACTTTGTAACCCCCCTGAATGTTCCGTTCATTCGGAGTATGATCGAATCAGCGCCCGCCCTTTTTGTACTTCTACCACCCTGCACGCTGGATCCCAAGTCGCATAAAAACGATAAAAGGAGAACGACCCTCGGACAATTCCATTTCTCATTTTCTCTCATTCTCACGTTCAATCAACAGACACCCCTTTCATTACTCCCCATTACACCTCGCGCTCATCCAACCAGCGCAGAACGACAACCAACAACAACAAGAACAAACAACAACAAGGACAGTAAAGAACAAGAATGAGCCCTGATATCGTACATGAGGTCGCCCAGGCGTTGCAGACCATCCAGCCAGTGCCCATCACAAACGAGAACTTTGCGCGCTGGGGCCAGGTCGTCCGTCTCCCCGACGCCGACCCCAACGCTGTTCAAGTCAATCAAGGTACTATTTCCGATCTTGTTGTTTGTCAATGCCGTATCATGTTTGTTGGATATGATAGAAAGCATTGCTGAGCATAAGCCGTTTGTGCAAGGCTGTCTATTTGAAAAAATAAACACCCTCTAACATGCGATCCGTTAGTGAGCAACTAGACTCGCCTCGGCAGCAAACGAAATCTAACTCTCTTGCATTGATCTATCCAAATGACCAAATGACAAATAGGCACGGCGCGAAAGTTTTCGCATTTAGCAGAGTTCATCAACCTCCGTCCCGCCTCAACAGACAGCGCAAACCCCAACCCAACGCTGGCCCCCGCCACCGCCAACATTGCCATCTTCAAATGCTACAAGCCTGTCGCCACCCCAACCTTTGGCATCAAACTTCTCGAGCGCCATTCTTACTCGTCCCAGATGTTCATGCCCATGGGCGGCGACGGCAACGGATCATTTATCGTTGTGACGGCCGAGAATGGTCCTGATGACAAGCCAGTTCTGTCGACATTGCAGGCTTTCCGGTGCAACAATACGCTGGGCATCAACTATAAGCCCAATGTGTGGCACCATCCCATGATTGTGATTGAAAAGCCTGTGCAGTTTATGACGATTACACACGAGAATGGCGTCGCGCTGGAGGATTGTGAGGAGTATTGGTTTACGAAGGAGAGCGGGTCTGAGGGTGGCGTTGCTGCCTTGATCCAGTTGACTCAATAATCTTTCTCTCTCCATACCTTTGAATTAAAAAAACACACATTCAAAATATCTCATCGAGACGCAACCAAGAGATTGGATAATTGAATATAACAATTGGCGATATCAGTGAAGAGACCTATGATGGAAATGATCAGTCTGAGCGAGACCAAGAAAGTTGAACGACATCAATCGATTTCTTCAGTGATATATCACGACAGGGATATGTGAACTGAACTGTGCACTGGGGACAACAAACAAGGCATGAAGAAAAGGAAAAACGTGGTCAGAGGGGTCCAAAGGACAGACAAGAAACGATCTAGGAGCGAAAAAGACAGAGCATGAGCATAATCTCGTTGTTTCAGTCGACCCTCAAAAGCAACAAGGACGTCCTCATCGTTACTGCAATACGAGGAGTACCTCCGTCTCCTATCCATTCACCACATTCATGGACTGTTGTACTGTACATATCCACACTATCGTTTCCCATTCGGTAGGCAAGCACCAGGGAAAGCGAGAGCGAGAGAAAGACGCGAGACAAAAACGCTGCCTAGTAAAAAGAACTAAAGAAATCAAGCCCTAAAAGCAAGTAAAACGTCATATCTGAGCGGGTTGGCTGGCAGACCTTTGTAGGTAAAGATCGACTGGGCTGTTGCATTATCAGTAGAAGAGTGGATGTGGAAATTATAAAAATATCTCGTGCATATCATGCGCCCAACTTGCGGACATAACTCCTAGGGTCAAGGGGGAGCATAAGGCGAAAGGCAAAAGACATAAAGCAACAACCAATCTCCACACCTCCACAACTTTTTTTTTTACTTTGGATGGTCCGTTTGACTTTTTGTCTAGGCCGCATTATGTCATTCCTCAAGCCAAGGCTGCGAAATAGAGAAACACACTTCAACCCCTCGCTCTTTTCCCAATGTTTGCTCATGTCTCCGAAAAAGGTACAGTACGATATGTTGTTGCCTCGATCATTTTTTTTTATTATTGTTCGTTGGATGGGATTTCTGTACAACATGAACGCCCTGTTCGTTCATGATACTTATTATTATCTCGGCAGTGTATCTTTGGTCCCAACAATCAGAAGGGCACACCTATTACGAGTAAAAAGATGAAGACATGAGTATGCGTGAATATAGGCGCAAAAAAAATATGCTTCCACTCTATCTGGGAGCAACAAAAAGAGCAAAAACGCGCATTCACAACAAAGAGAAACAACGCTAAAGAGCGAGGAGCCAAAACAACAACAAGCAACAACAGCCATCGACCCATAAGCAACAATCCAATACGCAGAGATGAACACAGGAGAAAATGGGCTGGCCTGTCTTGTGGTCCAACGTGAATGCGCAGTGTAGAAGTACTACAGTAGTAAATGTTGACCTACCTCATTGCCCATGACATTACTTTGACCTTTGCCTGACTTTCAAATGCAGTAAAATGGGTGATGCATAAGCGAGAGTGAGAAGGAGAGAGCGCCTTTGTTGTTTAGCCGTTAGTCCATTCGATAAAACGATTGTCGTCCACAAGCGAGAAGGGGAAGGGGGAATATGAGCCGACCATGAAACTTGATTACCATAGGACTTCGGAAAAAGAAAACGAGTAGCAAACAACATGGCGGGCAGGCAGCAACTATTAGGTTAGACCAGAGAGCAAAACGAGTCAGAGGATAGAACAGGCGCGGCACCAATGGACACCGCCCTGTTGCCCCTCTACACCCTTCCAATCCAAACTTTGCTTTGTTGTTCTGGGCTGCACCCATCTCGACTGTGACAATAGAAACTCCCGACTGCCGACCAACCACCCTCTCCCTTCAAGTCCCATCTTCCCTGCGGTGTTGCGCAACTCCCCTTGACAAGTTAAACATGAACACAGTGGGGTTGGGAGTGGCCAGTGAAATTGTTCCAATAGAGGAGACAACGAACAAGTAGATATGAACAAATCAGCACAAGAAGAAATTGGCCATTCAACATGGGCGACGCCTTTCGTCGTCATCTACTTCCGGGCGACTTTTCTAATATTTGTACCTTTATTATATTGATGCAGTTTGATAATCCTCGACTCTTACCCCTGTTAATGGCTCTCGACACTCTGTTTTGTGTCTTGACATCTCCCATTTTCTGCCCTCTGGCTCTCAGTGTCCAACCCAACGATTATTATTATTTTTTAGTTTGGCACGCGTTTCATGGCGGAGGAAGAAAGTCAGGAGAGAAGAAGGGAATGATGGGCGTATTTCTCTGTCTTTGAAAAGGAGGTGGGCGGCGGGGCGGGCGCAAAATTTTTGATAGCAATCCTAGACTCGACTCGAAGAGCCATGACAACATATCCCCGATGGGTACGGGGTCTGGTTAATGATAATGATGATCGTTCTGTTGACAAGAAAAAAAAGAGGAAATTTCTCTTAATCAGAAGGAGAATTGTCTTGCACTTTCTTTCAATAAACGGTGGTGTCTTACTTCACCTCTTTGCTATTCCTAATGGTCAGCTGAGCATGCAGTAAAAAAGGACAACATCCTCACCTTCTCGCGTAAAAAGTACTCTGGTTGGAGTAGCTTGCGTTTTTATTCCAACAATACGAACATATGCCATGTGGTATGTCATCTCATTTCTGCAGCTAGTTGTTCCTGCTCATCCTTGCCCTGAGTAAACCAATGGAGTTGTCTCCTGGACGGAAAAAAAAGTCTAATCTACACCCATTCAAGCAATGCAGAAAAGAAAAGGTGGCATCTCTATCAGACATCTTAAGGATGATCTCCCAGATGGATAGATGGATGGATATGCTCGCATCATATCACAGCGCCTTTTGTGGTTCGCGTTTTTCTTCTTCCTTGCGTCCATGTCTCGTCGATGTTGTCTGTGTGCGTCTGACTGTGCATGTCCTTGATAACAACGACCTACCACCTCTACCCATACTCATTTTCCCCCAATCCAAGTCTTCCGTCCGTCCTTCTCCTCTTTTTTGCTCTGTTCTCCCACCCCCACCATTCAACCCCCCTTTTTTTTGTGCTCTTGCTTGCCTTTGTTTTTGTTCAGCAGACTCGATGTATGTCATGTTACGGAACGGATATCGCATGGCAATTTGCAGGCCTGGCATGAAAAAAAATACAGTCGAGTCAACCATGGGCATGCAGTGCTACAAAAACCAAAAAACATCAAACAAACAAACCATTTTTTATTTTCACTGAACTGCGAATGGTATGCATAGGAGTACCTTTTGGGTTCAAAAAAGCTGAGGCGAAATAAAAGCTAAACTTAACAGTTGTCATTCACACAAGAAGTGCGCCCCTCTTCCCTTTCCGTTTGATACTTCGATGGCCATTCCAAGGAATGAACGAGAAGGAAGAAGAGAGAAAAGGAGATGATGGATCAAGAAGGGAGAGTTTGTGTGGGTGTGTTCACCTTGTCGCACTCATTCATCGTCATCGCCATCGATCGATCCATCGTCCCTCCTTTTCTTCGGTCCAGTTGAGCGGTAGTACTGTAGAAGACAGACAGTAGGAGTAGGAGTAGGAAAAAAAAAGGACGAGATGGGATGACTTTGGATTTGTCAAAAAACTTCCGCTACCATACAACGCCGCGCTAACTAACAGACCTTCTTGAGTAGGTCTAACTTTTTTTTTTTTTTTTTTCACTGCCGTCGTTGCAACAAATGACATAGGGTTAGTTAGACCTGGGTCCCACTCTCTGTTGTTTGGCAGCAACATCAACAATGACAACAACCACAAATAACCACAAGACAATGAACAAATAAAAAGAGCGCGCGATTCGTTTGATCCCAGTTCAGGTAGCCCACAAGAAGAGAACATGGACGGCACGAATTCAGGCGCGTTGAGAAGGAGTTTGTCTGTCTGTCTGTCAAACTGTCTGTCTGTCAAACACAAGGGGCGGGCACTATCTTCCAGTGGAAAAGAGCTTTCGAACAGTAAAAAGGGCCGACGAAGGGAAGGAATGGGAAGGGATGGAGAAAAGGGACAGTAAAACAACAAGCAATGGAGCGAGCGAGCGGGAACAAAAAAAAAGCTTGAGAGACGACGAGAAGAGATTACACAAAAAGTAGCGACGGAAAATATCCACATCCACATATCAGAAAAAAAAAAGATGAGCCTGCTCGAACGTGCATCAATGTTGTTTATGTTGGGAATGGGGATGCAATAGTTCAGTGTTGGTTAGTCGGTTAGTCGGTGGATGATATCGTGCTGCTTACTTTCAGGTGTGTTTTGGCACTCTGGACATGCGCCCACCGGCAGCAATAATAGGAGCAGGGACAAAAAAAATTCCTACGCCTCGACCTCACACCAAATTGAATGGGCGTGGAGTGAGTAATGTTCGCTTTTGCTGACCATGGCGCGGCAAATGGCACAGAGACAGGATGACAATGAGGAGATAATAGGTTGAGCTAGCTCTTTGTCCTTGAATGCTTAGTCGCGAGGACTCGAACTATTCGAAGGGAGTACGAGAGAGAGAGAGACAGAGGAGTTGAGTTGAAATGAAATGGATTGGGATAGGGTGCTGAGAAGGAAAGGAGACAGGGAGACAGACAGACATGGAGACGACAAGATGGGGGGCATTGGGTTGTCAAGAGTAACGAGACGAAGATCGAGTCCAATAATAACTACTGTACCTTTTGTTCAGAGTACAGTAGGTAGACTGCAACCTACCACCGATACGCCACTCCATCTCCAAGAAAAAAAGTGAGAGAATACGAGACAAGGCATAGCGTTTTGCAGAGAGAATGGCGCAGAATGAGGCTGGGCGGGGGTCCGGTCCTTCAGATTTGACCAGGCAAACAAAACAAGGTGAAGGGGGCAGAGAGATAGACAGCAGGAACTATACTCCCGTTCTTGTATGTAGCCCCTCTTGCTACACTTCTCCTCTTTTCTCTTTTTGACACTTGAAGAATGACTACAACAGTGGGGAGTGCAACAAAAGGGGGCAGACCATCATCATCATCATTCGTATCTACACAACACTAGCAACATGTCACTCTGCTTCTCCTCTTCGCTCTTGAGTGAAATGTAGGCAGTAAGACGACAGAGAGAGAAAAAAAGAGGGGGTAAAGAACTAGGAGCGAGAAGACGACGACGATGAAAAAGACGAAGAGGTGTGAAAACGTGTACGTGCTTGAAGTATCAATCTATCACAACGATTGACTTTTTGTTGTTGTTGTTGTTGTTGTTGTTGTTCTTGGCCCTTTACTTTTATTTGTTTGCTCTTTCTCCGACTTGACTAGGCTTGGCTATTTGCTTGCTGGTGTCCATTGTTTACAGGGGACAGGAGAGCCACTGGAAGGGAAAATATCCCCTGTTATAGTTGTTCATTGTTAATGGCAGCCAAGTGGCGAGTAACATCGGGTCAGATAGACAAACAGATAGAAGAATAGGAAAAAGAAGAGGAAGAAGCAAGATGACGATGGGGATGACGATCGAGGCAGGGTACCGGTGCAGTACTGTACAGTAGGTTCATCCATCCAAGCGGCAAAAAAAGCGACAGCAATAACAAAAAAGTAAAAGCAAAAGGCAACGACTGACATGACATGCCAAGGGGAAAAGAGAAGCAGCTACTTCAAGTCTTTCATACTCTTTTTTAGAAACAGACCATCCTGCACAAGAATAGCAGAATTCATGTCTCCTTCTGTTGATGAACCATGGGTACTGATATGCGAGTGCGAGTGTGAGTGAGAGTGTGAGTGTGAGTGTGAGTGAGAGTGTGAGTGCGAGTGTGAGTGTGGGTGCAAGTGCGAGAGCAATGAAGAAGGGGCTGTTCAACCATAAAAAAAAGAGGACCTGGAACTTGCTCTCGCTCTCTCCTGAGGTGGCTGTCTAGACCTAGAACATCCATCGCCAGTTAGTGAACTTTCTATCTACAATGAAATTTAACAATTCAATTGGGAAAACAGAATAAAAAAGATATATATCTTTGCTGTTATTTCTTGCCTCCTTGTTCCTCTTCCTATACCCCATTTTTATTCTCAGTATCCGATTCATTCATGGGGTACCTACCGGCAAACGAGCCTCATTCTTTTTCTTTTTCTTTTTCCTTTTCTTTTTCCTTTTCTCAAGGGTGAAGGCCAAAGAAAAAAGAAATAGAAAAACGACATATGTTGGCACCCTTTTTTTGTGCTCTGCAAAGAAGACATCGAGAGAGTAGGTGCTGTTTGAATTGTATCCCGCATAAACTACACTACTGTAACTGTAGGTTACGAGGTTTTTTTTATCTTATTTTCCTTCTCTTTGACAACAACAACACTCACCATGTTATTATCATCATTGCTTTTGCTTCCACTCTCCTTTCTTCGTCCTCGTCTTTTTTCTCTCTCTCTCTGTCACTCTCTCTCTACTCTCTATTCTTCCTTCTCTATCCTCGATTCTTCCTTCTTCCTCCTGCCCTGCCCTCCCCTTCCCGTCCCTTCTGTTCCTTCTTCACCCCAATCCTCACCCTCCTGCCCTATTACAGCATTTCGCCTTTTAATTCTTTTGTTTATTCTCTGCTGTATCCACTCACTCTTCTTCCTCGCATTCCTTTCTTCCTTCCTTCCTTCCTTCCATTCACTCCAACTTGACCCTCACTTGACGATCCCTTCCTTGTCTCCAACACTTCGCTCCACTTCTTCAATCTTACTCAGCTTTGTCCAATCGACACACAACCACAACTACACCTACACCCACAACAACTGCCACTGCAACCGTACCTAGGAACAACATTAAATATATAAAATAGTTCAAGCAGTCCTTGCCCTCTTCTTCTCTAGCCAGCTCCATTGCCCGTTATCCCGGAAATGTGTCCATCCACAGGACACTTGCTCGGAGTCCACTGCAGCCAGCAACCCTACCCTTTCCACCCGACTCCGCCTTACTACAACCATTCCGAGCCAGCTGCCCCTTCTTCTTATCCACAACAACAGCCACCACAACCACAACCACAGCAACAACAACAGCAACAACAGTACCTGGCTACTCCGTCTTCACACCTACAGCCTCACCAGGACCAACACTTTCAATCACAGCCCAACATTCAGCGCAGGCAGCAGCAACATCCACAACAACACCTCGCCGTCAACACAAAGATAGGCTCTTCAACCACTTCCACCACCTCCTCCACGGCCTCCCCACTCTCCAGCAGAAAGAGCCAGCAGCAGCAGTCGATTAGCCAATTGGCAGACTTTGCGGCCCACATGGTTTGCTACCTCCTCTATGGTCACCAGCCCGCGAAACCAACCCACCACCACCACCACAACGCCTCTGGAACTCCTCCTTCCTCCATCCCATCTTCGCCTCTTCCTGGGCAGGGTAGCCATAACCCAATCAGTTGTTTCTGCGAGGTCTGCACCTCCCACACTTCTGAGGCACATTCGCCTTTACGCTCAACAGGTTCAAGCGGCAATAGCCAGTACTCCTCTTCCTGGCCACACTACCTCCCGCCACCACCGCTATCAGCATCATCATCATCCTTATCGTCACCACTGGATCGCCCGACTCACCGGAGAATCCTCTCAGAGTCCGATATTGTCCAGCCCAAACCCATGTTCCGCAAGTTCTGTCTAGATGTCCTAAGTGCCACCTTACTCTCTCCTAGTGTCATCCTCCTCTCGCTCAAGTACATCCAGCAGCTGATGATCAACCTCAAAGAGTCCAACAAGATCGTCAACACGGGCGAAGGTGCAGAGTATCGCTTCTTCACCGGAGCGCTGATCCTGGCCAACAAGTTCCTGGACGACAACACCTTCACCAACAAGACCTGGGCGGATATCACAGGGATGAAGATCAAGGATGTCAACCATCTGGAGATGCAGTTCCTCAGCGGGATCGAGTTCCGCCTCTTCACGAGCTCGTGGCAGTATTCGGAATGGCTCGCCAAGCTCACCCAGTTCACTGGAACTTACATGCCCTCGCAACATGAGGTCGCTTACCAACAGCAGACTGCCGCCGCTCAATCGCCCATCTCACCTATGGATTCCAACACGACTGTCGCCGCCGCCGCTGCTGCCGAGGTGTCATCAGGATCAGGGCCAGTGCGGGATCATGGACATAGTGCAGTCGGTGGCTCAAACAGTAGCGTTCATCCTTATGCTGTTGTCCCAACCTCGTCGCTCTCCATGACATCGATTTCGCATTATATCGACTCTGTCAAGCATATCCAGAACAAGTCTAGCTCGGCCAACAGTCGCTTCCAGCGTGTGGCCGGCTCGACATCTTACCACCACTCCAGCCAATTGGCGTCAAACCCAACAACTGTCCCTTCGCATCAGCACCAACACCAGCATCAGCATCAGTACCAGAGTCAGCAGCAGCAGCAGCAGCCTCAGTACAGTTCGTTGCCACCTTCAGGATCGTTCGCCTCTTCGCCTTCTTCACTGCCTTATGCCTATCAGCCACGACCTACTGAGCCCATCCATCGCAAACGATCCGCCAATATTGCCTTTGAGGACATCATGGACCGATCGCCTCGCTACGAATCAGGATTGTTGCCCCAGATAACATCCCAGCAACAGTTGTCCGGCAGCAGCACCATCTCTAGACACAAGCGATTCTCATCCTCTTCTTCAGTTGCAACTCTGATGGGCTCTCTGAGCACAGGACCGGACACCTTCCACAACGGACATTCGCCCATGACTCAGCCGCCACAACGGTATCAACAACAGCAGAGACCCCTTTCGAGTCTTCCTCAGCGGGCCAGTAGTGGAGCCTTGTCGCATTCGTTCAGAGCCAGTGGTGGACATCACCTTCATCAGCGCAGTGCTTCCGGGGGCAACTTTTACGCGGACATGACATCGGCAGGATCGTCACCCTACGGGCATGAGTCTTCGACTTCACACGTCGTCCTTTCGATGCCTCCTAACTCTCGAAGCCTTCGAACAAGTGGAGTCCATCCATTGGACGAGGACCACCATCACCACCATGGCTATTACACACCTTCTAAAAGTTCATACATACCTCCTCAGCACACTCAACAACCTCCGCAGCAACAGCAACAGCAACAACAGCGTCACAGTAATCACAGACACAGACACAGCCACGGTCACCTCCATTCCGCCGTCTCGCCCTCATACTCACCCAACGGCTACGAGTCGCCTTGCCGCTCGATGGGCTGTACCGGATACACCAACCGGAACACTCAAGGCGGTCCCATGACCTATGAGATTGATCCGCGTCTCTGGGGTCCCCTCGACAGTCTGTCCTTGTATGCGATCACCACCCAGGCTGCCAAACGTGTCGTCGCCCAGGGCAAGGCTCTCTCTTCCTCAGCCAACGGCCTTCACATGTACTACCCCACCACTCTTGCCTAAAGCTCTTTTCCGCTTGAACATGGGGCCGTTGCCCTGTGTCTTTTTCCCCTTCTTTTCTTTATTTTGCATCTTGTCTTCTTTTCTTCTTTTTGCTCCGTGCATTGTATAATAATCAACCTATCAACCTTGTAGCATAGACCGTCCCCCAAAACAATTCCTCTCATAAAAAGCATCCTTCGTCCATCATCACATCTACCTTTTCTTGACGTATGTTACTCCTTTCCCGTGCTAACGAACTGAACAATACTGTTGCGATCCGACATGTTTATTGGCTGCTTCAGGGAATGGGCTCGAGAGCATACATCTTGACTGTAAACAACCCCGATGGAAACCCCTTCTGAACCTCCTCTCTCAAGAGCTTGAGGCCAGACTTGACAAACATCTCCTTCCAGACAGTATCCGATCGTGTCATACTGCTATCTTCCTCGTCAATCACAATCCCAATCTTGGCATTGTTCTCCTTGACAAAGATCATCCCGCCGGGCTTCAGGCCCTTCTTACACCTGTTGAAGAACATTATCAGGTGGTCTATGATAATTATCGAGGAAATTATTACGCGTGAAATTAGCAGCGAATTAGACTCGAATGGCTCCCCATCATAAAGAGCACGCACAAAGCATTGCCCAGAACGCTGGAACAGTAAAGATTATTTATGTTTACCTTCAGTTAAGTGGCCAAGGACCCACTGGCACCATATAACATCAAACCGCCCCTCCCACTCAGTCCCCTCGAACTCGACATTCTGAAGACCCGAGCACCGGACCTCACAGACTTTGCCACTCTCGATCTCAGCCTTTAAGTACTCTTCCTGAGCCTGCTTGACAAAGATGGCAGAGTTCTCGACCAAGTCCACATGGTCAAAGGCTTTGATCAGCACCTGCTTCGTCACACGCCCAATTCCTGCGCCACAGTCCAGTACGCGCGAGGGACCCGCGCCTGGTAGAGGCAGCTTTTGGCGCTTTGTCGTCGTTGATCCTGTAGTAGTGCCGGTGATTTTAGTATCTTTGGAGGAGGAGGGATTGACGATGGATGCAGCGGAGGAGTTGGAGGGAGGGGTGACAAACTCGGAGAGGAACCGGAGTGAGGAGACGGCGTCTGGGCGGGCAAGCTGACCCAGTCCGCCGAGCATCCCGTTGATTGTTGCTGGGACTGTATCCCAGTATTTTTCGGCGTCCGTGTACCAGCTTGGCGTCTCTGTTGGCTATTTAAGTGTATTCCGATGTGTTGGTCATTTGAGAAGGGTTTTGGGAGTGGTCAGCTGGCTTGGTTGAGAAATCCAATTGGATACCCAATTGTAGGTTTTCCTTATATCTGAAGTTGCTTCCTCTATGTGTTCCGTTATTCAGTTGGTCAATGTTGATTCACTACTCCAAAATGCATGCCTCCATGGTTTGAATGTACTTGGTGATTCCTGCCTGGTTTGCACCCTTTGGAAAAAAAGCTTTTAGCCTTTCTGTTCTTCTGTGCGATGATGGCTCCTTCTTATTCGTCACTCTTTTGATTAAGGGGATGTTCAATTACCCTTGCTCTGGTGCCACCGAAACTGATCTCTCCGAGAAAACAAAAGGCCCCGCCTCTTGTCGACTGCTGATCAGCTTTCTTTGCTGCACGATTCATTCCAGGAACATCAACAATCTCACAACAGCTATGCTCGCAAGGAAGACTCTCCCCACCGGCATCCTCCGCCTGGCCATGCGCCCTCAGCAACACCAGCACCAACACCAAGCTCGTTCCCTGGCTATCTCAGCACTCTGCCTTCAGGAACAGCCTCAGCAGGAGACTTCTGCTGTCTTGAACGATTTCTTGACCGCCTCTAGCGACGACGCTCCCGTCGAAGACGCTGGCAAGAAGACCCCTTATCGCAGCGCCCGCTACATCCTCGAACAGACCCAGCAGGCCGGACGTAGACCACCCCGTCGCGACAACAACAGCAATGATAACACTGGGTCATCATCATCAGGAGAGCGTCGCTTCAACAATACCAACAACAGAGGCCCCAGACCCGCACGCAACAACAGATACCAAGACAACAACTTCTCGCCCGCCTCAAAGTTCCAGTCCCCGCCCACCATCCCTTACGACATTTCAAAGGAGCTTCAATTCGCTGAAAAGAGCGACTGGGAGGTCTCTTCCGTCCTCGACGCTCGTCCTCTCTACGCCAACATTGCAGCCGGTCGTGGAACAACTCCTACCCTCGGCGTCTCTACTCTTCAGGACCGGACCAACGTCGTTGCCGCTGCCATCCCCGGCACCGCCTTCTCCGCTCACATCACCGGCGTCCGTAGCCATGGTGACTTTGATGCTGAAGTCGAACAATCCCTCATCCAGACACTCGCCCCTCTCGCCGGCGACTCGTCTAAGGACCACCGCAAGAAGTCGGATGTTGCAGCTGTGGAGCACCAAGCCTTCTTGCACCGTATGACTCACAACTTCCAGGAGGTCATGAACCCCAGGAACCCCATCAACAGGTTCAACAATGGCGGCATTAAGCACGTCGCAGGAATCAAGTACGATATCGGATCCGACGAGGCGTCGACTGTCGAGGGTGCCGAAGAAAAGTCTTGGAAGCGTTTGGAGCGTCTTGGAGGAGACTACAGCCGGGCAAGCTCGCCCCTCTCATTACTCTCTAAGAGCAAAGGCAAAACCGGCAAGGTCGGACAGGAGGTTCTCAAGAATGTCAGTGCCTTGATTGGTCAGAACCAGAGCATAGGACTCGAGGATAAGAAGAAGTTTCTCAAGGCTGTTGAGAGTGGGCTCGGTGGCATCTAAAAATCCTGGAGATGGGCAGCGGTTTATACTGCGCTATATTTTGCATTTAGAACCTTTTATTCAATGAACAAGAAAGCGAAGGCATAGTTTTGCGCTTTTAATTTTTTTTTCTTCAACCTTACTCTTCGTCGTCGTCGTCGCTGTCGCCAAATTCGGTTCCTTCCACCGCACGTCCTCTATTTCCACATCGGATATATAGTAACAAATGTTAACGTGTGCTCTCAAGCAGCATGCGCACAACACATCTACACAACCGCCAAGATCGATGTAGATGTAGTTTACCTTTTGACTCGTGGGTTGAGGGTACTAGCGCCTTTGCGTCTCTTGAAGACCTGCTCTCTTGCAATGATCGCGTCCTTTGCGGCCTTGGATTTGGGTCGACCACTCGCCGTCCCCAACCCTCCGTTCATGCTTGCTCCTGTAGTACAATTTCATGCGAGATATCGGGCTAGGTTAATAGCCATCCATCTTCGGGAACACAAACATTCACATGCTGCAGGAAAGGTGCCAATATATGACAAGTATCACTGTTGTTTTACCAGACTTGAGAGCGTTGGCGTGTAGCCGCTCGATTTCCTTCTTGAGGTCTGCGTTCTCTGATTTGAGGTTATCTCGCTCCAGCTTCAGATCTTCATACGACCTTACTCCACCTCCGCGGGCAGCATCTACAGCGTCGCCTTGAGCTGTTCCTGTAGTCGTTTTTGATGGCGATGTTCCTGATGTACGTCCTTTTTGCTCGTTTAACGAGCAACCCCGTCCTTGCAAGTACCCCGCACACTGTTGCCACATTCAACGAAACAAATGTCGGCGCAATTCATTACTGATCAGTATCAAAAAGAAGACAACAGCACGACCGAAGCAAAAACTACGAAAAAAGTAGCCCAATAAATACCTCAAACATAAACTCCCCAAGTTTCTCACCGCGGGTAGCATGGTTGACAGTAAACATCTCGATCTGGATTGTCTCCAGGCCACCACTGCCGGCACCACCGGCTTGGGTGTGAACGTCATTGTCGACAATCACTTTGCATTCCCGTGTGCCCATATCCGCGATATGGAAGTATCCCTCCACCACGGCTCTCCGAAACCGTGTTGAAAACGATGTCCAATCCTTGTCTCCCGCCGACGACAGCTACACCCCCCGACAAGGTCAATGTAATAAATAATAAATAAATTAATAACAAATGTGAGAATGCAAGACGTTAGTTTGTAGCTTGACAATGAAGTCAGACCCAACGACAGTGCAAATTGCGATATGTAGCAGTTCCTTTCGTCCTATTCTTACAAGGTCATCAAGGTCCTCACGACGGTATTCGCGTTCAAAGTATGCTTTTCCCGTAAAGGCACTCAAAATCCAGCCTCCGGCATCGTCTTCGTCGACATTGTCATCCTTGGCCAGGTTCACCTGTGAGTAAAAGATGGCCTTGCCCTGTGTCGAGTATGTCAACTGGACCAGCTTGTCGAGCTCGAACAGCGGTTGGTACTTTGTGGTCATCCTTGTTGTCGTTTTTGTTTTGCTGATGAGTTTGAAAGAGAGGAATGAAAACGTGATGCTAGCTCTATTTGAATTTTTTGGTGGCAAAATCGCGGAGACATTTTTGATTATTGATTAAGGGTCTGAGATTTCGCAATTGTATTTGAAATGCCATGAGAGGGAAAAGGACTTTATGCTTTTGTATGTATGTTGTGTATGAGTTGGGAGATTTTGTTTTCTAGTAGTACGGGAAAAAAAAAAATAACAAAATGGTATAAAAAGTGGATCTACTTACTACAGTACAAAAAAGAAATAAACGGAATAAAGAAAACAAAGTCGGATTGGGGAGTAGGTATTAAAGGTGCGATATGTAAAAGAAAAGAAGACAAAAGAAGCAAAGAAACAACGAACGAGCAAAAAAAACAAGACGAAAAGAAAGAAAAAACAACAAAATAAATAAACAGATCGGTATTAATGGCTGGTTCGAGGGTAGGTGTAAGGTGAAAAGGTATGAGTGAGAGTAAGTGAAACGAATAAAAAAAAAAAAAAAAAAAAAAAAAAAAAAAGAGATAAAAGTGCAGGGCAAATGCTTCAAAACATATAATAACAGATGCTTCCTGCTTGTTCCGTTAAGATTAAGGAACAAATGGCGAGGAAGAGAGGAAAGAGAGACACAAATTGCCTCTTTGCAATCTCTCACACCTTTGGCCAATCCAATAAATGGAGGGTTTACTTGGATCGAGAAGAATCCCCCGAGATCGAGGCTCTCACCCCACGGGGACGACCGCTCGAGGGAGAGGTCTCGGCCACAGAACCCGCTGCAGCCGAGCTCGTCAGGGGTTTAGGTGTCGACATCAAGGGAAGACGCTTCTTGGGCAACTCCACGCAGACACGCCTCTTCTTCACGTTCTCGCGGCAAGATTCGTCGCAGAACCAGGCCTTGTCAGAAGAGGCAACCTCATCCGAAATAGGCGAGTCTCCGTGGCATGCTTGATGGAAGGCCTTGGGGCAGCCCTCGCACCTGAGCATCTTGTTGCAAGAGGTTGATTCTTGCGATTGACAACCGTGGCAAACTAAAAAATAAAAAAGAGCAAAGAAAGGGAGGGTCAGTCGGATGAAAGGTAGAGAGATGAGGTAGGGGATGACAAAGCACAAACAATGTCCAAGCGTCCATTGTTTGTGCACTTACAGTGTTGGAGGACAGGGCGAATACGCTGTTCAACAGTCTCATGTGCATAGCTGGTGAGGTCCAGGCGGGGCAACTTGCAGGCAAAACCATAGCCCTTAAAGTCACAGCCGTGCTTGTTGCAGAGCGTGCGCTTGCCCCATGGGCCGGGGCGCCAGTTGACACCCTCGGTCGTGCCGCAGTAACGACACCAGTCGATGTTCGCCTTGGTCAAAATCTGGAAGAGAGTAGGCGAGTGTGCCTTGGAGACCTTGCTCTCGGAAGCAGCAGCCGATGATGCCTTCTTGGAAGGTGCAGCTGGAACAACGGGAGCAGCAACCGCTGCAACTGAAGCAACGGGAGCGGGAGCGGGAGCGGGAGTAGGAGCAGGGGCAACAATAGCAACCTTGACCTCAACAGGGGCCTCTTTGTTTTTTTGGTGCTTTTGTTGCTTGGGCTGCTTTGCCTGCTGCTGCTGAGAGACTTTCTTGACCACCTGGACGTCTGCCTTGGTAGGCTGGACGGTAGCATTCTCAATGTCCTCGAGGCTAGGACCGTGCCACGTACCACGACGTCTGTTAGTATCAGAAACAAAATATTTAAAAAAAGAAGTCATTAGTTTCCAAAGGGGTGCGAGATGAAAAAAAAAACCACACCCACTGACTGAGAGGATGACAGGAGAAAAAGGAAGTAAAAAGGCAGTAAAGAGATTGCCAGACAAGACCATGCGTCGTACCTGATAGGGAACTGGTAATCCTCGACATCGGACACATCCGAGTCGCTATCGTCACTGGAGCTCATGGATTCAATGTGCATCTCGTTCTCAGAGTGGTAGCTGAACTCGGCCTCATCATCCGAAGACGAGTAGTAGTTGTCCTCCGACAAGTAAGTGTTGAGGCCTGATTCCTGATCAGCCTCAACCACAAACAAGTCTGAAGGCATACTACAGTCGATCATCTCCTCGGTCATGTCAACCTGCTGTTCAAACGAGGCATTAACAGCCTTGTTCTCCTCTTCCTCGTCTTCGTCCTCCTCTTCCTCTTCCTCATCATCCGAGCGATCCAACTCGGGATGGTAGTCGTATTCCTCGTGGGTAGGAGGAGCAAAGCAGACAATCTCGGGCATAGAGGGCGAGGTAGGGGTCAGATGGCGGACGTTGCGCATCTGGAAAAGTGATCGCCTACGGGCCATAAAGTAGCTAGCCGAAGAATCGGTATCGCTCAACTCGGCCACCTCATCATCGCCAGCATTGGAAGCTGGAGGCGAAGCGGGGGTTTCAAAGTCGGCCGAGAGGATATCGACCCTCCGGCGCTTGGTCGACGAGATGCCGCCCAAAAGGAACGCGTCCGAGTTGCGGAGGAAATCATAGGAGTGCTTGCGAGCATTGCACTCTGGAGGGGTGGGTAAGCTGGCAGTGGCAGCGAGGTCCCGGGCGTCGCAGATGGAGACGGGGATGAACATTGGCCTCTTCATATCAATGACCATGTTGGCAGCTACACGACACGTTGTTCAGAAAGAACAATGGGAAATCCAAATTAGTCATTTGACAGTAAACGGCACAACAACAAAAAAGCTAGGGGAAGGAAGGCAGTGAGGAGGTACACAAGACAGACGACACACGGACACAGAGAGACAGCCAAAACGATAAGGAAACAATGGAAGGAGGGAACAGGAGCAGGAGGTAGGCCAACCAGCAACAAGGCTGAAAAGGAGAAATCGAATGGAGGGGAGGTAAGGGAGAAGGAGAAGGGACACAGTGTCATCGTGGCAGTGAATGAAGCGAATCAACAACATTTGAGGGTTGGTTCAGTCACTGCCAGCTGGTCTGCAAGGAACAAAATAAGGACAATAGTGGGGAAGAAGGACACAAACACAAACACAACCATAAAACACACATAGATATATTTTCTCGCATCGTTCACTCTCACTTGAAAAATAATGAGCAGCAGAGTGAATGATAAAGATAGAACTGAACTGATAACTGAATCGGGTCTGGATAACTGGATAGCTGGATAGCTGGATATAACTGAAATATCTCACAACTGTGGGGAAGAAAACACAAATAACAAGAGAGAAAGAGGAGTGCTCTATTACCATCGTCAACGGGCGTGTCTTTGGACTCTTCCTGGGAAGACGACTCTTGGACATCCTCCTCCTCGGTGGGGTAGAGAGGATGATCTTCGGTATCGTTTTCCATAAAGGGAGACATAGGTGTCATGGGGGTCGAGAAGCAGCTGGGATGGTCGTCGTCGTGCTGAGAGGGTGTGCTGAAACCAGAGTCCGAATCGCTATCGAAGTTGCTGGCGGAGGAGTCATTGAGGTAGAGCTCGACGTCGTCGTAGAGCATTGTGGAGGAGAGGAAGACATCGTTGATGACATTCTTGGGTTGGATATTGCCGTCGAAAGAGATAAAGGGTTGGGTCGAGTTGGAGTATACCACAGCGGGGGTGGAGAGCTGTTCTGTTGCAGTGGAGGAGGATGTTGTTGCTGGGGTGGTGTTGTGGTGGGAGGGTGCCGGTACTTGGGAGGAAGGGGAGATGTTTGCCCAGGGGTTAATGGTATCGTGTAGGGACATTGCTGGAGAGGGGAGGGGGGAGACTATTGTCGAGGCAGCTGCAGCGAAGTGGTGGTTGAGATGGCTGTATGCGATATTGTTTTTAGACATCATCATGCTGTGTTTGTATTATCTTCTGTATGTCTGTGAGTGTTTGCTTGGGCGAGGAAGGGGAGGGAAGGAAGGAAGGAAGGAGGGAGGGAGGGAGAGAGAGAGAGGGAGGGAATGGAAAAGGAAGGAGTAGGAGAGGAAGAGAGAAAGAGTGGAAGATAGAGTGAGAGAAGGAAAAGAAGGAAAAGAGCGAGAGTGAGAAGAAAAGGAAATGAAAAAAAGAGCGGCACGCGCGGGTAACTGTGAAAAAAGAGGGAGGGAAGGGGTTTAGTTGGATATGAAGAATTGAATTGGAGTGGGGGTGGGTGAAGGACAAAGGAAGGAAAGGGCAAAAATGGTATGATCGACTATGTAAAGAAGAACGTCCAAGTGCAAAAATACAAAAAGGGAAATCGAGGGGAAGAGAGGAGGAGGGAGCAACAAACAGAATAAAGAAAAGAAAACAACAAAAGGCAAATGAAGAGAAAGGGAGGAAGGTAAGAAGATAGGAAGGAAGTGAAAGAAAGCAAAGAAAACAAAGGAAAGAAGGAAGGAAGAAAGAAAGAGAAGAACTGAGGAAATGAAAAGAAGTAGTCCGCGGGTAAGAGACAAGAAAGGATGGCAAGACAAGGCAAGGCAAGGCAAGGCAACGAAAGATGGAGAAGGGAAGATTGAATAACAACAGAGATAGTAGACGACGACACTGAAGACAGTGGGAGGCAATGGGGCCAAAAGGAGATATCCTTGCTAAGCTTTTGAAATGTAATAGGGTATTGATCATTTGTGTCTATTTTAACAATACAAACAATCAATAATGAATAAAGTTGCCTCGCCCTGATTCGACAGCATCGATGCCCGTCCAACCACGAACAGGCAGGAACCATCGTCTCTTTCTCTCTCACTCTCTGTGTTTGTATCCTTCTCTTAGGCGAGGAGGAGAGGGGTGCACACAGGGCATATGCAAGTCTGCCTCTTGTCTCCTTCGCTGCCTCTTATTAATATCATCAGTCAGTGCAAGATGGCTACAAGAAACAGAAGAGGAAGAGAAGAATGCATAAGTGGTAGAAAGTGAAGAAGAAAAAAAGAACAAGGCACACTACACACGCCACACACTATTGACAGTGAGAAAAAGACCGTTGAAACCTATTTTTGTTGGAACACATACAGTTGTCAACCCACACGCCGATAAGATGTCAGTTCTCGACTAGTAGCTGGAGGCCTCTGATTGGCTGCAATGCCAATGTTTATTACTTTTTAAAGTATTCTATGCATTCAATTTGCCTTCCTCGTGTACGTGAAAAATAAGAGAAAACTTGTTTGTGTCTTTCCTGCTGTTAGCTTTTGGACCCATTTGTTGTTGTTGCTGCTGTTGTTAAAAGGAAAAAAGAATGCAAACAGGTACTCATGGAAAATAGACACTGTCGAATGTAGATTAAAGAGGAAAATGAGAGTGGTGGAGGGTGAGAGAGAGAAAGAGAGATTAGCAAAACGGTGGAAGACGACGACATGGCAGAGAAGGATATTACACATGGGATCACCAAACCCCGGTGTAATGCGAACACCTAAGCAACTAACAAGGATGATGTTTACTGCCTTTCTGAGAAAGAAGGAAGAGGCGATTGAAGGGAAGCGCTGCATTCGATCGTTTCATTGTTACAGCACAATAAGGGCCATAGGCGTGATCGGAATGGAATGAGAATGGTGGTTTGGCTGGCCATTTTTTTGCAACCCGGTAGAGGCGATACAGTCAGTGTCATTCCATGACTGTACCATAAGGAACAAAACAGGTGAATGGCTCCCTTGTACTGTACCTTTCGTTTCTTTTGTTTTTTTTTTGTACCCTGGTTCTTTTCTCAGTTATTCTCAACTCATGCGCTGGTACCACGGAAAGAAAATAATAATCTCCCACACATACCAAAGGACCTAGGTGTGCTCTCACACATGCAATGGAGAAAGAGTGACAAAACACTAGTCTACCGCCACAAAGGACACACAACAACAATGAAAGGAAAAATAAGGCCATCAAGTTCATGGAAATGAAAACAAATGAGCCTAGAGAGCAGGCAGCACCCTCTAGAACTATACGACAACATAATAACCCAAAAAGTACGCACACAAAAGCAAATGGAAGAATAGGAATAGGGCGATGATAGGGAATGAGAAGAGACAATGCAAAGAGGCGTGCGTGAGCATCAGGCCTGAAAAGATAGATTGTGTTAACAATAGTGATACAAAATTACGGAAAGGAAACATGGATGCACGGATGCCCTTCTCAATAATAACAATACTATCACCATTGCCGCAATCGTGTATCCTCTAGCCCAGCCCAGCCCATTGCTCATTTCCAACTTACTCTTTGGATACTCTGACCATTAACCACAACATGTGTGCGGATGTAGGAAAGTGCGACCCTTGAATTGTCGGGCACTTCAAATAGTTCGGAGTCCATTCGACCAACACGATGGGCCATAACCATATTATCAAAAACACATACCGAAGAGCACTCCTTTCGACATCTGCGAGATTACACTCCCATGCAAGACCCGCAAGTCTTTACTCATTCCTCCCCTCTCACCCTTCCTTATTCCGAGTCGTTACTTATGAATCGGAAATCCGACTAGAATTCTCTGCAAGAATCCTTGCTCGACAAAGGGTGACCAGCAGAAACTCATTTAGTTTGACTTCGCAAACCCATTATCGCATGGCCCACTAACAAGGCAGGGGTTCAATTGGTAGTCTATGAGTAGTAGACAAGAACAAGGCACCTTTTTTTGTTATCGACTGTGCCTGGAAAGGGATAGAGGGAAGGAAGGAAGGACAACGCAAACTTCGACTTGCAGGAGACATGCATACCCTTGAAATGATATGTAGTGTGGGTCGCACAATGAATGATGAACCCACCCCCACTAGCGCCATTTGTGCAAGTAAAAATAAAACAACCGCATACAACCATAGCGTTCCTCTTCCATCCACTGCTTGTTCTATGTCTGAGTGGGCCCACGGTTCCTCGGTCATCTTTTTTTTAGAGTCCAAGGAAAAGAGGCATGGCCGCACAAGCATCCTTGATCCATAGTATGTACCAAACACATCGGTTTGAAATGAATGCGTTTTACAAATGTGGTATTGTTTTTCCTGTGCCGCTTTTGAACGCCAGCCTCATCATTCCCCTATGGTTCACAAACAGCCGACCCTATTTTTAATCGCACGACAATGGGATCCATTTGAGGTCTAAATCAGGCCGACCATGGCTGTATGGCTGACCGATGGTCATCTCCACGATAGAGTGACCATCGTTTATCCAACGAATGGACCTTTGATTGTCATTATCGGCTGAACCATGCACTACCGTTATGAAGGCCAGATTCCTCGCGAAAATCATCATGACCCGCACTCGTCCACGAAGGAAAATATTCACACGAAAAGGTATGGCGAAAAATAGAGTTACGTGGGTCCTGAGTGTTGAAAAGGACCAGCGTCGTTTTTGTTGTATGTAGCGATGTTCGAGAGCCCATATCTTGCAAAAAATGATCCAATTCACAACAGCCAAACTGACAACAGACAGGCGGACAGATAGGGTGGAGCAGGGCAGGGTAGAAGGAGATGGGAGAAAGGAAAGAAGTAAGGTGTGATACTCTGGAAAAAGAGAAAGAGGACGAGGCTGGACAGTTGAACATCGCCACACACGTACATGCACATCCCATCCACTTACAGCACCGCCAACCAACCTCACACACCCACGGTGGCAAGGGAGCAAGAAGAGCAGGATGAATGCGGACGGAGGAGAACGTGAGCGATGGACCTGTGGAATGCACGATCAAGGAGAATGTCTTGTCTTGTCCAATAGGTATCTGGTCAAGGGCTAATCTAGCTCGACCATTGGATACTCACGGGTATCTTCTTTGTCATTGTCCCAAAAGTGCTCTGAGCCCTCTTTTTTGGTATTACCTTGTCCTCTATCAGATAATCACGTTTGATAATAACAGTATCTTCTTGTCGAGTGGCCTGTCGACTGAGCATAAGGGGCTGCTGCGTTCATTGTCTCAACTCTCAAGTTACTGATGATGTGAACAAGAAAATAAGATGATCTGCTATTGACCCTTGTTTCTGACCCTTTTTTTTGTTATCCTTTTGTCGTTGGTTGCTATTGAGAGCAATGTACCCAGTCAGCCAGCGTATTGTTCTGGCCAAGATATTCGATGAAATGATGCCACCCAACGAGGGTGTGTTACCATGACCATTTGCGAGCCGCAATAGGAACGTGGCCCAGAGTCTTTCCAGCCGCAACTGTAGTTATCACCCTTCCTCTTCTGTCCATCTCCCCGCGGCTCACAGCTACGACTTCAAGTTTGTATGAGGGACAAGCCCAAAAAAACACAAACACAAACACAAACACAAAACTATGAATGGTCAAGATTCACGTACATCTCCGTCTCCTGCACCAACCTTCCTCAGTGTTCTTTCTCTCGACGAAAGTTGTATGTGTAGGGGGTGTAACCAATTATTTACAACAGCAGCATATCATCCTACTCTTGTAGGACAGAGACTAAGAGAGACCCTTGACTTTTTTTTTTTTTTTTTTTTTTTTTTGGGAGTTCGCTTATTAGACCCTCAGCACAGAAGGCCTGGGTGAATAGAGTCGATCATGGCCACACAGTTCCCTTGTTATTCTCTGCACACAACTCCCGGCATGTTTAAAGAAACTCTGTCTCTCTCACACTTGGCGTACAGAACTTTGTCCTGCGTCTCTTTATTAATGTTGCTTTTTCTTTCCCTGACCTTCGCAAGCTGTTAAGTGTAACTCGTCAATTGCCAATACTCAGTGCACTGTCCTTGAGCCCATTTGTCCAGTAAAAGTGAGGACATTGAAGCGAAATAATCTCGTCTCCCACTGAAAGACAATTCTCTCTCGCCTCCTCGCTCTTTCTGTGGTGCCGTTGAACGAAAACGAAAGAAAACCGCCAGGAGACATAGGCTGGCATTTTCACTCGTTTCTGGTTTATCATCATTGACCGACCAAATGGATTTTATCCTCAAAGTTGGCGATGATCTACAATAAGTCTGTCGGGATATAAAGGGGATACAAACAAGGGGACCTCAAGGAGAACATAAAATGTGAGAACTTATCCAGTGACAAGTACCATGAGAGGAACATGGTCCAAATGTGCATTTTTCATTTGCTGAGCCCTCCTTTCCAGACCATGCGAACGAACGGACTTTGTTTGTGTCGCTGCTTAGTACCCCTATTGACCAATGAAGTCCTCATAAAGACGCCATTGGCGATTTTGCTGCCGCTGTACATCTTGTACAGCGATGGTTGGATCATCTTTGGCTCTTTTTGTGTGTGGATTCCATACAAAATAAAGTCAATTATCTACTCGGGTGTCCTAAGCGCAATAGGCTTCATCTTTGGGTACCTTTTCAACAGTGTCAGAATCAATAAATGGTTGAATGGTTTGACCATCTCATCTCCTTATCATCAGTGCCACTTGCTTCATTGGTTGGCTGGCTCGGCTTGTGACCAAGAAGACAAGCTGACAGGCGACCTTCAGACGATTCTGTCAACCCTATCCTAACAACTTGCGAAACGAAAAGGGGGCCTCACGCAAAAATATCCGAACATCCTCTATTTAACACTATCTGCAACGTGCCCTAAAAAGAAGGGGGTGGATGATGAGGGTCAGAGATCCTTGCTTGCAGAAAACATGGTCCTGTTTGCCTCGCATTCTCCATAAAAAAAATATCCGCCCCTCTGTAGGACAGGCCTATTGTTGGCGTGAGGCATTTTTCGTATCGATTGCTTCTGCATGTGTGCCTTTCCACCTTTGTTTTGTTACTTGGTGTTTAGAAGGAAGAAACAACATATTACTTTCTTCCCGCTCTGCATGCGCGTGCGATAGAGTCAGTGTTTTCTCGCCCCCATTTCCTCCTCGAAATTAATGCTGCAATCAAGAACGACAGACATAATCGATCGCTGCTAGCATGACCACGTTCAACTTTTGCGAAAACCAGCAGGGCCCGTCTTCTATCAGCAAAGTGCGTGTAGCGATCGAATGTTCAAATGGACGCTTGAACAGGTGTGGAATAGTTTCCGCGGCTTCCGCCGTTTAAGCTAAGAATGGACTGTTTTCACTTTGGCTGCTTAAGCTAGACCTTGCGTGACAGCAAAATAAACCAATGCAATGCAATAACTAAACTGGAGTTTTGCGAAATGAGCGGGCGTTAGATATTTTCTGGTACGTAGCGGTGATGTCGATGCTGCATTGCTGGTAGGGAAAGGAGATAGACCACTTGACAACCATAATTCACACTAACAAAACGTGTTTTGGGTGACCACAACGTTATCTGTGGTATCTAGTTGGTCTCCAAGAATGGACATGTGATGTCCCCAGTCGCCCGGCAAGAAGGTTACAGTGCCCACGAGTTTGAACAATGGAGGGCTGCGCTCAAGTGACTCTTCTATGGGTACTGTGCAAGGAAGAAGGATGTGGCCGCGATGGTCTTACTTCTCACTGTTTCCCACACTCAAAAAGAGCATATTGTAGTTCTTCGAGGGCGGGTTCTTTTTGTACGACATTCGATTCGAAATGGTTCGATTTGTCTCATGCTCGAACGAAGGCTATCAAGTGGGTTATGAGCAAACCGAACGGCACACAAGAACCTTTTGTGAGGCAAGGAGAAAAACCTTGTTTACGCTTGACAGAGGCATTGGTGAATTATCTATTCCGACAACCGATCCACTTTCTTCCAAATTCTCACACTCGATAACTCTTTTCTTTTGGTCCTTCCTTTAATCTCAACTCAGAAATGATTCGTGCCTTAGACCAATCTCATTAATTATCCCTTATGGAAGAGGTAAAGAAACAGAACAAAATGGGCTTTAAGAAACAGAATGGAGAAAAATATGAGGGCGGAATGGACAAGAGAGTTGGAAAGGAAGAACTATGTGGATGGATCATCGAGTAAAGCGGTGTTTCAGTACAGTACTCAATTGAAAAAAACGACTCTCCCACCTCCACAATTTCCTAACCTTGTTTTTTGTTTTTGGTAAGAAAGTGATGATTGAGATACCAACAGTTATTTACGTACAAAGTCATCTCATTGGCCAATTCTCCTGACCTTTGATCCAACCAAACTCAAGGAGAACCGTGTGGTCTGACACTCCTTTTCTCTCGCTCGGATCGCTCTTTTCTCTCCAACACAGATGCCTCGGTGTGAAGACAACTTTGATCGAGAAAACTCTAAGCTGAAAAGGACATTGACTCTAACTTAAGAAAGAGACAGGAGTGAGCGGGTGAGTACTGACTAGGCAGACATCAATGACGCAGATTGCTTCATTTATGATGGGCACCGTGTCTGAAACTGTATGAGTGAATCTTGCCGGTACACTGCAATAGCAAGGATAAGGGAACGAAGGCTTTTAGATTTCCTCTTTATTCTTTCTCACGAATCCAAAGCCGGGCCGGCAATAAAACAAAATGAGACGACGATGGGAAAGCTCAATTCTCGGAAGGCGCACCAATTTGATGAGTGTTATACCTCTTTTTTTGTCCTGACAACCCTTAGCACATGTTTAGTCAGCAGACGCGCCTACAGCGGTCTCCACGATGATTGCAGCGGCAACGTGCCTATGCTTTTTTCCTCTGTTGTTGCGTTGACCATATAGATACAAGCGACTTTTTTCACCATCTACCTCGCCAAAGTGGCGGCCTCTCTAAGTCGTAGTTTTCCCTTGTAGCTTGCTTACAGAGCGAATTTTTTTTCTCAATTGATACTCCTTTCATTACGGCATCAGACTTGCAGTCCAAACTACCATCGTCTCTATGATATTAAATCAGTATCCTTGGGCCAAAAAAAATGAACACAATGCAATGGAGCTTGCAAAAGTACAGGCTTTATTGAAATGGACTTGTGGGGAGGGAGAGAGATATGAAAGTTTTACTTAATTTGGTCAATCTCAATCTCGACGTTCTCGGTGGGGGCCTCCCGGGTAAGGACATTGTTGACCCAGGTCGAGATCCAGAACAAGTTGTCCGAGTGCAGCTCCTCGACACGGACACTGACAGAGTAGACTTTGCGGTCGTCAATATCCTTAGGATCGTAGAGGATACCGAAGGCGATAGGGAAAGGGATTACCTCACCGGCACCCACAACGATGCTCTGCTCGCCAATGGTGACCGAGGGAGCATCCATCAAGGAGACGTCCAACAACTTGATCATGATCTTAGCATTGGGTCCGACGCCATGGTTAGAAGAGGCAGGGACGGAGGCAGAGGCCTTGATCTGGCCGGTGAGGGTGTTCTTGGAAGTAATGGGGGCATCGTCGTACTTGGGGACGGGGTCAATCTCGACCTCGACATTGTTGCAGGGGTTGCCGTTTGTGATGACCGAGTGTCTCGATGTAGAAATCCAAGTCAACTCACCTTCCTCATCTCTTGAGGGACTGGAAGAGATATCGTACACTCTAACAGCGATGGCCAAGGATTGATAAGGCTGGATGGTGTCGGCAACGTAGGTCAAGCTAAAGGGGATCGGAAAATTGAAGACCTGGTCGTCGCCAGTCAAGATGACATCCTCGCTCAAGGTAATCGAGGTGGCATCCATCAAGGAAACATCGAGCAATTGGACGACAATGCGGCTGTTGGAGCCAATCTCCAGGGCGGTCTCGCCGGGGTTGGTTTTGAGGTTGAGGGAGGGGACGACGGTGCCAGAGATGCGGGCCATTTGTGTACAGTTGCGAGGTAGGGAGGCAAAGGTGAGGGTGAAGACGAGTAGGTAAGTGAGAGATGACAGATGGAGTAACAGTGCGCGAAGCCTGCTTTTATGCATGGTGCAGTTGGTCATTGGGCACCGAGCAGCAAGGGAATGAATTGAGGCGGAGATGCAGTGGAAGTGAATGTTTGTATTCAAATAAACCTTCGCGTGCCAGTAGCCAGCGTCATGGTCGTGGTCGTGGTCGTGCTGTTGTTGATTCTACGTCAGGTTGGGAATATTGGGCATCAGACTCGGATCATTGTTGATGAGGAGATCGAACAACGAGACACACACAGCAACACTTAGCGGGATGTGCGAGAGTAGAGTGGCTTTTGCGCCATTGTGTCACAGAGGAATGTCACTTTGGTCGAGGTTGGGTGTCAGAAACGAACGTGTTTTGCTTGTGGCCAGGGAGTGGTTGGTTGTCAATGGTCATAAACCATAGGTGCTTTATTACGGCGATTAGAGTGCAAGAATATGACAAAATACGTATGAACAGATGAACTATTAGAAGATCATGGCTGCTGCGAAAAAGACAGCAGCAGCGGTGGTGGCAGCAGCACCCTTGACAGAGAAGGCACTGGCGCCGCTGGCCCCAGGCGACGTAGCCGAAGGAGTCGATCCACTGCTGCCATTGGCGTTATCGATACACATGGACTGGTTGAACGAAGGAGCAGCAGTGACGAGGACAACATCGGCGCACTGGTAGAGAGGGCTGTCACCACCGTTGTAGATGAGCTGGATGGTAGCATTGACGTTATTGGCAGCACCGGCGAAAGAGGTGAGATTCAGGGGCAGGCAGGACTGGAAGGGATGGGTGACCTGGACGCTGTTCACGGGGGTCGACGAGGCAGTGGTAAAGTCAGCAGCCGTGGGGTTGTTGCCGTAGGCGATGTTGACCTGGACCGATGCGGTGGGGTGGGAGCTGCTGATCTGGACGAATCCGTTGGCTGACAGTACAGAGAGAAAAAACGGTTATTATTTTGTCCGCGCAGTTGGGATTAGTTGGAGACACACCAAGAGAATACAAACATACTCAGGGGGAACTGGGTGCGGTTGCCAGCAGCGTTGTAGGCAGTTCCACCGCAGGGAGCGATGGGCTCATCGTCATCGCTGAAGCCACGGGAGGGAGGGTAGTCAAGGGTGTAGTGGGCCATGGCAGCAGAGCTGCACAGGAGCATGGTAGCCAAAGTCAAGACCTTCATTGTTTTTAATGTGGTTAATTGGAAGGAGAGGAGTGGAAGAAGGACGAAGGAGGAGTAAGAAGAACGGAGGAGAGGAGGAAGGTAAGGAAGGAAGAAAGGAGGAAAGGACGAAAAGCTTCCTTTTAACTGAAAAAGAGAAAACTGGGAAGGAAAAACAAAAAACGTCAAAAGGGCCGAGGTTGTCAATTGGACTGACAACCTTTTTAGGGGAGGATGGGTTGAGATGACAGACCTGGAGTCGAGAATGACAGGCCAGGTTTATCCGCCATGATGGAAGAACCAACAAACAACAACCACAATCGATCCGCACACTAAATCGACCCCGAGTCGATAATTTTTTTTTGTTGTTTTGTTCTGACGATCTGATTTGACAACCTACTGATGCACCGCGAGGGTACTCACTCTCTCAATCATTAATCAGAACGTCTTTCTTTTAAAAATTCAATTAAAAGTGGAGCTGTCTAAGTATTCCTCGTACGCGCACATAGTCTACTTTACTCCTTGATGACCATGTTGCCTCTCCTTTCCATAATATTCATGCGCCTCATGCCCAGCAAGGTGTCGATGACTGCTCGGTCAGCCACTTGAGTATCGCTCTGCTTGCCTGGGCACCGCTGTTCCCTGTGTTCTGCTACGGCTCGTCCGCAAAGGCACTCGTCCTCTGGAGTTTCCGCCCATAAATTTGTTTCCACCTGTGTGTCTGTGTCCACTGTGCCCTCTGGTCCTTGGTGGTGCGTGTGCGCTTCATGCTGTTGGTGATGCTGTTCTCCTCCTCCCACCTGATGGTCCTCTAGCAGCGTGACTTCCATAACTGCTCCATGGCCTCCTTTTTGACATATCGACAAAAGAGACGGCTCACATGTTGGGTAATGCTCTCTGCTACGTCCTTGAACACCTTGATCCACTGCGTTGCTAGGGCTTTCGGCACCAGGCCTCAGTAGATGTGACTGACTGTCCACGCGCTCGGGGTGTGTTGTTCCGGTTCCTCCTCCTCTTCCTCGCCTGGCCGCTTGATCGCCTGCCGCAGCGCCTTGCGGAGCTTGCTGGTTCTTGGTATCCTCCATATGGTCTTGGGGGGTGGCTGTTTTCCTGGCTTGAGCTGCTTCTGTCGCTGTTTGCTGAACAGTCGTGTGGCGATCTCCTCCCATCCGTCGACTCGGTCGAGGGCATCCTCCCACAGCTCCTACTGTGTCTCCCTGCTCTTGGAGCACGTCCACATGTGCTCGTTGTCCTCCGTCTCTAGACCACACACTCAGCATACGTCGTCCTTGTGCAGATCTGGAAGCTTGGCGCGTAAGATTTCTATGGTAGGCTACATTCCGTTTACCTTCTTCATCCTATGGCTGCGTAGGCGTGTGTCCTGCTGTGAGCTGAAAAAAGGGTTGACTGGTTTGTTGCTGTGTATGTTTGAAAGGGTGCCAAGCCAATCTGTACCCTCGTAGTCTTGAATCGATCTCTTGGTCCTCCTGAGTGCCCTCCACTCTTGGTGCCAGCATCTGGTGGTCTGCATCTTGAGCACGTGTCTCATGTCCTGATCGAGGATCATGCCGGCCATCGTTGCGGAGTATTTGATGCCGTCCTGGGCGACTCTGTCCATCTCCCATGCCGTCCAGCCTTGTGATTGCGCCTCTTTTGCTGTTATATCCGCCTCTTTTGCTGTTATATCCGCCTCTTTTGCTGCTATATCCGCCTTTCCGTTCCATTCGTTTCCGCTGTGGCCCTTGACCCACTCGACTGGCATGTTCGCACGGTCACCGCCCACTTTGCAGCGTAATCGCACCTCAGGTTTTCTCTTACCGACATTCGATTTCGATTGACAACGACCTCTCTGAACTGTTTCACCACCGTTTGGTTGTCGAGTCGGATGTAGAGGTCCAGGTCCTGTGGTGTTGCGATGATTCCTGCGATCAATCCCATTAGTTCCGCTTTCGCCGATGATGCGAATCCCCCGGTGGTTCCCTTCACCACCGTCTGCTCCTCTCCCACGACCGCAAAGGCCATGGCGCAGTCTCCTTCCCCTTGTCCACCATTGAACCTTCGGAGTAGATACGTCTCTGCTCAGGCCTAGTCTCTTTCCTGCAGCTCTCTATGGACTCCTGTGCCTCTGGGTCCATGATAATGTAATTGTACTTGTGTGTTGCTTGTTGTTGTATTAGTGCTGTGATGTCCGGTAGGAACTGGTAGGCTTTCTCTGCCATCTCCTTCCTGCGTGCCTTGACTTGCCCGTTTGAATTTCTGCTTGAGTGTGAGTGCTGCCTCCGCCTTGCATCGTACCGCCTTGCGTCGTGCCGCCTCCTCGAGTTTTTGTTCCAGCTTCTGTTGCCTCAACCTAGCCTCGCTTGGGGTAGTGAATAAACTCGTGGGAGATTTTGTTTTTGGTTTGCCGGTGGAGTTTCTTGTTGTGTTTGTCCAGTTGTTTGTTTCCTGTCTGCGGGGGAGTGTCTGGTTGCTCCATGCGCTTGAGGGGTGATATTGCTGTTGCTGCTGCATCGATGTGTGGTGTCGTTGGTAGCGTTGCTGTTGTTGTTGTTGTTGTTGTTGTTGTTGTTGTTGTTGTTGTTGTTGTTGTTGAAATGAGATATGAAGGAGAAGAAAAAAGGGTAAAGACGAAGAAGAAAATGGGAGAGGGCGTGTGGTCGGGTTGTGCTGACAGGTTGCGTGTGGTAGAAGATGACGTTTGTGATACTAAAAAGGAATCCAAAAAAGGAACCATCCTCTTGTGAAGGTCCTGTTTCTTATTAATCATCGAACGTTTACTCAATCAGTCGTGCATCCAAGACCCGTGACTTTAATCAGAATTCAATCCTTGCTGCTGCTGCTGCTGCTGGTGAAGGGCTCGATCGGATGCTGACGCTGGCTTCTGCGCGACAATGACATGATAATTAATGTACGCGTGCTTCTCAACAGCCTCCTCAAAGATACTCCTCGTCAACTCACGATAGTCTTCCGATCCTCCGTGGCCCTGTCGAACATAAATCGGCTCCAGCTCATTCACAAACTGCCGCTGGTTCACCAGCATCGCCTGACCAATCACCCCTCCCCATCCAAGAGGGATCGAAAACACCTTTAACGCCACATTCACAAACCCTGCGCTCTCCAATAAATGTTGCATCTCGTGAATCACGTTCGGGTTCCGCCCCACTGTCTCAAATATCCGCACGCAGTACTCTCCCGCCAATTGACACAGGTCTCCCCCTCCTCGAAGATGCAGGTCGGGCTCCAGGATCTGTACCCAGCCGCCTCGCTTTAGCACTCTGAACAACTCAAGAACCGTCCGTTGCCATTCTGTCGACATTAAAACCACTGACTGCCGTCGTTGATAGACAAAGTCGAATTGATCGTTTGTAAATGGGAGTCGATTCAGAGGGACATCGGGTACAAATGTGCAATTCCGAGGGCGAAGCGTCGGCCTAATGTTGACTCCGGGGAGAGCGGTCGCAGCAGATGGTGATCCTCCCGTTGAACTGTTGGGCGAAGGTGTGGTAGGTCCTGTCGAACCCATTTGAGATTGATCGGCTCCGAGAAGACCACGAGGACGAAGGAGAGAGGTACTTTTTTCTGCATTCGAAGTCGTAAAGACAATCTGCGGGCAGGCTACAAAGTCAGTCTCTGGCATCTCGCTCGCCATGTCCTAACAATGAAGCGGAGACATAAACAAAAAAAGGTACCTCATTCAGTTCAGATGTACAATGCTTAGGTAAAGATGAAAGCATCTAAAAATCTTCCCAGAGCCAAACAAATGCAAGAAAATATCTCTTTAGCTCGGAAATTAGCACCACTCGCCCACAACAAGAAAACCAAAAGAAAAAGTAAAACGGTCTTGTTGGCGATCATGTACCCTTTTTTCCTTTCTGTGCAACACATGTAAAGAAAGCAAAGAAAAACACTCACCACAGTCCAATCGCCTGCACCGCAGCCATTCTCGAGTACTCTTTTGAAAGCAAGGTCGATCGGTGCATGAAAGTTTCCTCCCATAATGTCCTTCATGAGGTAGTGCTGGTCTGTTATTCTAATAAAAATAGCGTGAAAGGAGACAAAAGAGGTACTTGAGCAATTGGTTTCTGAACACAGAGTACACTTAATGGTCGGCATACAATGTTTCTTTCTTTACCTGTCGACATATCCTTTGGCAGCCTCGGCCTCCATTTCATTAAGCAACTGACCATGCCGATAACTCCAAGCGTCGTTTTTCAACACCTCCTCATCCAATGCGGAAGAGGCTGGGGGCAGTTTCTTTTCGAGCCAAGCAAAGCCTGCCTTACCACGGATAAAGCTCAGCTTGGAGGGTCGACTCTGTGGTGAAATGTCTCCTACGGTTGAGAGGGAGGGCGCAGTGACCGAAGGGCCAAGCCGTGGCGAAGAAATGATAGACTGCATCTGGTCGGAACCTTTCGAGTTCGTTGATGAAGGATCGCCTTCGCTGCTGAGGTTGAACCGTCCAAATGCAGAAGTTGTCGGTTGAAGCGAGGTCGTAGACTGCAAGGACGAGGGGCCATGGTAGCCCAGCGAAGACATTGAAGCGTTGGAGACGGGGGTATGGATGGTTGACTGGGGAGGAAGGGTGGGTGAGGTTGAGGCTGAGGGGGAGACACTGGCAGTTTTTGATTGTAACGATGGTGTACGCTGGTACTGTTCGTCAGGCGAAGAGACGACGATGTTGTTGGCGAATGAGGGTGACGAAGGCGACGCTAATCCGGGCCTTGTTGATGCTGCGGCTTGCTGCTGATATGAGTTGAGCGACTGCTGATGCTGTTGCTGCTGAAGTTGTCGAAGTTGCTTCTTTGCCTTTGCCTGTGCCTTTTCTTTCTGTTTGTTGATTTTCTTTTGTTGCTTTTGTTCCCACAAATCGTCGACGGTTTTTGTCGATCCAGCCTTTTTCTCGCCATTTGCGTCTATCTTGGTCTCTGAATCAACCAGGTCTTTGCTCTTGCTTCTTATGGAGCTCAGGAAGGATGAGAGATTTGTTTTGGAGCTGACGGCGGACTCTGTCCTCGTGCCTCCGCCCGGGGTCGGCTCGCCCGTAAGATCGGATTCATTCTGGTCCGAGCAGGAATAGGAGTGAAGGTCATCGGGATTGTCGGTAAGAGGAGTGTTGAGAGGGTAGGCGGCAATGGGGGTAATTGCGACGCCTGCAAGGTCCTTTAGAGTGTTCTTGCGTCGTTGCTGACGATGTTTGTCCTTTTGTGATAAGGTACTTTCAGTTGTGGATCGAGAAAGGACTTTGTTGAGTTTTGATGGCTGTGCTCCCATCTTCTGTCCGTTGGGGAATCCCGCGTGGAAGAGGAAAAGGAGGAAAAGAAGGAGGTGAAAGGAAAGAAAGGGAGTTGGATGAGAGGTGAAAAGGGGTGAAAGAAGGGAGGAGGAGCAGTATCCAAGCCGAAGTGAGGAGATGACGCAATTGTAGCAATTGAGGTAATTGAAGATAAGTAGGAGAGTGGCACGGAATAGGTGGAAAGGTGGAAAGGTGAAGAGGTGAAAAGGGTTAAAAGATGAGGAAGAAAGTAAAAGAGGAAAAAGATGACAAAGGAGTAGGGTTGGTTTTTGTTAAAAGACGGGTGAGATCCAATCCAAGTTAACCAAAATTAAAAAAAAGAAAACGAGGCGACAAAGAGACAACGAGACAATGGGTCTGGAAGCCCTTTTCTCCTTTCAATTTTGCCATGTGTGCAGGGTGTTGTACAGTACATGTACAGTACATGTACATGTGCATGTGTACTGGCTGAAGGGAGACAGATAATCGTTCATTTCGCCGCACCTCTTTCGAAGATGCCCTCTGTCTTCTGATTCCATTGGTGTGCACCAATTGTTATCTCTTTTTTCGGTGTGCTCCAAAATTGAGACAAATGCCCATCAGCTTTTCTTCTCCGCGGATTTCTTTTTTTCCTTTTTTTTTTGGGTGCATACGTCACGTGCACTGCTGCTCTGGCAGTAGCTGCGATCAGCCTAGCTTCCCTTCAAAAGGCCTTGGCATTCGTCGACCACGTTCGACTTTCTTGGCTGACCCTCACCCTCGCCTTCAGCTCTTTGTTTAGCAGCCTCATTCAATTCTTTGTACTCCTTTCTTTTTCCTTTCCTGCTTTGCCTTCCTTTCCTTCTTTTCCATTCGATTCACTACTCACTACTCACATTTCACCCACTCCACCTACAACGCACTCTTTCTTTTCTTTACATTACCAACAAGCGACTTTCTTGCTCTCACAACTCTCACGTCGATAAACACACCCCGCCGCTGCTGTTGTATTGGAACGTGCACGACCTACCCGACACCCCACCTGTCTATCTAACCACAACCGTCGCTATGGAAAACGATCCTCTGGTAGCCCAGATGGAGGATTTAGAGGTACAAAGAACCCTTGCCTTATTGTTGCTGTAGCATATCATATGTGCGAATGCCATTGACACGTTCTCATTGCTCTCTTTGCTCTCTTCTTCCAATAATAACAACAGCTGGATCAGTCCACCCTCTTCGCCCAGCCAAGACTGCTCTTCACCCGACCAAAGGTTTACGTCGAAACTTCAACCAACGGCAAGGAGGGAATGCCAGGCTTCATCTCCTTGATTGAAACGGTACGCAACAATTACTGCAAAAAGGTGCCAAGCCAGGTCTTGCACAAATATTTTTCTCTTGGCGTTCTCGATCCTACATCTATAAGGCACTCCTCTCAGTCTTTTGATTACTGTGCAGCAACACTGATGCGTCATCCATACCGCATACCTCTATTAGACCAACTACGAGCACATCCTTTCATGGACACCTGAGGCCGCCATTCCTGGTCTTGACCAGGATTCATATGTTGACATCTCCAGCGAGGGAGAGTATGACTGTAAGTATCACATCCGCCTCTTCACGTCATAGCTTTCTTTACTTCATGGCGGACGACAGCTCACACTCACGTTATCTCGTTCTTTGCATCTAGCGTCGAGGTTTGTCGCCCCTCCCCGAACCCCTGAGGCACTTCGTAGCAGGTCTTTTCACCCATCGGACTATGCAGTATCAGTACCCCTGCAGAGCATCTACTCATTACTTGTATATCCTCCACGTATCAAAGACCGTCAGGGATCGATCATTATTAACCTCATCGGAGGAGAGTCGTTGCCAGCCTTTTATTTCCACGACGATGGCCTCTCGAAGGGAAAGGGTCTTCCTGGAACGCCACCTACCTGGGGTGGTCAAGAACTCTTGAATCATCTGGAGCAACTGGTCGAAGTTGTCGGCAGCGCCATCGAGCCTGGTGTCTACCTCGTGAACGCTTCCCGTGCAGATAAAATTAACCATGGAGCTGCGTCCCCATCTCTCCCAGCATCATCACTACCATCGTCGGGAGTCCAGGATCATCCACTCAGAGAAGTTTCTCTAACAGAGGAACACGAAAGTTTGTACCCGGATATTCCGAGTATCAACCAATCAGCTTCCCCAACTCCCGACACAGCGACAACCACAGCCACAGGATCTATTACAGTTGAAGGGATGCGTCGCCGAAGGTCGTTGACGGAAAATAGTAGATCCAACAGTCCAGGAACTGGGCATCAACAGTTCGCATCAGCAACAGGATCCCCCAATATCAGCTCTTCCGGTTCATTCTCTGGTCGACCACGAACACCTATGCCATTCGAAAACCACATCGACCCCCTTGTCAATGTAGGTGATAGGTGACCCACGACTCTCGCCATCAAGCAGGGTGCTTGTTAATCCACTTCCGACACGATAGCTGACACGAAGGTATTTTTTTTAATTCTTTGTAGACTGTCAAGGAGATGCGGTGGAACATTCTTGAGAGATTTTCGCAGGTCGCCCGATTCTCGCGGGATGCAGCCACCAACATCCTTGACCATCCTATCACCAAACAAATCTTGCCTCCGCACGTACAACAACGCATTCATGAGTCCGAAGCAGCCAGGCGAGTTATGGACGACTATGACTCTGCTCGAGTCTATTTGGCCAAGTGGGCCGCAACGGTGGCAGACCAGAGCGACAAGGAGAGGCGGGAGGCGCAGGAGATGGACAGGCTTCATCAGGGCCCATCAGGCACGGGAAGTCATCCAGCACATGGCCGTAGCGGACGCCGTATTAATGACTACGAAGACGAGGAGGGTCCATTGGGAGCGTTCAATGTCCTTGACGTAAGAACATTATCTCGTATTTATATTTTACTACTCCCGATATGTCTATGATGCATGCAGTCATGCACAGAGCGCCTGTTTTTTTTTTCGTTCAACCTCTAACACCTTTTTTCTCTCGCCAAAATAGCTGGAGACCGAGTGCACAATGATCCACCACTCCAGAACAGACCCACTCTCTCCTATGGACTGGTTCTCATTCTTTGACGACGAGGGACGCCTCAAAGTCTCAGAGGCACATGTTCGGGAGGTTGTCTTCAGAGGCGGCATCGAGCATGACATCAGAATCGAGGTCTGGAAGTTTTTCCTGGGCATCTATCCCTGGGACTCGACCGAGGCTACGCGTGTGGCTCTTCGCGTATCCAAAGCGTACGTCCTTGTGTCACTTTCAGGTTACAAATCGATACTCTTCCACGAGCCACCAAATCTGACTCTTTCTTGTTGTACCTCACTTACTTTTTTTTTAGTGAAGAGTATTACGAACTCAAGCGAGAGTGGTTCGACGATGCATCTGTTCAGGAAGGCGAAGCCTTCCAGGAGCAAAAGCTCCGCATTGAGAAGGACGTTCACCGCACCGATAGGACAATCTCATTCTTTGCCTCGGAAACGCTCCCAAACTTTGCAGGAGATTTCACCGGCGTCGGCTCAAACGAGAACCTGGAACTCCTCAAAGACATTCTGTTGACGTACAACGTCTGGGCAGCGAAGTCACCCTCAGACCGCGCAGCATCAACCGACAAGACATCAACGTCTCTGCCGTCAGATATCTTGGAAACCGGAGCAACTTTGAACAGCCCTGTAGAGCCCAACCTCTTGGAAGGCTATGTGCAAGGCATGTCGGACCTACTGGCCCCAGTTTTTGCTGTCATGGGAGACGAGGTGATGGGCTTCTGGGCCTTCGTCGGACTCATGGAGAAAACGAAGAAGAACTTCTACCGCGACCAGGTTGGAATGCAGAGTCAGCTCGAGACTCTCTGCAAAATGATTCAAGTCCTTGATCCCAAGCTTTACAAGCACCTTGGTAAGTCTCTTATGAGTATCATTCGCCCCTGCTCCCAAGCATCAGCAACGGGTCTAACATCGGATTACCCTTTATTCCTTTTAGAAACATGTGAGGCTTTGAACTTGTTTTTCTGCTTTCGTTGGCTCTTGATTTGGTTCAAGCGAGAGTTTGAGTGGGTGGAAATCATGCGCCTCTGGGAAGTCCTCTTCTCTGACCACCTTTCCACGCAGTTCCAGCTCTTTGTGGCCATGGCTGTTCTCGACAAACACCGCGATGTAATGATTGACCATCTCCAGGGCTTTGACGAAATTCTCAAGGTAAATATAATAGAGATCGTGGAATGCTTTTGAACCATGTGCCTAAATTGTGTGCTAATTTCGGCTGTGCCTACTTTTCGTATTCTCCGTTTTAGTATGTAAACGACTTGAGCATGACGATTGATCTTGAAGAGTCTCTCCAAAACGCCGAGGTCCTCTACCGTCGCCTTGAGCACGTTGCGAACAAAGTTGATGCCAAAAGACAAGAACAGACGATGTCTTCCGAAAATGGAGCGGAAGCTACGCCAGAGTTCCCACCTACCCTCAGAAGATTGATGAAGGATACTCCCCCAACAAGCACTAGCACATAAAAACGATACGGTCAATAAACACGACCCTTGCAAATGAACATGTCATCCAGATACCGAATGACTGCGGCACGACTGCGGCACGACTGCGGTCGTACCAAAAAAAGTCATAAGTAGAGCTGAAGAAAAAGAATTCCTCATTTTTACAACACACAACCCTCATGTCACCAACCGACGACACCGCTCCTGAAAATCAGGGTTTGTCCCAAGAATCATTCCTGCAGCTCATCATACAGGCCAAGAAATTTAAGGAACGCTCTCATAGCACATTCCAGGATGCCCATCTGTCAGAGCTCACCCGTCTCTCGCAGAAACCGAGCGACGTCGTTACATCAGCCTCCCTTTCCTCCGAAGACCCAAACTTACTGCCCAATGATGCACCAACAGCACCGTTATCGACTGTATTCATCGGTGACTCCATGCTCGAGCGCCTCAAGACGACGGGTACATCCACAGGCCTAGCAAAGCTCTCTGGATCGTTCAACGCTGGTTGCGGTGGCGACAAGATTGAGAACGTCCTCTATCGTCTTGATCTCATGTACCCATTCCTCCAGAACTGTAGCGACATCAAGCTGTGGGTAGTCATGGTCGGGACGAATAATCTCCGCAAGAAGGGTTTCCGCCCAACGGATGTAGCACTGTATCGTCTGCTACTGCAGGCTCTTTTGAGGATTGCACCAGGTAGCAAGGTGCTTGCATGCGAGCTGTTCTGGAGGAAGGATGTTGAGGATCGATATGTGGACGAGGCGAATCGAATGGTCAAGGAGATGATCAACGCGATGAATGATACTCTTGGAGACACGAGGATTTGGTGGAGTGAGGCACCGGAGGATGTTACAAAGGCGATGCTTGAAGACCATGTGCATTTGGATGAGGAAGGGTATTCCAGATGGGACGGACACCTCCTTCCAAGAGTGCAGGAGCTTTTACTGGAACCATAGAATAGATTTGTTTTCTTTTCTGCGAAAATCTGCGATTGTGAACCGACCATTTTTCAACCTGATCATGCGAAGCAATAGCTACAGTAGCCATGATGATGTGTCTGACAATGACCATGGACGACTTTATGATACGAATGATGGCAACGTTAACGACGGCTGTTCCACCCCATGATATGTACTGAAAGCTTGGTAGCGCCGGATGCCATGATGGCAGGCGAGGATAGCGGCTTCGCCAGACGTACTTGGTATGAGTGACTGCAACGTCTGTTCTCCCTCCAATTAGTGGACATTGGTGATGAAAAAAAGGCAGAGTGCGATAAGGTGAGAAAGACAGCCAAACACTCGACAGGGTCAATAACCAACTGGAATCAGTGGAGCACATCCACCTTGGACCATGCAGAAAGACTCGAGTGCTTACACGTTTTATTCTTTCGCACGCTGTCACGAAACTCATCATCAAAAAGAGAATAGGGGCAGTACCAAAAACTAAATCGCCAAAGTCCACCTGTCATGGTCACAAAGACGCTACCCCTTCAGAATCGAACAAGCATCTGGGCAGCCGAGACCAAGCTTCCGTGCAACGTCATCGGATTGGGTGGTGGACAAAATGAGACTTTGTCTCAAGTCCAGAATGCCAACGCAGAGCTTGCCAAATCAATACCGTCAGCACCTGCCACAACCACTTCAACAACAACCACTTCGACTACCAAGCCTACTACCCCTGTAACCAATGAAGTCCAATTACCCTCGATACAACCACCCGGGGACTATGATGCTCATCCAAGTTCAACATCAAGGCGTCAGAGTGAAAGCCCAACGTGAACAAAAGTCCCTTTTACACCATCCCTTGCTACTTGCAACAAAGAGTCGCACGTATGACTTCCACCACTGCCGAAAGCAATGTTTTTTTTTTTTTTTTTTTTTTTTTTTTTTTGGCAAGACTACCAGAAAGGGATCCTCGCCACTCCAGAACGCCATATGAAACACGTCCACCCGTTGTGAATAGTATAGGGGAAATGGAGACGGGAATGAAAAGCGATTTTATTCAATTTGGCGAAGACTTCTTTTATTTCGTCAAGTAAAAAAGGCCGCTGCTTAATTGTAGCACCTAACCTCAACAGAGCTCCCCACAAGATTTCGGCAAAGCGATGAACAAAATTAGGGTTGCAAGTGCAAAAAACTAAACCTTGCAGTTGCAAACAAGGCAGAAGGGAAAAAATAACGTTCCTTGAAGAAGGCAAAGCGTCTTCAAGTGTAGGGTGTATGGGGAAAATTAACCTCATAGAGTGACAGGGGTGTAAGATAAAAATAAAAAACTTGCAGAGATGAGACAATGTAGAGGGCAAAAAATCAACATCATTGGACCTTGGTCCAAGCAAGGTGTTGTAGGTAAAAACGTCATGAATATAGTGCACGCGTAAAAAAACATCAATTGGATGCCATTGCTGGCTCTTGTTTAGTTAGTTTTGCGGAGCTGACCTTTTCCTTGTTTGAATAGGAGGAGAAGGTGTTTGCTTTTGCATAACTTTGTTCAGCTTTCGTTGCCTGTTTTTCAGTCTCCTCTCATGTGCTGCAAGTACGCGGGGATTATTTTTTTGGATTCGATCATAGTAGAGATAACGGTTTTCTTGGAATCGAAGTTTTCATATGGGATCTCTGAGTTCTCCGATTCGTCAAAACTTTCCACTTCACGGTGAACGGTATCTTACCCCGCTCTTTGTCGAAACGGTGACTCAAGATCATTTCTACCTCATAATGCTCAGCTTGTTTGGTAGGAACATCACTCGATTGTAAGACACATTTCAGTTGCTTAGGTGCGTAGTTACGGGCTAGTAATCTACTCATATAGTCATGCAAAATATATGTTCCTTTGGATGTGCGTCGCACTACCTTGAAAGGGCCGTCATACTTTGGATCTAATGCAGTTTCCGCTTCTTTATCCTTGGCCATGACAAAGAGGCTGGTGTGGATGCAGTTAGGCGGTGAGTCTTGTTAAAGGCTGTGATCATTCTCTGCTGTGTGGCCTTGGACATCTCAGAGATGGCTGGTTAGACCACCAGTGCAGTCAAATATTCCCATCGTTTGTTCATTTGCTCCGCTGTTAGTGAGCGCGACTCTATTGTCTGAAAGTCATGTAGACCAGGGAAGAGGTGTTCGTAGGACAGAGAAAATGGGTATAGAACTACGAAGGGTTGCTATACGATTGTTCGTTTGCAGTTGAACCATTGGGAGATGATCATCCCATAATGGGTTTTCACCCAACACCGATTTTTCCAACTGCAGCTTGAGTACGAACGTTATGTTCAGCTACTCCATTTGCTTTTGGATGGTAGGGTGTGGTCAGTCTATGCTCGAGCTTCAGTGTAGTCATGAGGTGATGAATGGTTTGATTGACAAACTCGGATCCGTTGTCACCTTGAATGACTTTCGGACACCCGATCAAGCAAAGCAGTTTGAACAATTGACTGGCGACTGTCGTGGCAGATTTGCCAGGTATGGGCTCAAGGAACACAAATCGAGAGCGAACAGCAAAAACATTAAGGATGGAACAGTTTCCTTTTTCGCTACAGAACGAAAGACGACTATAGTCTCCTTTAGGGTATGGGAGAAGTACACAGCAAAATAACAGCTATCGAAGAAGTAGAGGAGAGTGTATGTATGATATGAGCCATTAAAATAACCATTGTAACATTCCTCGCGTAATTATTCTGCTAAACACCACCACATTCTCCAAACAACAAAGCCGTCTTGAATGGGTCCATCTACCGTTAGATTGTACCCCTCACTGCAAGATTCAGAGGAGTAGTTCTTGTACGTGATAATCCAATGCACTTGTACTCTCAACTGTTTGTCCGCATCCTGAAAGTTATAACCTTGGAGCCCGTTTTTTCAAGATTATTTATCTCTTCGTTGGAATGTGCATCCCTTGGAGAGTTAGCTCGATTGTCAAGTCCATACCACAATGCCTCCAGGCTACCGAGCATTCTGCAAAACGTGATACACTACAAATATATTTGTAGAGAAAAAAATAGCAATGGTTAGTGACGGAGGAACAAGGACAACCGTACAACTCCTTTGATGCAATTACCCCACAAACATGCAGAGGCCTCGGTCACCCAGTGGCGAAAACAGCCGCAGCTAGGCGGAGACTCACGATCACCATAGCCATCTCAAATGAGACGGCCCCGATTTCAGCACCACCGTAGCCAAGGCGACAGGCACCTTTTCATGAAGAGGTCATATGGAGAACAGGCAGCGCCACAGCTTAACCTATGTGCCTCTCATAGACCCAAGGTGGACACTGCTCGCATCTCTTCTCGAGAACCATACACAACACCATGCTTGTTCTCAGACACCACCATTACCTTGGACGCGCACGATGGGGAGCTGAAATGGACTTCGTTCCTGGCGATTGACCTCGATGGAATGAATAGGTTAAAGATGGGGAAAACCCCGCCTCCTACATTTTTAACCGAAGAGTGGGCGCATAAACCCATTTTGGGACAATTCTGACGCATGGATGTAGGTGATTATTAATCGGTAATAACGAATAACCTTATACGGAATAAGCAATCGCTTGAGCTCAAGTCAAGTATTGTACGCTCCAGTCCTGCTATCGTGCTCTGAAAGTACTTAAGCGAGCATTTCCTTCAGGCCCTGGCCACATCACCAGCTAGAGTGATTAAAGATGCCAGTCTTTTCTGGCACTTCATGAATGCATATGCATGGTCAGCCTCTCTTGCCTTTCTTGCAGCCTCCTCCTTTTCAGCTCTGGCCTTATTGAGGTGAAGTATAGTTTCTGGTTTCATTGAGGATCGCGTGTATCACTAAAAAATAGTATGAAAGGAAATAAAAAGCCATTTATTGACCAGGTTCCTGAGTTGGTGTACCAAAGTCTTGGAGGAGGCAACTGCAGACCGTAGGTCCTCCAAGTTGACTTTTTGTTCATCAGCTCGATAATCATGCGCAGAGCTATATCCTTGGTTGGATCAATGTGAGAATAATGTTACAAAAAGATGTGGTGGCTAGGCAGTGGCGGCGATGCCTTAGATTAGCAGTCATATTCTTTAGTAGATAGTATTAGTAGTGCGCCGAGCCCTCTTGTCTGCTCTTTGTCCTTTTACACATCACTTCTTGGACGAGAGCAGTATTGACAAGAGTTTCGCTGGCGCGCTGCAGGTAACAACCCCCTCTTTGATAATATTAATACAAGGTCCTTTTACACATCACTTCGTGGACGAGAGCAGTATTGACAAGAGTTTCGCTGGCGCGCTGCAGTGTATCGTTTTGTGTGATTCTTTTAGGACGTTATTATCACTTTCCCCCTCTCCAACCTACAACCCCCCTTCCCCCCCCCCCCCCGTACCAATTGAGGACTTAACAGCGGTCCTACAACTCTGGCCGTCGACCCTCTCCCCTGAGTAACAATAACTAGGTGTCTTTAAGGGGTGGTGGTTAGTGACTTCAACTTATCTTCAAGTAAGAAGTAACTACACTCCCTTTCGCAAAAAAAAAAACAGCGCAAAACCTTACTGAATTGACAAAATAAGGATGTTATTCAGTCAGCCAGGGTCGCCGTCGAGACGCGTCAGTCAAGGCAAGCCGCCCGCCAAGCAGATGTTCAAGAATGTCGAGAAGAGTCTTCGTGAAGGATTCAAGTGGTCTCCCCGAGATCGGGAGGACTTCGTCGATTTTCTGCAGGGTCAAGATCTTGACGCGCGCGCCTATGCAAAGCCGAGACCGACATTGACATCGCTGCAGAGTGCCAACCCAAGGGCGTTGCTCTGTCCCAAGTCTCGGACTTTTTCGCTTACGATTCGGTCACGACGTTCTGGCGTCCTGTGGGAAAGCGGTACAAGATCAAGGTCCTCGAATACAACAGGGAGGTGGTGCTGGCCCAGATAAAACTGTCGACCACCAAGCTCACTGCCCTGGCATGCGTGTCGAGTAATGACCAGAGCAAGAATATCCCGTCGATGGGCATTGTCACCAACTACAGCATTACTAAGGATACCCGATGCAGGTAGGAGCAAATATCTTGCCAGCATGCCCATATCGCCATTATTCCTTGTGGACATGGCCAGACTCATCACGGCTCCTCTCTTTGAACCCCTTCTCTGTTATACGTGCCGTTCCTGGTGAAGGAGAATCTCGAGAGTCCACGCGTGGTCTGCAGCTACCAAGAAGGCATCGACTTCACGGCCTCTATTCTCGTGTTCACTAAAATAACCAGGAGATTGCTGTTCCAGCGGGCGTATCCTCTGTTCCGTCGCCGTCCTCACAGTCAGCGACGCCTTTGACGACCTCCCCTGCATCTTCCCTGTCCTACGAGCTGCTCTGTCAGCAGTACAAGTTGGCCAAGGACCAGCATGCCAGAGCCAAGGAACAGAAGAGCCAAGGGAATTCGGGCATCAAGAGGTAACACATTAGGTGATATGTGATTCTCTCACATGACCCCTAATCTGGCTTTCCCATCACTTGCAAAGAGTCTAACACGTTGTTTGCCTATTATCACTCTCTTCGACATGCTCTAGCGACGCCAAACCCAATCGGCAGGGCAAGCACAGGGAATTTAGAAGGCACCGTGTGATCGTCCGGCCAGCTCACTAGCTTGGAGTCTCGCGACAGGTGCACCGGCCGCAGCATTCATACAGGGCGCGCCCAGAACCACAGAAGCACGAGCAACCATCGATCTGCAAGCAATACCAGCGAAAGCTCTACACGGCGGAGCATGAGGCACGGTACCGGCAGTCGATAGCTGAGGCCAAGGGAAAGAAGGTGAAGAAGAAGCGGCAAAGAGAGGCTCAACGACTCAAGAAGGAAAAGGAACTAGCCAAGAAGCCACCGCTCAAGATCGACGAGATGGACAGGATGCACCTGATCGATGCCATGGTGTGGGAGCATATCCCCTTGTCTCCCTTCCCGTCGGCACAGTCAACGCTAACAGCAAGCGGGCAGCGGCAGCGGCAGCAGCCAGCCAGCCACCACCGACGCCAGTCAGCTCCCCTCGTCTGAGCAGCAACAGAAACATCAGCAGCAAGAGGTCTCTGCATGCATTCTGGAGGTTGTCGGGCAAGCCCGTATGACGAAGAGACGCGCACAGGAGTTTCTGGGAGCATTTATCGAGACTGTCTTTGAGCGTGGTAGGATCGAAGACGACCGAACCATCCTGTCCTCTTTGTGTCCTGCCGTCGAGTTCAAGATCCGTGTGATGCCCAACCCAACCAGGGCTCTCAGGCAACCAGCAGCAGTCCCGCTGGCACCCCCGCTGAGGATGAAGATGAGGAAAATACGGAGGATGATGGTGACGAGGATGCCGAGCCGTCAGCAATGGATAAACCATTCATCACCTTCTACCGGATTCTTCTGGCGCACATCTACTCCCGCAAGATCAAGTCCAAGACGGTTGCCGAGCGGCAAGTTGGCCAGTTGCTTGCACGTGCCACCTCCCTGGGCATCACTTGCCCCCTGTTCCTCCACGCAACGTCTCCTACCCAACCACCGGGTTGCTCGAATCGACCACCACACAACTCTACCGCTCAATCAAGATGATGCGTCGCAACGCCTCGTCGCCCTTGAGAAGAAGGTAATGTGAAGTTGCCAATCCAAGCTTTGTCACGGACGAAATGCGAAGAGAGCAATCATCAAAATTTGTTTCGAACCAATGTCTTTTTTTTCCTTTTATAATAGACCAACTCACAAGCGGATGGCCAACCTGGCACGGTACTTCCCAAGATCGACCCCAAGCTGCCTGCCATCGAGAATTACCTGCCTCTGAACAAGGCCAGTGGCGGATCGAGACGTATTGCGCTCCTCTCACCCCCGGAAGCTCGCTATGTCGGCATTTACTCCCGCTGTTCTGGCACTGGCCGACCTTCAATGACAAGGTCCGGCGTATGATGGTTGAGGATCGCTACTTTCAGGATACAGCCATAGTTCCCGCGCTGGCTGGTGCTTTGAGCTGGCTGGCCAAGACAACGCCTGGCCGCCTTGTCACCACTTTCCTGACGGATGTCGGTCTCCCGCCAGACAAATACGACAAGGGCTACCGCAAGGTGATAACAGTCATGGATGTGGGCGGCACAGGTGGCATGGAAGGGCTCTGGGAACACCTCGGATGTCTGCGGGCCGAGACGTTTGACCCCAAGGAATGGGACAGCAAGAGTTATGTTCTCAGGGGCTCGATCCGGACCAATGGCCGTTTGCTTCAGCTGCTGGCATTCAAACTGAAGGAGCTGCAGTCTGTCCGGTACCGCCGTGTTCCCGAGGACAGGTTGCCTAACCCGTTCGTCACCACCATTGGCGGCACCAACAGTTACCTGACCGAGGCAGGCCCGCAATGTCATCTCCACAACTGCGGATGTGGAGAGCCTGTTGGCTGCTGATCCGAGTTAGGTCGCGGTACTGTCGCTCGATTTGGGTACCTCCTGCATCGTCGGCGCCACCGTTTCGCTCCCAGTTGGCCAGACTCCTGCCACATTGAAGCGAACCCTCGGCAAGGAGGGCGACCAGAAGAAGAAGAAGAAGAAGAAGAAGAAGAAGAAGAAGATGATGATGATGAGGCGTGCCAAGCGGAAGCCCGGTGATCGGAAGCGGCAGAAGAAGAGGCAGAAGGCGCGCAAGTTTACCAAGCAGCCTCAGACGACTCGATACTTTGATCTGGTGGTCAAGCGCGAGGCCACGTCGCGGCCAACGGACAGTTTTGCCAACTGGCATGAGGACCGGAAGGTGAACACCACCGGAGCGTCTACCGGCAGGACCATCCAGGATCTCGAATCTGCCCTGCCACCGCTCAAGGGAGAAGGCGCCTCGCTTTACGAGTATGTTGTAGCGCGTTGGGGTTTTGAGGGCGACATGAACGACTTTTACAACAATGCCAACTACTAGAAGCACCAATGGGATGTCAACGTTTGTCGGAAGGAGGAGTTCTGTAAGGTCGCCGAGGGCTTACTAAACATGATAGGTGGATCTGTCGGACGGTCAAGGATGCCGCACCAACTTGTTGTGATCGCGATCGGTCTGGCCAAGTTTACTGTTGTGAATGGCCCGCCATCACTAGACGGCACGTTTCAGACATTCTTCGTCAATCTGGTAGGGCACATCTTTGTGACGACTATTCTGCAGGGTTATTTCTTTAGAGCAACATGCTAAAAATGCCTCTATTTTTTGTCTTGACTTAGGCTCGTTCGTTGGGCTACCTGGTCATCGGGATCAACGAGTGTTACTCGTCCAAAGGATGCCCAGACTGCCATGACTTTGTTTGCGCGACGTCGGAATGGCGGACCATGTACTGCAAGACCTGCAAGCATTTCCAATAGCACGATGTGATGGCGTCCGAGAACATGAAAGATGCCATCAAGGACCAGCTGATCTACCAGCAGCGGCCGCTTTACCTGCAACCTCGGCGTCAAGACGGATATTACCCATGGGTGGATGTCGCTGACGGTGGCGGTAGTGGTGGTGGTGGAGGGGAAGCAGGCGGACCATCAGCTGTGGCCATGTACAGCAGTGAAGACGGAGCAGGCGGTCGTGGTGGCGGAGGAGCGGCAACAGCCAGAAGGAGACGCGCCGCTTCGATCGTCTCGGTCGAGGCCCCCAACACCGACATCGATCTCACGGCTAATGCACCCAATTCTTCATCCAGCCACACCAAGAAAAAAAGCAAAGAATGAGCCCATCCAACCTGAGTCTAACACTGCGCCTGCGCCAGCCATCTCGGATCCCAGTGCAGCTTTCGCCCCCACCACACGCTCCCGAGCCTCTAAGTCCACCGCGAGTAGCGGCAACAGCAGCAATAGTACATTATCTGGAGGAGCAATCATGAGAATGAAGATTAAGTATGACCAGAACTTTACTGCTTGCCAGGGTGAGGCATGGAAGCTCCCATCTGGCGCCTGCGTGGACGACATCGTTGCAGAGTACGTGCGTACTTTGAACAGAGACTCGGCATTGCACTCATTGTGATCGACCTTCCGACCACCATCATTGACCTGTTCTCGGACCCTGAAGATAAGGCAGCGCTGACAGAGGTCCTTGTGAAGCGTGAAGGAGAGCGCGCGAAACTCGTCAGTATAACGGAGGAAGCATACCTCCGTCTCTATGACAACGAGCCAGCCAAGATAAAAGAGATGCTGTCCCAGGGATGGCAACGTGTTTGCGAGACGGAGGACGAAGTCCCGGAGGAGGTTTTCCGCGAGTCGATTCATTTGGCCTTGCACCACATCTATGTGGTGTATGTATATCGAAACAATCAGTTCAAGTTGCCAGAAGAAGCCTCGGAGTCATTTTACCTCCAAACCCTCTGGGGGTTTTTTAACACCCTCATTCTGTGCGACGAGACCTTCAACTTCCGGACAGCTGAAGTGCATTCAAAAGCCTCCTCCTTTCGGAAAAACATGGATCGCAGGGCAGAAGGGACAACAAAACATGCTGTTGGCCGTTAATTCGACGGTCTTGTTGTGCCCACCTCTACGCTTCTTGAGCTGTGTGTGCTCGAGGCTGCCGGCAAGGACCCTGGCCCCAACGGCAGCGAAGCGCATTCAGACACCCGTAAGATGGCAAAAGTGATGAAAGACAGCTTTGACACTATTTGTACCAGGACCAATACGGATATCAGCTCTCTTCTGGTTGTGTATGGTATTTGTATTGCCGGGATGTCGATGACAGTTTTAGCATGAGGACGCGCCTGAGACGATTTTACCATATGGCCAACGGCAGAACCGTGTCTTTTCCTGCCCAGTGGGATCGGGGCACTACCATTACCATCCTGACAGTCATTGCATCGGCCAAGGCCTTGAGGAAGCGTGTCTCAGACATGGCCAAGCAGGTCATCGAATGGACCACGTTGTCGTTCGAGCTTCTCGATACATCAGGCCGTTCTAGCATGCCCCCAACCCTGACCATACCTCCCGGCTCGCCTCGCCTCACACCGTGGCCTTTACCAGCTTCCATCATGTATAATATATATTATAGTGCACATTACCAAGTCGGCGACCCTATGCCCTATGCAATAAATAAGGTTTTAACTCAAGAAGAAGATTGTATTAAGGCTCACCAGGAACTGGTTTATATCCGGTTCCTGGTGGCGTAGTTCTATCTGGTTCTGACTCCATCCATATAGGTGTTCACAGGGGCAATATGCGACACCCTATATTGCAGAGAAGGCCAAATACGCCTTGTCTGAGCGCTCATGCTCCATTAACCCAGAGAGATGGTTTTCTTTACTAGTGATTAAATTAATTTGCTACTACTTTCTGTAATGCTGTTCCTAAACATGCTTCCATCTTTCCCCTCTTTTTCCCTCTTTCCCCTTTCCCCTTTCCCCTTTGCCTGCTCCCACCGCCTCTTCCATCATTTATGTTATCTTTTTAGACAACATCTTGGTTTTCCAGAAATGGTGTCAAATGATCCTATCATCTCGATATGACAACGAGAGGAACTTGAAAAGGTATGAGAATTTAAAAAAAGACTAGTCTATCTCTTAGGCTTTGTCGCTTGGCTGTCATTATTCATGGGGCAAACGGAAACCGAAAATCCCTTAATAATGGCACGACAAGTGAGAAAAAAAAGAGAAAGACAAGGGAGAGGTCTGGGGCCAGTAAAGTGATTAAAAGAAAGGTATGGAGGTTTTTGCAAAACTGCAGGTCGTGGGTTCAAATCCCTGTCTGTTCATTATTGCAAGGTATTTAAGTATTTAATTAGTGTTTGTGGCCATTTTTTTGGGGCCGAGTTAACCAAAAGGTTTCGGATTCGGGAAGGCGAGCGATTTACTCGCTTCGGTGACGTAATTATCGCGCCCATTCTCCTGTTTTCTGTATCTTACACTTTAGTCTTCTACTCCCACAGACTCTTTTACACCTCTCTTTTCCCATCACCTACACTTTTACACCTCTCTTTGCCCCTCCTTTACCCACCACAGACGTCGTTCATCCCTTTTTCTCTCCGCGTCAATACTTGTTATTTCCATCCTTCCAGTTCTGTGCTTCTCTTCCTCACCAATCTTGCCAACGCGATTCCTCTCCTGTGAAGGTAATGAATTTTTCCTAGCACCTGCCCCATGCAAACATCCTGTCAAAGTGGCCCTTCCTTTAGCTCTAGCGTGTGTCCAGGACACTCTGATCCTCGTGCACGCCGACCGGGGATGTGGCTGCGACAGGGTGGCCTTCAGCTTTGCCGCTATTTGCCCCTTGGCTGCTGGTTCATGCGGGATTATTGAAAATTGCAGAGCGCATTGTCAACCAAAGCGACTTCTCCTTTAGCTCTAGCGTGTGTCCAGGAGCTCTTCTGATCCTCGTGCACGCCGACCGGGGAGGTGGTCGTGACAATGGCGTTCAGTGTGGCCGCCCAGATGGGGCCCTGCGCTGAAGTCACCTTTGCTTCTTACTTTCACCTAACAGACACCGTAAAGGAATTCGTTATTGACCACTTTTTTACTTTTGCCAAGTCCAACAAATGGCCTCGTCTCTAGATTGGGCGACTGCGGTCCATGTGGTGGATGGACAGCAACAAGAACATGTGTCTTTTCCGTCCTTCGTCAAGGAATTCGGAATCCGTGATATGGATGATGCAACATCGTCGTACAAGGAGCTACTCGAATCGCCGCGCATCAAGTCGAATCGACGGGAGCGACTCAAGGCGGACTTTGCCGACTTTGTCCGACGGCGTTTGCCTGTCTTTTGGTCGCAATGGGAGAAGGGGGTTGAGATGGAGACCATGCAGCTCGAGCTGGAGCACAGCGCCGCGATCGTTGCCAAAAAGACTGCAGTAGTGGCATCACTTCAGGATTCGTCTATGCTCTCTGGCATTCTGCAGGCTCAACAGATTTCGAGAGACGCCAGCCATTCAACCAAGGTTCCTGCAACAACTATTCATCCAGGGAACGGTATGCTCACTGTCTTGACTTTCTTTCCAACTTGATCGCAGTAAAGAGCACGTGTCGCCCCCGCTACGCTCCTACATCTTCGCTGAGCTGTTCTTTGAACCTTTGTTCTTGTGGTCGCGTAGACGACAAGGACCTGGAGACTGATACACCCAAATGTAAGTTTGACAGGTTACGTTGCTTCACTATTTCCTCTTGGTCGCCGTTTGCCGAAAATGCCCTGCACCATATTATCGATGATGTTTCGTTTTGCTGAGGATCCTCACACTCCACATCGCTCCATGTTTACTTCCCTTTCCTCCACCCTTCTTAGACCCAGCAGCACGAATACCGACGGCCGAGCACAACCCACTCCTAGTCCATTCACCCTCACACCTTGCAGATGAGTCAATTATGCCGCCACCAAAGCCAGTACCATACAATGCATCGTCGCGTACTCTGGGGCTAGCAGGAGCAGCGGGAGCGGCGGGAACGGAGTTACGATGGACTACTTCCAGCTCCAATGACTCCATCGCAAGCTTTTCGGAAACGACCGAGAGTGACAATACAGGTATATGCGATTGTGCGGGGTATTTCTTTCCGTGTTACATGTCTTAATACTCTTCTTGTACCCTAACAACACGAACATGCTCTTGTCATCGTTGTAGAGAGTGATTCAGCAACAGATCTATACATTGCTGAGTCGTCGCGAGCCAAAGCGACGCCTTTCTACGAGCTGATTGCGTTCGTCTTCAAGAAGGTATATTATGTGCATCTTTCCTGTGTGGTTGGTATTAGTCACTAGTGTTACCGTTTTAACGCTGTAGTCTCACCCCTTGTATTTGTAGGCCAAGGGGAAGCCTGCGACACTTCCTCATGCAGTTCCACGCGGGCTGTCCAAGAACCACGAGGAGCTCTACCGCGCTGCATTGGCCCGGCTGCGTGCCTCAGGTCCCGTTGAGGCCAAGAAGGACGTTCTGTAAGTCCCTTTTTTTTTTGGAGGCAAAGATAAAAGGGGTTTATTGCTAACACTGCTAGTTTATTCTCTTAGGGTCATGTTGCTACCCAGTTATCGCCGAAGGCCAAGGTCGTGTGCTCGACTTCTACACCATTCGCCGTTATGAGGATGTGCTCGGGGCAGGCTGGTCGGCTGAAAAGTGCGTCGCGCTGCCACCACAGGTTGGCCAGTTGAAGTCGTTTCTGATGTCGGATAATCTCTTGACGCTGATTGCTTTTAAGGTAGGAGTTTTAATTGAACTCTCAGCGTTGGCTACAGCAGTGTCTGGGGAAGGTTGCTGACATTTTGTAATTCATCTCGCAATAGGAACATATGCGCAAATTTGCAATTGACGTGACGGATGCGCTGGGCATGTCGCCCAGGAGTCACGTCGCCCCGGACGGCGATCGAGAGCTGTTGTCAGCGTCGTTTGATTCTTCAACGCCTTCATCTGTTTTGCACCCACGGCGCGACTCGTCCCCTTCTGATCCAGCACCATCTTTTTTGCACCCACGGCGCGACTCGTCCCCTTCTGATCCAGCACCATATGTCTTGTCCGCACGACCCTGTGCACCCCTGTCTGGTCCAGCGCGTCTTCCCGCTCACAGAGTGCGGTCCAGCACCCCTCCACGACGGAAGAGGCTGAAGCCTTTCGTAGTCTTTTCTCCGTCCAAGAAAGACAAGCTCAACGGTGGTGGCGCTGCCGGCGACCACGCGGGCAGTTATGACAACGACGACGATACAGACAAGTAGTGAGGCGCTGGCCGAGGAGGACGGAGCTTTGCAGGAACGCGAGAGCGGCAGAGGATCACTTGAACATTGTGTGGAACATTGGCCATCATCCATCTCGATAGCTTTGGCCGCCTCCCTCACTCCCTTTACAAATCGCATTTAATTTGCATCCGTTTTGCTTTTTGTCTGTTCAAGTATTAATGTGTGGTTTTTTGGAAGATGTAAGAGAGAGTGCCAAAATGCTCACTCACTCAGCCTCAGCGCCGCCGCCGCGCCGCGCAGGGCTGTGAGCGACCGATTTTTTTGACCGCCGCCTGCTCGCTTTACATGGGATTAATACTGACGTTCGCACACCCCCTCGGCCCTAGTCTCTGTAATACAAAAAGATGTGGTGGCTAGGCAGTGGCGGCGATGCTTTAAGTTAGCAGTCATATTCTTTAGTAGATAGTATTAGTAGTGCGCCGAGCCCTCTTGTCTGCTCTTTGTCCTTTTACACATCACTTCTTGGACGAGAGCAGTTAACAACCCCCTCTTTGATAGTATGAATAGAAGGTCCTTTTACACATCACTTCTTGGACGAGAGCAGTATTGACAAGAGCTTCGCTGGCGCGCTGCAGTGTATCGTTTCGTGTGATTCTTTAGGACGCTATTATCACTATCCCCGACTATCAACCCCCCCCTCAACCTACAACCCCTCCCTCCCGTACCAATTGAGGACTTAACAGCGGTCCTACAACTCTGGCCTTCGACCCTCTCCCCTGAGTAACATCTCGAATCCATTCCTTCACTTTACGTGGTTGGAATCTCATTACATCTCCATGAAGTGAAGGTCTGGGTTTTTTTGGATGGGTACCTGGCAGACCTGATTTTTTCGTCCTCATATGGCAGGTTGTTAAGGGTTTAGACATTGCATCAAATACTGTGCACCAAAAAAGTGATTCATCTTTTTGCGATTTCGACTTTTTTTTGGAAATGCTCATTCACCAATGTTCCGACCGGCCCCCAGATTCCTGTCATTCATTCTCTCGATTCGTAGCCTCATTCATTACCACTTGTTTCTTTTTGCATGGACCGACATCGGATCATCGTCGAAATCGAAATACCTGAATCGAATGAATCAGTTAATTGGATTAATGCATCCCGATTTTCTTTTTCAACTTGTGCGGTCTTTTTAGTTTCTACGTACCTTCAAACTTGAACAAGTTACGTGCTGAATCCTATAGGACCATCTCTCAAAGGTTGGAGCTCCTACCCAAAGTCTTTTGTATATGACCTATATGCCTGATTTTACATGGGTTTGGCACGTGTTTAACTGTTGTTTTTATACCACAAGCTCAATGCACTTTCTACTGGAAAACTGAAAGCTAGCCCATGTAGAGGACATGGTGTAGGATTTGAAAGTTTTGAAAGTAAGAAGCCAGTTACTCTCAATAAAGTGCAATATCTTGACAAGGTGTAACGCCATGCTAACTCTATGTAACAGGACCTACTTTAGTGATATCTCTTGTTAACGATATGATAATCCCGTACCTTTTCTATATTAGTGATTCACACCATGTCCTCTACATGGGCTAGCTTTCAGTTTTCCAGTAGAAAGTGCATTGAGCTTGTGGTATAAAAACAACAGTTAAACACGTGCCAAACCCATGTAAAATCAGGCATATAGGTCATATACAAAAGACTTTGGGTAGGAGCTCCAACCTTTGAGAGATGGTCCTATAGGATTCAGCACGTAACTTGTTCAAGTTTGAAGGTACGTAGAAACTAAAAAGACCGCACAAGTTGAAAAAGAAAATCGGGATGCATTAATCCAATTAACTGATTCATTCGATTCAGGTATTTCGATTTCGACGATGATCCGATGTCGGTCCATGCAAAAAGAAACAAGTGGTAATGAATGAGGCTACGAATCGAGAGAATGAATGACAGGAATCTGGGGGCCGGTCGGAACATTGGTGAATGAGCATTTCCAAAAAAAAGTCGAAATCGCAAAAAGATGAATCACTTTTTTGGTGCACAGTATTTGATGCAATGTCTAAACCCTTAACAACCTGCCATATGAGGACGAAAAAATCAGGTCTGCCAGGTACCCATCCAAAAAAACCCAGACCTTCACTTCATGGAGATGTAATGAGATTCCAACCACGTAAAGTGAAGGAATGGATTCGAGATGTTACTCAGGGGAGAGGGTCGAAGGCCAGAGTTGTAGGACCGCTGTTAAGTCCTCAATTGGTACGGGAGGGAGGGGTTGTAGGTTGAGGGGGGGGTTGATAGTCGGGGATAGTGATAATAGCGTCCTAAAGAATCACACGAAACGATACACTGCAGCGCGCCAGCGAAGCTCTTGTCAATACTGCTCTCGTCCAAGAAGTGATGTGTAAAAGGACCTTCTATTCATACTATCAAAGAGGGGGTTGTTAACTGCTCTCGTCCAAGAAGTGATGTGTAAAAGGACAAAGAGCAGACAAGAGGGCTCGGCGCACTACTAATACTATCTACTAAAGAATATGACTGCTAACTTAAAGCATCGCCGCCACTGCCTAGCCACCACATCTTTTTGTATTACAGAGACTAGGGCCGAGGGGGTGTGCGAACGTCAGTATTAATCCCATGTAAAGCGAGCAGGCGGCGGTCAAAAAAATCGGTCGCTCACAGCCCTGCGCGGCGCGGCGGCGGCGCTGAGGCTGAGTGAGTGAGCATTTTGGCACTCTCTCTTACATCTTCCAAAAAACCACACATTAATACTTGAACAGACAAAAAGCAAAACGGATGCAAATTAAATGCGATTTGTAAAGGGAGTGAGGGAGGCGGCCAAAGCTATCGAGATGGATGATGGCCAATGTTCCACACAATGTTCAAGTGATCCTCTGCCGCTCTCGCGTTCCTGCAAAGCTCCGTCCTCCTCGGCCAGCGCCTCACTACTTGTCTGTATCGTCGTCGTTGTCATAACTGCCCGCGTGGTCGCCGGCAGCGCCACCACCGTTGAGCTTGTCTTTCTTGGACGGAGAAAAGACTACGAAAGGCTTCAGCCTCTTCCGTCGTGGAGGGGTGCTGGACCGCACTCTGTGAGCGGGAAGACGCGCTGGACCAGACAGGGGTGCACAGGGTCGTGCGGACAAGACATATGGTGCTGGATCAGAAGGGGACGAGTCGCGCCGTGGGTGCAAAAAAGATGGTGCTGGATCAGAAGGGGACGAGTCGCGCCGTGGGTGCAAAACAGATGAAGGCGTTGAAGAATCAAACGACGCTGACAACAGCTCTCGATCGCCGTCCGGGGCGACGTGACTCCTGGGCGACATGCCCAGCGCATCCGTCACGTCAATTGCAAATTTGCGCATATGTTCCTATTGCGAGATGAATTACAAAATGTCAGCAACCTTCCCCAGACACTGCTGTAGCCAACGCTGAGAGTTCAATTAAAACTCCTACCTTAAAAGCAATCAGCGTCAAGAGATTATCCGACATCAGAAACGACTTCAACTGGCCAACCTGTGGTGGCAGCGCGACGCACTTTTCAGCCGACCAGCCTGCCCCGAGCACATCCTCATAACGGCGAATGGTGTAGAAGTCGAGCACACGACCTTGGCCTTCGGCGATAACTGGGTAGCAACATGACCCTAAGAGAATAAACTAGCAGTGTTAGCAATAAACCCCTTTTATCTTTGCCTCCAAAAAAAAAAGGGACTTACAGAACGTCCTTCTTGGCCTCAACGGGACCTGAGGCACGCAGCCGGGCCAATGCAGCGCGGTAGAGCTCCTCGTGGTTCTTGGACAGCCCGCGTGGAACTGCATGAGGAAGTGTCGCAGGCTTCCCCTTGGCCTACAAATACAAGGGGTGAGACTACAGCGTTAAAACGGTAACACTAGTGACTAATACCAACCACACAGGAAAGATGCACATAATATACCTTCTTGAAGACGAACGCAATCAGCTCGTAGAAAGGCGTCGCTTTGGCTCGCGACGACTCAGCAATGTATAGATCTGTTGCTGAATCACTCTCTACAACGATGACAAGAGCATGTTCGTGTTGTTAGGGTACAAGAAGAGTATTAAGACATGTAACACGGAAAGAAATACCCCGCACAATCGCATATACCTGTATTGTCACTCTCGGTCGTTTCCGAAAAGCTTGCGATGGAGTCATTGGAGCTGGAAGTAGTCCATCGTAACTCCGTTCCCGCCGCTCCCGCTGCTCCTGCTAGCCCCAGAGTACGCGACGATGCATTGTATGGTACTGGCTTTGGTGGCGGCATAATTGACTCATCTGCAAGGTGTGAGGGTGAATGGACTAGGAGTGGGTTGTGCTCGGCCGTCGGTATTCGTGCTGCTGGGTCTAAGAAGGGTGGAGGAAAGGGAAGTAAACATGGAGCGATGTGGAGTGTGAGGATCCTCAGCAAAACGAAACATCATCGATAATATGGTGCAGGGCATTTTCGGCAAACGGCGACCAAGAGGAAATAGTGAAGCAACGTAACCTGTCAAACTTACATTTGGGTGTATCAGTCTCCAGGTCCTTGTCGTCTACGCGACCACAAGAACAAAGGTTCAAAGAACAGCTCAGCGAAGATGTAGGAGCGTAGCGGGGGCGACACGTGCTCTTTACTGCGATCAAGTTGGAAAGAAAGTCAAGACAGTGAGCATACCGTTCCCTGGATGAATAGTTGTTGCAGGAACCTTGGTTGAATGGCTGGCGTCTCTCGAAATCTGTTGAGCCTGCAGAATGCCAGAGAGCATAGACGAATCCTGAAGTGATGCCACTACTGCAGTCTTTTTGGCAACGATCGCGGCGCTGTGCTCCAGCTCGAGCTGCATGGTCTCCATCTCAACCCCCTTCTCCCATTGCGACCAAAAGACAGGCAAACGCCGTCGGACAAAGTCGGCAAAGTCCGCCTTGAGTCGCTCCCGTCGATTCGACTTGATGCGCGGCGATTCGAGTAGCTCCTTGTACGACGATGTTGCATCATCCATATCACGGATTCCGAATTCCTTGACGAAGGACGGAAAAGACACATGTTCTTGT